GCCCCTGTCGTTGGAACAGAGGCGGGAATTGGGGGCGAACGGACCGCCGCCAGTGGCGCAGTCTAACGGGAGCGCTGGACAGGATTGAAACTTGTGGCCGGATTGGGCAACCGGTGCGGCTGCCAACGCCAATCCACCACTGTACTTCCCAGCCCTCGAGCCGAGCCAGGACCTGCCGCTGCACCAGGTGGGCTGCCGCGACCTCAGCTTTAAGCCGGACATATTCCTGGCCAGGCGCAAGCTGAAGCGCTTCCGAGTCAAGCGCCATCTCCAGGCCCAGATGAAGGCGCCTCAGCCTAGCGGATCCCTGGCCCCGCTGCGGACCTGAATGTGAATGTTAACTTGAATGCAATACAGTACTCCTAGTTTGTTTTTTTTCGATTATTGATCCGCTGATTTTATTTGGTAGCATTAGTTCTTCCCCTAATTTAAGCAATGAGTTGTGTATATTTTGCTGGTGCTTTTAGTTCCTAATCCCGATTATATAATTTGTGGTTACCTTTAGTTCGGTATTTGAATATGACAAAGCTTACAAAGCATTTGAGGCAATACGTTAAACAGTATATTACAGTTAATCTTTATTTAATTTAAGTATTGGAAGGTATATAATCAAAATACGAAGCTGATGACATGAGGAGGATCTTGTAAATAGGCAGTAATCCAGCCAGACGACTGCGTCTGGTTGGCAGATACTTAGATTTTAATGCAACAACACTGCAATTAGTGGTATCGATAATGTGCATTGACGATGACTGTACCAAAATTTTTAATGTTATTTGATAAAACGGAATATGACTATTAGTTTTAGTCTTAAGTGTTTCTGTAGGCAATTTGTAACTGTATAGAAAACACCACCCCTGATCCCATTTCCTTAACTCCCTTATTTATCCCACAATCAACTTTATTTCCCCAAAAATCTCTCCATTCCCCAATATTAGTGGACTGTGCTTTGTAAATCTCAGCCAAATGCATTCAATCCCGCCAAGTCGGGCTTGTAATCTGAATTGTAAAGAACGCCACACGACCCCCAAATGGCACACTTAGTGACTAATTTCCCTTGCATAGTGTTAATAATTTATAAGCTCAAATAAAATATTTTAATATTAAATATTACAACATATTATGTAAGTAAAACAAAATGAATGTACGCATTACAATAAATAGTAAAAGTTATTAAATAAAACGTTAAATACGATTATTTGCAAAGGTCTTCAGAAAGAATAAATAAATGTGGGGTTTCCAAGAAAGAATTGGGAATAAATCTATCAGAAAAATCGGTCCCATGTTATGATGCATATAGATGGAAAAGATAATCATATAAATATGTCGATTTTCCAATTTCTCCACTTTGGCTCCTTCCGATAGCCACAGCTCAGCCAATTTGTAACCGATCAGGAAATAAAGTACCATTTTGTAATCAGCGAACCCAGAAGTGACTTTCCTACCATTTCCTCATTCAAAACATTGCTTAAATATCGTTTTGAAATTTTTCGAATTTTTTCCAAGGGGTACCCCTGTAAAAATGTCGATTTTCCAATTTCTCCACTTTTACTCCTTCCGAAAGCCATAGCTCAGCCAATTTGTATCCGATCAGGAAATAAAGACCATTTTGTAATCAGCACACCCAGAAGTGACTGTCCTCATTCAAAATTTTGCCTAAATACCGTTTTTCAATTTTTCGAATTTTTTCCAAGGGGTACCCCTGTAAAAATGTCGATTTTCCAATTTCTCCACTTTTACTCCTTCCGAAAGCCATAGCTCAGCCAATTTGTATCCGATCAGGAAATAAAGTACCATTTTGTAATCAGCACACCCAGAAGTGACTTTCCTCATTCAAAACATTGCTTAAATATTGTTTTGAAATTTGTCGAATTTTTTCCAAGGGGTACCCCTGTAAAAATGTCGATTTTCCAATTTCTCCACTTTTACTCCTTCCGATAGCCACAGCTCAGCCAATTTGTATCCGATCAGGAAATAAAGTACCATTTTGTAATCAGCACACCCAGAAGTGACTGTCCTCATTCAAAACATTGCCTAAATATCGTTTTTCAATTTTTCGAATTTTTTCCAAGGGGTACCCCTGTAAAAATGTCGATTTTCCAATTTCCCCACTTTTGCTCCTTCCGAAAGCCGTAGCTCAGCCAATTTGTATCCGATCAGAAAATAAAGTACCATTTTGTAATAAGCACACCCAGAAGTGACTTTCCTCATTCAAAACATTGCCTAAATATCGTTTTTCAATTTTTCGAATTTTTTCCAAGGGGTACCCCTGTAAAAATGTCGATTTTCCAATTTCTCCACTTTTACTCCTTCCGAAAGCCATAGCTCAGCCAATTTGTATCCGATCAGGAAATAAAGTACCATTTTGTAATCAGCACACCCAGAAGTGACTGTCCTCATTCAAAATTTTGCCTAAATATCGTTTTTCAATTTTTCGAATTTTTTCCAAGGGGAACCCCTGTAAAAATGTCGATTTTCCAATTTCTCCACTTTTACTCCTTCCGAAAGCCATAGCTCAGCCAATTTGTATCCGATCAGGAAATAAAGTACCATTTTGTAATCAGCACACCCAGAAGTGACTTTCCTCATTCAAAACATTGCTTAAATATTGTTTTGAAATTTGTCGAATTTTTTCCAAGGGGTACCCCTGTAAAAATGTCGATTTTCCAATTTCCCCACTTTTGCTCCTTCCGAAAGCCGTAGCTCAGCCAATTTGTATCCGATCAGAAAATAAAGTACCATTTTGTAATCAGCACACCCAGAAGTGACTGTCCTCATTCAAAATTTTGCCTAAATATCGTTTTGAAATTTGTCGAATTTTTTCCAAGGGGTACCCCTGTAAAAATGTCGATTTTCCAATTTCTCCACTTTTACTCCTTCCGAAAGCCATAGCTCAGCCAATTTGTATCCGATCAGGAAATAAAGACCATTTTGTAATCAGCACACCCAGAAGTGACTTTCCTCATTCAAAACATTGCTTAAATATTGTTTTGAAATTTGTCGAATTTTTTCCAAGGGGTACCCCTGTAAAAATGTCGATTTTCCAATTTCTCCACTTTTACTCCTTCCGATAGCCACAGCTCAGCCAATTTGTATCCGATCAGGAAATAAAGACCATTTTGTAATCAGCACACCCAGAAGTGACTGTCCTCATTCAAAATTTTGCCTAAATATCGTTTTTCAATTTTTCGAATTTTTTCTAAGGGGTACCCCTGTAAAAATGTCGATTTTCCAATTTCTCCACTTTTACTCCTTCCGAAAGCCAGCCAAGGGGTACCCCTGTAAAAATGTCGATTTTCCAATTTCTCCACTTTTACTCCTTCCGATAGCCACAGCTCAGCCAATTTGTATCCGATCAGGAAATAAAGACCATTTTGTAATCAGCACACCCAGAAGTGACTGTCCTCATTCAAAATTTTGCCTAAATATCGTTTTTCAATTTTTCGAATTTTTTCTAAGGGGTACCCCTGTAAAAATGTCGATTTTCCAATTTCTCCACTTTTACTCCTTCCGAAAGCCAGCCAAGGGGTACCCCTGTAAAAATGTCGATTTTCCAATTTCTCCACTTTTACTTCTTCCGAAAGCCATAGCTCAGCCAATTTGTATCCGATCAGGAAATAAAGTATCATTTTGTAATCAGCACATCCAGACGCGACTTTCCTCATTCAAAACATTGCTTAAATATCGTTTTTCAATTTTTTGAATTTTTTCCCTATAAAAATGTCGGTTTTCCTTATTTATTAATTATTTAAACTTATTTGGATACGAGAGAATTTATGGAACTTGGCGCCGAACAGTTCCAGGGCTGAAATATGGTTGTTTAAATGTGTGCACGCTAGATGGCGTTGCTGCGGGTTTGTGAATAGGATAAGAAAAAGTTATCTAAAGCAAGCATACTTTTTGGGGTGACATGTTGAAAAATCTGGCAGCTTGAGAGGTCAAAGGTCTTGTGGCGCGGATTTTTGAAGTATCGCTGAAATGCACTGCTGCTGGATATATTCCTAAGAGGTTATACAGGAGGTGGAAACCCCCTACAAGTCATGGAAGAGATTCGGCTAGAGCTCAAGAGTCCCATCCCCGACTAAGATGAACTGCACGGCTCGCACTCGCACTGATTTGAAGCTGCCTAGGGGGTGGAGCGGACTTTCTGTTGACTGCAAGTGCGGCTTAGGCAGCAATTAAGCGGACAATCGGGTCTCCTGCCTGATGTCACATTGCCGAATCAGATGGCGGCCGGGGCACCGAGACCGTGCACATGCTTGGCTCTGGCATCTGACATGTGGGGTCTAAAAATAGGGGGCTAAGCCCTCGCCTGAGCAGCGGCAAGTGCAAAAGCATTTTGATACACTTCCAGTTGACCTGGGTTCGGGGGTCAAAGAAATTGACAAGCTATTTGAGATATTTGACTATCAAGTTTGACCATCTATTCGACTTAAAATCATCTTAACATTTTTCCTGGCATTTTTCTTCAATTATTTTTAATTTTTAAATTTTATTGCTAAGTTTTTGTGAAAGGGTGATTTTGCACAATTTCATGAACCAAAGGCAAATTTTCGTCAATGAATGAAATTTTATGGATTTTTTGTAATAACTTAAAAAGTTGCAAAATGTATCATAAATTTGATATTGCCTCGAAATACCACTAAATATTGTTGAATACTACTTTTCTACTACTACTACTACTTTATACCACGGACGTCGAAAAATCTGAATTCGGTTTGAAGCCAACATGTTGCAGTTGGACCCGAATGCACTGAAGAAAAATTCATAATGTAACCCAACATACTTTTTCTTTCAATAATATAGTTTATGCTCTAGTGGAATTGTTTTTAAATTAATTTAATAATTAAATAAAAAATTAATTAATTTTTTAAATCGCTATCGTGCTATCGCTGTCGGGTCGAATGTGTTTTCAGCGGACAAGAGAGAGAGTAAACTTTTCTCAGCTGCGCGGTTGGGAGCGAACGAGTGCGCTCTCAGAAAGTATCTAGTATCTGCGAGGGGCTGTCGCTGCTCCGTCTCAAAAGATACGTCAAAAAGTATTTGTATCTGCTGCGAGTTGGATGTATCCATCGTTGTCGCCGGCTGGTATATTGGCGTCCGAGCCGCGCGTATCTGCGGATCTTTATCCGGATTATAGTTAGTTTGTTTTACTAAATTAGTGAAAGCATCTCAGAGCTAGCTGGACTGCAGTTAGGCTGACTTGGTTTAAAAAAAACCGAACAATTCTGGTAGATACGCGGATGAAATAAAAAGAACACAAGCCTATTCCTCTCGCGTCCGCTCAACGAAAATAATAATAGATAAAGAAAAACCGAAGAAATAATTACGAAAATGCGCCAAGAAAATTAAAAATCACAGATATATCCATCCGATCGTACTACTAGGCGAGGAGAGTATCTGATTGTTTATTTATGTTGTGTATGTGTGAGTGTGGGCCCCAAACAGCTGTTTGTGCAGAAAGAAAAGAAAAGCAACAACCGCAAGTATCTCGAGTGTTGAATAAATTTCGTCAGCAGTCCCCACAATAAAGAGTTCGACTCCCCAGCCGCCTAGCCGCCCACCCCAGTTCCCCAGGTAAGTTAATTTCCGCGCTGCCGACATTTTTTTTCCACTGGATAAAGATACTTTTGGCCGAGAACGTTTCGAAAGTACTTGCTATAACGCATTGCACTTGGGAAAGTACTTACAAGTCTCGCAAAACAGGTTCCGGGACGGGTCAGGGAGGCATTAGTTTGCGGAAATTAGAAATGGAGATAATTTATGCAACAGGTAACCAAATCTAGGCACCTGATCCATTAATTTGTTTGATTTTACTGACTTAGAAGTCCGTTCAGGGGCCCGGCCTGGGATTTCAACTGGGCGGAAGAGGAGTAGAGTTGCAGGGAGCTGAGTACCAGCCTGGTTAAATGGTACTGGCCGTGGGAAAAATCAATAAAAACAGCACATCAAGAAGGAGGTGACTTTTTGGGGGCTCTCCATGAAGTGCATAGACGGTTGGACGGGTAGTCCTCCCACCCGCTTGGACAGAGTCATCTCCAGCCAGAATCAGAAACCAAATCTGGAGGGCAGAACATAAATTCAGATATATTTTCGTTTGGGGGCTCGAACCTCCAGAGGTCGACGAAAACAAAAACAATGTCGGAGTCGGAGAGAGGCCCGAAGGACGCAGGCGCAGGGATCTCTTCGGCTGGGTTTCAACCTGCGGGTCGTGTTTCAACTGAATTCCAAACAGATTTTCCATCTAGCTGGTGATTGTTTTTGGCCTTTGTTGATGCTGTGTTTTTGGACATTGTGTGTATATATCTGCCAGACCAGATATCCATTTCAAAATACCAAAAACACCAAGTTTTGGGGGGTTGGGTGTTGCAACTTGGGGTATCCGCCACTTCCGTGGCAATGTACTCATTTTCTTGATATCAGTAAAAGTTGAGAAACATTCTCCCGCCCCTGTTCCGAATGCTGTTCCTCAAGTGGGTCACTACAAACTAATGTTCTTGGCCAACATCTAGAGCGGATGCGTTTATCAGAGCTCGCTCGGCAAAGAAGGAAGCTGGGCCCTCGAGGGGCTTAGGCCGAGGCTCAGGTGGGGGTGGCTGCCATCGAAAACCGCGTGCAAATGAAGGCAGCCGGCAGCAGGTGATTGGACTAGTCGCGGAAAGGGAAAGTGAAATGGAAACTTCCGCATTGCGACTCGTGAGTACCTGGGGATTGGGAAAGCCTCAGCAGTCGCAAGCGTGTAGCTGGGTTGGTTGGCTCTTAATCATGGTGATGGGACAAAACAATTAAAATTAATCTGCAGCAAACATCCCTCCCTCAATTAGCCAATGCCAATATGTTGGATCGTTGCTCCTTTGTCGTTTTTATCTCCGTCTGTGAACGGAGTTTTCAGTGTTTATCGCTCTTGTTTTCCCACCAGCCCTACTTGGTCGGGCAAGGGCGATGACCCGCCTTCGCGCAGCCACCAGACGAATTAAGTGGAAAGTGTTTAATCGGGAGGGGGGAAGGCTCTGCCATCAGAGATAGTTGAATCCCATCGATGGTGAGTGACTCTGAAGCCTTCTCAGGCCAGTTCTGGTGAAGCTAATCACTGGCTGAGTAACCAGTCCACACCTGACAACTTTGATCCAGGAACTATTTAGCTTAATTGCAATCGGTAGTGTGACGTCATAGTTCCAATGTCGTCTATGGGGGGGAAAGGTGCCAAAAGGCACGCTCCAAGCAAACAGCTATGAACTGCCACCAGACCGGCTGAAAACCAGTAAGCCCCCTCTCGCGCCAGCTTCCTGTAGCTAGAACCTGTAGAAGCCGGCAAGTAGAACGTCACAGTCACGTTCTTCTGGCGTATTAATGGTTAAACAATACAGCTGCGTGTGTTGTCATTCTAGTCTCGGAGAGCGTGAAAAGTTCCCAAAGCGAAACCAAATCAGGCTGCGACCGGTTCATTCTAATAAATGGTTAACGAACATAAATTGTTTATTGCATTAGTCCATTAACCGATCGGAATTGGATGTTGTAGGCCTCAGTTGTCAGGTTCTTTCCGATTTCTTCCGACTATGTAGAGGGATAAATAAAGTAGTCCTAGACATCATCTACTTAAGTATTTATATCTCAAGCTACTGGCATTTCCATATTTGATTTATGATCATTTGGGCCATTGCGTAACCGGCATGGATCTCGTTTTGGATGCATCTTGACTGCATCCATGACATCAGCTTACCCAGAGTGACCTTAAAAGTGGATAGCCTTGACACGGGTTGTGGGCTATAGGCTGCTTATACATGACCCAAAGCTATTCTTAAGTTCCCTGACCTCCGAGGAACTTATCAGGTGAAATCAGGTGATCAGCTACGATCTTCTCATTAATCGCCGACTTTCCTAACGGGCCAGTGCTTAGTGCCACATGCCACGAAAGGAAAACACACAAATTGCAGATTATGCTAATGGCTCATTAAGCGGTTACCGGGCGCCAGTGCAAAAACGCGTGTGTACCAGGTAAACAAGAGCTTACTCCACAACAGAAATAGCAGCAATTAGGGGGGAGAGATTGCCAAACATGGGCTTTCAAAAGCGTGCGTTTTTTTGTTTATTGGGAAGTCGCCTAAATGAAACGATAAACCAGGGCCAAGGGTGGCAGCACCTGAGTGAGTCACCTGAGGGAAGAAGCGAGAGGCTGTTGGAGCTCCCACACGCTCCAGCTTCTTCAGTGAAGTGCAAATTATGCTAATTCGCAAACAATTATGGCGTAATTGCCGCACGATTGCTGTCACCCGTTAAGTAAGCCCCAGAGAGGCGAAAGTGAAAATCTCCAAATGGCCAAGAATTGTCGAGAGCAACTTTAAACATTTCCCAATATGGAGTGAAAGCGGAGTGTTGGCCCATCGGTTTGTCATCCAAATAAATTCATTCACATGTAGGACTCTCTGTGGGTGGATATTTGCTGACTACCTTCGAGTTATGATGCCCCCCTTAAGGGCATGGCCAATCGATTTTTATGCGGCTTTGTTTGCCAACTATTCGAAGGGCCCCTGAGCCCTTCAGTACACACACACATCCCACGCTTAACAGGGGAACCCGCCATACCACATGCCCGCACATAAAAAGAACAAAGCTGAGAGGGAAAGCGCCTCAACAATGAACTCTAGTCCATGAAAATGGGTTCGCGAAAGCGTTGAAAGTTCAACCGCCTCGAGCGACAATTTAACAAGCCCAGCAGTCAGCCGTCTACGAAAATCACACCAAAAATAAATCTATCTTCTCCGCCAGTAGTTGCCATGAAGACGGCTCTAAAATAAAGTCGATAGACCAGACCAGGTCTTGTGGATATTTTGTATAGAACTATCTTTACTTGTAACTTGTAAACTTTAAAGGTTTGACGTTTGAGGAGTATCATACTCCTATGAGGCTTAAAGGCCTTCCAGGCGGAAGAAAATCATTCAAAGCTGGAATCGAAAACAAATGTTTGCAACCATCAGAGACCTATTAAATAGAACAATTAAAGGTAAACAACGTAAAACGAAATGCATATATGCTCGTCACCTGTGATTATTTGCTTTCGCTTTTTTTCGATTGTGCTCGACAACTGAACAAGGGGCAACCTGCCTTATCGGCAGTCCCACAAAGTCGATATTACCAACTGAACAAACCGAGGGAAGCTATATAAATCACAGACTGTTCCAGGTGACATTATTATTTTCGATCAATTAGTTTTTGTAGTCCTCACTGAGCTGTCAGATGGCTAGCACTCTCTCCAAAGATACCAACTACCTACTCATAGTAACTCCGAGAAACGTGACTCATATAGTTTTTGTAAACGCCCCCCCCAGACGGGAGCCGAATAGAAGCCACCACCAGGAATGCGTCATTGCCCCGGCAGCCCCACCCATTCCCCACAGTGGCGCTGCAGGAGATGCATTTGCATGTCAGGCCCGCAATCTGGCGGAGAAGGGCTTCCCAGAGCGCGACGTTAATTAAGGCGATAAATGGGAACCGGGGGGGAGCAACCATGGGTGCCCCTCGTTTTCCCAAGGCAGCTGCAGACTGAAGTGGCAACGGATCGCCGATCTTGACAAAATATTTACTCTAGCCCACCCTCTTCGTTTTTCAATTGCGACGCCCCACAAATCAGATTGCGTCAAGAAGGTTAATTGGTATTGATTGTGGGAGTAATTCCACGGCCTTTCGTTGGGACCGAGAACTGCCAAATCTCAGGTGGATGTCTTTAGATACACAAAGAACTCAGTAGTGGCAAAATGCTTTTCCGCGTTTGGGATTGTCTGAATATATTAAATACAAAATTAGCAAACCATGACAGGCAGCGAAGAAACCAGCTCGGAGATGTGCGTAGAATCAAGTATCGCTTAAAACATCACTCAATAAAAAAATAAATCCCCACTAATTGGATACAAAATGCGAGCTGTCTGATGTCCAGAGAGCCCGCCAACTGCGGCTTCTTTGCGACTCGATGATTAAATACCTCGGCGTACTATAAAAATCAATATTGTTTAGCAATCTGGGCACGCAAATCGCAGCACGTTGCTATGAAAGATTGGGGAAGACGTCTCGGGGTACTGCTCACTAATTACCAAGTGCTGAGCGTTCTAACGCGGTTCGGTAGTCCCCAAACCACACGACTGATAATAGGGACGACTTTGTTTATGAGCATCATCATCACCCACAACAGTCACACCATTCCAATCACGGACAGGGGATTGACACATCTCATAAAGTTTTCACAACTAGACACTAATTGATATCGAGAATACTAGATGTTTGAAAATCCAATTTGTACAGCAGTTCAATCTGATTCCCATGTCTTTATTTGCCTGCTCTCGTTTTGGCAGCAGGGGAATCCGATAAGTGCGGTAAGCAGGAAACTTTTTGGTCAAAACCCCCTCTGGCCGATGTCGAACATGAAGTACATCGTGTCGGACCTCTGACGGGGAACTAATCGCAACCGCAATCAATTGTTGGAGTGCGCTATTTTAGCCACAGATACCTGTCCATCTGCTCTTTATTTTATCATTATACCAGTAGACTTTTCCATCCGGGGGCACCTGTTCTCCCCCCGAAATGTCGCCAATCCATCACTCCCAACTTGGACGTTCATATGGTATTCGTTTCGAGTCTGAATTCCAGTAGAGATAAGGACGCATAATTACTCAACTTTGGCAGTAGTACCTCTCCAGTCCCATTATCGGATAGTGCTTAGGAGAAGCGTGGCATGCCACGTGTTCTGCCATTTTCTTGTGGCAGCTTTAAGCTACATAGATGTCAATGGAAGTCAAAGCTGAAAGGTGCTTCTAAAGAAATTCATCATCAGAATTGATTTTTCATTTATCCAGGTCACTACTCGTTAGTTGGAGAAGCAGAAACAGAAAAAGCGCGACCATTAGAAGTAGTTTTCACTCTTGGCTCTGAAATCTGTCGACTTTGCTGATTTCTGCCTTGCTGCGAGGTGGCAGGTGCTCGGCAACCATGACAATAATGTCCACAAGAGCGGTGTCGGGATAACTTTGTTATTGTCATCGCCTGTGCCTCGGTTCCTTTGTTGCTACGCGGTTGAAAATGCTCGAAATCGATACCTGTCCAGGGGAAGCGCTGTCCTGGCTGCCTACTCCCTTTTTTCAGTGTCTCCTCCGTTCTAGAGATAACTTGTTAACTGAAATAGTTAGTTCCCTTTTGGGGAAAGACTTCCAAGCCGAATCGTAATCGCTGTTTTCCATTTAAACAATTATAGCCATTCGGTGGCAGCAGGCAAATAGCGGAAATCACGTTTTTACCCTGCTGACGTTCAAGTGGCTAATGAATAGCCGCGGAAGGGGTGCTGGACTGGGCTGCTTCCGATCCACGCGGGGCGGTGGGTGGACGTGGCCAGTGCATGGAAGAAGGTGTGTAAAGATTTATGACGTCTTTGGCCAGCGCCAGCTTACATGTGTTCTTAGTCCCCCAGCACCCACCTCGTGCACTCAGGAAAACGACAAACACAAGAGGAATAACAACTGGGGACTGCGCCGTGCCGGTGCTTGGTGCTCCGGTGTTGTGCCCCTTTTTATGCCCCTCCCGAAAACGTGACGCCCAGAGTAGCGGGTGTTAATATTTTTATGGCCGTGTCTGCCGTGCCACCGGATTCCCATTCCCCTTCCTGCAGAATGCACTTTATTAGAAGCAAGTCTCCGGGAGAAGCTCCTGTCTCTGGTACTGCCTCTGGCTCTGGCTGGTTTCAAGGCATCGTAAAGTGTAGTGCATCATAAATATATTCAAGTGTGCACCGCATTATGGCGGCAGTTGGGACAAGTCCTTTTTGGCAGTCGCCCAATAAAAGTAAAATGTAAGGAATAATTAAGCTCGCTGCTCCTGAGCGTGTCCTTGCCCCGAATTCCGCTGGGCAGGGCCTGCCCTGGGCCCCATTTACGGCTGCTGCTCAAACAACGGCCATAACAATGACTGTGATGGACGGCAAGACAATTTGCAGCGAGAGTGACATTAAAATGCACTTGCCAAATAAAAACTAGCATTGTAAATTGGGCATTCGGCCAGGCCAAAAGCCCTGAAGCTCCCAAGCTCAGAAGCTCCCAAGCCCTCAGCCGGGGAAAACAATTGAAAAGCAAAGTGAAGAAATTCCGACTTGGGGCTTTAATGGATCATTTTCCCAACAGCTGGCAAGTAATTAGGAACTGAAGGCCCCCCGCCGGCGAGACTATGAGGCAATTCTATCGATGGAGTTTGCTTTGAACTTTTCTGGAAATGATTTGCGCCACCATTTCGAGGAAAGGAGAAGCTAAGAAGTTTCAGCTTCCGCCGCTGCGGAAACTCAAAAGGAAGACCAACTTGTTCAACCACTCCAACTCGCCTCCAAATAAAACAAACAATTTGAGACTTTATGTGGCGGCTGAGTGCACATCCTTAAGCTTGATGGAGTGCGAGGGGTATTTGGCTTTTTGTGAGAACAGTCCAGCCAAGGCAGAGCCATATACATATTTCACATTCGAAGCACAAGATCAAAGTGCCAAAAATGTGAGCAATTAGCCGCGGAAAGTAAGGTGAATAATTTATGTTTGGAGCTTGGGAGAAACGACAAATTGAAGTTCAAACTTGAGAATGCTGTTGCGCCAATATTTTTAGAGAGAATTGGGGGCTTCGAAGGGGTGTATGTGCGTGGGTGTGGCTGCACAAACACACACGACAGTGCCTACTTATTTATATTTTTGGAAACATGTGCTGGCGTATGTTCTTTCTGAACAGCTCCCGCTTGCACAGATGTTGCAAGATGCAAACAAGCGGAACATCGGCCACCGACGACATCGACGACCACAAGGTGCCAGGGCTGGACGGGGGTCTTTTGAGGCACTTAATTCTATTTTTTGCCTCGTCGCCAGTATTACAAAGAGGGAAAGTGTTCAGGCAACTGCGATAAAGACATTTCTTGGGTTGTAAACTATTGTTATGACGAGGAACCGCAATGCAGCGTTGCCACAAAAAAGTGGAAGATAACGAAACTGCCACAATCCAAAAGTTGCAACTCCGGAGGAATCGCAAGCTGATTTAAATACAGAGCTGGATAATTCCTATTGCTTTCAACATGCTAATTGCTCTTCATAATTACAACTATTGTTGTCGATTGCGAGTGCAACAATAAATGCAGTTACAATATCTGGCTGAATAAATTAGGCCCCAGACCCAGCTATACCCAGCCAGAGCACGGTTGTATGTTTTCGAGTATCAGGGAACAATTACAGTTGTCCAAACAAGCCCCATGCACCTGCCGCAGGTAACCACGTACCCAGCTCCATGCTCCCAAGCCCAGCAGAGCGCACAGAAACGCATCAAAATCACTGGAATGGCAAATCAAAACTTTTCAGTCCCGGATATAAATGTTTTAAGTGCAGACTTCCGCTGCAGTTTGGCTCGAAAGTTCCAATTAAATTGCAAACAATTTATTTCCCAGTTCTTGAAAGATTATTTCCAACGAGATTAAGCTGACTAGAAAATGGAACTAAACTAGGTAGATTCGTAGTCAAAAAGTGAAGTCAGAGCACCGGAAGCTGCCTAGGAAACCTCTTCAAAAAACCTGCCCCGAAACTTGCAGTTGGCTTATGCAAATACCTCGGCTTTACTTCCTTCCTCCTCTGGGTCGTACTAATTTATCAAATGTGCCATATACCGTAGAGAAATGTTAAATTAAATATTTGTTTATATTCAAATGCCTCCAAAACATACACACGCGGCGGAACTAAACATTCATAAAATATTGAATAATGATTATCATCCGAAGCACGTTTTTGCCAATCACGTTTCGCAATAGGAGAATAAACAAATGTATTTCTATTTTTATTTTTATTTTTATTTTAATTTATTCGCAGACTGTCGAATTTGGTATGCGATAGCTGGCTATAGAGCATTAATACGATTGGGGTATCTCCAGATCTAGGTATAGAGAGACTAGGGGAATCCACGAGCAACCTGTAAACTTCAGGAATCAATTTCAATAAACCGAAAAATATATATTTAAAATTGTTAGCCTTTCGGAATGAAAATATCCACCCACACACTCGCCACACCACGGTGTGTGTTATTTATTTGATGGCAAATACGCCTGGTCGTTGTTCTCCCTGGCATCTGGCCAAATCGAATAAAACAGTATTTATAAAAATAACAATAAGAAGTGCAATAGCCGCAACATGCGCCACCAAACAATTGTTGATTCAAAAGTAAACAGATTCACCTACCAGCGAACCTAATCTCTCTCCGCTCCGACAAATAGCATCTTAGTATTTATGGTGTAAGAATTTTAATTGCGAAACGGAAACAAATGAACCCGCTGTTCAGAAATCTGTGGCATTTCCAGCACCGACCTTTGTTATATATATATATCTGTATATACGAATACGTATGTTGTTTCCATATTTTCATTTACCTGGCTTATCTGGGAAGGAGAGAAGCTACCACATCGGCACACCCACATTCTCACAGCATAAGGTTAATGTTTTCAGAGTGGGGCACAAAAACTGATTCGAAATCAGAGTGCCAAAGTCACTCGGGCAATTTTTCACTTTTATTTCTGCCTGCAGTGAGGCGAGGCATTCCATACAGATGTGCACACTCGCATATTCCGTGCCGAATGCACACTTTTGGCAGCAACTGTCAGGGTCATTATCCTAAACCAGCCCCACGCGTGGCTGCCCCTTTCGTTGGTATTTGGCACAGATCGTTTGGGGTCTAAGGGAAACCTTAACTTTTACTCTCCTATTCCGGGATAATATGATGTTAAGGTAATCCTACCCGGACTACCTCTGGTGGAATTTATTCTCTGTGTGCCTTCTTTGAAAGCGAGGAGAGAGTAATAATTTATAAACCAGCCAGAGGCACTGTCATCCGAGTAGGTGTCTTAGCCAAGGTCCGCGGCCCAGCGAAATGCAAATTGGCCCTGTCCCTGAAAGCCGGTTGTTGTCGCAGCCCAGAGTCAGAGTCCAAGTCACGTCGCATGTCCCGCCAAACCACTTTTCAGGCGTCGGTCCACACCCACGCCTTGTCCTGGGGGGAACGAGAATATCACTATATTTTCGCAAGGCCTGAATACATTGTAGCCCAGTAGGCTGCCCTGATATCGTAGTCAATAAAATTAGCAGTCTTCACTACTCCCAGATGCAGAACTGGCGTCAATTGAGTACAATAGTGCGCAGTAGCGATAAAGGCCTTATCGTGTTAGACATCGCCATAAAGCAGAGTTAAAATAGCCCCTCGTCGCGAGCTATAGCTATAGCTATAGCCACTTTTAAACACATACCTTATCGCCCGATAACCAAATCGCAGAGCTTCCTCCAATAATTTAGCCAAAATTTGTTGATTTCGCTTCAGTTCACGAACCACACCCGCTCGGATGAGCGATTCTGATTGAATCGGCGACAGAACAACCTGCGAATCAACCGCCTGCGTCATGTTTTTGCGGGAAATGCTCCTCCTGGCCGGCCTGGTGCTGCTGCTCGGAGGCCTACCGCACCTCACGTCCACCACGACCACCACCACCCTGGTGGCCGCCATGTCCATTGCCAACCAGGACCTGGAGCGCTACTTTAGGCCGGCCAACGCCACACACACCTTTGCCGGCATGGAGGAGCGGATCGCCGTGGACTTCTACAACTATGCCTTCCTCAACTGGTCGTACCTGGACCACGGAAACACGATCTGTGAGACCGACTTTCCCCAGGAGCAGGCCCGCTACGGAGAGGGCCGTGTGCTAAACGTAACCGGCCGCCTGGTCCACATCAGCACCACGGAGAACGTCAGCGACGACTACGCCTGCACTCCCTACATTAGGGGCACCATGGGAGCACCCACACCCGAAAAGGGTGTCACCTGGATAGCGCTGGTCCGACGCGGCCGCTGTACCTTCGAGGAGAAGGTCAAGCACGTCTACCAGCAGAACGCCGCCGGGGTGATCATCTACAACGACAAGCAGGTGATGCAGCTGGAGAAGATGCAGATCAAGGGCAAGACACGTGAGTTTATTAAGCTATCCGACTAGACAGCCAACTAACCTAATGCTTCCGCCAGGCAACATTGCCGCTGTGATAACCTACCAAAACATTGGCCAGGACCTGGCCATGACGCTGGACAGGGGCTTCAATGTGACGCTCTCCATCATCGAGGGACGTAAGGGTGTACGGACAGTCAGTAGTTTGAATCGGTGAGTTATTTTCCCACTATAATGCAACAAAAAAATGTAAAAAGGATGCAAAATATCCATCCAGTCTACTTGGAGACGCCGGGGTTTGAACCCGGGACTTCTCACATGCGAAGCGAGCGCTCTACCACTGAGCTACGTCCCCCATAGGATAATAGTCATTTCAATGTAATTGTTTAATTTAAAAACACTGACATTTTTTTTTCTTCAAAGTATTCCTTATTTGAATTTCAATATAACCCATTCATATTTTTAAATCTTCTCAAAATTCCTATTTCACAATTTAATTTCTTAAACCAAAATATATTTTAAAATTTTATTTAATTTCAAAAAAGTGGTTTTCAAAAAATAGTCACTCCTAAAAACAAAATAAATCAAAAGCGCACCTTAAAAAAAAAAAAATCAAAAAATATATATCTTCCAACAATGGAGACGCCGGGGTTTGAACCCGGGACTTCTCACATGCGAAGCGAGCGCTCTACCACTGAGCTACGTCCCCTTGCATGGAAGCGGTGACCAAATTCCCACTTACAGAAAGTAGTATTCAAGTCAATATTCTCCACTGCTTTATCGATCCAATATATCTAAACATGAATGCTTCGATTTTTCCTAGTCGAATTTCTTGTACCCTTTCACTATCCCAAACACGTTAAACAATGCAACATAACGATTTTTCTTCATAAACGAATCATTTTGGTAACTAGCTTTTTATACAGTTAATTCTTACCAGATATCAAGCATATGTAAGATATCAGATAAGTAATGAAAAAGGATAATAATTAACTCGTCATAAAAAGAAAATAAAAAAGAAACTTATTCGTAACTGGAGACGCCGGGGTTTGAACCCGGGACTTCTCACATGCGAAGCGAGCGCTCTACCACTGAGCTACGTCCCCTTGCGGCCATGTTCGACACAATGTGGCATTTGATTTCCAAGCAAATATTCTTATTGGATTGCGACTGCTTGGAAAAAGCAGTTCACTGCTTTATGTAAAATTATTTTACACTATACCCTAAGCAGTTCACACACGATTTCATGTATATATCCTTTTATTTTTCTTTCAGAACTTCCGTGCTGTTTGTGTCCATATCCTTCATTGTCCTGATGATTATATCCCTGGTCTGGCTCGTCTTCTACTACATCCAACGCTTTCGTTACATGCAAGCTAAGGATCAGCAATCGGTAAGCAAGCTATAGGCAATGAGGTGTCCCCTTAACTCCAATCTGTCCATTAATTCCAGCGGAATCTGTGCTCGGTGACCAAAAAGGCCATCATGAAGATTCCCACAAAGACGGGAAAGATCAGCGACGAGAAGGATGTCGACAGTGACTGCTGTGCCATATGCATCGAAGCCTACAAGCCTACGGACACCATTCGGATCCTGCCCTGCAAGTAAGTGTTCCTGCATAGGAGCGCCATCCAATTCTAATGACGATCCTTTTCAGGCACGAGTTCCACAAAAACTGCATCGATCCGTGGCTCATCGAGCACCGCACCTGCCCCATGTGCAAGCTGGACGTGCTCAAGTTCTACGGCTATGTGGTGGGTGACCAAATATACCAGACCCCGAGTCCACAGCACTCGGCTCCCATCGCCGCCGTGGCCATGGCCCAGCCCTCCATTGAGGAGGTGCCGGTCATAGTGGTGGCCCTGCCACAGGGGCAGCAACAGCAGCAAGCGCAGCAGCCCCTGCAGCAGCTGCAGGCCAGTGCCATGAGTAGTTTCGCTCCCCCCAGCCACTACCTTCCACGTAGTCGTAGTCCCAGCAGTAGTAACCGCCAGCAGCAACCATCCCATCCGCTCCAGCTTCAGCTCCAAAACCAGCAGCAGCAGGTGGCGTCGGAGCGGGGCAGGCGCAACTCTGCTCCCGCCACAATGCCGCATGCCACAATTTGTACTGCCAGCCATCAGGTCACCGATGTCTAGACTCGTCCTCGTCCCCATCCACCCACCACCCATGATTTAGGTTAAGGCCCCAACCAGGTAATCCTGTCGAGCATAAATAGGTTAGTCCCTTGAAGCCCTGCGCCCGACCAACGTTCATCTTGCTGCGCGAGTCCTTGGCATCGAAATTGGAGGATTGAGTCCAGGCTCCAATAGAGCCTTAGAGTATAAGATGTTGCGGCCTTGGGGTCGATGCTTCCTCCCAATAGTATGTCCCTCGGCGGGAAGAAAGTGTATTCACTCATTTGTATATAAGCTCATTTGAGATCAACGTACTTAAAAGTGCTAATGCTGATAAGAAGACTTTATTATAGTTCTTACACAGCCCCACAAAAACTTCAGATGTACGAGTATGTAAGCAGGAACAAAGTTTGCCGCTAGAAGTTCAACTTGAGACGGAATTAAAACTTAATCGCCTAGGGTGTAAGCTATATAATGTTTAAGTTCTTTGTAAGAGTACCCATGTCGATAAACGTAGACGGAAGAAATAACTTGCGAGGACTACAATAACTACGCCTACCTATACCTACTACTATGCAATACAATTATTAACAATGACTATATCTGTAGCCGTAGCAGTGGTATGCTAATGCAATTATTTGTAGCAAACCAGCGCCTGTTTTGCTAGTCAATGGTCTGCCCCGATCACCCGTAATACATAAATAGATATACACAAGAAATCAAACTGCAGAATCACTGTAATATATATTTAAAAGGTGCCAAAGTATTTCGCTTTTAGTTGTTCAAATTGAATAAATCGAGAGGATTTTATTTTCATTAATGATAATAATGGCTAATGGCCACTGCATTGATTTGCATTTATTATTTCTCCCAACGCTATATAGAGTATTTTATGTATGTAGAGTGCACCTCGGGTTATTAAATACGGAACTGCCCCAGAATATCGAAACCATAGATTACTGTTGCTAAACCCCCTTATGAATAGTGGACTCAAGTAAATAGTTTAAGAACCAACCAAATAAACACATTGAATTTTGAAGATACAAAATCTTGCGAATCTGTAGCCGCTTCTTGCTTTTCTCGCCTCACTACCCGGCCTGCGCTGAACTGGAAGTTCGCTTTTTTGTTGTTTCAGTTTCTGGGCAGCGAGGAGAGTATCCTAGAGTACCAGCCCGATCCGCCCGAGGCGGTGGTGGCGACGCCAGCCACTGCCCCAGAGTCAGGGGTGTCTGCTCCGGCTACGTCACGCGCCCTGGCGGATCTCATCCAGAGCCGTGACTTTGTGATTGACTTTCCGCGCGTCTTTGTCCTGGACAGCGGCAGTGTGGTGGGCGCCCGGGACGTGCTCTTCCCGGACAGGCTGCCGGAACGGTCGCAGAGCTCCTTGTCGCTGAGGCAGGCCCGCGACTGGATGAGCCTCATGAGCAACAAGCTGGAGGAGCAGCAGGGGCTGCGGCGTCTGCGCAAGGATGAAATGCAGCAGGTATTCACGAAACAGATCCTTCTTGGTGTCACTTGTACTCATTCCCTATTCTCCGGAACAGCAACTCCTTACTGCCCGCGACTCAGCGCGACACCGTCGGTCGCGTTCGGCGGATGGACGCTATTCCACTGGCTGCTTTGGTGGCCGCCAGCGGCAGGCAACTGCTTCAGGGCAGCCGCAGCTCCAGCCGGAGGCAACCCAAGTACGTCGCACCAGCTCCACTCAGGCGCTGCAGCAGCTGACCGACGCCTCCTATGCCCAATCCCGGCAGCGGCAGCGTGAGACCTTCGACTTTGCCAGGACACGAAGGCGGTTCATGAGGCGCGAGAGCGACGAGATTTCCTTGCGCTCGTTGCCGCGACGAGGGGCTGGGCATCCACCGCCTCCACCGCCGCCACAGAGGGGACGGGAGGTGGCAGGAGGAGCAGCGGCCTCCAACGACCAGGTCACCATTCAAATAAACGGCGAGGGGGTTGACCTGAACGAGTGATAGCTAACGCTTACTTCCTTATTCTCAAATATGTTACAATATATAAATAAATGAATAAATATTTTAGAAATTAAATATAAAGTGTTCAACTTAAATTCTCATTTTACATATTTTTAATATCAACGTCTGGGAAATCCTACCATAACAATTATTGAACACCGAACTCGGACAAATTCCATTAAGGATTTGCGCGTGCCCTCAGCCAAAAGAAAAGAATCCAAGGCCCAGAATCCAGAACCCAGAGCCGCACAGATCCCATTCCACTGATATGCGCCTGCCTTTCGAATCCCCAAACCAGGCAGACAGCGAGGCAGCCCCAATTCGACATTTTGATCCCACCGAAGGCGAAGGCAAAGTCGCGGAGAAATAGAGCACAAGTTATGAGGAAGCCGAGTGGTTGAAGTCGCCGCGGCCAGTGGACAGCTAATAAGAATTCATCATGCGCACAGAGCGGAAAGCTCCTCGAGGGGAACTGGGGAGGGACAAGCGTCGCCTGCACGCGCCGTAATTGCAACGCAACGGGAGGGCTGCGGAGGATCAGATCGGATCGGATTGGACCAGGAGTAGGAGCAGGAGCGGGCGTTCGAACAGGCCACAAGGGAAACCTTCGATGTTTATAAACTTAAAGTCTGTAATCACATTAGGGCATGTAGCAGGGTCTTTGGGTCTTTGGATCTTCGGAGCCCCAACTGTTGCAGCTTTATCACCTGACGGGCTTCCTCCACCCCTCATGTTCCTTCCTCTTTCCCTGCCCAGATCGTACTCCTCCCGATCGATGACAGCACGTACGAGCTGGATTCCCCCATTCGGAGTTCCGAGTCGGGACGCGTTGTTTTTGGCGAGCTTTGGGGCACAATGGGCGTGTCGGCAGTGGGCGTTGAAGCGCGCATTCATGATAAAATTATTATATTGTTGGTGGACCGCCGTTTTAAGGAAGCCGTAGGTAAGAATAAAAATCAAGCCACGGGAAGAGAGACTTTATTGAGATACATGCATATTTATGTTTTGACTAGTTTATGTTTGGTGGGTTGGGTTGCCTTCAAGTTTGAATTAAATTTTAAACATCTGTGGTACTGCTAATACTTTAAGGCCGAATCACATCATTCATTTGCCTCAAACCCAAAATCAGGATCATTTTTTCCAATTCAGGACTTTGCTTGGACGGCAGGCGTACGACAAAAACAATGCACCGTGCTAATGTGGCAAGTAGGGGCGATTCCACTGAGGCGCATCCAATCGCCGGGCCGGCAGATGTGACTGCATCCTCGATCTTCAGACTCCTTGACGGCTTAGGCCCAGGTCAGTCCAGTGCCGTCGCTAATCTGCTGTAAATGAGCAACACCCCGCAATGGCAACGATTGCAGCTATTGACGTCGGTGCTGATCCTCCATATGCCCCAAGAATACTGCCAATCGGAACGAATTGGGGAAACAATAAAATCTTTTATTTCAACCCTCCTACGACTTCGAGCCTCTAAATCCAATCACGAAAATCATTAAACCAGGCGTATAGCCCATGTTTTAAGTACAAATATGGATGCACAATTGCCAATCATTTTGCTAATAAATTTGGAAAGTCTGTTCTAGAATACCATCAGTGATCAAATCGCAAAAAAAACTCCAACACTATCATTTGGCAGCTCAAAAATGGCGATTCGATGCGCCGACTGAACTGTCATGTTTTCTAATCATCCCCGAGTGCCCATTCTGAACAGGGTCCTACATAGGGTGTGGTGTTGTCACCATTGTCAGTTTTTAGCCAGTCAGAAATCCCAGACAGGAGCCATGCATGGAACACAGGGATCTACCAGGGGATGCTCCTTAAAATTGGAGGAAAAAACGGTGCAAAAGTGTTTTTGTAGGGTTTGATGCAGATTGGAGGAGAATCGGGACACAAATCTAGGGCCACAGTGATGGCTATAACTTCCCCAATTCTCATCCGATTCTCAAGCGGAGTATCTTAAACGATTTCTGGATCGATTCTGCACCATTCTGCATCAAAATCCTGAGACAAAATATTTTTCAGATTTTTTGTCCATTTTTCATGATGGGATCCCTTGAAAATGGGGTTTTCCCTATATGGCCCACTGTGATGGCTATAACTTTCCAAATTCTCATCCGATTCTCAAGCGGAGTATCTTAAACGATTTCTGGATCGATTCTGCACCATTCTGCATTAAAATCCTGATACAAAATATTTTTCGATTTTTTGTCCATTTTTCGTGATTGGAAAAAAAATGGGATTTTGAAATTGGGATTTTCCTCTATATGGGCCACAGTTATGACTATATCTTTCTCTCAGCGATGGGTATACCCTCGGCAAGGGTATTATGAAAATAACTATGAAACTATGTTGCGAGAACAGCAGCTGAAGTAAAGACCTGCATCTGGATTGAGTTCCACCTAAGGAGTCGTTTTCCCCCTTGACCTTCTCTCACAGTAAGTGCTTCATTTCGTGGGGAATCAGTATAATATCCCGGTAACTCACAAATGGAAGGCAGCTTGTGTTCGCCGTAGGGACTCCACTCCAACGTGGATGTGGTGCTTGACGCGGATTTGAAGTTCAAAGTGATTCATCGACCGCTCCGCACCTCGGGCCACCTCCTTTCGACGGAGATATGGATCAGGTCGATGGCTCGCCGATATAAATTTAAATGGGCGAGTATTGCACTGATTTGCGGCTCAACTACAAAGCAAAGACTAACGGCGATGTTGTAGACTTTTTTAAAATTACTAGTCGTTGCAGCAGTTCCCCATTTTGTGTCTACGCCGCTCATTCACAAACCTGATCATAAAGTTAATCCACAAATTGTCTCAAAATCAGAAATCAACCAAAATATGTTTTGGGAACTGTGCAGAACCCTTCCTGCTGGGATTCTCGTGAAATCGGTGTATCCGAATATCCGCTTATATAGATCAGCGCGAGCTGCGGACAAAAAAGAAAACGGCATGTTGTCAAACGTTGAGTTGGCTCAGCCGCAGGCTAAGATTAAGTCCTGGTCCCCGCACCCGAACGAGACCACAGCCAGAACCATAACCAGTCAAAGAATCAAGTCTCTGCCGAAGGCAACGTGGGCGTTGCTGCATTTTGATTGAAATCAAACACAAAGGCAGTTTACAATTTATTTATTTGGCCAGGCGTATGGGAACGGTGGAAGGATGTGTTCGTGAGGTGCGTGTGTGCGGCAGCGGATTATCCTGCAGTGCACTTGTTACACATACCCGCCGGCAGTCCGGAGTCGGCTGAATTTAAAGACGGTCAAGTTCAAGAGGAGACCGAAGGCGGAAGGACGACGGACGTCGAGATGAACTCATCAGGCCGATCCAGGCAGGGCCCGGATTAGTTGAACAGGCACGGTGCTAAGTCGAGTAAACGCCTACATGGCCCAAAAGTCATGTCATGTTGTGTGCCACAAAGGATTTTCTGCCACTGCCGCTGACACAATTTTTGCACCTTCGCAGGGCAAAGGGCTGCAAAGGGGAACAGCAACCTGTCGCAGATCAAGATCTAGCTCTGATCCTCTGACCCGACAATATTTATTTGGTTTTATTGGATTTTCAGCTTAGGCTTACAGAGCAATGCGCAATCTTAGATGCATCTGAGAGATCCGGAAAGTGCCCAGAATGACCGCCCCCAACTGGTCGTCCTGCCGCCTCCCTGGGTGCAACAAATTTCAGTTAGTTACGGGGCATTACTTTGGGCCATTTGATTACCAGCACCTTGCCGATAATCTGGTAGTCGCATTTTTTGGTCATTGTCGAATTACCGGCGATCGATCAGCCAATCCGGAAAGGCTTTAATCCTAAATCCTGCAAAAGCCCGTCGTGGAAAATTGTAACAACTTATTTCCTTATTAGGGAGATTTCCAAAATCCATTGCACTAGGTTAAGGATGAGTTTCCAGAAAATCCTGAAAACTCTTCCCTTAAGACTTTATGATATCATTTAGAAATGAAAGAGATATGGGGTGGCAATGGCTTTTACGATTCATGATGGCTGCCTTTAATGGAAAAATTTGCAACCCTGGAAGGACTCGCGGGCAACTCGATTGCTGGATAGCTGGACTCGGTCACACCAAGCGTTTATAACCACCAAAAGCAAACATCCACCGAGCAGATCGAAATAAGCGTAAAAATAATCCATCTTCCGCTAAGCAAGCTGCCGTCGCTCCCGCAGGACTCCCCTCGACGCCGCACCGCCAGGATCGGGGTGGGCCCGGCAGCTGCGAGGCGAGAATGGCAGCCAAAAAAAAGTGTCAAGAAATGTTTCATTTTAGATCTGTTGAAAAATAATGCCCGCTCTTTGTCCCTATACCCGAGATTTCTGCACGCTTCACGCCAATTTGTGCGCCTATCAGCCAGATGAAGGCAATCACGGTGGTGGCAGATCCTGCCCCGCACCACAGCACCATAGCTGGATGCTCCGTTCCTGCGTCCTTCCGTCCAACGATGGGAATCGCTTCCGATGGCGCGGAATATAATTCATTTGAATGATTGGGTTGTTTGTATAGAGGTCCTGTCCGCCGGGGTAGAGCCGTGGAAATTCGTTTTTCCACTCGTTCACAGAGTCGCGGTGAGTGTTTGGGTTTGGGGGTGTTGGGATGAGGCGAGAACTTGACTTTGGGATGGTAAGCGATGGCGCATCTAATGTGAGAGCTTTCGGATGGGCCTTGGAAGTGACCAAAATTGCCAACAATTGACATAACAATCACCTGGGTCTCACCTCGCATTCGAATAGAAAACCAGCCGAGGCCAACTGTAAACGAATCTACTCGAAAGTATTCGAGCCGGACTCTGGTCGAGAGCACAATATGGCCACAATTACAATTACAATTACAAATGCCAGTTGGCGGCTGGCCGGCTAGTCGGCGAAAGATCAAAGCCAAGCTCAAAGCTGTGCAGGCCAAGAAATAACAGAAAATAACGTTGCCCGGCGTGCGCAATAACACAATGGCAATAAAGATAAAAATAATAAAATATAAGCCAGGGAAAATAGCGCTCGGCGAAGAAACGGCACAGACTCGGTGGCACAGCACCGCCTCGCCGCGCCACAGCCCTCTCCTGGTCATGGGCCAGCTTTCCCAAGCCAATGCAAATACATCACAGACGGCTAGTTACCCTGATGGATGGTACAGGCCGATGGTCCATGAGTCATCCGCGGACCGCGGCAGGTACGACACCAAAGTTACGGTTTGATCACAAGTTGAGCGTAAAATATGCTAAAGATCATCGGGTGTCAGAGCCGGTGATGAGCGTAAAATGATCAAAGAATCTTCGCGCGCTATGCCAGCTCGACCCTGGATACTGGGTACTGGCACTGGACCCGCTCCAATCCCATCACCAACCTGGTACTGCAACCTGGTACGACTACGTGCGCGCATTTTGCAAAATAACATTCAATTTGTGCAACCTGATCAAGCCATCGATCGCCCTTCGATGCACATCATCCCAGACCATACCCAGACCCAGACGCAGAGCAATGCCTCAATAAATAATAAAAGTACTCCATTGTAATCACATTTCAGCAATCCCCGACTGACGTTTGTGCATATTTTTACGGTTGCTTAAGTGGCCGAGTGCCGGGCCCCAAAACTCAAAGGAATAGCCGCCTGGAGCATCGGAGCAACCTAGCCACTGCCACCATCGAGGCTCCAAATTACACGTCGCAGCCACTCTGATGATTTCTGCAATTGCTGCCCCACCATCGGCGTGGCAATAACAACAATTTGTTCGCATTGACGGTGCAGACAGGCTGGCTGCTGACTGCGGCCTCGGCCTCGGCAGCGAAATCAACTTGCAACTTGCTGCAGCTGCACTGCCATTACTCAGCCGATCAGCGATCGGTTGGTCGGGCGGGCTCCTCCCGGTCTGGCCAGATGAGGACTGGTCGGTTGGACTGGACCGGTCCGAGCAAGGGGGTTCTTATTGAATTATAATGTTATTTAGTCGATCGCAGACTTTGTGGCTGCGCTGGAGCGCCCCGAAGAAGCGATCGCTCCGAGTGCCACATTGAGACATTGTAGGAGGTGAGGACGAGGTGGATTAAGGGGTTAGTCCCCCAGTCCCATCTGCCGATAGGAGACCCCTCAGAGATGCTGATGACCTGAGTAAAAGCTCATATGCGTTACTTAAACACCCTGCTTATCACATTCTCCACGCGAATCGATCAAAATTCATGCGTCCATGGCACCGGCCTACCCTCGTACCCTCGGGGGGAAGGACGTCAGAGATACGCTCTAAATTTGCGTTACGTAACGGAATTTAAAGCGTTCCTTATCAGATTGGTTTTGATGTTTTATCAACGCTCACTGGCCGCTCATGAGTGCGGCATCGGTCACGGCATTCCCCGACTGCTCCACTTAATACGTAAATAATTTTTAATGAATATATATGATAAATATTTTTCGGCAAGCTCGTGAGCCGGTAAATGAGTGCGTTGAAAATTGGCGGAAAACTCCAAAAACATCGCAACTCGAAAATTGTTTTTTTGTTTTTTTGAATTTAACACCCAGCAGCTGATGTTTGTTTAGTGTGGCGGCAATTACCGGTTGCATTATCGATTCGTTGCATATAGTTTATCTTTGAGTGGGATTCCCTCATCACATACAGATATGACCTATGAGAGAGATGGTGATCTGTGTCACCTGTGTGGGTTGAAACGGAAACTGTTGCTGTGGGAACTCGAATAAAAAATCACCCAGTAATCAATCAAAAAGCAAAAATCAGCCAGCTACCGGAGCTACACACCTTCACGCAAATGGACCGCACAGGAAGTTTTATGAAAGGCCTCTGAAAAGGGAATAAATTCGCATACTACCGGACTGACAGACAGTGAGGCCTGGCTATCGAAAACGCATAAATCACCGGTCTTTCTTTCCTCTTCTGTGGCGGGCGGGCCTTTCAACAGCTTTGTCAAAAGGGCCGCAGCGGAACTCGCACTCCTTCAAGTCGGTAGTCGGGACCTACTCGGCCGCACAAATTAAATTTGTATAAAAATATCCAAGTTGGTGGCCCAGCCCGAGCCCAGGATAAGAGAGAGGGTCAGGACAAACGAAGCCGCAGGCTACTGTGCGGCAGGAGCAATGACAAAGTGGAAACAGGCCCCAGGACGAGATGTGCGATCAATTATGATTGTCACAGTCGACACAGATTGCAGGCTAGGAACCTGTCGTCCTGCAGGACTCTGGGTCCTCTTTCTAGTTCTCGGCGATACGAACTAATTGATGTTTTCATTTCGGGCACTCCGACAGCACCCATGGACGTATTCATTCTAGGTGGTAAGTGCAACACCCGCTGCGCACACATAATCGAGAGCAGCGGGGGAGGGTGTGCCGAAGAAAGGCTCTGAGAACGGCCATGTCCTGGGCTACCACCCAAGATCCTGATCGGCCGTAACTAGTGCAGGGCAGAACAAGTGGGAACCAGCCCCCCTCCCTTGCTCTGCTCGGGGCAGTCTGTCAATGGCTTTGTTCACTCCCGTGTCCTTTCGGGTCCTCTCATCTTCGGCCAGGCCCACAATTGGCGGCATCTTGAAAGTCCTCCCGCAAGTGACGTTGGTGGTCGGACGCGCAGGACAGTCCACTGCTCATATTTTGCGCATCCTCCTTTGTCAATTGCTCTATTTGGCAGCGATGTGTGTGGGTCCTTGTGGCCCGAACAAAGCACAATTCCTTAATTATTGTCGTATTATCGAATCGGGAATTCGTATTTGTCGTTTTGTCTCTAATTGTTTAATTGTCAGATCATGAGACGACTTTTTGTCTGGCCCTCGTCCCACGACCGCCAGGATATAGGTCCCAAAGCCGCCAGAAGAAGGCCTTCGACATGTTAGTACATTGTGAGCCTGTCATTTTAGGGAATGTTCCTGTAGTACTTTGAGGGATTAAGTCGGTGGTGCTGGCGGACCTGTTGGGACTCCTCCTCGACCAAAATAGGTGCTGTGTGTGGTCCTGGATTCTCCACGACAATGTCATTACTCTAATGTACTGTGATAGGTTTGTCTGCTTTGTCTGAACTTTAATAATGGAATGTATAGGTTCTTTGTCATTGAAATGGGATAGTGGGACTTTATAGAGATTCTCTCTAGATCTCTCTAGATCTGTAGATTTATGAGGGGAATTATTTATAAAATAATATTCTCTTTTCTTCTCAATTTTAAGTGCTGTTTTTTGTTTTTAAAAATGTTAATAGATTTGTTTTAAAATCTTTTTGGAAACAAATTTAAAAATGTACCTAAATTTTTTGTTAATAATATTACTTGACTCGACAGCCCGGGTCTAATGTCTCTAATAACTTTTATAAGAGTCCAGTCATTTAATAATAACCTCCGCCTTTTATCTTAGAGTGGAGTATTTGTTTTAATAAAAAGAAAAAGTTTATAAATTTCTTTATCAAATTTAAAATTTTATTGTTTGATTGGCGCTTGTTTTACATTAAGACTTAAACTAATATTTGAATGGTAAACAGTCTTGGTGGCTTAAGATCTAACACTAAAGAACTACAAAAATAGTGATATCCTAGAACCCAAAGTAGGGATAGGCGGGAGCTGCTGGCATCATGGAGCTCTTCTGCTCCACCTGGTGGTGGTGGTAGCTGCTCAGGTGGCTGGATCCAGTCGCAGCGGCAGCGGTCGGCGGGAAGAAGGAGCCGGCAAAGTTGTAGCTGTCCCACGAGGACGGATGGTGGGAGCCAGAGGCGGCGGCGGAGGCGAACTGCGAGCGCAGCTGCTCAGCGGATGTGGCAGCGGCGGCGGAGGGCATGGAGTAGGTTGATCCTCCGGCGGGGTATCCATAGGCGGAGTTCATGAAATCGTTGCCACTGGGAGTGGGCTGCACCTGCGATTGCGACTGCACGGGGCTGTGGGCAGCGGAGCTGCTGCCGGAGCTGCTTGCCGGCGACATGGAGGCCACCGATCCGCCGTAGCCGGAGTGTGGCATCGACTCGTAGTTGGCTGCAGACGGGGCGGACCAGGCGGATTGGGATCCGTAGCTGGCTGGGGCAGTGGCACCATAGGAGCTGACTCCACTGGCCGCGAAGCTGGGCACCTGCTGGGTGTTGAGCTGCTTCCTCAGGCGGGCCCTGCGGTTGGAGAACCACACCTGGACACGAGCCTCGGTCAGACCTGTGCTCTGCGCCAACTCCTCCCGGGTGTAGACATCTGGGTACTGAGTCCTGGCAAAGATGCGCTCCAGGGCATCGATTTGGTCATTGGAGAAGGTGGTGCGCGAACGGCGCTGCTTCCTCTTCAGCTGCACGCTGGGCTCGGAGTCGTCCTCACTCTCATCCTCGCTTCCTGCAGATCCAGCTCCTCCTCCGCCCAGGATTCCATCGATGCTGTGAGAAGTGCCCGCTCCTCCAGCAGAGCCCCGCAGCAGCCGGGAAATAGAGCTGACGGAGGGAGCACTCTGTTTGTCGCACACACCGGCCTCGATCAACTTGGCGCGGATCTCCCAGCTGAAGATGCCTGGCTGGGCCTGTTTCAGCTCCTCGATTCTGGCCTCGATGTCGGGGGTGGCCACACGGGGCTTGGATCCGCCGATGACGCCGGGGCGAATGGAGCCGGTCTCCTGGAAGCGGTTCAGGATCTTGGAGACGCAGCCGTGGGAAACGCGCAGCTGGCGGGAAATCACACAGGGCCGGACTCCAGCGGCGGCCATTTCCACGATCTGGCGGCGAATGTGGTTGGGCAGAGGCCGGCCGTTGATGAAGACGCCGCCGAGTTGATTGACGCGTCCTTGTCCTGAAGAGAGAAATAAGAAGAGGATCGGTGAGCAAACGTTGTTTCGAGATCAGTTCAAGGCAGTTGGAGATTATCCGTCTTAGGGGTATCCCAGTTCATTTTGTATTTGCAAATATCGGTCGGTATGCTATTAACTTTTTTGTATGGCCGATTGAGCGGCAGCCAGTAATCTAGTTAGGGCCACTTGGCTCTGAGCAGGATAAGCCCAGGATCAGTTCGCACGATCTATTGTTTGGCGAGCGGCACAAACGATTCGATGGCCATTTGTAGACATAACAAAACGCAAATTGGCAATTTGCGTAGGCCTGGACGGAGACAGGGGGCAGAATAGAAAGCACTGGGCCGCGAGAAGGTGCAGCTGCATCTGCAACCTCTTCGGATGCAATCAAATCAAACTAATAATCCATAAGAGCTGCGGACGCCCAGCTGTGCCGGCTAATACAGGAGAGCATGTAAAAGGCCGCCCCAAAACTGAACAGCCGAAAAGAGAAATAAAGAAAGACCTCGACTGGGGAGTGAGGTATGGGGATTGGAGTCTGGTCTCTGGGCTCTGGGGTCCGAACAGTGGACCCCGGAGATGTGTTGTGTTGTTTTGGGGCGCTGACGTTGTTGCCCGGCTACGTGATACACAAGACCCCGAATACCGGGCCCCAGACACTGAGCCAAGATCAAAGCCCCAGAGCCGACGAGCGCGGACCGGGCGCGCCAAAAAGTCTGCAAAGTCCGCGGCGGGAGGGGACTCATCGTGGGCATGGCTCAGGTCCGATCGACGATCACAATCAATAAGTCAAAAAGCTGATCATGCTGCCGAACGGGTAATGATCTCTCGTTTGGAAAACAGCGGGCGAAAGCGGACTAGCTGCCCGAAATGATGAGCCAGCGCTTTTCTGACGTTTTGTACTCGTAATTGTCGTAATTGGTGATCTACAATCTGCAGTCTACGGTCTATGGATGCTTACCTTGGAAGGGATATCCAGCAAAGTAGGGTGTCATGTTGATAGCCGACACAGCCATATCTGTTTTGTAATCCGTGTTTGGGGAGATTTAGTGTCAGCACTTGTTTGCTATTCTGGTTTTTATCTACTATCTGTGATGTATCTCGAGAATGCACAAGTCAGATTCTGGTATCTGTAAGATTCTTTTTCACACTCTGCGGTTGCTTGAGATGCTGTTCGTTTGCCTGACAGCTCGAAACTGATTTTGAAATGGTCAGCCAGCAAGACTAAAACGAATTCGTGAGATTCTCGGGCCGAGGAAGTCAGAAAACCAGTTTTTTTCGAGTTTCCCAGCGGCAGCGGCGAGGGTGGAAGTGCAGGCTGGATGGTGAGAGCAGGAGCGAGCGATATGCGATCACCGGGGGTTAGAGTAGTGTGGCTGCCTGGGGTGCGAGCAGTGCCGTCGCAACAGAAGCGAGAAGGAGAACCAAGCTGGTTTCTCAGCATGGCTGCAATTTTGGTCCAGGTCGGCTTGGCTCCGCCCCCGGAGGAAACCCTAGCTAGGCAGTCGAGTGACTCCGAGTGGGTTTTCACCATTATTGTTATTTATTTTATTCGCGCCTGATGTGGAGTTATGCGAGTTATGATTCGAGATCTTGATGCCCCAGGGCCTCGAGCATCTAAGGTTTTTATGCTTCCTGCTCAAGCTGGATGGGCTGATTGCAGAAACCGTAATCACTTTATGAGCACGATTTCCAACGCCTCCTCGCCGCCTCCAATGAGCAGAAATAGAACAGCCAAGCTCTGGAATAGTTTTCCATTAAGGAGGCCACCAGGAGTGCAAACAATCGCAGAGCCAGAGCATGTTACTAAGCCCTGCTGTCATCTGCCAACAGTGACAGCCACTCAGCCTTCCGCTCGGACCAGAACCAGGCTATGGAACGCATTTCATTTGCATTCCTTCTCAGACAATTCAATGGCCTTGGGACTTGGGTGCTTTGGGGGGCTCTGGTACACGTGCCTATCCCACTGCTTGCCAGGATTTTGCTCTTTCTCCCATGAAAACTATTAAAGTTACTCTTACTAAATGGATCTAGAAGTTACTTGAAGGCTACCCCTTCATTAAAAGTTCATTTTGGGTTTCGCAGCTGTGATTCAATTGCCGAAACAATGTTTACTTCGTTAATTAGAAGTCTTGCGACTCCAGCAGAGTCCCGGCCGAAAATTAATATTCATGAGAAAGAGTGACTTCGGACGAGCAGCACTCACTAATATGTTCGAGTGGGAAGCTGACAGAAACACTTTCGCACGGGCAAAAAAAAAACAAAACAAAAAAAAAGAGTAAACTCCATTTCCGAGTGCATGACTTTTGGTTAATTTGCTCGGCGGCCGAAATCAAAGACATGGTCTACGCCATGTTGCGTATACGCCGCGTGTGCGAGCATTGAAAATTATGCGGCATCATATCCAAGGCAAGGCTGCCGCGGCTCGAACAATGCGAACAAAGTTGTTGCCACTGCTGTTGTGTGGTGCTGTGTGTGTGTATCTGTGGGGCGCGCTGCGTGGGTGCCGCTCTGAGCTGTGAATGTGTGCCATTTGGCAATAATTGTGGGCCTATTGTCTGGTTGGCCGCCACGCTCGGTGTGTGGCTTCGCCTCGAGGCAATCGCTCAAATCGTATGACAACTGAAACGGCTACTGTGCGATTGGCAAAGTCGCCGATGCAGATACCAGATACCAGCTACCAGCTATGAATTGTCTGCGACAATGATGAATCTGTGGCTATTGAGCCATTTGAATAGCAAGTGCTCTGGTCCGCATTGTCTGCCCTTTTCTCATATACACTTTCACACTGACCTGAAACATATTTCTGATACCCCTCGTCGATACACTTTATTTGCAGGAAATAAATAGCCCCGACTGATGCCTCCACCCCGACTCTTCGGCTGGCAAATACTTTCCACTCGTTGACTTTGGCATTTTTGTGGGAATTTTTTAATATTTTCGGGGCCCAACTTGAAGGCAATGTATTTGCCTAGCTGTCGAGTATCGGTTGAAAGTTGGAAAATTCATTTGTGAAAAAACGACAGACGTCTGCCGAATGCGGCCAAAAGGAAAACAGACTTGACTGATGGCCCTGCAATGCCAAAGAATTCAATTTCAAAGGCCAGGCTCCTCCTCGCTTTTGGCCCAATTTAAGAAGAGGTCTTTATGGGCATTTAGGCATTTATACCAGAAAGGCTTTTTTGGTTGGGAATAATTTTTCATAAACGACTTATATTAGTGTGTAATGAAGATCCCCGAAAAAATACTGGGCTAATGACTCCCAAAGCGCTCCCAATAAATTCAACTGAAATATTACCACTAACGCCCATATGTCAGCTTAAACGAAAGTCCAGCAACAGCTGTGGGGCTCCGCGGCGGGAGAAACAAGAAAACTAAATTAAAACCCAACCGCAACTGTTTACACAGCAAATGTTACCACAAAGGGGCGGCTTGGCTCAGACCGACTGACTCGCGGGCAGAAATCCCTGTCCCAGCCTGTGGGATGATTAATTAAGGCGGCTACTTGGGATCCGATCACGGCGGACAGTTGGCCGACCGGCGAGGTGAGAAGAGTAATATGTACAAATATATCACTCCTTCGGAGCGGTTTAAAAACGAATTAATAATGTGTGATCGAGGGACGCCCACAAGAATGCCGTGGAATGCCAGTTGGCCAAGAACAAAACCAGCTAATTGCCCGCAGGATAGGACATAGGATGCTCCCAGCCAATCAGGCACGCGCAACTCCAGGACACAGACCGCAAAAGGAATGCCATTACGAACATGATCTGTGGTTTCCCCCTTCCTTTCCATCTGAGGATCGTTGCTCCTTTTGAGGATCGGCGCTTTGTCGGCAAAAGTGTGAACAGATCAGGGGCGGCATCAGCAGTCGAGTACTGGGAAAAGGGGGTGAGTTGCAGGCAACTAAAGGAGGACACCCAGGCCGCCGAACCGCCGCCACCGCCACCATCGAAGTGTGAATTCTAACAGCCCGCGTCGGTTCCGTCGTAAATAATGCGTTTGAGTTTCGGTCACAGTCGCTGAAATGTACGGATTCTTAAAGTCAAGGATCGAAATGATATTCGCCCTAATTGCCCTCGAGTGTAGCGCCTTCGTTTATCGCATTCCTGTTAATTTCGAGCTGATCCTTGATTAGCACTCCACTTTTGATCGGCGGAATCCTTGGAGTGACTTTTGTGGCGTCAAGCCGTAAAATGGGTTAGCACCTGCACGCCTCTGACGGGTGTGAGGTCATGATTACAATTGTAACGCCTGGGCACGTTGCCCAATGAAAGGGTTTGCCGACATCTTTCCGGAGAATCAGACATCACGATCTACACACTGTCCTGATGGGAGGATGGGAAATGACTCTATCTGGTTCTTAGAGTAATGTCTTCCCGATCCACTCCAGTTGAGACGAATCTAGCCGTAGCCGTGTGGGCTCCCAAAATAATTCATATTTTTATCGAACCGCGATTAGAACTAATTTGACGTTGAAATATTAGCATGGAGCTGTCCGGTGAGAAGTCCCCAAGCCCTCTGCGACCCTGTAATCATGAAACGCAATCAATCCTTTGAAGCCACAGAACATAAATAATCGAAATAAGTAGGATTTCCCATTTTCGGAGCTCCGTGTCCGCCACATTTGTTTCTTGATTTATTTTCCATAGTACCCATTCGAAATGGGTTTTAGTTCTGCATTCGAAATTATCGCCAGAAGAGGCTCTCGTGAAAATGGAAAAATAAATAATTATTCAAAAGTTTCCCAGTAGTGAAGTAAAGAAGAAAGCATCGCCAGGCACCTATAATTAAAAACTCATTTCTGGGGATCAGATCAGTGGACGGTTCGTGGCTCTACAGTTGCATCTTCGAATCGATTTGATACAATTTCAGTTTTTGTTGATTTTTCCCGAAATGTGACAATTGGCTTGCGTGATTTTCAATTATTCCCAGCCGAATCGATTAAATCCCTTAGCCATCAGCCATCAGTCGGCACACGTCAAAGTGGGGAGTTGTTGGTCCAAAATTCTGGTGCCTAGTCCAGTGTTACCGTTAAGCCTGGCGGCACCCAGCCCGTGCCGACTTTTCCCAAGCCAAATTGCAGCGGTTTCTTTTTCCGGCCGGTGTGGAAAATTGAGCTGCATGTTATCTCCAGTTGATTTAATTAGATCTGAGATCTCGATTGGTTGCGCCATTTTTCGCATTTAATTGATGTTTGATTCCCGGAATCATTATTGAGCTGTAGCTCCGAGTTTGAAGATGCCGCCCCGATCAGATATGACTCTCCGAAATCGTGATATACTTCTAATCCCCCTCCAAGGGGTAGATACTTTTCCGCGAATCTACGACTCTATCTGGTATTCGACTCGCATAAACACACACTTGATGCCCGTAACATTTTAAATAACTCACAGGCCGTTAGTGGGCGTCCAAATCAATTCGCAATAAGTATCTAAGCGTCATTCGGTCGATTAACACATATACCATAAGGTATCTCCATCTTCATTACCATTATCATCGACTTATGCTAATGCCACCGCTCTGACAAATGCCTCAGCAACGGCAGCTACATAGCTACCATGTCTAGGCCACTAATTTAATTAGCATAATTTGGCAACACCTTTTTCGGCAACACCTACCAGCCCGGTTTGATGGCAGATGCGTATCTTCCGGATTCTCTGTTTTGTGAGTTTAGGCTAAAAAGCGCCGCTAAAGCAATTGGAAACGCTGGCCAGGATGCAGAGCCATCCCGACAGAAGTTGACTAAGTTGGCGTGTCAAATCGATCATTGGCACAGTTTGACGACTCTATTTGCCAGGACTCGACAGCCAGGAAGAACAACAATCACTCCAGACCACCGACAGACAGGTCTTCTAGACGAAGAGTCGCCTCGGAGCGTAACACTTACGATTTGTAATGGCCTCTAATCATACGACAAAAAAAAAAAAAATAGTCCGGTGTCCGGACCTACCGCCGCCAACAGGTAGCAGCAACAGGAGAGTTTCCCTCTGCGGTTCCGGGTGTTAATGGTTTGTTAGTACACGGCCAGTGTCCTTGTCCAGTTTTTCCGCCCAGCTCCTCCCGAAATTATTCAGCCGCAATTATGACGCCTATGGATGGTATGGTGTTTTGCGGTAATTTAGTTATCCAAGCCAAGGAGACTGCACGCGATTTTCGCCGGAAATTGACAGTCGGCGGTCGAAAACCACAGATCTTTGATTTAGCATGCACTGTTTAAAAACACATTCGGCAGCCTATAAGCGGGCTTTACTGCCAATGCCCGGCGATAAACACCCAAGACAATACAATACGCCCGGCTCGTAAATCTGCGAAAATCTGCCCATCTGCCCATCGATTGGCGGTTGCATGTTTAGCAAATTACTCAACACGGCTCGAACCCAAAAGCCAAAGCCAAAGCCAAGGAAGATTCTGGGCAAAGGCTGGGTGGAGCCAACGGGTGGAGCGGTGGAGGGTCATTAAATAAATTATAACGAACTGCCCCGGCGAACAGGAACTCTCCGCACAACAAATTGCTCCCTGCCGAAGAGCCCTCCATGTGGGAGACGACACGCAGTCTGCAGTTTCCGCGGATCTGGGTTTCGGGCTTTTGGGAGATCGCGAACTGGGGGAGCCGGCGGTGGCAGTGGAGGAGCATGTGTCAGCAGCTTGCTCAAAGCGAATGCCGCTGGGAGTTTCCCTTTTGGGTGAGTTTTTAATTTATGTTATTGATGGGGAAGACGTATGGCATGCACTCAGAGAAACTCTCAAGGATATTGTTTTCTAGAATCTAGATTCCAGATAGTTTCTTGCCTGTAAAGAGTGTCTAATTCGCATACTTCCTCTGATAGTCGTTGGATAGTCCAAGTCGTAGAAGTCTGTGGGAAAATTTTCAAAAAATGCAAATCCAAAAGCAAGCTCGAATGCGGAATTTCGGTGAAGGCTGCAGTTCGCAAGTGCAAAAATTTTGCGTGAGCAGTTAAAGACGACTCGAGGGAGAAAAAAAGGGGCGAAATGAGTTACGGATTTGCAATCGCTTAAGTTGAGTGCCAATCTGCGAGCCGGCACTGGAGCCAAACTCCAGTCATATAAACAAATGAACATATGTAAAATCCATGCTCGACAGCCCAGCAACGACAACTTGGGGCTGACGCTGATGCTGATGTTTTTTACGACTTGACACAGAGAGCCTCAGAGGACGGAGATGGGCATGGGTATGGGCAATGGGCATGGGCATGGGCATGGGGATAAGGTCCGCGGCAGGCAGTGACTGGACAAAGTGGCCGACAAAAGTCGGTCGGAGATCCGTGCCGACTTGGCGAGCCTCGGCCTGAAATGACTTTGAAGCGCACATTTGCCAAAGTGATCGTAAAAATGCCAAGCCAAATACCTTGAGCACGTCAAGCGCGGCAATTAAAATTGAACTTTTATGTTACAATGACATATAGCCCGGGCCTATGCCCATCCCGGGTTGGAGCGCCTCAGCTCCTCCAAATGAGATGCTGATGGGTGGCGGCAAGGTGGAAGGGGGTGGTGTCAGTCTCCCCAGTCCCCTCCAGTCATTCAATCTGACCATTTCGACCAGGAGGAGTGGAAAGGCCATGCGTGTGAACAAGCACGAGATCAAAGGTAAGCCGCCACGGCCACGCACTTGCAAGATACAGATACAAATACAGATAGGTGGCGGACAATGCAAATGCCGAAACTGGCCTTTCCCGTGCAGTTTGGCTTCGCAATTAAATTGCAAATAAATTGAGTTTTTGGTACTTCATTTAAGCGAAACACGCTTAAACCGGCCGGCGGATCCATCAAAGGTGGATGTCTCGAGGATGTCTCTTTTTTTGCTCCCTTTCTGGTTCTGTGGGACTCGGGACTCTCGGAAACCCGCAACGAAATGCTTGCGTGAAATCGAAAATGATTTCTATCGTGGCAGGACTTGGTTAGGAAAGTGCTCTTCTTCCTGGAACAACGCAATCCTTTTCAAATTGTCAACTCCAGGACGAATAATATAGTTCCGCTAACTGATCCATCAAAAGTCCGTTAGGGAACTGTCAACAGGAGCCACCAGGAGACCCAAAGAACAGTTAACATAAGCAGCAGTAGCCGAATACCGGGACAGCCAAACGGAAGGCAAAACAAACAGTCGTCGTCCGGCCGGAGGACAAATATTGAACAATCGCACATGACAGATCGCCCATCTGGACATTCCTTCAGCTCCGAGGTCTCCGAGGAGGACAAGTGAAAATTAGGCACACACACGCGCAGACCCAGAGCCAGTTGTCACACAGTTTTCACTCCTTCATGCTAAATTTGCGAGGCAAACAAACGCTGTTTGCCGTCCCGAAGGACTCGACCTCGGAATCGGACTCGGACTCGCAGTGGCAGACGCAGTGACGAAGGAGGTGTCACTTTGCGGGGGGTGACTGGTTCGGGTTCGGCAGCACAGCAAGTGCCGCGTCCTCGACGTCCTCAACGTCCAGGACGTTCAGTAGTCACTAGGCTCGGGATCTGGGAGCCTAGCCCGGCCCGGCCAGATGCTCTCCCACTCGAGTTGGATTGCTTTCTGGGAATCCTTCCTTTTTTCATTACGAGTTACGAGTTGTGAAAGAGGTTTACGATCTCGGAGGTTGAATGAATTCAAACTGTACTCACACTTTGCCTTTTAGTGCCCCTCATAATGATCCATAGAATCAGTTTATATCCCTACTGCTTGGCGACTAAATTTACAGCCCTTCCCCCCAGTAAATCAGCAGTAACATGTGCTCGTCCTCGAAGGATACGGCACATGGATGGATTTACGGCGTTCATAAAATCCTGGCAGTAGCCCGATATAAGTATTTCAGATATCTTCTCAGCGGTACTCATTGATTTTCGGAATTTTGGGTGATGGAGCGCTAATTGGGGGCTTTGTTGGCGAAAATATTAACTGGAAAGTGTCCCAAAGAGTGTGAATTGTGATCCTCACACTTTCGTGTGTCCTTTATAAGGATTTTGATTGAAAAGGTTCTAGATTTTTACGAATTTTAGATTTATTACCAAACATAATTGATTAAGTCCATAAGGACTTACTTTTTAAATTGTAATGATGGGTATTATATTATAACTTAAAGGATATGTTTCTGATACCATCAATATGACTTTAAAATTGTACTTATCTTGGCCCAATTCCCTGTCAGCTATGCTCCAAATTCCTCAACAGGAAGTCTCAATGTAGCCCCAACACTGGCCACAAAGCAAATTTCCTTTTGAAGAGGACAAAGGACATGACCCGGGCTCCTTATCAAAAGTTCTGCCGCTGTCATGGTCACGCTTGGGAAGTTCCGATAATTGAAAACTGTCAATACGCAAATAAGGGAATTAGTCATGTTATCGAGACCACATTATTGTGGTCTCGGTCCTGGGCCCGGACGTGGGAGGAGTTGCAATCAATTAAGGCCTCTGCCGGCATGTCCTGTGTGGCTCATTTGCATTGCCATTACAAAGCACTTGAATGCACTTAGGCGAGTGCAGCCAGGACCCGACTTACATAACGCTTCATTAACGCCGATTTTTATGCTGATTATCGCTGGGAGTCCGGGCTCGGATTAGTGTCGAGCAGCCTCGGAATGTTGCCTCAGCCGCCTGCCCAGGCTCATTCTGCTCAATTCGGTTGTGGAATATTTTTATAGATTTCCGATTTGCATGTGGCCTGATTCCCCAGATATACTTACAAATACTCACAGAGCAGGCCTCAGAGGCAGCCATTTTACCCGAGTCCATTCCATTCTTGCTGGCTTCCATCCATCCCCGTCCTTCTCAGGCATTTGCCGTCCTGAAGCAGCCAGATGCAGGCGGCATGTGCGTATCCTTAATATGCGTAAACTTCACGCTTAATTCTCTATATTATGATGATGTCCTGTCGCTGTTTTCGCTTTTGTTCGTTGGTTTTTCAATTTTTCAAACTGCAGACCGACCGTCAAAACCGTACCAGGTGTGACTTTCGTTTGCCATTAATGTCTGTTGATAAATTTTTATGTTTGTATATCGGCACGATGACTTTTCCAGATCGGGGTAGAAGTTCCGGAGGCTGCAGGACAACCGGCAAGCTTCGATTATTGACTACTGTCTGTCCAAGCCAAACAATCCTTCCCAGCTTGTGAGCTAATGAGACCTCAGTTGATTCCCTGTAAGCTCCTGTAAAGGGTCATTACCACATTGAATTTCATAAATCAAAAGCAGCTCCTGCGGCTCGAAACACTACTCCTGACATGATTTTCTCAAGCAAGCCGTAAACTAGCATGAACTGGCTTTGTGTTAGCCCCTGTCGCCGGTCGAGGATAAGCCAAGAAGCTAAGGGATATCACCATAAACTTTGATGACAAAGCACTAGGGTGGTGGGGGGTAAAATGGTATTAAACATACATTGCAAACACACGACCTAGACACGCAACTGTGGGTGCTAAAAATGACAAAACCGGAACGATTGATAATGCCTCCCTGTCCTGTCCTATCGTCCTGTGTCCTGTGTCCTGTGCCCTGTACCCTGTACCCTGTGCCGACGGCAGCCTTCACGCTTTAATTGGCTGCCAACGACAAATAAAAGTCAGGACAGCTGCACACCCAGGCGATCGGGGATCGGGCGAATGTCAGCAGGGGTTGGGGGGTTGATGTGCGGACGGATTATGGATGTGGATGTGGATGCGGATACCGAGGCGTTGAATGCAATATCAAACTCACCGCGAACCGCCCTGAACGCGTCGGCCAATCAGGGCGCTCCTCGAGGCGTGGTGCTGGCTCGATTAAGCCGCGGAGAAAGCAGATTCCGCTCCAGCCGACTCAATCCCTCTCCCTCGCTCTCTCGATCCCGCCGGTCTGGTGGTTTGATCGTTGCCATATTGAATCTGAACTGGAAGGGCGGACGCGAAAGCTGCTCTCGCTCGTTCTCCCCACCAGCTTGGTGGTGGCGATGTGGATGTGGATGTCGTTGTCGATGGGAAACCAGTTTGCGGAGCGATCTCATTGTTCGTCCGTCTGCGGAGTCGGCCGGCCTTCGGTAATTTATGCCGCGCTTCTCTTTAGTTGCCTTGCAAGTCTCGTGCCGTTTGATCGCCGAAGCGCGCGCAATTCCCAGAAAAAAAGTCCACGCGATTGCCGTTCCCCCATCGACTGGTTGGGAGGCTGCTTGAAACTTCCGTCGGAATCGGAACCTGCCTGTGGCAGTGGTAGTGATGAAGTCGGGCCTCTGAGGGCCAACTTCTCAGTGAATACGGAGCATTACAAGGCTTTTGGCATTAGAGTGTGCAATCTTGAAGTAGACTTGAATCAAACCCAAGCCAAATAAAGTAGCTCTGCCGTGAAGTTTAGTTCCTAAGTTATCAGATAAGCCCTAAGGATTTCCCCCACCATGGATATGTCCAGCGCCAACTCGTTGCGACCGCTCTTCGCGGGTTACCCCTTTCAAGGTGCGTCTACATAGAAACCCCCTCATTCTCCAAATAATACTTCAAACAACAATGTTCCTTCAATCCGTTGCAGGACAAGGACGCGTCAACCAGCTCGGGGGCGTCTTCATCAACGGCCGCCCGCTGCCCAATCACATTCGGCTCAAAATCGTGGAAATGGCGGCCAGTGGAGTCCGACCCTGTGTCATCTCCCGCCAGTTGCGCGTCTCCCACGGCTGCGTCTCGAAGATCCTCAACCGATACCAGGAGACGGGGTCGATCCGGCCGGGGGTCATTGGAGGATCTAAGCCGAAGGTTACCTCCCCAGAGATCGAGACCCGGATCGATGAGCTGCGCAAGGAAAACCCGGGAATTTTCAGTTGGGAAATACGCGAGAAGCTGATCAAGGTGAGTGGTGTCCTCCATCCTCCCGGGCACGTGCAAAGCGGCAGGAAGCTATAAAATGTGCCAAAACAAAGAGGATTGCAAGGATTTGGACTGCAGACCTGGATCCGGAGTCACCGGTAGCCCTAACCACATGCCATTATGTACGAACAACTGGCACACAAAATCAGAAATCCAAATCAAAGAGTCCGTTTACTTCCGTTTTCCGAAAAGTCACGTGGCAGACTCTCGGCCGCCCGCTGTTTTTGTTATGGCACGTTGCCATGTTTTTTTTGCATATGGATGTTCCTTTACCTTTACCGGTGCGTTGCCGGTTGTACAGATGGCCGAATGGCCAGTCCCAAGGTTTTGAAGTCGGCCGCCCATTGACAATACTGTTGTACAACGGCGACGACAAATTCGCTCGATGCCCCTGCCACCCAAGCCGTTGAGAAATCGATTAAACCATAAAGAGCCGACTGTTTTTGTCGTTCTGCCTGTCGATTGTCGGCATCGATTGTGCCTTGATCCTTGAGGCGACAAGGTGCAAAAGGAGAACATATTCATCCGCCCTTTACGCCCCAGGATGCCTCGCCATCGCTCCCACTTCCTTTATGGATGAGGTAGGGGTAGACATGCATATATGCCAAAATACTTTTCCAAGCTTTAAAATGTACAACTTGCACTGTGTACTTGCAACTTAATTCATGTCACGTTTTAATGTCCGATTTAAAAACCCAACAAAACGAGTTCTCTGCCAGCTCTCCCATCCGGAGATAGGGGTTTCAATATGTCATCTCACACTCGATATGAAAATGCAGTCTCTAGCAGTCTATTGTTCTGCCTCCCATTAGCGCAAAGGTTTATGGCGATAGTATAGTATACTATAGTATAGTATAGAGGTGAGAAGGCAAAGTCGAGCTCATCGCTGAACCTACGCCAATACGTCTGTTCCGGAGTGAGACCCGAGAAGACCAAACGTCTGGTGTGCCTCAAGTGTTTAGGTGGATGGATGGATGGATGGGCTGCCCTGGACTTGTGTTCCGCCTCTCGGCGAGGAGATGAAAGGGGCCAGCCAGCCTCTTTTGGCGCTCTTTATTTGAAGCCGCAATTAGGCACACTTTATGTGGCGATCGATGCGATCGGCCAGATATCGCACACACACGCACACCATCAGGGCTATGTTTTCTGGCCGTGTCTTAGCCAGTTCCCCAGTTTGCCAGTCCAGTAGGCGTGCAGAAAGAGCCTCCAGGTGCGCTTCACGCTTAATTAGAATACGCCAAAGGCGTCTCACTCGCTCCGATTCACTTCTGCCCCTCCCCAAACAGATATTCAGATGCGATGTGGTTGGAGGCATCGATCGTGATTGATTTTGGTGCAAGTTAGTGCAGTTTGGGGTCGAATTGGGAACGGTCTTACTGAACTTCGACTGAACTCGGGTCGATATATTCGCTTCTTAGAAATTTAATTATTCGGAGACCCATGGACCATAGGGCGCACCTGTCACTCAAGAGCTGAAAACTATCCGAAATCCAAATTTCGATTAGAAGTGGAAAATATGCGGTCGATTTGGTCAAGTATAAAGCGCAGCCAAGTGTCAATCCGACTGTCAACTAATTAATTAAATTTCAATTGAAATTTTTAAACCCAGAATTCAGCCTCGCAGTCGGGGGCTCGCCGGCGATCGCCCAGACTGGCCCAGAGCTGGGGATCGAGGTTGTGGTGGTTGGGGGATCGGAATGAAATTGGGATCCAGTTGTCAGTTGCCACAAGATAAGCCGTCACACATTCCAGCCAAGCCAACCGGTCTCGATCCCCCAGCAGCAACAGCAGCCGCAACAGCACAAGTCATAAATAACGCAACAAAGTCCAGTTGAAAATCAAAACAAATTTCTGCCGTTGTTGTTCCTGACACATTCAATAGAAATAGGAGTCGGTAGCCGGAGTTGGACCGACGCATGCCTAACCAGACCCCACTCCAGACTGGACAAAGTGTCAGTTTCGGTTTCCGTAACCGGCGTCTCAGCTTGTCCGATCTGTGCTCTGTGGTCCATGTCTTGTCTATGAGAGGTGCCAGTTGTGCCACCTCTGGCAGTTGTGCGCCATGTTAATTTCGTTAGTGGAAAAATATTATTAATCATGAAAATGTTTGCGGCACATGCCACTTCATTTGAGCAACAAGAGTGGCACCCGGACGGGCGGACAGACGAGTGCTCTGGGTCACTTATGGAAGCTTAGTGCTGCGAGATACATTTTCACTTCCAGATTCTACAGTTGCGCCTCAAAACGACTTGGTACCCTAATGAAAACTGGCAGATTTCGGTTTCTGGTCCCAAGTATTGGTTTGATTTCGAGATCCAAGTTTAAAATATCCTTTAATTGCAAAAGAAGTATGTAGCTTTATGATTTCAATAGTAAACCATAGAAAGATTAGGTTTAAATTTTCCCTTAGGTTTGTTTCTAATTTTTACAATCAAAAATTACTTTTTATTTATTTTGAATTTTATTACTATTTTATTACCTTAAATTACTATTACTTTACTTTGAATACAAGCTGCCGTTACAGACAATTTGTTAATTACTACTTAGCTACTCTCATTCAATGGGTTTGTTGGGTAGTTTATTTTATAGCCATTACCCCAATCAAAGTTGCCATTACAAAGTTTAGTACAATGGCGATCAATGGCGGATTAGAGATGGACAGCTTTTCGATAAGCTCTCGATATACCCGATTATCTATTCCATTCACAATAGACTTAATAATGTAACAATGTTATAACTGAAGAGATTGTTAAGTGGGCAGAAATTGGCAAAACTTTCCTCCATCTCTCACCTTCTTAGAGGGGAATGAGTCTTATCATAGAGGAAATACTTCCCACAATAAGCGCTTCTATGTCCAAATCTCCGTATGAATTTCATTACCATAAAAATCCCTCTTGTTTTTCGAGACACCTCAGCACTTGTCTGGTGGACACGCGACAGGCGTTGCATCAGGGCAAGGGCATACTGAGGGGCAGGGCTGGACTCTTGGGCTGACATTTCCCTAATTGGATTACAAATCCCGAACGGGGCAGACAGCTACATGGAAATTGTCCAAACACAAAGAGCTGCCGAGCCACTGTGGCATTAGTGTCACAGAGCTTTCCCAAGAGCATTGTCCCGGGAGACCCCAGCTCCAGGCCAACACAGTAGCCACCTAAAGTATTTAACCGGCTCCGGCCTTATCTTAATTGGAAGTGCTGTGATTTATGCGCTTCGGCTTGGTATCGAACCGGGATAAGATTCGATAGTAGATAGATAGGTCTAGGCTTGTAGCTCCATATCTGATTGACTTTCTCTTCACAGGAAGGCTTCGCGGATCCACCCTCCACCTCGTCCATCAGCCGGCTGTTGCGGGGAAACGATCGGAGCAGCGAGGACGGGCGCAAGGACTACACCATACACGGAATACTTGGAGGTAAGCGAACCTGATCGATGCTGATGCTGATGCTGGGGAGAAACCTATTGGGAAGGGGCAACTGTCGGGGATTCTCGCTGTGAAAATCACCGATCATTTATTTGATAATTTCGGAAAATCATCATCAAATCATTTGTAGCTCAAATCAACAAACTGGTGTCGGTTGTCGGCAACTCCACTGTCGGCTTTGATCGTCTTAGAACGAGCGACTTAACTTAAACAAAAAAGCCGCTCAAAAGGAAAAGAAAAGACTGGCCCGGTCCAGGCCCGGCCATATACGATAACGATCTTGATCGCTTGTTGGCTATACAGCCCGAAATAGGTGTAGATGATGACACCTGAGAATCAACGACGAGATTCTTTTGCCGGCCAACTGGCCCAGCTAATAACCTCGCTTTCCACTGCCTTGCGTGAGATCTGGTACATTCCTCTGTCCGCCTCCCTGTCCCGGCCAATAATCACGGCGAAAATGCATAGTCATCCCGTAAACGACCGGCGGGGTCAAAGCGGTGGTCTGGTCGCTCGGCGAGAGCTTGATGTTCAGAAATTGGGTAGAAAATTGTTTTGTATGATCTGCAGTTGCATCATTAGATGCACTGCTCCCTCAAGTTGGCCTTTTAATTAGCCGTTTCGAGCCCTGGCAAGGACCTATTCTTTTTGGCAATTGTCAGTTTTGCCGACAACGCCCTCTGATATTCTGCCGACCGACCCGGCCCTGTCACAACAGAGGTCCCGCCTCACAATAGCACGCCGGGGGCAGCACCGAAGATGTCACCTTGGCGTTGTCTCGCTGAATGGATAAACGACGACAATGACTCCGGGCTGCATTTCGAAATGGATATTTTCAAATGTTTACATGGCCTTGGAGGAAGTCATGTGCCCTGTTTTTTTCAACGGATGCAATCCCATGATACGGGAACAATGTCACAGGTGCTGTGGCAGGAGATGATGTTCCGCTGCATCAATGTGAATATATTTGGCATTTGGAGAAGACTACTCCGGTTCATCATCCCAAATGAACTTCCCTCCACAAGTCAGTGTTTGTTTGCCTTCGTGAAGCACCTGTATGACCAGGCCACTTACCTGTTTCCAAATGGCAGAGGAATAAAATATATATACGCACTAAGTATAATCTGCATGGCCCCGCCACTAGGGCATCATTATGTTGTCGAAGCGTATAATAAGCACACGCCCTCCCATCATCATTGAATCCCCCCTGCTCCCCACCCAGGACCTCTATTATAGCTGGACAGTCGACTCACAATCAGAACCCCCATCGGAAAGGCGCAGAGACACATCCGAGATGCAACTGGTAACTGGCCAGAGCCCCAGCTGTGCTGGAATCTTTGAGATCTGGGCTGCCCGGCATCCCATCCGAGCATCTGGGATCGCAGACCTGGGATAACAAAGTCGGTGCCGGTGCCTGTAATCAACGCCTTCTTGCCGGCGACTGGATGCGATTCCGGCCCGAAAATAAAATTATGCATTATTAAATATGTTTCTTCTTTATTTCGCATATAATTTCGTTTGATTTGGATTTTGTACGATTTATTCAACTGGCCTGCCTCCACACGTTCGACGCTCTGGCCTCAGCTCTTTCCCATCCCAGTACCTTCCCCAACTCGGAGCTCCCCTCCGCCATCAGTCCCTTTCTCCGGCATAAAGCCTCTGTCGCGGACTGGCGGCACCCTTTGATCGCCCGAATACCGAAAAAACGATGGAAAATGTGGAATACCCAATAATAGCTGAATGTGCTCCAAAATAAGAAGAGAAATTGTGTGTGGGGGCCACCGAAATAAGTTTGGGTGACAACAATAATGCTGTTATAGTTTTTACCTTTTTTTTTTTTAATAAAAATCAATATGTGGGTATCTGCGAACAAAATGAGTTGAACAAAGTCGTTATTAAGAGCATTGATAGCATCCGGGCCCTAGCCGAAATGATATTATAATAGGAGATCAGTCGCATCAAATTAAAATGTAAATAAGGCCAGCCCTTGATTGGTTTCTAGACAGTCTCTTTAAAAACTAATCCCTTGGATATCTTCAATAAAATCTTGTTTTAGTGAGGTATCCAAATCCAAAGAGGTGTTCTTAGACATTGGTTAAAAATTGCTTTTTGCCATTCCTAGAAATTTTGGGCCTCTATCACTATCAGCTTCTTGGAAGCCCAAAGATTTATAAACATTGATCAAAGGGCCTTTGGAGGGGCACAAACATGCCGCTAAATGTTGCAACGCCCCCTCAGAAAGGGGCCTGGACAGGATCAGGACAATAGCCTGATTCGAGCCTTAAAGCCAAACCGCGTGACTGATAAATACGCGTGCGATTTGTTTCATTTGGATCTATCCTCAGAGTTAAAAAAGAAAGTGGCGCAACACAAAGGAATCAAATGCCAAAACACCGACAGAAGTCAAAGGTGCGGAACACTTGTGGCAATTAGTGGCCAGCACAAAGGATCAAGAGGCACCGCCGTGGGAATAAGACTGGTATATTTACAAAATACTCTCTCCCCCCCTCTTCAGAGACCCGGGACCAGACAATGCGGCGCATCGCAAGGACGAACGAGCAGGTCCTGCCCTGAAACCCGAACGCATACAGGTCCAATTATTCGCAAAAAGATCAACGATGACCGAAGGACGAAGACAAACGGACGCCGACGATGGTCGACGATCCTGATAGGATTCACACCTCTCTAAATGATTTGCACCACTAGGGACTAGGAACACTAGAGTCCCACAGATAGCGACCAAAGGAGGAGAGGGCATTCCTGCAGTGTCACATGACAAATGACTGCAGCCCGGCGGTGATTGCGCAAAAATATCCTCCCGTCCTTGCCCAGCGAGTGCGGGTGCGGGGTACATGTGCGTGCGGTCTCTAACCTCGGTCTCCCTGCCCCATCTGACCCTATCTCACACATATGGCCGAGACGATCCAGTGGTTGGCTCATTTGTTCGACTCGAAAACCCATTAAAATCGTTCATGCCCGAAAAAAGTGTCAACGTAACAAAAGCATCGCCTCGACTTCAAATGCACCGAACTCAAGCGGCGTCTTTAATGCCCACCAGGGTGTCCTGGAGAGATCTGTTTGATCCCATTGTGGGCTCCGACTCTCGCATCTTCCCGCCGCCTCCGAGCTGCTCTGCCTCGGCCGTGTTGATGAGTTACAAAATATTTTATTAACGTATTATCACACTTTAGCCGACTGTGCCGTGCCGTCTCTTTCACTGCCTCTGGCTCTATCTCTTTCTCCTTGGAATCGGTGCTGCCGTCGGCCTCTTCGTCCGGGATTTGTTTTGATCAAGTGTTTGTATGCATTGTTATTTAAATTAGTTTCATTTCATTCTGACCCCGGTCCAGAGTCGGCTCCTTCGATGATTCCGATGATTACGTTTCTTCTGCCGCCGGATTATGATTATAACTAATTTTTGGTCGCTACAGGGAAGCCTGGTGATTTTTGTAAATTAGTTTAAACGGTCTGCCTCGGTGGGAAATGTATATTTTCATAATCCGAGACAGGGTATTTAGCCCCAGTCGGCTTTTCTATAGAGGGGGCGTTTCGGACTAAATGTCTCGATAGTTTATGGGTTGAGGTATCCATCCCCCTATGATTGGTACTCCCCCCAAACTAGACCTAGTACTTCCCATAGAAAACTTCAGAAAGGACTGAGAAGCTAACTGAAAGTTGGAAAATGATTTGCCTTGCTACTAAATGAATTTTAAGGCCGCAACATTCCATCCTTCACGCCCAGCGCTCAGCGCTTGTTAAACTTTACCCACAAGCGGCATTATTTTTAAAGCTCCTGTAATCCTTTTGCTGACACGAATCTTAAGACTCGAGAAATAACATACGCCGGAGCTGAGCCGAGTCGGGCCCATGTCACTTCGCCCAAAGGCATTTCAAATCCCCAAACCGCGCTGTCTCAACTGACTTGACATCTGACAGCTTGGACATCGGGGATTGGACACTGGGGAGCGGGAATCGAGGGATCTGGTTCTGGAATCGGGAGGTCGGAGATCGGAGACCGGAGATCGATGGACCGCTGCTCCCGCTGCTGGAGAATTGTTTTTCAATTGCAGATCGCTTTTCACATTAGATGCACCAATTTAAATCGTAGAGTCGGTGTCAGATGCTTGATTGATGACAGTGCTCCGGCTTGGACTTCACGCTCCCCGAATAAGATTTCTGAATACCCGACTTAGATAATGGGCGTCGAACAGATTGATCTTTAGCCCAAAACACCAAAGTGATTGGGCCCGAAGAGTAAACACTATGGAAAGAGCTTGCCTTTTGCACTTTGCCACAAGTCGGGCCACTCGACCACACATCGCAGCTTCCCAAAAAGGCTACCCGGCTACTACCTGCTGTTCGAAAACACAAGCTGGACGTCATCGAAAATGATGGAATACCCTGGCCGGATTACGAAACCGCAGTAATTTATCAAAGCTTAGGGTCCGAACGGTTTTCCACAGAGTCCGCCGAAAAGAAAGCCCTCCAAATCAAAGGCAGGCCAGCAACTGGCTCCACGGTAGCCAGTAAGTGGCCCAAAGAGTGCTGCGGCGGTGCTGGGTGCCAAAATAAAAAGGCCTTTGTCTTGGGGATTGTTTTCTCGCCGGACCGCCAGTGTGGCTTTTGAGGGGCTAGCCTCTATTGATGGGCAAGTAGCAACAAATTAATAAAATGTTTAACATTTAAAAACTAATTGATTTTTTTACCTTCCACACTCATTCGCTTTGTCTTCCTCCACTTCCATGGCTTCTGCAGCCCTGCAGCCTACCAGTCCAGCAGCCCGAATCTCCAGGAGCCCCAACCCTTGCCCTACCCCTGCCCTGGACCGACCCCCGTATTTCGTATAATTAAGTTTTATTGTTTCGTGTGTTGAAAGATTAATAGTCCGACTTCTGTATTTTTTATCATTCGCATCCATTCGTTTTCATTTAATACGCATGTGAACTTTTCGATTTCTTTATTGGACCACTAAACAGTGGGCGTTCCGGCTCCGGCTCCGCTTTGGGGGCTTCTTCGCCCGTTTCGCTTCAGGGGATTTGGGTGTGGCCTGTTGGCCTGGTCCGGCCAAAGCCCATAAGCGTGCGGAATGATTAGGTTACAGGTTCCCCTCCTAACCCACTGTTTGAAGGCCTCACTCGACCGGACTTTGCCAATCCGATTGTTTTGATTTGCATACTCAATACTCAGCAGGGCTAACACTCTTGATATCAATGTAGTACCCTACATGATAACATCAAACAATAGATGTTCTTGATTAATTATTTACATCCGCATTATCTATGTAATGGGAAAGTGTTTCAGATACATATCCTAACTAAATGGGACCGGAAATCACATAATTCGTGGGATCAATTAATAATTCCCCTGACAGGCCGGAAAAGATTAACACCTTTTCACTGACCGCAAGGACCACCGCATACAGGTCAGGTCAGATTCAGGTCAAAAGGACGATGTGTTTAATCAAGCACCGATCACTTCCTCCTCCATAGAATCGAGAACCCAAGTGGAAAGGACCCCGCGACTCAAGATTTTTGAAAAATGAGCTCGTGATCTTGTTGAATAATTCCTGTTTGATCCTAAGCCGCTAAAGGGCTGGAACTCCTTCCCGCCTTGAAAGAACCACTGGGAGTACCCGGTACTTGGTACTCAGACCTCGGTTTATTGTGTAATGAGCTCTCCAAATAATTTGGCATGGCCCGGCGCGCTTCAAGCCCGATTTCAAATGACGGCGGCGTTTTTCGAAATTTCCTTTCGTAAACAGATGCCGAAGTTAATTGGCGCACTCCTCCCTGTCCGATGACAACTTGCCGATCATCTTCTTGTGTAACATGATATATTGTGTCACTTGTCAGTGCTGTGACTTTTACGAGCTGCCTGTGGCCACGCCCCAGCCAGCCTGCCAGCCAGCCACCCATGCCCCTCCAGCGGGATCCGTCGGTGGCTTTGACAGATTTGTTGCGCTCCCTGACGTCTCAATTAATATGCAATGGCGCGCAGTGAACGGTCTACTCCCCCTCCGTTCCCACAGCCCATACAGGCTACTCCTGCTCCCATGGAGGCCATGGGGTTGCTCTTCCAATCGCCGTCGATCGTCGTCGGTGGCCCTATTCATTGAATTCGAAGATCAAACCGCCGAATGTGATTCAGTTCGAGAGGACAAAAGGCGTGGAAAATTTTATGACTTCTTACGAGGCGTTAATAATTTTAGTTGCCTTTTAATAAAGAGCCGCCAGCCGTATGGCCTGGTCTCGAAGTCTTCCTCGAAGTATAGAACACAGTGTATCTATACTTCTATCACCATTGGATTACTTTCCTGAAAATACTCGATCTTAACCCAAAAACTATATGACCCCTGTTATTTTTCTTGCAGGACGCGACTCGGACATCAGTGACACGGAATCGGAGCCTGGGATTCCTCTCAAGCGCAAGCAGAGACGCTCTCGCACCACCTTCACCGCCGAGCAACTGGAGGCCCTGGAGAGAGCCTTTGCCCGGACCCAGTATCCGGACGTCTATACCCGAGAGGAGCTCGCCCAGACCACGGGCTTGACAGAAGCACGGATTCAGGTGTGGTTCTCGAACCGAAGGGCTCGTCTTCGGAAGCACTCCGGCGGCTCCAGCTCAGGACTATCGCCTATGAATAGCGGGAGCTCTGGAGTGGGTGTCGGAGTGGGCGTGGGACCCAGTGGGGCGACTGCTCCGCTCGGCTTCGGTCCTCTGGGAGTGGGCTCCATGGCAGGCTACAGTCCGGCACCAGGGACCACCGCCAACGGAGCGACAATGAACGAGGGCAGTGTTCATCACACCGCACATGCTCCGAGCTCGCACCACAGCGCAGCGGCAGCCGCGGCAGTGGCGCACCACCACACCCAGATGGGAGGCTACGACCTGGTGCAGAGTGCGGCGCAGCACGGATTCCCCGGTAGCTTCGCCCAGCCTGGGCACTTTGGCAGCCAGAACTACTACCACCAGGGTGAGTTCCCTTTCCCGTCTTTGATCCTTCTTCTTCTAATCTAAGAGTTTTCAGACTACTCCAAACTGAGCATCGACGACTTCTCCAAGCTGACCGCCGACAGCGTCTCGAAGATCTCCCCCTCGCTGCATCTGAGCGACAACTACTCCAAGCTGGAATCGCCCTCCAACTGGTCCCAGGCGGCATACCACCTCAACCAGTCGGCAGTGGCGGCTGCAAACTACAATGCCCATGTGGCCCAGCACCAGTTGAACGACTACGCCGCCGCGGCGGTCCACGGGAATGCGGCGGCAGCGGCGGCCTACAACCACCCCTTGCCGGCCCAGGGTCAGGCCAAGTACTGGTCGTGAGCACCAGGAGAGCATAGGAGGCACCCATACCAGTATGGACATATCGGCTTGGCTATAACTTAGAAGTACTTTGGCTTTTAGAGGCGCATTAAGGCTGGCTACGTTTCTGTAGATGTACATTCATATATTTATTTAGCTTGATATTTTAAGGTACTCTTGGACGCTTTTAAATTGTAAAAATCGAGCAGCGAATAAAAAGATTTATAGATTTTTAAAAGCATTTTTCGATCAACTAAGCAATCCTTCTAGCCTCTCAGAATTACCTTAACAAAAGTCCCCACCCAAAAGCATAAGATCTCACGTTATATTCTTGAATTGTAGGAACAAACACTTTATTTATTGTCTGAAATACAGGTATGTATATATATGTATATATAAATCGATATATTCATTTGATAATTCTCACCAATAATTATTGTCTTTGACGCAGTATGATAACACTCTCGTATGTAAGATCGAAGGTGGAAGTTGTAAGTATTTCGTATTTGGTATTTGGTATTTGGACGAGGTGTAACATTTATTTATTGTCATACACACACATAAAGAGTTAATAGAGGGATCGAGGGGAGGAATCTAAGTTTGGGGGGGAGCAGGACTGGATCCGCATGCAGGAGAGGGGGTTCTCTGACTCCTTTTTAAGGTACAACATTGGCACTAATTTGATATTTTCCTTCGAGAGTTCCAAATTAAGAGACGATATGACTTGCTCTGATATAATCGTTCTCCCGTTCTTTGCACTGATATCAGTTACTTCAGTTTTGGATAGAAATAGTTTATACATTGAGATACAAATAGAGAGATACCTAATGGTACTGATATTGAGTGGACGCATCCCCAACTACAGCCGTCGAGTCCTCCGAGTCGCCGGCCTTCTCCGGTAGTTGGGTGCGCAGCAGGTGTATATCGTGACATCAATAATTTAGGGATCTACATTAGTGTATATTACGGCATAGTTCTACGTTACTTTCCTCCGGTAAACGGTATTATTTAAATCGGTATCGCATAATTCGCGTAAAGAGTATATTGTCGATATTATTAGTATTCGTAATTGTCCATGTTGCGGCGAAATTCGCGTCGATGCAGTGCTGTGATACGCGGCGGTGTGCCCCAGGCGTGGAAGGGCGGATACAAGGGCGCCCCCGATCGGAGGAGCGATCGCGGAGATCCTCCTGTGGGCAGGTGATTGCTCGAGAAGCTGCGGAAGTGCTCGGTCCTGCTGGGGGCGAGCCTGGACAGACGGCCGCGTACGCCAGCACCGCTCCAGGTGATCATCGGTTGGTGGTTGGGGAGGAAACACTGCTTACAACCGGCTGCGGTGGGTTGACGCAGTCGCTCGTGTTGGGGGAAGTACCCGACCTGTGGTTGGGAGAAAGCGAGGTTATTAGGTATCCCCCATAACGGGTCAAAATCCAGCTAAAGTTCTACAGGAAGACAGGACAGAGAAAAGAGATCCTCTAGTGCCAAAACACCAACTCCCGGATGCAGTCAATTCAGAAGAGTCGCTCTACGCTACAAAGAGTTCGACGACAAACGAAATCATAGAAATTCATGCCAATGAGTAAACATGCCAATACCAACTCAAAACCATATCAAATAATGAGCAAGAATTTAAAAAATGAGTCTAATGAATTTATATACAAATGTTTGCTAGACAGCATCGATGAGACTTCCATCATGCTGCGACAAGGTTTTAAATCCACTTTAAAAATTCTATTTCTGAAATTTAAATTTCCGTTACGGATACGAACTTGTTGCCAGTCTGGCAGCGCTCTTTTGTAGCGCTCTCTATGGTTCAGTTCTTCTCCCCTAGCCAACTAAGGTGTTGCATACTTTTCGGCACCACGACATCAGAAACAGTAACAGAAATTAAATTTAAAATTAAAATAAACCCACTCAAATGTTAAAAAAAAAAAGATTTTGTTGTAATTTGGAGACGTCAGGGCAATCCTCCTAAGGATTTGCCGAAAATCACAAACAAAGTGCCGGAAATCACTCGATTATCCCCACGACGCCTCTCCTCCACTCGGGCAGAAGTCAGGAGATAAACCCGGGGGCGTTTACGAAAGTAGGCGGAAATCGAATTTCCGAGAACCATTCAAGTAAAAAATAGCATTGAAATGCTCAACGGAAGTGGGGGGCAATCCACTCGATTGTCGTAGGGCCTCCTGGTCGGGGCCAACAATCAGGATAATCAAATGGGAAGCGGCAACAGAAAGTTCTACACAATCAGGTCCTTTCGATGGACATCTATTCGACAAATAGCCACATGCGATACGGAAAAACTACCAACTGAACACCGAAAGGACTCGGAAACTGAAACTATGTACTTGCAACAACCTTTACTTTTCACAACAAATGGAAGGAAAGTATAAGAAACGAATAAATCAAAAGTAAGCAGCACACATCGAACCATTGCCATTTACTCATACAAATTGCCTGGCGTCACGTCCCGAGCGACTGAAACGCCCCCCGGCCCCGCCTCCATAGCCACCGCCGGGGGTGGGGCTGCGCAGGTAGCGGTAGCTGGGCAGGAACCCGGAGCGGTATACGGCGCCTATGTGACGTTTCTGGGGCGACGGCCATTGCTCCTCCGGCTCCGTGCCGGAAGCCGTCATGCCGGGATCATCCACCTCCTCCTCCTGCAGAAGGGCAGCATCGTTGCCGTGCTCAATGCCGAACAGTTCGGGGTCCTTGGAGGTGTCTTTTTTGGTGGAATAGCATATTGGTGTTTATATGTAAACGTATGTACAGAAAACAAGAGTGTGCTAGAAAAGGTGTTCGACTTGCGGCTAGCTAGGTGCAGGGTGCTAGTTGTACTTTGCATATGTTTTCGGGGAACCAAGGGGTCTCTTTGGTTAACCAAAGGCATGGAGGAGATATGGTAGGCTTCACAGCTCCCTTAAGATACGTCTTTTAGATCATATACTAGATTACCTTGAAGCCAACCCTATCCCCCAATAGGGCTAGAAAGAGTTTTCAGTGTTTCAGGAGTAAAATCCCCTATACTTACCCAGGAAGCGCTTCTCGGCACGGCGGTAGTCGTTCCAATCGAGATCAGCATAGCCGGCATAGCTGGGATACCACCAGTAGCTCTGCATGGGATCGGCGTAGTCAGGAGCGGCAGCCGGCAGGAGCATCTCCTCATCCTCACGCTTCTGCTGGGCTCCATGCACCGGCGAGGACTTCAGGGCGCCCAGGTTCCGCTTCTCAGCACTGGCCCGCTGGTTGTGGTTCTGCTGGGAGTTATACCGGGCTACGGCGGCCACATTCCGCTTGGGCTGCTCCCTGTGGGCTGTGGGAGCACTCTGCAGGCGTGCCACCATGGCCAGGTTGCGTTTTCCGTTCGGGATGGGCAGCTGGAAGTCGCGGGCCAGGGTGCCCACATTGCGCTTTCCGTAGGTCATCAGGCCGCCGGCCCGAGCCAGGGAGCCGATGTACCGCTTCTGCTCGCTAGGCTCTCCGGAATCTGCGTCGGCGTAATCCTCTCCCGGCTCGGCTGTGGGCAGCTGTCCGTTTTTGGCCAGGGTGGCGAGGCTACGCTTGGGCGAGGCGTTGAGAAGACCCTGGGCAGCCAGGGCGGCCACTGATCGCTTGTCCTCCTCCACGTAGTCGGAGTAGTCGCCCAGCGGCTGCTCCTCGCCCACGGCCAGCTGGCGTTCGCGGAGGAGGTTCTTCAGTTGGTTGCGCAAGGCGGAGGCCTGTGGATGGCAAAGGATTGCAAAGAGACGGCAGAACCAATTTAAACTCAAAGCCCGCCCAGATGTGGCCCCATAAATCCTTTTACGTCAGGTGTATGGGATAAATGCGGATGTCTGCGAGGAGCAGGTGACTTACGTGTAGCTGGTACTCCGGACTGGGGTTCATCAGTTGATTTATTATGGACTCCATCTCGCAGGGCGACACATTGGCAACGTCCTCGGTGGCACTGGCGGCGAACGAGCGCGGCTGGAGAGCCTGGAAGGGAAGGAGCAGGAGCATCAAGTAAGTATCCGATTCCATTCGGCCCGCGGATGAGTGAGTCGTTCTTTGCATTAAGCCATTCCTGGCCCACGCCTTCGTCGATTCTGGAGGGAATCCCAGCATCGCACGAGCCCAGTTCATTGTCTCCCACTTAATTGCCGCAATTATTTACACTAAATTGAGTTTGAAATGTGTTGACACTTGGCGCGTTTTCGCCTCTCCAAGCGTCTGCTCCTTCGATTCGAAGGACAGCAGCCCACTTTCCTCAATCCCGGGGCTTTGGAGGTCATAAATTTTCCGATTCCGATTCCGATGCGTGGTGCCTCGCTTTGTTTGCCTTATTTGTTGCCTACTTTTGGGAGTCCATTAGGGCTTCGCAATCAAATAAGGATATTGGGGAGGCAGTGCCTGGACCTCGACAGGCTGCTTGACTTTCCTGCTCTTCAAGTTCACGTCAGGGAAGTGTTCAACAAGAAAACCCAGCACAACAGGCCATAGGAATTAGGCTGACACAAAGTACCTGTGTGTGCCTGTGTCTGTTGCCAGGACAACAAGTATATCCTAAGCCGAACTCATAATATTTTTCTTCCAACGGACACACAGACACCTCCAGACCGACAGGTCGAAGCCGTTTGTTGGTGCGATTGGTCGCTGAACCGAAAGGATACTTTCAGGAGCAGGTTATCTCGAGAGCCCTGCTATGTGCGCTCCCCCCAAGATGCTTTCCGGTCCGACTGAGCGGCTCCGGGGGCGGGACACAATGCTGCTTCCGCTTTTAATAACTGGCCGGGCGAAACTGAAAGAGCGCCAGGATGTGACGCAGGACGTGCTCGCTGGCGGCTGCAGCCCGTAAATCTTGAGCGGAATTTGACAGCCTCCTGCGAAACGGCATGTGTGAGCGGAGAGCCCAGTCTCCAGGCTTATTAGCACTCCGAGAACAACAACCCGAAGGTGTGTACCAAGTCAAAAGCATATTTGCTTGGACTTTGGCCTCTGTTGGCAAAGAAATGCCATTTTTGGGCAGGATACCCATTTGTTGCCACGGAGATGCCACGGAAAATAGTCAACAATTGCTGTCAGGATACACATTACCAATAAACAATTGCTTGGAATTTTGTGATAATTCTTAAAGACTTCTCTCGAAATAAAATAAAGCAGCTAAGACTTTAAGGATATTTCACTGGCAAAACTGCGTTCTCGCTGCTATTATTTCCTAAACAAACAAAATGCTAAAAGCTGGGGCGGCCGGGCTGCGTGGGAATGGGGCCTAGACGGCTTTGTGTGTGGCACAGCCTTGTGTTGCGCAACCACTGGGCGATGTGGGCGAAACATTTCGCTAATTTTTTACCACCATAACATTTTGGGGCTGGACGAAAAAAATATACGCAGGTTCTAAAAGGATCATCATTAAAAACTTATCATCTTTTCCACTTTGCTTATGAAGCGGAGTCCGCCATTGTTTCTGGAAATTAAAAGTCCTTCAGGACCACGGCGGGGGATTTTGTAGTTTACTGCTGCATCTGACAGCAAAGCATTCCGCAGGTAATTCAACGCAATTAAAAGGGAAATAGGGTTCTGGAGGGCAATTAAGCAGAAAAATCAATATGCAAATAAAAGCCAGCTAATTAAACTTGTCGGGAAAGCAGCAGCCACTCGGACGGATAGCTCCCGACTCGAAATGCCACTCGAATTGAATCTGAATCAGAGTCCGATCCCTGGCTAATTGGGCGTGATATCTGCTAGGACTTGGCCTGGTCATCTTGATGGCGCCGGAGGCTGCAGGACACTCGCCCCCACCGCCGCCTGTTGAGCCGCTTATGTCGCCTGAGCTTGCCACAGCCGCAGGCAAATTTTATTATCGCAGACGCCTGCCCTACTTGCCACTTGCTACATGCTACGTGCTCTCCCCCGAATTCCCTTTTAATGGCGCACTTTGTTGGTGTTTCTTTTACTTAAATAAATACTGAACGCAATATTAAAACCTAAGTGCTCCTGCGACCTTTCCCAGATAGGCCAAAGGTCTGTCCCGGAGGCGGCTTACGTCCGGAGCGCCACTGCTGGGATGGAATTCGCACGGCGGGCTGGGTAGGTGCGTTGGGAAAAGGTACGAGCTGAAATTCCATCTCAAATGTTTCAAAAGAATCTCTCAGGGATTCAGGCAGAGAAGGAATTTGGCCTTTATGGAAAAAATGCAAGCTTTCAGAATTTGTATTAATTTGTTAAGCTGAATCGATTATTTTCGACGAAATGTCCTGCTGCCTGATAGAGGATCCTGGGCCATTACAATTACACTACCAATGACTCCCAACTGCCACTCCGAATGCGACCATTATCCATTCCGTGGGATGTCACTGTAGCCCAACAAATGCCTCCATTAACTGTAATTGTCCATACACGCAATGAAACCCACATGACCGCCCATTGTAGCCTTTTTGAATGGGTTATATAGCTCCAGGACAACAGCTAGGCTTCTTGTAATTACCGTGCCTGATCCGTAGTGATTACTATCAAGGAACTTAAACAAAAAAGCTGCGTTTCTCTTTCCATACTCATACTAAAGTAAGGGATATTCCTTATTAGGTCCTTGAAGACCCAACAGTCTACACATCCTTTTTTATCCGACATCCAACAGGGGGAGGCTTGCTGTCCCCCACGACCCTGTTCTTCTGCGTGGGCCTGAAATTGATTGCCACAGTGCCGGGGAAATCAATTTGAATCGCTGGTATTTTAATGAAAATGTAAACTCACAACTGGCGTAGGACTGGAAACATGTCACGCCATCAATATCAAGAATGTTCATATGTACATATATCTTCCCTGATTTCCACTTAACATGTCGCAGAGTTCTGTTTTCGGCAGAATATTTTCCATAAATATTACTGTGGGTGGCATGGGGCCTTTACAAACAGCCAATTTTAAAGACCTATCTGGCCAAACGATGAACCGGACTTATCAAGTACCAACCCAGTACTAGCCAGCCGCGTAAATAAAAACAATGCCAAACTTTTCAGACATTTAGGAAACAATTCTTGGGTCCTTAATCAACCGCTCCCCCTTTGGAGAGAAGTGAAAGGCCCACAACTTTATCGTGTGTTTGTTGAAGTAAATTAATATTTGCATTTTTTACGACTCATTCGGTGCGTATACGCAATATCCTGGGAGTGGTGGAGAGCACTGGCAGCCATTGATTGGGCCGTGTTTGCGCAAATCTGGAACTTTATCGACCTCCGCCTCATTAAATCCCTCGGGCCCATGCCCTTTATCGCGAATGCTGCATAGTCACGCTCTTGTGTCATTTCAATAACTGTGGCATCCAATTCGATCCGATTGTCTGCAACGTCACGCGTCGCAAAGCTGCCACAGAGGGATCTACCCGGAGCGGGCACGGAGTGTTGCAACTTCGATGCGTAAAACATTGGCAACATGGTGGGATAAATGCGGTTGCCGAGGCAAGACTATGCCCCTTTGACGTGGTGACAGCGTCAATAAGCTGCAGTTGCAGTTCCTCTGACGTTACTTATGCTGACGTTGCAAGAGAGGCGGGGGAGGTTGCAGGAATGTTGATTGATTGAAAGCCACCCGGAAAGTTTGGTTCCCCAGCCACTCAGCTACTGCTGCTCGGTAGTCAAAGGATCCTAACTTACGCAGAAATCTGAATATTAAAGGAAATTGCGTCTGTCACGTAAGCGAAAGAGTCCTGGCATTCCCATTCATCAAGTTCGCTTCCAGATGTCCATCTGCACTGCAGAATTGAATTCAATTAGTGTCCTGCTTCAAAGCCATTGTGCGGCATCCATTTTCCGGCAGAAGGAGGTCTTGAGAGTCCTCACAGAGACTCTTGGGGGTATAGTTCGGAATTTACAAATTAGGGGAGCTTTTGGCTTTTAATTACCAGAAATTGTGGTGATCAAAGGAGGCTTGTAAGGAAGCTGTCCCCTGGCTGGGCGGGACAATTTGACAAAGTAGGGACCAGCTGCCAGGATGCCAGGATACGTGTGTGGAGAAAATGTCAACGGATGTCGGCGAGGGACAATAGAAAATGTCGGCCATTTCACAAAAATTGCTCAATGCTGCGGAAAAAGTGAAAAGCTCCAGCTGAAAAATTGCCCTTTGACCTGAACCTGCAACGTGTCTGTTGCAAACCGCAGTAGCAGCAGCAGTGGCAGCAACTGTTGCAGCAACAACCGCAACAGACCATCCTCGGCCGGAATGGGCGTGGCTCGGGGCATCATAAATTACTGCCGTGGCTGGGGGTGGTCCTAGCTCCTAACAAATGGTCCTAAAAAAATAATTTAGTCCGAGCAGCTGGAGACAATTTGTTGTACTTGCTGACAACCTAATTAATGGTAAGAGGAGACTCCCACGACACCTACATATTGGTGAAAAGTTTACATTATCCTGCTGGCCATTTATAATTAGCCCTATAGCTGCGGAAAATCTTCTTAGCTGCCACAGGATTATATTCCATTCTACCATTCCCAGAATCCCACAAACGAAACTGCGAATTTCACCAAAAATTCATGCGCCACCGCACCCGTCAACACATAAAAGATAAATTTAGGGGCAGGCAGCACGCTCCACGGACTCCGGTCCGTGCACACAAAGCCCGTCCTGCTGATAGCTGCCATGTAGCTACATAGCTGGCTACTAGCTGGCTGGATGGCAGCCACGCTTTCAAAGTTCGAATGTGAAATTGAAAATATAATCCCGACTTACGGCATTGAGCAGCATGGAGAGCAGCAGCATCAGCCGCTTGCTGTGGTGTGCAGATTTGTGCACCGCCTGCATCCTGGCTCCTGGCTGTACGCTCCTCCTGGTGGATATGGGTCCTCCTTTGCAGTTAATTGAGTTTTGCCGCGAAACGCGAATCGACCGCTCACTGTTCACGATTGGAATATAGACTCGAAAGGATTCGAATTGGTAACGGTAGCGCGGATGCTGTTCTGCCCAGCTCGGCTTCTTGGCCAGAAACGTTCACAACGAAGTCGTCTACTCGACTGCCTGCCACTCGCCAGGACCCTCGGCTTTTTATACTCTGCTCCTGTCCGGATAAGCTCTCTCGCGGGACAGAAACCAGAGACGGAAGCGAAGCCGAAACCAGAGAGCCGAGGAGTCTCCGGGCGGCACGATGCCCCAGGCCCGGATAATGGTCGGCAACTGTTGCTGGTTTCAAAATCGCGGGCGGCACACTTTCGGGGGCTCTCTGTTGCGTGTGCAGTGTCCTGTATGTAGGTGATGACGTCATGGCAGGCTGCAGGATACTGTAACTTGTTGGCGGGCTGGAGCGGATTGAGGCCAAGCGCAGGACAGTGGGCCAAAGGACATTGGAAATTGAGGGAAGAATCTTTTACATCAGAGGTCCTTTAAAAATGAGGATTGATATAGAGTCCTGGTTAAAGGATTGTCTGGAATTAGTTGTTGGATATCTTTGTAGTCCTTTTCCGTAGTGCTACCACTGTGCAGCCCATTGTCCTGCTCTCTTAGGGACCAATCAAAGAGAGTGCGCGGTTTCAACTCTCTTGAGCCAGCCGCCATATGGCAGTGTCCTCGGCGGTACCGTTAGTCACAGGATATTCCGAGCGCACTTGCGCAGCGCCAGGGAGGAAATTCGAGTTACCCATACGCACTGTGGGCCGGTTGGCCTAGTGGGGGCTGGTGGCAGGACCATAACTTGCAAAGTTTTTTGAAATATGTGACAGTTCGGATTTAGGAAGCAGCACAGGACACTTTTCAATTATATTTCCCCCATTTTTGCTGGATGGTTGATTCAAAGGCGGTGGGTAGTTCTGTTGAATGCACTTTATTTGAATGCTAAAAACCACAATGAGATTTAATAATTTGTTCGCATACACTTGCAACTATTTAATGCACCCGGTTAAAATATTATTATCCTTATACTGTCGGATTTCAATGGGCCGGCAATCGTTCATCAATCACACGCAATTAAGGTTTCTAGGCGCAAGCACTACCAGTTCGCGGAGGGGGCATCTAAACTGTCCAGGACAGGGGGTCGGTGTCAGGGCGAGTTCCGAAAAAGATAAATAACCAAATAGCGGGGGCAGAGGCAGCCCTGTTTATGCAAATGCCGGGCACAGGAATTATGAAGCGTAAACGGCATCAGCCACCACGTAACCACCGGATCCCCTGGTGCAACAGAGCTGCGTCAGTGGATCGAACAGGGCGGGGGTTGACCCGCGTCACGCTCGAATGCAGGGTGCACATTGGCCAAGGCAGGATGGTGCGGGGACTGGTGCAGATTGCACGCCGATATAGACGACTGGCGAAAAAACCTGTCGGGAGAACTCATTCAGCGAACTGCAACCGGCAAAGGGTTGCAGCCTGCGGCTTGTGTGTCGGCCGGCAAGCCAAGCATGAAAAATTTGGTCAGCAGACCAGAGCCACAGCCGAGGATGGGTTCGTTAGCCAGTTCCCCTATTGCCAATAGTCCCAGGCATGCCGATTTTAAAAGCCCAGCTCTAGGTCTATCTATCTCTCCACAAGAAGAATATCAGGTCAAAGCTAGCACCTTCTTCCGACACCAGAAACACTCTAACCATCGATGGGGAATCAATCTTGTTTTCTCCCAGGTACCTCCTCTTTCGACTATAGCTATGATGTGACTATGATTTATGTAAATTTATGTTTTTTTTTTTTGTACCAAAATGGGAAGTGGGACTAAAGCAGCATGAGCTTTATCTGGCAGCCGGAAAATAGGAGTCATCATATGTGGTCACGCTTTAAAAATACAGAGAGCTCAGAATAAACACGATGCCGGTGCCGGTGCTGGTGTCAGTGGTTCTAATGCCAAACCACTTTTGTTGGGGGCTTTAAAAACCCGCTTTCGGGGGAACCTTGTTCGAATGGAAGGCCTGTGGCAGTGGCGCAGAACGACCGCCAGCCGACGTGATTTGCACCACAATCAGGGGACTGCCAGACTGCCTGGCATTTCAATATGCTAATATGTTATTTAAATCATCGGAACCCGAAATTAAAGCATGGCTAACAGGGTACTAGTATACAGATACTACTGGAGAAGCGGAATTTTGATTTATTTCTATCATAGAGCCCATCATAGAGCCAATGGGTCCAAGTGTCACCTGTAAAAGGTAAGCGCAGGTGTCGCCGGCAAGTACGAATTTGGCAGTAGAGGTGAGGCTTATGAAGACTGTGCCTTGAATACACGATGAGGTTAATTAGACTTATAGTGTAATAGAGTCTCAAGAGGCGTCAGAGCTATTCGATTGATTGTAGAGGTTCATAAATTGGTCGTTAAATTGTGACTAAAATAGGGACTTTGATCTACATTATAGCCTCCTTCTAAGGAGTAGGAAGCAACTCAAATAAAAATAATAATTATGCCAATTAAGGTGCCAATTAGATAAATTAATTCAGTTTTCTATCAATATACAAGCTTTATTTTATGTCGTACGAATTTAAAGACTCTTCCTAGTTGAAAATCAAGCCAATTTGGTTGAGTTTACTTAAAAATTATGTTCATTCTGGGAAAGGGAGCAAATCATACGCGAATCGGAAAGGAAATACTCGAAAGTAGTTGTGTTTCATTTACATATTTGGAGTTCTTACTTACAAAATAGCGTACATACTTATGTTTTACATAGATTTACATTTTAGACATATACATACATCGGTAGTCGTATTATAAAGCGCATGTTTACAATATCATTCCTAATTAAATTTCAATTCATTTTAGTACCTTTCCTACGTGTGTTTGTGTGTGTGCTTACTAACTAAAGAAATTGAGAAGCCGGTTCAGAACATAATTCAATATCCTTGCGATGCAAAAAAAATATTTAAAATATATCTCTACTCGATTGTAGTATTTGTATCCTTTAACTTATGCTTTTGATTCATTTCCGTTTGTGAGGGTTTAGTTAGGAATGTATTACGTAATTATCTTGATCTTGATCCTTTATCCTTTCCGCTCCTGCCACTTCTGAATGCGCGTAGCCATTGGGGACGAGTACAAAAATATCAACTTTTTTCTTTTTCTTTCCAAATGTTACACCGAAAAATTCGTCCCGATTTCTAGGGGGGCTTTATATGTATCTAGCTGCGCATATCCTCCTTCTCTCAAAGACGGGTACAACAGGTACAACAACAACAATTAAACGCTATGCTAAGTCCGGCGGTCGGCTCAGGCCCATCTCTCTACAGACTCTACAGACTCAGGGCCACCGCCAGCAGCGTCATGAGGACGGAGCCCGCCACCGTTCCCGCGGCCGTGTTCACCCCGAATCCGGCTAGCGCTACATCCTTGCCGGACTTCGAGGACATGTTCTCGGGGGCTTCGTGGGAGTTGATCTCGTTGCTGGACGGCGAGTCGTGCAGCGTCTTCTCCAGCGTGTCGGGGCCCGAGTGTTGCACCCCCTTGTCCTGCATGTGGACTAGTGGCGGCTCGTGGATGGGCGTGGGCTCGTGGGTGCTGGTGGTGGTGGCGTGCGTCGTGGTCGATGTGGACGTAGTCGTTGTCGTTGTGGTCGTTGTTGTTGGCACCAGCGTGCCGTTTTCGATCCAGTATACCGGGCTGAACTCCAGCTTCACGTCCTTCAAGTAGCTCTTGCGAACCTGAAAAGTCACAATCGTTAGTTTTGGGGGTTAAGGCTTCGTGTTAGGGATTAGGTTACATCTGCACGGATCTTCCGGGAAACAATCTCGTCGCTGCCGTAGTAGAAGGCGTAGAGCTTGCCGGTATAGGGCGCCTCCAGGGTGACATAGTTGCCACGCAGGGTGACGTTGATGGCCGTGCCAGGCCAGAGCTTCGTGTGCACCGCCTTGTTTTCCGTCCGCACCTCGGTGTGCTTCAGCGCCCAATTGATCTCCGCCGGCGTGCTCACATTCATCTCGAATATCTTGGTGGGGAAGCCTCTGGCCACTCCGTCGTGGGATCCCCAGTACTGGCTGTAGTCGAAGCTGTAGCTCAGAACGGTTTCCACGGTGCTGTACTTGTCGCCCAGGTTCTCCAGCTTCCGGGTGGCTGTGAAAAGGTCCGAAAATGAGTCTCTACTAGATGAGCATATTTGAAAGACTTACCCAACTCCGTCTGGTTATCGCGCATCTCGGTGAAAATGCGTTCGAGCTTGATGTCCCGCAGCTCGTAGCGGAACGGCTCCGTCTCGACCAGGAGCTCACCGTCGTCGTAGTACTTCTCCCGGTCGTTCTCAATTACCCGGATCTTGCCCAGGCCCACGAACTCCAAGTGGCCGAGATTGAAGTCCGCTCCCTTGTTCTGCTGTCCCGGAGTCCGGTGGCGGCCGATGTAGGCGTCGTCTCCGATACGGATGGCGCCCACTGGCACTCCCACGTCGAACTTGCGCCAGTGCCGCCACCCCACCTTGCCCAGGTGGCCCTTGTTCATCAGCACGTCGAAGTTGTCGTACTTGCCGTGCTTGTAGTGGGCCGCCACACAGACGTGGCGCTGGAGGACCTTCTCGGTCTGGCCCGCCACCTGGAACCCGTCGATAGGCACCCGGCAGACGTAGATAGGATAGTGCTCGTCCTCGGTGATGTACTTGCCGCCCTCGACGGCAAACTCCAGCTGTTCGGTGTCGTTCGGGTCGTAGCTCTCCCAGACCAGGGTGCTGGAGGTGACCAGCTGGCCCAGCATCGAGGAGGAGTTCTTGTGGGTGAGCACCGAGTGCACGGTGGCGTTGGCTGGGCTCATGATCAGGGCCAGGAGGAGGCAAAAGCTGAACAAACTGCTGCGGGAACTCATCTTGCTGATTGTGTGTCGCTGGTGTGGCTGGATGGTGACTCTCGTCATGCCAGGCTGCGCCCGGGTGAGGTGGGTGGATGTCTGGAAGCACAAGAACAGAAATCGTTTTAGTCTCTTTTCAAATTCCGGAAATTAAATGGTCACTTGCTCTCCCAAAAAGTTGGCCAAATGACTTTCAAGCACTCCTATCAGCCCACCAGACATGGCGGATGTTCGGATGGGCGCCCCTCCATGAGGTCCCAACTCCATTAAAAGCTTTAGCACCCAAAAGGGGGATAAACAATCTGTTGTTTTTGGCACCAATGTCGCCGACACGTCACAGACTGGTCCGGGGAGGGGATCAGGTTAACAAGCAACTCGTCTGCTGGCCGTCCCCGCCGTGGATTCCCAATAATTTGTCGCTTGTTTGCGCAACCCGACGTATACGTAACTTTATATCGTTATTCCCGCAGGACCAGAGCGAGGAGCTGGGGGGGAGGAAACACCGGTTTTCTGCAGCGGAAGTGAATGGACGCCATGTTTATTCATTAGCCAGCATTGTGTGCCGGACAAGGACCTGCTCAGCTACTGACTGAAGTTTGTCTTCGTCTAGTTGCCATTGTTGCTAGAGAGTGACCTGGGCCACCTCGCCACTGGCCGTCTGCAACGGATGCGAGATGATAAGGTTACATGCAACATCGTTTGTTTGCCTGACAAATGATGTGTTATTGTGATAGTGTTTCAAGAGCCGCAACCGAGCCAGCCGGGGCCAACCAACTTTCGAGTGTCGGGAGCTCGAGGGTCGTGAGTCAAACTTGAATAATGCATGGGATGCCGGGCGCCGCAGTGGATGGAGAAAGTAGTTCACCCTGACACTGAGCCATTATGCCGATTAGAAGGTAACATTGTTGCCATGGGCTGCTTAACTTGCAACTTCCGAATTCAGTGAGTGACGCACACCACTTGCCCTGCCACTTGCCACTTGAGGCACTTGCGAAGAACAACATTCCGTCGCTCATCGCCGGAAGCCACTGTCATAAAAACCGAGAGGTTGGGCGCGGCTGAATCCCCATTTCGAGCCATAAATTGACCTCTGGTAACCGCGTGGCCGACCTCATTGTTGGCCTGTTTTGCGCATGCAATAAATATGCTAAAAATAGCCGGCAAATTAACGATCCCAGCAGAGGAATAAATAAATTACTTAAGGCCCAGCATAGTTGCACAATGGAGTTGCACCTACCACCGCATTGCCCCTCGAATTCAATTGAGCTCGCATCCGAGTGGAGAGAAAACACCACAGCCGGTGAAAGTTCACGTGGCCTTTTATTAAATCACTTGACTGGATGACTTGCTGACTAGCTGACTGGCAACTTGGTCTTTTGTTTTGGGATTTTGGGTCTTTACTTTGCAGGTTATAGGTTGCAGGTTGCAAGTTGCTGGCTGTAGGTTGCTGGTTCGTTTAGATTTATGAGCAGCAGGCTGTGGTGAAAGGTCTGCGGGCAGGGCCCAGTACGAGTACGAGTACGGTGGTTTAATTGGATTTTATTGAACTTTGACTCTGACCCTCATGGTCACGAAAGTTGCAACAAGTTGCAGCCCATGTCCATGTGCAACACACAATTGTTTTCAGCGCCAGTGGCCATGAGTTATGGCTGCTGTTCTTGCCCCAGCCATCCACTGCCGCATTATGAGGGCCCGACCCTCGCTCTCCAATCTACCCGGACAATTGGACATCGTGCTTTATATGACTTTGACATTAAAATGATCCGGCGTCCGTTAGTTGGAACTCTTGATTTCTCACTTCGGAGCAGGGTTCAGTGCTCTCCAGCCTCTCGAGACTCCAAACTCCATTCTCGTGGGTAAAAATTAATTAGAAAACCATTAAAAAGTCTAAACGGCCTGCGAACTTGGCTGTACGTAATGCTGGCTCGAAACGAGCATGGGAACATGGGCTTCAAATAATTACTGCTTTTGGGAGGAATTCAATTACTTGAAAGAGTAACCTTTGCTTTGGAATCTGTGCTGTTGAGGGTACGGGGGTCAGATTCTCCACCACTTTATAGCTTTAGAGGAATCTCGGCCAGTGACTGCCTCCTATTGAGAAACTATTTGGCTTTCACAACTCTTTCTCTTGTCGATTGAATAATTGTATTGCTCTGGATTGGAAAAGTACCTGCTCGTTGCATAAAGTGCAACTGGCATGTCCGCAGTCTTTCTCGATAATTGCCTTTCAATTTACAGAGTTACTTAATTGTTGGCCGACTTGCGTGTGGATTTGTGGCATTTCCTCAACTTACTGCCTGACTGACTGACCCAGTCGGTCTCTCATTAGATCTGATTGTTTTTAATTTGCATCAGGTGACTCGGTGCAACAGATTCTAGCTCCCACGCCATCGATTGTCAGTCGCCCCTGCCCCTCCTGGCCAACCAAAAAGCAGTTAACCAGCTAAGCACGGCCCAAAACCCCACACCCCAAACCCCAAGTCGGTTGGTCTTTGTTGTGTCCGCAAAGGAAAAACGTGAAAAACGTGGAAAACGGAGGGAAATTGCTATGCTGCCGGTGGCTGCCGGCAGTGCATTACGAAAACAGTTGTTAACTTAATTAAAGAGCCGGGCCAGCAGAAGAAACCGGAGATAAGCAGCCGTCCAGAACACGTGCTCCGCGTCTGGCTTACTTCTGGCCGCCCGAGGGCGTGACTTCCACGGGATGGCTAGTTTTTGGAAGTCAAGCTCAAGCCTTTCCTTAGAAGAACTATCCATTTATTTGCTCTACAATTATATACTCGAAAATATTGGATACACCCCTGCCGGAGGCATCTGTGGTTTCTGTATTTGAACAGCTGGGACAACAGACCGTCCCACCCAGGCACCCAGACACCCAGACACTGCCCCCTGCCACCAGTCCTGTCGTCACCTGCCACACATTTGCATGTGGCATCAATTAGGGCGTCTGGAGGCATTAAATCGGATGCAGCCGGGCGAGGGGCACGTGACAATGGACCTGGCGAGGCCCTCACCTCGAACGCACATTGTTGTCCAAGCGATTCCACTACACTCAATTAATTTAATGGATCAATCGATCGGCGCCCGACGATGGGCCATTGGGAAGGTGATGGACATGTGGTTGGGTGTTCCAGTAATTACCTCCCAGGGTGGGTGGAGTTTTTTTTTGACAAACACCGACCATTTACTTACAATTTAGTGTCAGAACTGGTTGCCCATTCGATCCAAACTGGTTTGTTTCCGAGCCCCGCTTATGTAAGACTCCAGAAGCTAGAGTGTTTTGAGCTAATAAATTTTGAATTCCATTTAAAAACTAAACCAGTTTCAGAAATGAGATTAAAAAATGCATATCAACATGGCAACATCATTAATTGATTACCGCACAATAAAAAATAGGCAACATTTAATTATCTACCAATTAGACTCACAAACGAACGTCTAATTAATTAATTCGTAATGCTCCACAGATGTGTCATCAATTTTAATTCAAATAATCAAGCGTGAAAATATTCAATATGCATTTCCTGGAGGGGGAACTATGAATAAATCATGTTCATGAACTATAACAAAGCTCCGAACTTAGCTTGGTATTCCCCTACTTCCAGAGGACTAATTGAAAGAATTTCCCAATAAATGGTTCGCATCAAAGGCCCATATTGCTACATGGCCCCAATTAAATCAGTGGTATGTCTGGTGCCCGGGGCACTAGTTGGGCTCCATGCCGAAAAAAATTTCATCGATTGACACTCGAGATGTATGTCCGAAGAGCACTTATGGGGAGCGATTCTTGAACATCTGACATTATTTCGCTATAATTGCTTTTTAATTATGCACTAGACTAGAAGATCCCAGACAGGGACAGGGACCAGGTCCAGAGCCACTACATAAAAGCCTCTCGAAGGCAGCCTAATTGAATTCAATAATTTAATACGTGATGTTACCTCCACCGAAATGCTGGCTGGGCTGTTTTCTACTTTTCGGCGTAGATGCTCCTCCGCCCACTGTGGAAGCGTTGACCCCACTCTGGGGATTGCGCAGTTTCCCCCTCAATTGGTCACGGCTCGCTGGAGGGCCAAACATGTGCTCCGCGAGCTACAAGAGCTGCGTCATCCAGGCCTCTGGCCGGCTGACCAAAAAAACCGGTACTGCGGGGCATTCGTTCTGAAAGCCAGTACCCAGCCACGTGCTGATCTGTTGCTGAAACTCTGTTGCCGCCAAAAATTGTGGTGTTTAAGCTCCGAAAAAACAAAAACATGGCCTGAACTGGTTTTGCGACTCGTCACGAAAGTCGCTTATAATTTAGAACTTAATTCTTGAAGTGCATTTTGAGAGCAAACGAGTTCATAGTTATAGTTACAGTTCACAGCTCTCGGAATCTAATCATTTTCAGCTCGACTTGAGCTTGTGAGTTGGGTGTGAGTTCAGTGAGCATCGTCAAGGTCGCTCGAAGGCCTCCCCATCAATTTGTTTAATCAAGTCTTGGATTTATCTCGATGCCGTCATTGTGGGCCATATTCATAAGCACATCTATTTCTGGTGCGCCACTCAGCCGCCACTCTCTGAAAGGCTGGCAGGCGGGAATCAGAACCGCATCTGTCAGCATTAGTTCCCCCCCCAAGCTCTGCCAGAATCCGAGCCAACAGAAAGTAATTACGGAACAATGTATCCAAAATTGTGTATACACCATACATACATGCCATGTGTATCTGCGAGTTGCGTGAGCGGGTTTTCATATCTTTTGTCTAATAATCCAACTTGGCCAGAAGTCACGACAGCCCCGGGGCTTGGAAACCTTGGAGGCCCCACCGCCGGCACATCTATTAACGATCTCCATAGCAGCCGCCGTTTGCTTCGCAATTGGATAATTAATTATTTAAATGGGCCCTGATATGGAAAACATTTCATAAACATCAACTAGATCCCCGAGATCCGAGATGGAATAACCCGTTTACCCGGCCACCTAGGAGCAGTAAACGGTTTCTCGCGACGCCTTCAAGTGGCTCTTGGAGCTTCTTCGCGGAGTGGCAGACTTTCTCGGATTACGTCCATGTTGCTGAGGTCTAGAACTGCGGTTGCTGCCACACACCACCACACCACCAGCTAACTGTACATCCCGATCCCAGTGGAGCGTTGCCGCCACGGCAGGCCGCCTCTCAAAGCCGGGCTTCCACCATTAGCACCTCATTGACAGGAGCTGGGAGCCGGGGGAGAAGCTTGGGGCAGCATCGGATTACGCACCACCAGATGCGGTCCAGCGGCTGCCTCGCGTGCTGCACTCATTACCCAGCCAGAGCCCATGCTCAGTCTCCTCCACTGCTCTCACAAGTGTTTGTGGAGCTCTTGGCGATGCTTCTCTGGGTATGAGACTTCTGACAGGCCATCAATAACCATGGACATCACTCATACGCCCCGTGAAGACACGATGACTTCTCGATGACTTGACGGACACGAATTCCGTTTAAAGAGTAAACACTGTCGACTGTGGCTCTTTGCCAGAGGCTTGGGAAGCCCCCTCAGTACCCAGTACTACCAACCAGCCCAAAATTTGTCAAAGTAAAGTGTCCAAACCAGCCTTCGGGGGACACACACTTGTCACTTGATCCTTTCTGGGATAATTAACTGGCAATTTGCATTTTCTTGAGCCTCCCCTGCTTGTTTGCTTTGGAACATGGCCTGTTGTGTCATTAGCCGGGACACCCCTTTGTCTTGTCAGAGAGCCAGAGCCATCCATCCCCACCGCCTGGCAATTTGTTCTGATGGAAGAGTATTTTCGTTTTTTGGGTTTCAACTGGCCTGCAGCGAATTTAAGCTCGGTGACACTTTCAATTTCAATTTCTAGCAATTTAATTCGCATTTGCCGGTTAGTCGGAGGCTCTCTACATTCTGACAAGATGTGTGGCTGCGTTTTATGTTTTGTGGAGCGTGTCCCGCAATGAGGTCAGCAGTTATTAATGGTGGGTAGCTGGAATTCCAAAGCTGATCGAAGACAACCTTACCATAGCTCGAAAGGGCAGTTTAGAGAAGTAGAACGCCATTAGTACAAATATTGAAGCAATAAGCCGCAGCAGGTGCTCTCTGGCCGGAGCACTCCTTGCCAGAAACCACGCCCGATCATTAGCATTGCCGGCTGCCGGTGCAATTATATAATTGGGTCTCATGAAGTCACTGCATTTCTAATTAAGGTTCCGCCCGCCACCATCACCATCAGCACCGATGATCTGTGAGATAGTGCAGTGGATGACGAGAGAGGGGGGTTGCGCCCCGGGGGATGTAGAATGTGTGTCAGACACTTGACATTAAATAAAATGAAATTGCCGACGCTCCATGTTTAGCATCGACTATTGCTGATGACATCGTTTGACAACGCTGCCAGCCACTCCACTAATGCCGGCGAGCACCTAATGGCCTGTAACTACTTCTCCACTAAGCTGGAGTGCTTCTCTGGGTGTTCTTGGTGCTCTTGGCGTAGGCGGACGACTACTTGTCGTCGCAAGGGAGTTCATCTGGAGGAGCTCAGTGCGGTGATACGGCACGTTGAACGCGATAAGCGGCGAACTACTCCACATGGGATGGAGATGGAATGGATAGGAAGTTCCGAACTTCCGCTGCTACAAAGTACTCTTGTTATACACCCTTTCCGACAACCCTGTAGTAAGTTTTCCATGACGTCTGCCCGGGTACCCAAAAATTGACTTTAAATTCGGATTAATGCAAGTCGCACAACCTGGGAATTAATCACAAACACCAGCTGTCCGTCGCCGGCCTCCTGGGATAAATTGTCACCTCGCCCCTGTCCACCGCCCACCGCCGTGCAATTTATTCCAACAATTTGAATTATTTTCGCGCAAACAAGTAACTAAAAAACAAAACCCCAAACACAAGCAGCCATAAATGAAAGCAATAAAGGTTATGGCGACGAGAGGCAGCGCTGGAAACAAATGCACGAATAAGTGAACGCCAAACGGCAGACGCACAAAAAATACAAATTCGCATCCAGAAAGTCAAATAAAGTAAAAAGCTCAAACTGACATGCAAATAGGAGCTGGGAGGAGGAGCTGGAAGTGGGGAGTGGGTAGCGGAAAGCCGGGACTGGGCTGACAAGGTATATGGGGAACGACCCCGCGGCACCACTCGCTGATCTCACAGCTCGGATAAGTGTTCCACAAAGTAAACAACTGAAGCGAGTTCGAACTTTGAATACCCTTACTAGCAACCTTCTGGAATGCTAGCTTATAGGTAAGTTGATATCTTAGACTATTTATGCCTGTTTTTTGGATAGAATGGTAAGATTTCTAGAAAGATTCCTATTAGATTTGCTTTAGATTCTCCTGTTAAAAATTTGGATCGATATTCCCCATTTTTATGATGGTACCTTTTCTAGAATCCGAGATTTCCCCATATGCCATCTAGAGACATCCATATCTTGGCGAATTTTTAACCGATCTTTAAACGGAGTATCTTAAACGATTTGTGGATCAATTCTCTTCAAATCTGCATCAAAACCTCTCATCGAAATTTTTGATCGATTTTTTTCCTAATTTTTTGGGACTACCCCTGTAGAATCGGCGATTTCCCTATATGCCACCTACCGATATTCATCTTGGCGAATTTTTACCCGATCCTTGAACGGAATATCTTAAACGATTTGTGGATGAATTCTCTTCAAATCTGCATCAAAACCTCTCATCGAAATTTTTGATCGATTTTTTTTCAAATTTTTTGGGTCTACCCCTTGTAGAATTGCCGATTTCCCTATATGCCACCTACCGATATCCATATCTTGGCGAATTTTTGACCGATCCTTGAACGGAATATCTTAAAAGATTTGTGGATCAATTCTCTTCAAATCTGCATCAAAACCTCTCTTCGAAATTTTTGATCGATTTTTTTCCTAATTTTTTGGGGGTACCCCTCGTAGAATCGGCGATTTTCGTATATGGTAGCAGTAGCAGTCATCATATCTTGGCCCATTTTTCCCCGACCTTTAAGAGTAGTACCTTAAAAGATTTGTACAACAATTCTGCTTCAATGAATATTGAAAATAAGACAAAAGACATTCCCAAGCGAATATTTTGGTAGAACCCACTCCTAGTTAATGTAACCCTCCCAAAGGGTATAAAAAGAAAGGAAAGCATACGACTGGAGCCACTGGAGCCACTGGGTGCAAGGTAACAGCCAGTGTCATGCTGAACATCAAATGTTTTGGAGGAGCAGTAGCTTGTAGTGTAGCTTGTAGTTCAAGGTGCGCTTGTCGACTTGTCGGCTGACTTATGCGGGTGCAGTGGGGCCTGGCTGGGGAGACTGCCTCGCCGGAGAGTCGGGTGGAGTTTGCCCTGCGAGGGCCCACTGCTGGCAGCCTGGAGACGCTGCCCGGGCACTGTAAATTGACAATGATTGCCCACAATTTGCTCGGCACAGACGCGACAGAAGACGCGAACAAGCCAGGTCTGGGAAGCGGAGATGCAAATGCACCACCACAGAACTAGAACCAGATACAGATACAGATACAGATACAGATACAAATGCAGATGCAGATGCAGACATCCCGGGCTGTGGCAACTACTTTATGAGCATGTCTCTATCGGCGACTTGTTTCCACCGAGGCCGTCTCATAACTCTGGCCACTTAAGTTGTGGCGCAGAGCCGGCGGAGGATCACAAATCATCGCATGGCGGTGGAAGGGCACATTTTCTCACTGAATTTACAAGCAGCTCCAATGATTTTTCAATTAAGATTGATGGTAATGAAGTCGTTTTAAGCCTGTCGACGTCGTGTCTAATTGACCGCTCAAGTTATGTAAGCTGGCGAGCTGGAGGACGTCCGTCAACGCACCTCCCTACAAGGAGCCGCAATCGGCCAGTCCCAAGATGGTGTTCCCCACGTAGATGGCTTGAAACTCCGCGTAATCCATGGTATATTAGCCACGTAACTATTTCTCAACTACTTACCAGTCGGTTATGAGCGCCGCAGTGCCAATTAATCTGTGAATAGAAATCGAAACATATGATTACTTGTTGCAATGCCAGTCGATAATTATCCGGCAACCGAAACATGGAAAAGCCATTAGAAATGAGATTCCCAGGCAAAATTTGAATGGAACCAGTAGTTCCTCCCCAGCTTTCGAGCCACATGAGCTTGGAAACAAAAAAAGAAGCCGAGATGCCGGTAATCTATCACTGGAGCCGACACTATCGACACCAAATCTCACGAGCTCATGATGCGATTAGAGATTGGAGAACAACCAACTGATGGTTATGACCCGGAGGCGGAGGCGGGGGCTGGAGCAGCAAAATGGGTTACCGTTAGGCACGACTTGAGCCAGACTAATTGCAACGTCCGACGACCCTCCTTGCCAGTGCCTCCAAAAGGTAAACGAAACCAGTTTCCAGCTCTCGCAGCTCTGCGCTGAAAGTCAACAAGCTTAAAGCCATCTCGGATGCACGTGGGGCACATTCCCAAAGCCATTAGAACAAAGGAGCCGCCGGGAGGAAGCCGCGGCTTATGCAGAGGAAGTGGTTAAGCACAGGAGGATGCTTACATTAGAGTCCTCTCTCCCCATAACAACCATCAGCTAATTTGGTCATCAAATAGCAGGACCATAAAACATATTCGCTAATTAATTATGGATGGAACCACAGGGAGGAGGAGGAGGAGGAATTTTAATGGCCAGACCATAAAATGGCATAATGTTGCAGGTAAACGATGAAATGCCACGAGACCGCAGACCCTGGACTGGAGACCAATGACCGACGACCGTTAGCCGTTAAGGTGTGAACAGTTCAGGATTTTTGAGGTCAACTCTTTCCCATTTCCCCGAATGATTGACAAGACCCGACTCGGCGGTCAATCTTCCCGCGAAAAGCCAAATAGAGGGACGCACCTCCAGGCCTCCAGACCATAGCAGTGGGAGCTCTTTCGAGTTATGAGGCCCGCTAATTGGGTTTGGGCCTCTGGCTGGGCTGGGCTGGGCTGAGGTATAATTGCAGATGGCAGATACGCCCGCGCAGAGATGCAGATGGCTATCGGTCGGCTGATTGTTTGGCGCCATACTTTTCGCTTGCACTGTACGAGGGAGGCCAGAGGAAGTCCGTCATTACCCGGCACTCGACTCGACGACATCGACAAACGGCATTTTAATTGGAGATGGCATTCGCTAGTGGAACGAGAGTGCCCTGAACACTGCCATCTAAACAGTCCTCAATTGTATGTTAACGTCCACAGCAGACGCTTAGAATGTGGCACACCACATGCCACATGATACGATGCCGTCCGGGATGACAAATCCAGCTGAGCTCTGCAGAACGACAGAGTGCCAGATAAGATTTGCGGCCTCACGAGGTGCTAGCCCCAAACCCCAAACTCAATCAGCCAGCCCCTTTCCTCATAAATCAATAACACACAATTGCAGTGACCCAGTCCATTAGCCAGAATAATGGCAGCTCTTGGCAGGACTCTCTCTCTAGTTTTCGTGGAGCAACAATTGGTGGGCAGCCGCATGGAAAATTGATACGAGACTGAAGTCGGGGATGGGGGGCAGAAAGGGGGCCTTTTCTAATAGTAGCCTTGTGTGTAACCTGCACCTTTCATTTGCAAAAAAAAACAGGACTTCAGTTCAGTGTTCGGTGTATAGTGTACACCACATCAAGTGGCAGGACAGGAGCCGGACATGGGACAGTTGCTGACATGGCATGGCGCCACACAAGAGCTACCACAGTGGAGGGCTCTATTCCGCACTGCGTAGAGCCGTCTATTGATTTTCCTTTGTTGGTTGGACGTTTTCGACCATGTTGGGACGTCACTCCAACGTTTGTTGTTGTCAGGCACTTATCGTAATGCCCAATGGCAGAACCAGGCCGAGACTCTCTGTATCCCCAAAAAATTTAGCTCTGAACAAGCGCTCCTCAGAGGTTTCTCATCTCCGAGGCGATTTAAGAAGCTTTGGAACATTTTCCAGAGTGCTTCCTCCTTATCAGCAACTGGCAAAGTCCACATCGAGTCGTGCGAGACTCACCTTGGCGAGGAGTCGAGTCGGTGCCTCATAAATTCCATCTGCAATCTGCGGTCGGTTGGGGCGAAAAATGCAATTCAGCGCTTCCGAGGGGAGGGGCTCGCCATATCGAATTCACAGCCCGGGGCTGACTTGGGGATTGCGGGTGGGTTAAGACTGGAGTTCGCAGTTCTCAGCTCCAGAATCGACTCTAAATCTGGCTCCGAATCGGATTCTGACGGGCAACAGCTGTGCACACACAATCCCGGCATTCACAGGAAGGTGGAGTCGGGAGTGGGAGTTGGACTGGGAGTGGGAGTCTGTTATGTTCTTTTGTACATTTTAAATTTAGCGTTAACTCTGAGGGGCCCCTTGTCCTTGTCCCTGGCTGCCTTTCTTGCAGGACTTACCCTCCAAGGAAACTGAAAAGTTCCATCCATCGGAATACGCCTTTGAATTTGCGGCCGATGCTGGAAGTAATCGCCCTGGCTGGGAGTCGGGTTGAATGAGCCACAAAGTGGAGGTCCATTGGTGGGGGATTGGAGATGATTTCTTATGCCTGGCTGTTGGCCCTAACCTAGTAGCCCAGGTCAATCGAGAGCAGAATGGTTGGCTTTAAGGTAAACAAACCATCCAAGACCCTTTCGGATCAGCAACAAGCGAAAGGAGGAGGCCTGGCACGCAATCCTCGCCAGCGAGTTGAGGAAGTGCGAGGGTGTCGAGTACGTTAATGGCCAGAATGCAAGCCATGTGACTTTCCCAAAGGGTGGGAATGGGAAACCCGCCCCTTGCGGATCACAACGAAGGGATGCACTGACGCGGGACAGTTTCGGGGTGGTTTCTTCACGGCGGCAGCGTGGAGAATGCCCCAGGTCGTGCCGAGAAATGCCGTCCCAAATACCAATTTGGCTGGTGAAATTAATTTTTATTTTATGGGCCTCGCTTTTGTTTGTTTGCCCTGCCCGCGTTTGTTTACAGAAATGTGGAATAATTGGCCGCAGGCGCCGCACGGCGGGCGAGCCGACAGCAATATCAGTTCCAGGATCTGGCCAGGACGCGTGCGGAGAACGAATTTCACAGCAAATGGCGCCTGCGGTGCTACAATATTGCGATTGGGTCGTGGGACAAACCAGCGAAGCCAGTCTTCCCACTTGACTCCACCGGAAGAGGAGTATCATGGCGCCCAGCTAGGACCGGAAATGCAGACGAATCCTGCTTAGCTTTTGAGCCACAAAGCCAAAGTGCCAAGTGTCACCATATTTTCGCCACCAGTGTACCTAGAAAAAGGACTCAGGATCTCACTCCACTCCACTCCAAGGACTCACGCTCACCAAAACATTATAACGAAGGACACTAAGGACAAAACAGAGACGGAATAAAACACAACACTGAGGCGTAATAGAGAAAGAAATAGAAAAATAATAAAATAACAAAGTAATACTGGCAACCCCCTGGATGGTCTGTCAGGATGCGCGGTGCGCACGTCCTCGTGCGATTCACAATTTGGCAAGGACTCGGCACAAAGGACGAGGAGCGGTGTAATGCTGTAAGCAAAGCCAGACACCAAACCCAAAACCAGACCAGACCAGACCTAAACCACCCCTCTCGAGGCGGCTGGAATAGGAAGGTTGAGCGTCAGAGGACAATGCCACAAGAAGAAGCAGCTGCCGCTGGCATCCTCGAATCCTGGCATTTTTGTTATCCTGTTTTTTTTTTGTACTTTTGCGTACTTGTCTCGGCGCATCATCGCAGCCCTCATCCTTGGGAATCATCCTCATCCAGCCCTCATCACAGAATCTCCCAGGCAGGGCCAAGCTCACGCTCGACTCATTCCGGTGCACTCGTCCTAAGGTGCCTGGGAGGGATGCCTCTGCTAACGTGATTCATTCACGGAATTCTGCCAGATTCGTGCCTTTGGAGTCAAGTGCGGGAGTCAGCTCTGCTCTCTCCAGGAGAAAATCCAGGTGAGTCAACAGCCTTGCCGTTTAACCTACCGACTTGACAGGATGCCCTGACTGCCTCGGATGTTTACGCAACCTCCAGTCGAGTGCAATCATCACCCAATGCCCATCAATCTAATCCAATCAAGACGCCACCTCCCAGCCCCATCCCCATCCCCATACCCAGTCGGATTCGGAGACTAGCGCCATAAAAGGAGGCGACTCGACCTGCTTTACATACCAGCATAGAAAAATAATCAACCGACTGAGTCACGAGGCGGTTCAAGGTCTCCACATGGCCATTATGGAATCTTCGATTGATGACATCACACCATCGTCTCTAAAATTCTCAATTAAGTTCCACTGTTTTCGGAAACAAAACCAGAAACTCCCACCGATTGCAACCCTTCGCCAAGGCAACCCCCATCAACACCACCGGAGTTGACCTCTGTTTTGGAGAGTGCACGACCTTTCCCGCCCGTGTCCATGGAGTTTGAATCGATTCTCATTTTTGGGGAGTAACACCAGATGCACAAACCATTAGTCAAGTCAGGCGGGCGCCAATGAGGAGCCGGACCAGGACAACCTACCGCAATCCGGTATCCGGAATCCAGGCTATATGCATAGTATCTGGTTGGAATGCGAACATCGTAGGTTATGTGGGCCAGGCCATCGCGTGCTCGGCGAGAGTTAATTGGGCGGCGCGAGTGAAATTTCATAATCCAAAGCCAAAGCTACTAGAAATGGGAAATTTACGAGCAACGACCCCTCCTGAGTGCCATGGATGACTCATCCAACGACCTTCAGCTGGATCCCAGAGAGGACGAGTTGGGTTCTTGTGTCCCCATTATCCTCTCAGACAATTGCCTGCCACCGCGTCCTCCTCGAGCTTTGTGTGTGTTTGCCCTCCTCCGGCCCAGCTGTTTGCGTGCGTCAAATAGTATCCTTCCAGGAGCCAGGAGGGTGGCCTCCACCCGCCCGAGAGCTGAGCAAGCAAACGACAACTTGGCGCCAATTCAATGCCATCGAGCTTCAGGGGAAGGAAGGGGAAGACCTTTTAGAAATTTTAATATCCGATCTGAGAAGAACGAAAACAAAGTGCGTCTCTATTGGAGAAGAGTGGGCCTGCAAGCCATTAACGAGTGCAGGAATTTCACAAGTTGTCCAACTCGGTGGGTCCTATTGAGAGAGGGGGTGTTGATGGGTTGATGATATCATATCATAATTAAACCTAATATGCATTCTAAACTAAATTTAAACAGAGACAGGGAGGGCACTACCAGCTGGCTGAACCAAAACAGGTTTTCTAAGTTGAGGAATATTCCAATTTTTGCACCTCTCGGGGAGAGATTCTTGCTCTCCTTTCGGCTACCCAGAATATTAAAATCACCCAAAAAATAATCAAAAATAAACAAACTTTTTATTGGCCAGTGGAGCTAGTGGAGTTTCTTTTGGGTTACTTGGCGAATTCCAGCTTATAGTTTCCAACCCGGGGTGGGGGGAGTTGGGCTGAAACCTCCCCTAACCGAGTTTGGCAGGGTATTCAACTCGATTAACATCGAAAATCGATTCCCCCCCCGGAAGTGAATCCAACTCCAGGAGGCCGGCTGAGGGACGTGTGCTTATTAGGTCGAACGTGCCCCGTCACGGGACTCCACCACTCCGCCACTCGAGAAGGCAGCTCTAGAGCCCTTTGATTATGCTAGCCCCGAATATTCCTTTGGAAAAGGTGTTGTCTGCTGGCCGTCTGCTCCTTTATTATTTACAGCCTCCCCGGAACAACCAGTGCCTTTGAAGGTCTCTGCCCGGCTGGCTCCCTGACTCCCTGGAATGGCGGGACAGCAACCTTAATTTATGTGAGTTCGGAATACTGTTTTTTAGTGGCGCCAGCCATAAAAGCGAGACGCTTCTGGCCTGCGGTTCTCGGCTCAGCACCATTAAGAATTCATTATCCGGCTCTGGAACATGGAACTTAAGGCGGATTGAAGGCCACAGCTCTCAGCTTACTGCAGCTTTAAACCTGAGACTTTTCGGGGTCTACGGCTATCATGGTTAGAAGGCTGACCCAGTTGGGATTCATTCGAAAAGCTTACCTGAGAGGCAATGAGGAGACTCTGCTGGGCACTGTTGCCTCCAAGCTGCAGTCCGCTGGGCGGGAAATCGGCCGGACAGTCGGATCCTGCAATCGAGAAACCATATAAGAACATCATTTAGGATTCCTTCCGATGGATTCAGTCCCACATTCACTCTACTTTCCACACACACACACGCACTCCCTCCCTCTCACTCGCACGGTACCAGGGCCAGTTCACTGGTCAGCGAATGACGTCACCGTCAAGGATGCTGTGGCGCCCCAGGAGCACGGGGCCAACAGTTGCACTAACAGAGGCCTCTTTCCCCGCCAGAGTAGGCGCCTCCGATTCTTAGGAATTCGGCGGAATTTCAGTTAATTAAATAGTGTTCGCAAGCCAATTTCAATCAATTCACGGCCGAGCACTCCACTCCAGGCCCCAACATCCACATTCCCAGTCGGTCGTTCCGGACTTGACTTACGGAGTCGAAAAAAAAGCGTATTATTGGTCCGCCAAACCGTAGTGTAACGTAAACGCGCACAACCTTCCCGACGAACGTTTTATTTGAATCGGGGTTGTTGGTAATTTATCAAGAGTATATGTATCGAAATATCGGGGAATTATTTTTTCAAATATCCACAGTTCAAGTGACTGCCGCGGGCCCGCGTACGTTGCTTCTTCTTCAAGTGAGCGTTGCAGACTAAAAGCAACAACAGCGACAGCAACTAGAGGTGGGAATATGTCGATAAGAATATCGATTAGTTTATAAAATACCAACTGTTCGTAGCGCCACCTGGGGGATATGATAACTGGTACTTTTCAGATAGCGCCCTCTGTGCAGATAAAAGGAAAAACTAAAAGCGACTTCCCTGGTGCAACTAAAAAACATATTTAGTAGTATTTTTAAGATTTCCTTAAATATTTGGAAAAATTATCAATTTTAGACAGCAAATCGTGAATAAAATTAATTTTCGAGCCAGCAACGTTTTGAAATAAAACCAGAGTTCATAGATGCGCCAGAACAAAGCTCATAAAATTTCGTAGTATTTTTTTAAGGAAAAGGCCGGGAATTTTAAAATCCCGCAGAGTTATATACTCTCTTTTTAGATTTTCAACTTAGTATAGTCTTACTTTATCTATTTTTACTCTATTTATGTTAAACTTACTAATTAATTAGTTTCAAATAACCTTCCCTAAACTGATCTAAAGGACTCAGGACTTTTTCAAGAATGATAAGCCTCTTCTTCCGGTTCTCAAGGGAGTTAAAAATTCAAAATAAACGGGCTTTTTTTCATTTCTTACAGATTGTTACTCTCTTCCCAAATCTCTCATATTATTATTCCAATTAATTTCATTTAAAATATCGCTCTATTTCTAAGGGGAATTTTTCTCGCCGTGTAGAAGAAAACAGCTGTTGGCTCTTTGGCTTACAGTGTTGCCAACCATCGTTATATATCGTTACAAGTTATAGCCGTACAAATCAATTAAAAGTGGCTATGTTTCCTTATTAAAAGCATTAAATCTCTAACTATGTTGTTTAAAAATAATTCTCCTTACAACGACTCTGGAGTTTGTCCCATTTTTAAGAATGTATCGGAAAGGTCTCCGCGATAACGATCACAACAATCGATACACTGACTCAGTCGAGCTGGCAACACTAACTGGCTGGCTGGCAATAAAGCTGGCTCACTAAAATAAAAAATACCGAACCGAGAAGACGGCGTCCGTGCGTCGCTGCTCTGTGAGTGTTGGTGGCACTGCGATGCAGCTGTCGTTTAAAACAAATAAAAAGCCCAGAATTTGCGCATAATAGCCGTTATTAGTTTTTGTCCGTGGAACTGCCGGTCGTCCTGCAATCGTCCTTAAAATCGAAAAAAACATCGGAACGCACGTACAACTATTTTTCCGACCCAACGCCCTAAAGTCGCCGGCCTGCTGACGCCAACGCCGACGCCGACTACGACTACGACGCCAACGCCAACGCCGGCGCATCAAATGCATCGGAATACAGCGGAACAACGACGAAATACGGGCGAAATTCACTGTATTTGCATAAAACGCGGTGCTGACGCGGTGAAATGGGAGCATAAGAAGAAAAAAAACAACATTTATGTGAGAAATATGCGAAAACTGGGCTCCCGTCGCCTGCGTTCGTGTGTGTGTGTGTCGGTATTGGTGTCGGTGTCGGTGTCTATGCATGTGTTTGTGTTGGTGTTGCACACAGAAAACGGAGAGCGAGAGAAAGAAAGAGGGAAAGGATGATGGCCGCTCCGCAGGCTGCTGCTTCTACTTGGTACCTGCTCCCTGGCTCCGGAAAGAGGCTGCTCCTGGCTGCCTCGGATTCGGGTGCAAGTTCCAAAAAGTCTCCTCAAAAAGCAAACTGGTTAACGGCTACTACGTAATGCTGATTTTCCGCTAAATCACCTTTCCGTGAGCCCCCACCCCCCCCTAACTACCTACCTACCTTTTCTTCGGCCACCGAGGAGAGTCCGAGGCTGGCTTAAGAAAACGTGTGGCCATATTTTTTTTCCTCTTTCTCTTTCGGCTTCTTCGGTTTTCTTTCGTCTTTCGTTCGCGCTCTCCCTTTTTGGGAAGAAACTCTCGCTCGCGGTCTCCGCTTTGTGCCGCACTTCCAAGATAAAGAAACATAGGAACCCCCGTCCTGCGCGTCCCCCTTCCGCAACCGCGACCGCGTCTCTTGAGATAAATGCGAAATATTGTATCTGAAGAATACAGTACAACCGGCAGGGGCTCTGCTCAGAAGAAGCTCATGGATCTCATCGATTTATGGTGTTTTTGTGTTGTTTTTTCGTTTCGCAGAAGAATTTTGTGAAGCCTCCAAATAGCCCGTCGGCCGAAAAACAGTAAACAGAGACGAGTTTAAGATAAAAAGATACATAGATATATAAATATATATACTGAGGTTAAAGAAGAAGAGTTTAAAAGAGAGAGACAGAGAGTGAAACCGCCAAAATGTCGGAAGAAGTCGATCGCAACGATCCCGAGCTCAAGTACCTATCGGTGGAGCGCAACCAGTTCAACGATCCGGCCACACAGGCCGAATGGACACAGAAGCGTCTGGTGTGGGTGCCCCACGAGAACCAGGTGAGTACCGAGTCCAACTGCTGATTCAGCGTGTCGGACCACGCCCGAACCTCGGGTATTACCTGACATAAACCCCATTGATTGAGACTGGAGACTCTCTTCCCTGCTAGCCCAGGTACTACCCCTGTTTTCTAATCAATTGCGCAGCTCACCTTATCAGCTGCTCTGCGCTGGCCCGCTGGCCCGCTGCATGATTCACCCGCTCCCGCTCGTTAATGGTTTTGGTTTATTTATAAAAAATTTTTAAACCTTCTTCGAATTTCGCACCGACGCTCCACAAGATTGAGTAAACATCCGTCCGTCGGTACGAGGGCGCTGATTCATCGCATTAGTCGGCATCCCATCCGATATTGGCCATAACTCCAGGCCAGATTTGCATGAAGACTCACTCGCTCCTCAAGAAAGAGAGCTGGCCAAACGGGTTTCTCTTGGATTTGGCCTAGAAATCACCGCCAGAGTCTCTGGTCAGTGGGAGGGAAGATGAGGCACAGCACCCTTTTCAGGTGTCATTCAACTGCATTACCATTTTTGGGCCATAAACCAGAGTCCCAAGGCGGGTAATTGCTCTATTTGAGAGATAATGGAGAGATAATGGCGACTGGGTAGCTAGTAGAGCGGTAGCTCATTCGGGTGACTTAATAAAAAGCAACTCCACATTCCACATTTTTGTGTAATTACGCGATCACTTAGGCATGGCCACTGCCAGTGGAGGAATCTCACAAAAAACAACAAAAAAAAAGGCCAGAAGCTGAAAGATAAAAGTCAAGAGACACATGAGACTGGCGAGAAATGTAAAGAAATTTGCATACAAGCACTATATACTGTTGCTTCACTGGAATGCTACAGATACAGATACAAAGATACATTTATACAGATACACCGATACAGATACAGATACAGTTGGAAACACAACTGTTTAACGGGAATGAAGCCAAAACCAAAAAGGGTATTCGCCAATTGTGTCAACACTGTGCTCCAAATAGCTCTCAACTGGCACGGCAGTTGGCTTCTCGACTCCGGATGACTAATGGCTGCCATCCGAGAAGCCCTCCGAGGAGCTGGGAACCCGATTTGTTTACCGATCGGAGCTTAGGTCTCTTGCGCTTAGGCCTAACCTCCAGCCAGAGAAACGAATCGATTGTTTGGGCCGATCATTAGGAGGGTCTCCCCCCTCCATTCCACACACACCCACACACACTCTCGCTCGAGATAGCGACGCTGCTTCTTACTTGTATTCCCAAACAGAAACCACTTTTTGACCACTCCCCTAACTCCCCTGTGCCTGCCCTTTGCTGGTGTGCGAGTCTTCTTTTCGGTTACGGCGGCTTTCGCCTCCCGTCCGTCCGGTTTACGGTCAACGAACCTGCCTTCCAGTCAGCCCAGCCTGGCCTGCCTGCCTGGCCTGGCCTGCCCTGCCTCGTATCTCGCATAACGCATATCACGTATATGTAATATACATTTCTTACAAGGAGTAGGGGGGGGATCGATTAGCGGAATGAGTAATAAAGGCCAGATAGTAGCCAGCCAGCGCGTCCATTCCACAAACCAAATATTATTTCAGAAACATAAACAAACAAAGCTGTCTGGAAGTAAATAAATGTGGCAACAGATATAGATATCGGCTAGAGCTGTGGCTAGAAGTTCAAGGCTATAACTCTGAGATGCATCCTAGCATCCTATCCATTCATGACCAGCAAGCTGCTATCGCTGGTTGAGATGCTGCTTTGGTTTTGCTCCACTGACTGCCCGGAATGCTCTGCCAGCTACGAGATACCGAGAGCACCCCGAGAGTGATGACCTCATGCCCCTCACACTGCTGCCAGTGACTTCGCTCTGGCTCTTCGCTCCTCAATTACTTCAATTCATCTTCTGGCTGGGGCCATTCCACGATCATGAGTCATCCTCCCTGTGACTGGGCTGTGTGTCCAAACTGTCAAGCGTTTTTCTGCGCAAATGTGCTTGCCAACTGACAGGGCCTGCTAGCCGTGGCGACACATGGCCGGGTGGTGGGCTGGTGGGCAGGAATGCTATTTGGCAGCAGGATCGGGAAAGGGAGGAGGGGCCATGGCCGGGCCTCGTTATGGGTCCGTTAATGGTGTTGATCTTCGGTGTAAATCCGTCGATTGCTCGCCTAATTGTGGCTCGTTACACGGTCCGCGGTCCATCACATCCGCCGCCCGGGTTATAACGACTTTCTTATGGCCGGAAAAGCCCTAAGATAACAAACAGCCAGAGGCCCGAGGCCCGAGGCTGGTGAAGATCGCTGGGGCGTGTTTGGATGTTTAACTTAATGGGGCTGATCTGGAATGCGATGCAGATGTGCCTCTACTCCTCTTAGATGCAGATGCTCTGGTAGGAAATCTAATATTTTAATTGAATTCCCCAAAGGCACTCCCTTGATGCAGTGCCTCCGAAACGGAAACCCTTTGCTGGCGACAGTGGAGAGCCTTGAACTTGTTATCAAGTGCCGAGACAGACAGTTGCATCTGCCACCCGTCTTGTTGTTTTTTTTGAGTGGATGCCCCTCCCCTCTCCCTATATCCACACTCTTGAAAGAGCTCTTGTTCTGGCGCTTGACTCATGCAGCGTGTGGCATCCACAACGGCCTCAGTGGATGCTGCTGCACTTGTTGTGTTTATCATCGCCTACCCGCTGAGATTCTGTGTTTTGTATTTTATTTTGCTAGCAACCCCTACTAACTAAACTCTATCTCTTTCTCTTTCTCTCTTATTCACAGGGCTTTGTGGCAGCCAGTATTAAGCGGGAGCATGGCGATGAGGTCGAGGTGGAACTGGCCGAGACCGGAAAACGGGTGATGATCCTCCGCGATGACATACAGAAGATGAATCCGCCAAAGTTCGACAAAGTCGAGGACATGGCCGAGCTGACGTGCCTCAACGAGGCCTCCGTGCTGCACAACATCAAAGACAGATACTATTCTGGCTTGATCTATGTGAGTATATATCTTAACACCTATCCCCTACCCCCCCTCCTAATGATGATGTGGCTTCCAAGCCAGTCCAGCATGCCGTCATTCCCGATTCTTAGATATATGTATTCTCCATAAAAGCAGCGCAAATATTTGCCAGCCAGGCATTCAATCACTCCAATGCAGTGACCGGGCACTTGATCTCCACCAGCTCTGGAAGCTCCACCAGCTCTGGAGGCTCCACCAGCTCTGGAGGCTAATTGTCATGCCGGTGGTGTTTTGGCTCGAAAATTCAAATATTTGGCAAAAGCATGAAGCTGATCTCATGTGTCGCATTTGAATGGGAAGCCATCAATTGTGGGGTCTTTCTCCTGCTTATATAAGTGGGGGGGGGAGGAGTAAGGCTCCTCCTCCTCCAGGCCTGGGAGGGCAGCATGCTTAGCAACAATATCCCTATTAACTGAACCTCTAGCAACATGTTGCTATCGTTAATGTTGCCAAACCTACAGTCACCTTTGTTTTGTTTTTGGTGGCCATGTGGCAGGTTTGTAGCGGCTTCTCTTTTTATTGTTTTACAACAAATTGTGTGCCGCTCTTATACATACATATATATATTTTTTATGTAGCTTACCCCTTACCCCTTGCGCCCTCATCGCCCTCTGGAGCTTAATTTTATGCCCAACGCGATGTGGCTTTTGATGTGGGCGGCAGACTGCTTTAAATTTGTTTACCTTGTTGCTTTTCGGCCCGGCCTGGGCCGGCCATGCTTCAGCGCACTTGGCATTGTCTTGTTGTTGGCCAATTTTGTGCCACGCACTCTGTTTCTGCCTCTCTGTCTCGGCATGCCCCCATTTCATTTGCTTGCCAATTGCTGCTGACGTGCTCAGTCCGCTAACTTGTTGCACGGCCTGGCTGCTTGCTTGGGAAGGGTGGAGGGGAGGTACTACGCTTAACGGCATAATTATTATAATTCTGCTGACATTTAATTCGATTTTTAAATTTCATTAAAATTAATTCGCTTGGCAGCTGTTGCTGTTGCTGTCGCTGCCGGTAGCTTGTATCTTGTATCTTGTATCTTGTAGCTTAATTAATATGCGTCGGCAAGAGAAGAATGACTATTACAGCCATGGATATGCAAATGGGTTTGTCAACACCTCTAAGATCTCTGCTAGAAGATGCCTAGTTGCGAATCCAATTGGCTCTGAAATGCGTTCTGCAATTAATTGATTTATGTCCACCAGAGGACTGGCTGCCATTCCTCCTCAATTGCACTTGACAACGGGCATCGTGGCATCGTGGCGCCCGGGGCCTAACTATCTTCGGGATACGCTAATTGAAATGGCAAACGACACGCCGCTGCAACGAGCCAAATGGCGTCTCGTGCGGCATATTAATTTTGGGATTGCAGTGACACTTGGACTTGCTGGTAGTAGTGGCAGTCATGGGCCAGTGGGGCGCCGCTATTTGTGGCAAATCTGGGCACTAATAGGCGCTGGTTTGGGGGTGGAACTGAGCCATGGGAAGGTGTCTCCCAAGCTTGTAATTAACATGAAAGGAACCCGCCACTGATCTGGAAGCCGCTTTTGTCCACATGAGGCTAGGTTGGTAAACGCTCCACGTGCTTTGGTAATAAACAAGTGTCGTGGATGACCAGATTTGCATAATTGGACGATATTTTAATGACCAGTCGAGTCTCGGTGATCGATGCCCTCTCAGCAGGCTGGCTGGCTGGCTGACTGGGGATGCAGGACAGTGACTCAGCCCAGCATAGAGGCAGCAGTGACTCAAGGCGACCCAACACCGCAGACCGTCTCACGAGTGACTGCCAAAAACAGCCACAGCCCGGCAGAGACAACAATTTCTTATGCCATTTTTGGATGACACACACGTCGAGCTCATGCTCATGGGGAGCAAGGTTGTGGATTGGCCAGAGACGTGATTTTGGGGCTCAGAGTCTGAAAGTCTAAACCCCTTCGATACTCGAGATATTTTCACCATTATGATGATGGAGGGAGGGAGTCTACCTGGAGCGTTTGTTGGATACTTTCCATTTCCAACTGGGATATGAGTGGGATGGGGGCTGGAGGCGACTCCTTCGCTTGTTAAGCTCCCAGCAGCATTCGCATTTAATGTTTGGCTGTATATTTAAATGATAGAGAGCGAATAGTAAAAGCCGCATACTTAGTGCCCACGCAGCGGCAATCAGAGGCCCAGTTATGTAGGCAGTTATACCACCAACAGATATAGCAACACAACGGATACAGATACAGATACAGATACATCTATAGCTATAGCTATAGATACATGCGTTTGCTTTTTATGGTGCTGGCCAACTTTAAAGCACATGTCTTGTTAGATAGCCATTTGTTTTGGGGCACCACTAACTAGGCCAACATCAGTTAGGAGCTCCACAAAGACCATGACTAGGTGCCACTAACTAACTAATCCTAGCTATAGCTAATTAACCCTTGCTTCTCTCTTCCTTCCAGACATATTCCGGCCTCTTCTGCGTGGTGGTCAATCCCTACAAGAAGCTGCCCATCTACACCGAGAAGATCATGGAGCGGTACAAGGGCATAAAGCGTCACGAAGTGCCACCGCATGTCTTTGCAATAACGGATAGTGCCTATAGGAACATGTTGGGTGGTAAGTACTCCAGTATCTCCCATCCCATCCAGGGTTCACCGGAAGAAAGACTGACGTGCTTGCTTTCGGAATTCCATTCTCCTCAAGCTGATAAGATAAGGTAGCAGAGTAATTCCATGGAATTCGTTAGCTTCATCAACTGGGTCATACTTGGAAGAGCAACCAAGTCCTTCATTTGCCTGGAATTCCACTACTACCATCAGCTGAACAAATGCCTTTATGAATCATCCGAGAGTGTGTCGGCTTCTAATCATCGGACGAGGGGGGGCTCTCATCATAAACTGGTTTCCTTTTTGGGGCTTGCACTTTTTAAATGGGTTTTTGGTTGCCATTTAGTTTTGGCTTCAGTGAGTTTCGATGGTTTGCATGTCCGTTCCAAGCGTAACGTCTCACCAAGATGACTCATCCACCTCACCTCGCTGTTCAGTTGGAGCTCCAGCTCCAGCTACAGCTCCAGCCCCGAGGCCATGGGCTTCCCATGTATTTGTTTTGTGCGGCTCCCCTGGTTAGCTAATATTGCGTATACGTGTCATTACCATATATGGATTTAAAGTGAGCTCGGCTCGGACGCAGCCAGATTGCCAGATCGTATACTATAGCCTCTCCATATTGGAAGCTTCATAAATATTCGCCCGAAAATGCGATTTTCCAGACCAGCCCTCCCCCACCACCAGCCCCAAGACTTGCCTCTGCTGGGGAGTGGCTCTGGGTTTGATTTATTTCCTCGAATCCAAATAATCCCTTGGAGACACGCAGTGGTTTGGTCAGTCCAGGGACATAATACTGCAATGTCATAAGAGTGCTGGACTGACACGCCTTGACTTTGTGGATACAGATACAGATACTTTGCCAAACAGGAATGTACTTTCCAACCAGATATCAGATCGGCATTAGATAAAATCGTATAGTCTGGAAGATGTTTGGTCTTTAATAGCCTTAATTGAGTGGATACTATAGCCTCTATTATTGATCCACAAAGACTCTGAATAATAATTCCCATCAAGTGACGTGTCGAGATACATATTTGGGACCATTTATGGTTAGATTTTGAATGAAATATGTTTGGATATGCGACCAGATCGCGCCTTAATAACGAACCAGTACCAGGCTGCTGCTGCTACATGCCCCAAACAACATCTATTGCAATCAAAATGGATATGTGTCTCTGGGTCTCTGTGGTTAGAGCGGCGAGGGATCGTGTGACGAGGCTATTGATCGATCGGGTGGACAAGGGGGTCTACTAGGGGGAGCAGTGCAAATCTAGTTCGTTAGATTCTAGAGGGGATCAGTGGCGCCATATCAATAGCTATGTCTGTATCTGTATCTGTATCTTTTGGATATGCGGAGAGTGAAACCAACAGTTGTTGTTTTCGTTTTCAATTGGATGTGTATGGTTGTATGGATGTGTCTGTGCTCCTCCTGCCCTCCACTTGGCTTTTGCGAATTTGGGTCAACAGAAACTTCAAGCTGAGCTCGGCTCTTTATATTTTTTGGCCAACTCAGCCGGATTGGATTCGATGGTTGCGTTAATGAACCGAGTGTGTGTCACAGTTACCCCCCTACCTCCTATAGTTTCTCATCCATCTTTCTCTTTCTTTCTCTCTCCCGTAGATCGCGAAGACCAATCGATTCTGTGTACTGGCGAATCGGGTGCTGGCAAGACCGAGAACACCAAGAAGGTCATCCAATTTCTGGCCTATGTGGCAGCCTCCAAGCCCAAGGGCTCCGGTGCGGTAAGTACAAAGCAAAGAGGAGTCTCTCGGAGATTGGAGAGGAATTCCAAGCAAGAATCGAAACAAATGCAAAGCTGTTTATGTGGGTGGGTTGGAGATACGATGCAGTTTCAATTGGATGTTTGGCTTCCCAAAATGATTATTAAACTCGCATTAATGACACGCAAGCGCCAGTTTCCAGTTGCCAGCTGACTGGCATTTGTTATTTTAATTAAGCGGCAACTTCACGAATGCATATCGTTTTTCCAAAGTCGGCATATCGACTTTAATACACCCCCACATGATATAGACTTCTTGGCGGGGCAGTGGGCGGTTCAATTCCCCAGCATAGATCTACAACCGAGAGGGCCTCTAGAACGATGCTTCCCATATGGCACTTCCATGGGAGGGGAGAGCAGAGCACACTTCATTAATCAAGAGCCATAACCCGCTGACAAATTTTTGTCATTTACAGCCATAAAATAAACACCCCGGGAGCTGGAAGCTGAATTGAGTTTCAGAGAAGGCTCTGAATTGATAAATAAAAAATTAAATCCAAAAAATATTGCGACATTCAATGATTTTTTGTGGGACAAGCAGGCCAGCCAGCACATGGGGGGGAGATCCATAAATGGTTCTAGTTGGCTTTTTTTTGGAGATATTCCGACAATCCAAAACATGCTGCTCTTGAGCTCCAAACACACTTACCGGCTGGTTAAGTTTACTGCCTTATATGATGAGGCTGTGTAGCTACTAGCTGGGAACGTGATAAGCCGCAAATATGCTTAAGTAGCACAATATATATTTTTTAAGATGTACCAACCAAGTATTTAGGGAGATAACCAAGTGTTTTCCCTGGCAACTAACTGAGGGCTCTCTCTTCGATAAACGAAACAAAATGTTTAGTGGGTTTGTGATTCCACCAACCCATAAATAGATGCTGATTACAGCCGATATATAGTATGTGAGTGTGTGCTGCGAAGGTAAACAACAATAGCCGATTGCGACTGAATCACCAGAAAGTACTGATAGTACCCAGTTGGAGGTAACTAAAGTCGATATCAGAGAACAGGGCCTGGAGGTAGAACTTTGCATTTGTTTGGGGGACCCATTCCTTTATACAAAGTTACCTTTTTCTAGAATTTCTGCCTTGAATCAGACCTCTTACTTCTGATATATCTTGTTTATTGATTGATCTTTTTTATTTTCATGTTCTACCACACAAATATACACACAACACCACAACACACACCTATAAATACACGCACACCCACACTCTACACTGGACTTTTTGGTTGTCGTCTTCACTCTCAACTCTTGTACATTCCCTATCGTGTTATATATATATATATATATATTATCTGTATAAATGCCGCCCAACCAACCAATACCAAACCGAACCAAAACCAACCCCAACGTACCGACATCGCCACTCCAACAGGTGCCGAATCCCGCCGTGCTCATTGTAAGTATTTGACGGAATGGCCATGCAAGTGACATGCCATTTGTGTTTTCAAACCAAATAACCCGGATTATGTTAACTTTCAATGTTCCATGGCCCTTTCCCAACTATATACCTCTGACATGGTTCTGTCTTTAACCCTCTCTCCCAAACCAATCTCCTGCCCAAGCCCCGACTCATCCATCCATCCATCCACTCAATCAAACCAATCTCATCTCTCTGCTCTGCTCTACTCTGCTCTGCTCTGCTCCCTATCTGTACTCCATATGCCAACGATACTTTAGAGTAGTCACCAAGAGACATTTGCGGTAAAGTATTCCCTGCTCAGCATCCATCCATGTATGGAGCCTCTTTTTGTATATACTGTTTTTTTTTAATTTGTAGCCATTTATGGTTTTGTAGTGTGGTTTGTAGGCCTACGACTGGACACGAGATAATCCTGCCCTCATGTTGTGCACTTTTGTCTCCATCCCGCATCCCATAATCCGAATCCCGAATCCCTGATTACAGAACTTCTCGGTGAACACAAACAAGTATATAAAGGTCAAGATTGTGGCTCAGACGCCAAAGAGCCAGGTCGTCGAGGTCGCCAATGGAACGACGGTGTTGGAAGTTAGTGCTAGCCCGGATGAGGTAAACTCTAAACGGAGCCCCGTGGTCCCGAGAAGCTTGAGGAGATCTCGTCCAGTGTTCATTGTCCTGTGTCCTTGTCTCGCTTGGCTTTTTGCTTCCTCCTGCATGTTTCGTAGACTAATCCGTGTCGTAGACCACTAGAATCGCTTGTGATGTCACCATGTTATCGTTTTTTGTGTAGATACCGCTCTGTGTGTATGTTTGTTGCTAACCCTTAACCTCCAGCCCACCTAAAAGCCTGAAATCTAACTCGATTCCCATCTGTTTCCGTGCAGGGCGAGCTGGAGCAACAGCTGCTGCAGGCGAACCCCATCCTGGAAGCCTTTGGCAATGCCAAGACCGTCAAGAACGACAACTCGTCCCGTTTCGTAAGTAGATCCACCACTTGAAGCGAATCCCAGAGCTGACACCACCTCTATCCCCACAGGGCAAGTTCATCCGCATCAACTTTGATGCTTCGGGCTTCATCTCGGGGGCCAACATCGAGACCTACCTGCTGGAGAAGTCGCGTGCCATTCGTCAAGCGAAGGACGAACGAACATTCCATATCTTCTATCAGCTGCTGGCCGGAGCCTCGCCGGAGCAGCGCGAGAAGTTCATCCTGGACGACGTGAAGTCGTATGCATTCCTGTCCAACGGCAGCCTGCCCGTGCCCGGCGTCGATGACTATGCCGAGTTCCAGGCCACGGTTAAGTCGATGAACATCATGGGCATGACCTCCGAGGACTTCAACTCCATATTCCGCATCGTCAGTGCCGTTCTGCTCTTCGGCAGCATGAAGTTCCGGCAGGAGCGCAACAACGACCAGGCCACGTTGCCGGATAACACGGTCGCCCAGAAGATCGCCCATCTGCTGGGACTGAGCGTCACCGACATGACCCGCGCCTTCCTCACGCCCCGCATCAAGGTCGGACGCGACTTCGTGACCAAGGCCCAGACCAAGGAGCAGGTCGAGTTCGCCGTGGAGGCCATTGCCAAGGCGTGCTACGAGCGCATGTTCAAATGGCTGGTGAACCGCATCAACCGCTCCCTAGACCGCACCAAGCGCCAAGGGGCCTCCTTCATCGGCATCCTGGATATGGCTGGTTTCGAGATCTTCGAGCTGAACTCCTTCGAGCAGCTGTGCATCAACTACACCAACGAGAAGCTGCAGCAGCTCTTCAACCACACCATGTTCATCCTGGAGCAGGAGGAGTACCAGCGCGAGGGCATCGAGTGGAAGTTCATTGACTTCGGACTGGATCTGCAGCCCACCATCGACCTGATTGACAAGCCAGGTGGCATCATGGCCCTGCTGGACGAGGAGTGCTGGTTCCCCAAGGCCACCGACAAGACCTTCGTCGACAAGCTCGTCTCCGCCCACTCCATGCACCCGAAGTTCATGAAGACCGACTTCCGGGGCGTGGCCGACTTCGCCATCGTGCACTACGCCGGCCGGGTGGACTACTCCGCGGCCAAGTGGCTGATGAAGAACATGGATCCGTTGAACGAGAACATTGTGTCGCTGCTGCAGGGATCGCAGGATCCGTTCGTGGTGAACATCTGGAAGGATGCGGAGATCGTCGGCATGGCGCAGCAGGCCCTGACCGATACCCAGTTCGGGGCCCGCACCCGCAAGGGCATGTTCCGCACCGTGTCGCACCTGTACAAGGAGCAGTTGGCCAAGCTGATGGACACGTTGCGCAACACGAACCCGAACTTTGTGCGCTGCATCATACCGAACCACGAGAAGCGCGCCGGCAAGATCGATGCCCCGCTGGTGCTTGACCAGCTGCGCTGCAACGGCGTCCTCGAGGGCATTCGCATCTGCCGTCAGGGCTTCCCCAACCGCATACCCTTCCAGGAGTTCCGCCAGCGCTACGAGCTGCTCACACCCAACGTCATTCCGAAGGGCTTCATGGACGGCAAGAAGGCCTGCGAGAAGATGATCCAGGCGCTGGAGCTCGACTCGAATCTGTATCGGGTGGGCCAGTCGAAGATCTTCTTCCGCGCCGGCGTTCTCGCCCATCTAGAGGAGGAGCGCGACTTCAAGATCTCCGACCTGATCGTCAACTTCCAGGCCTTCTGCCGTGGCTTCCTCGCAAGGAGGAACTACCAGAAGCGACTCCAGCAGCTCAACGCCATCCGTATCATTCAGCGCAACTGCGCTGCCTACCTCAAGCTGCGCAACTGGCAGTGGTGGCGCCTCTACACGAAGGTGAAGCCGCTGCTGGAGGTCACCAAGCAGGAGGAGAAGCTCGTCCAGAAGGAGGACGAGCTGAAGCAGGTGCGCGAGAAACTGGACACCCTGGCCAAGAATACCCAGGAGTACGAGAAAAAGTACCAGCAGGCTCTGGTGGAGAAGACCACTCTGGCGGAGCAGCTGCAGGCCGAGATCGAGCTGTGCGCGGAGGCTGAGGAGTCGCGCTCCCGGCTGATGGCCCGCAAGCAGGAGCTGGAGGACATGATGCAGGAGCTCGAGACCCGTATCGAGGAGGAGGAGGAACGAGTATTAGCCCTGGGTGGCGAGAAGAAGAAGCTGGAACTGCACATCCAGGACCTCGAAGAGCAGCTGGAGGAGGAGGAGGCCGCCCGCCAGAAGCTGCAGCTGGAGAAGGTGCAGCTGGACGCCAAGATCAAAAAGCACGAGGAGGACCTGGCCCTCACCGACGATCAGAACCAGAAGCTGATCAAGGAGAAGAAGCTGCTGGAGGAGCGGGCCAACGACCTCTCCCAGACCCTCGCGGAGGAAGAGGAGAAGGCCAAGCACCTGGCCAAACTGAAGGCCAAGCACGAGGCCACCATTGCCGAGCTCGAGGAACGAATGCACAAGGACCAGCAGCAGCGCCAGGAGTCGGATCGCACCAAGCGCAAGATCGAAACCGAGGTGGCTGACCTCAAGGAGCAGCTCAACGAACGCCGCGTCCAAGTGGAGGAGATGCAGGCCCAGCTGGCTAAGCGCGAGGAGGAGCTCACCCAGACTCTTATGCGCATCGACGAGGAGTCCGCCACCAAGGCCACCGCCCAGAAGGCGCAGCGAGAACTGGAGTCCCAGCTGGCCGAGATCCAGGAGGATCTGGAAGCCGAAAAGGCGGCCCGCGCCAAGGCCGAGAAGGTGCGTCGTGATCTCAGCGAAGAGCTCGAGGCGCTCAAGAACGAGCTGCTCGATTCCCTGGACACCACAGCCGGTAAGCCTCCGTTTAGGATACTTAGTACCTTCGGGAAGCCATCTAACGAAGTCGTGTTCTCATTCCTACAGCCCAGCAGGAGTTGCGCTCCAAGCGCGAGCAGGAACTGGCCACTCTCAAGAAGTCTCTGGAGGAGGAGACTGTAAACCACGAGGGCGTTCTGGCCGAGATGCGGCACAAGCACTCGCAGGAGCTCAATGGCATCAACGATCAGCTGGAGAACCTGCGCAAGGCCAAGGCGGTGCTGGAGAAGGCCAAGGGCACCTTGGAGGCGGAAAACGCCGACCTTGCCACCGAGCTCCGCAGCGTCAACAGTTCTCGGCAGGAGAACGATCGTCGACGCAAGCAGGCCGAGTCCCAGATCGCAGAACTCCAGGTAAGATCATCTGCCGTTCTGATCCTTCCATTCTAATGCCTTTCTCTTCGCATTCTGCAGGTTAAGCTGGCCGAGATCGAGCGCGCCCGTTCGGAACTGCAAGAAAAGTGCACCAAGCTCCAGCAGGAGGCTGAGAATATCACCAACCAGCTGGAGGAGGCTGAGCTGAAGGCCTCCGCGGCCGTCAAGTCGGCCAGCAACATGGAGTCGCAGCTTACCGAGGCACAGCAACTACTCGAGGAGGAAACCCGCCAGAAACTGGGCCTTAGCTCCAAGCTGCGCCAGATTGAGTCCGAAAAGGAGGCCCTGCAGGAGCAGCTGGAGGAGGACGAGGAAGCCAAGCGTAACTTTGAGCGCAAGCTGGCGGAAGTCACGGCCCAGATGCAGGAGATCAAGAAGAAGGCTGAGGAGGACGCCGATCTGGCCAAGGAGCTGGAAGAGGGCAAGAAGCGCCTCAACAAGGACATCGAAGCGCTGGAGCGACAGGTCAAGGAGCTGATGGCCCAGAACGATCGCCTGGACAAGAGCAAAAAGAAGATTCAGTCGGAGTTGGAGGATGCTACCATTGAACTGGAGGCACAACGCACAAAGGTGAGTACTTTGGTGAAGGGCTTCCTTTGGCAGACGATCTAACCATTATCCACCAGGTGCTCGAACTGGAGAAGAAGCAGAAGAACTTCGACAAGATTCTCGCCGAAGAGAAAGCCATATCAGAGCAGATTGCCCAGGAACGCGACACGGCGGAGCGGGAAGCACGTGAAAAGGAGACCAAGGTGCTGTCGGTGTCCCGCGAGTTGGACGAGGCCTACGACAAGATCGAGGACTTGGAGAACAAGCGCAAGCAGTTGCAGAACGAGCTGGACGACCTGGCGAACACCCAGGGCACCGCCGACAAGAACGTCCACGAGCTGGAGAAGGCAAAGCGAGCTCTGGAATCGCAGCTGGCCGAGCTGAAGGCCCAGAACGAGGAGCTGGAGGATGATCTGCAGCTGACGGAGGATGCCAAGCTCAGACTGGAGGTCAACATGCAGGCGTTACGCTCCCAGTTCGAACGTGACCTGCAGGCGAAGGAGGAGGGCGCTGAGGAGAAGCGACGTGGCTTGGTAAAGCAGCTGCGCGACCTCGAAGCCGAGCTGGACGAGGAGCGGAAACAGCGAACGGCGGCCGTGGCTGCCAAGAAGAAGCTGGAGGGCGACCTCAAGGAGATTGAGACGACCATGGAGATGCACAACAAGGTGAAGGAGGACGCCCTGAAGCACGCCAAGAAGCTGCAAGCACAAGTCAAGGATGCGCTTCGCGACGCCGAGGAGGCCAAGGCCGCCAAGGAGGAGCTGCAGGCACAGAGCAAGGAGGCCGAGCGCAAGGTAAAGGCCCTGGAGGCTGAGGTACTCCAGCTGACCGAGGACTTGGCTAGCTCGGAGCGGGCCCGACGTGCCGCCGAAACGGAACGCGACGAACTGGCCGAGGAGATTGCCAATAACGCCAACAAGGGCTCCCTCATGATCGATGAGAAGCGCCGCCTTGAGGCCCGCATCGCCACCCTCGAGGAGGAGCTGGAGGAAGAGCAGTCCAACTCGGAGGTGCTGCTCGACCGCAGTCGAAAGGCCCAGCTGCAGATTGAACAGCTCACCACCGAACTGGCCAACGAAAAGTCCAACTCGCAGAAGAACGAGAACGGCCGGGCCCTGCTGGAGCGGCAGAACAAGGAGCTGAAGGCGAAGCTGGCCGAGATCGAGACGGCGCAGCGCACCAAGGTGAAGGCCACCATTGCCACCCTCGAGGCCAAGATTGCCAATCTGGAGGAGCAGCTGGAGAACGAGGGCAAGGAGCGTCTGGTGCAGCAGAAGGCCAACCGCAAGATGGACAAGAAGATCAAGGAGTTGACGATGAACATCGAGGACGAGCGGAGGCATGTCGACCAGCACAAGGAGCAGATGGATAAGGTAAGATAGAGAATTGATTCCTTGGCGACAGTTATGCTGATGATGTTCTTGTTTTTGTAGCTGAATAGCCGCATCAAGCTGCTCAAGCGGAACCTGGACGAGACCGAGGAGGAGCTGCAGAAGGAGAAGACTCAGAAGCGCAAGTACCAGCGCGAGTGCGAGGATATGATTGAATCCCAGGAAGCCATGAACCGAGAGATCAACTCTCTGAAAACGAAACTCCGGTAAGATCAGACTAGACTGCTCGGATGGTGGCGATAATAGCCCCCAGGGGTTTAAGGCATATCTCTGGGAGACGTCTCTGGGTTGCATTTTTGATTATTTTTGTCTTTGGTTCAGCTCCATTCAAGTGGCCGAGACCGAAAAGGCCAAGGCATACTCTCCCAAAAAGGATGCCGCACTCATTATGAATTGTGAGGGTCTGCATTAGGTTTCGTTTCGCTTTTATTAGGCTGTAAGTGCTGCTGTAATTGCTGGCCACGATCTTCCAGAACCAGAACCAGAACTAGTGAATGTCAACCGAACCCTCCAGTGACCTCCACAGCATGTTAGGAACAGATCAACACCTCACTGCTCAGTTATTACCTTACCCCCCCTTCCCAAACATAGAACCTCTGTTGGACCTCTTGTTATCCTTTCTGTTTGCCCCTGCACACTGCACGTTCCCCCAAAAAGAAAGAATCTGTAGCCAAATCTTACGAAGATTCTAATCCAGTTTGTTTTCCTTTGTAGACGCACCGGCGGCATGGGCCTCAGCTCCAGCCGGCTTACGGGCACACCCTCATCGAAGCGGACCGGCGGAGGAGGCGGCGGCGGTGGCGGCGACGACAGCTCCTCGGTGCAGGATGAATCACTAGACGGCGAGGATTCGGGCAATTGACGCGTTGATTACCAGATGAGAGAGGAGATGGAAATAGAGACGCGGCGGAAGAGGAGCGAAATAAATGATTATATTTAATGTTTCTTTTATATAATTTCCCTGTTATTTTTTATATAAACTATTATACATACTTAAATTAAAACGTAAAACAAAAATTTTTATAACGAGAAAGTAAACATAAACAAAAACAAAAAAAAACAAATAATGTTGTAAAACACACCACTCCCTTCCACTTTATATAAAAAAACATAAAAAAAAAAAAGAAACACAAAGGGACCTTCCCTTCCTCGATATTGGCCGGAGATTCATTGTAGATCTGAGCCAATATAACAATAAATGTAGATCTTTGCCACAAAAAACATGAAACGGAGAAACGAACTTTGCAACACCACAAAGCATACAATCATTGTAGGGAGGACACTCATTTCCATTTCCAAGTTTTAATTGCCTAATATAGACCCATAGTACATACTCGATGCAACGTGTAATCCATGCATTTAACAACTAAAACGGTTTTCAATCGGATAACAGATCAGATCAGATCAGAGAATCAAATGTTGAACCACGCAACTAATATACGAATTTCGTTTTTGTTTACAACTAAACAATAAAATATTTACTATATCAACTGTGTTTTCAAAGCTTCGGTATCGGACGCCAATTGGCCAAGATAGAAATATGGCTAAGCCCTATACGTATATTTAAAAAAGGCCTCAACTTGGGGCTAAATCTATCAAAATGAAGTCTTGGTCATTAGAAAATCTTTACCATCAAATTTCATATTTTTGGGTAGGATCTAGGGATATTATTTTCCATATCTTGGCCAATATTTGTCGGATAGCAGAATGTTATGTCTTCCCGGCCTTCTATCTTTGAGTACTTTCATTCTGAATCAAAATCTGACAAAGTAAAATCCGACCCTATTTTTGCAAATTTTCAAAGGGGTAACATCATAATTTTGGCCAAAAAATGAAAAATTTTTAATCGTCCCATATTTTCTATATTTTGATGCAGATCGGAGGAGCTTAAGATCTAGATTCATAAATGGTATACCATTTTAAAATCAGATGTAATTTGGCTGAAATATTGGCCAATACGTGACTCAAAAGTTCCATATTGGGCCTCAGCCATGCCCTCAAGGCAAATGCAAACTTTTTGGTCAGATCTAGGGACATAATATACCATATCTTGGCTAATATTTGTCGTATCGCAGAATGTTATGCCTTCCCGGCCTTCTATCTTCGAGTACTTTCATTCTGAATCAAAAACTGGCAAGTTGAAATCTGACTCAATTTTTCCAAATTTTCAAAGGGGTAACATCATAAATTTGGCCAAAAAATTGGTAAATTTTTGATCGTCCCATATTTTCTTTAATTTGACGTAAATCGGAGGAGCTTGAACCCCCAATTCATAAACGCCACGCCTTTTCTAAATCGATTGCTATTTGGCTGAAATATTGGCTGCAAAGGGACTGAAATTTTGGCCAAAAGCCACTCCCCATACTATAACGGCCATTTCTTGGGGCATATCCCATCCAGCATCGCCTAAAAATGTTTGGGAAAACATGGATTTAAAAATCTATACAGTTTATTACAATTTTTACAGAGTTATGTACAAAAAATAACTACAGACTAAAGGTAACTGGCGACTCTTTGTTTTAGAGATATAACTATTTTAGGATTATCGTTGGCAAATTCGAAATTTCATAAAAAGTTGTTGAAACTTTCCCCCATTCCCACCCTCCTAACTACTATCTAATGGCACTATTGATTCACAAGGCGTCCGCAGGCCGATCTTGCTTCCTTCCCAGCTGCACCGAGGAGATCTGGACGGGAGCTGGCATCATGTTCATGTGCTGGACAAGAACGATGCCGCCGCCGTTGAGGGCCTCCAGTTCGGCGGAGGACTTGCTCTCCTGGAGATGCAGCTCCTCCCGCCGGCTGTTCAGGTAGTAGACACCGGCCACTATGAGACTGAACGTGGTGACCGAGATGAGGAGCGTGCCATACTTGAGGGACAGCTGGAGGGCGTCGAGGCCGAATGTGGAAATGTACAGCGTGTGGAGTACGTCCTCCGAAAAGTCGTTTGCGGTGATCTCGATCCAGATCAGTGGTAGAATGGTGGCATTCTTCAGTCGCGCGCCCTGGTCTGGAGTAATGGGAGGATAGATTAGTGAAAAGGAAGTCGGAGAGGTGACTTTACTTACTTCGAAGTAGAGGCGTCTTGTCCAGCATTATGTTTATCTGGATACGCGAGGCGCCGCTAATGGGAAACCCAAAACGAGGGTGTATATCGGCGTAGGTCTGGTGCAGCTCGGGGTCCGGATTGATGCCCTCGAACAGGCTGTACAGCTCCGGATCGCCGGTGAAGAAGTGGGGGAATGAGGGAAAGATCGGTGCATCGCCGTAACACTTGGTGGCATTGATCACCCCGCTGGGCAGACAGAACTCCGCGTTTTGGCAATAGCACTGGTTGGCTGGGTTCACCGAGGGGTGACCAAACACGTCCATGGGCGTACGGTAGCGCAGCACGTCGATGTCGTTGTAGATGGTGACTTCCTTCTCGAACTTTAGAGGCACCTTGCGGCACAGGACCTGCAGGAAGACGTTGACGGTGTCGCGATCCTTCAACAGATTCGGTGAGAACATGGAGGGCTCCGACCCATCGATGCGGTTGCACTCCTCACCCTCCCAGTAGTCCAGCTGGGGCATCCCATTGAACTGGGTGATGATGCTGAACTTGGTGATGTCGTCCTCCCCCGTATTCAGTTGCACTGAATCGACGCTAGTGCCATTGCGCTAAGAATGGGATCGAGAATTAGTCCTCTCTACTATGCTCCCTTGGAGACTAACTTACGTTCTGTAGAAGACCGAAGCGTCTCTTTCCCATTCCCAGGGACTTCAGTTTGATTATTTTGTCCTCGTAGCCCCAGAGGAACTCGTGGGCTGTTAGGTGTTTGAAGAGCGGCTCCTTGTACTGGTTAATGAGCGCCCCCGAAAACAGCCTTTGAACGGTTGCCATCCGCTTCACATGTCCCGCCGCTGTGATCAATGGCACATTGGGCACCATGAACACATCGTGCTCCCCGATGGTGGACTTCTCCGGCAGGAACTTGTACGACTTTCGATCCTAAAGAAGCGCGAGTTAGAATTTTAATCAGTCAAGACTCCTGACAGGAATCCTTACTCTGAATGTGACAGTGAAGTTCTTGTTGAACGACACCTCATCTTTGACCGTGTGCTCTTGGTAGGTTAGTGGTCCCATATCCCTCACTTGCACCTTGTCGGCGCGTCCGGCCAGGTAGTCCTCAATGTTGGGGTAGTCGAAGATGTGGGCCTTCAGGAGGGTGTCGTACTTCGGTTCCGGGTCGAGCCAACTCTTGGCCGTTTCCGAGTTTTCGGCAAGAATGAGGTTCTGTGGGGCACATCCCAGAATAATTATTCTGTTATTACAGAATTACATAAGACCTCTGGACTCACCTCCAACATGGTGTTGTTGTAGTACTCGGTGAACCACATGACAAAGAATCCGGTCACGCTGATCACAAACAGCAGAAACATCACTCCCAGCACTGCGATGGAGAGGATAGGGTTAGTCGGGCCCAGCATTATCATCAAGAGTTGAGCTACTCACTTATCAGGGTTCCAATGTCCTTGGACGTTGGCTCTCGGTTCTGGGCCTGATTGCGCAGCCCCAGGGCCTCCAGAATCATCTGCATCACCGTTGGCTTCTCGGCTCCAGGGCCATAGGCAGAGGAGTATGTACCCGTTCCCAACCCGTTCCTCTGGGAGCTGAGTGTGTTGGATTTGGAACGTGGCTGTGCCACATGCGCTGTTGAGACTACTGGGACTGAGGGCTCCAAGGCCACCTCGGGGTCACTGGCATATGGCATTGTGAGCTCTGTGGGGGGTTGGCAATCTGGCTCTGGCACGAGCTGGAAAATGTAGTAACTTATCAGTAAGCTGGCATAAGAACTTGGGATCGTGGGAGTAAGTGGGGGTTATGTAAGAAGCTCTACCCCCAGAAGTAGGAGCAAGTCAAGGACTGAACTGATTCAAGATCGCATCACTGGGACTTCATACACGTGGCCGAACAAGGGATCCCTTCACGAGAATTTATTCTTATCAGAGGTGGTTTCTCGGGTTCATTGAACACATAGGCTCCTCAGAGATCACTATTATATAGCACTACTTTGTATCTGTTATAGGTAATAAAATAATATTAATACCTTTTAGGAGTATTAAAATATTATCAAGTGTTTAACAGCTTAATCAAACACTGTGGCTTTAATGAGGAGCAATTAGTAACGACTATTTGAAACGATCTTCCGCGCAGAGGGATTCTTAACCATGCGATCACAGAAGTTTCCACGAACTAATCGGGGCTTGAGCTGTGGAGCCTGGAGCATGTTCGAGCCCCGTCGCATTTGCCGCTTGGCGGAATCAAAGTTCAGTCTTATCAGCAGCCTTCTATACTGTAGGTACATACTTACTAGGCATTAATTCATAAATTAATGAAAACAACAGCGACAGCTTGTACATACACTCTACATTGTACATACGGGCCCAATAGAGGGCTTTGGAAACTATGGGGTAAGCTCTGATTCGCCAACCGCGGAATCGGGTCAACGGCACTCTGATAAGAGTTGAAATTTTCCAATATTGCCGTCGAACTTCAAATAGGCGAACGAACTTGAGGCACCAGATCGGATCGATTGCGAAAATGCTGATTTCGAATCTTTATGGTCTTGGAGGACCGATCTAATCGCTCAAGTCCTTGTTCTTTGTCACTGCTCCGAGATGGGAGTATGATGTAGGGTAGGCACACTCTCCTGACACACTTACCAGGTAGCTCTCGAGTTGGTAGTTGTTGTCTTGGCTGCCCGCCCCCGTCCGCACTTGGTCCTCCGCCTAGTCGCAGACAGGTGCCATTGACTGATAACGTGGAACGCTGGGAGTGAGATCCGAGTGCACTTGACTGCCACTGCCAGCTGATTTTCGGCTGTTCGGTTTCCGTGGGAAGTGCAACGAATGGAAGCGGACCGCTCTGGCTCACCAGCCGAGTTGCACCCACCGTATTGTGCTCTCCCTTATCGGACCGCTCTCCGGGTGATACTACTCTGGTTGGGTCTTCCCGAGACTGCCAAACACTTGGCGTCTTAATTAACAATTTGGTCACTGGCGCCGACTGCACTCGGAATGGGATTTAATTGAATTTTCGGCAATCCGACGGATGCTTGTGCTGGATCTTGTATCTCGGTATCTGTATCTGTGTATCTTTGTATCTGTGTATCTTTGTATCTATGCATCTATGCTGAGAGGCTCTTGTTTTGTATCTGGTATCTGGTATCTGGCCGTTCTTCTGTTGTTCTCGCTCTCTCTCGCAATCTGTTCTTCTTTCTTGTTTACTTGTTTTGTGTCTCTGTTTTCAGTTCTTTGTTCGTCTGCTGCTTCTTTGTTTTGCCTCCGATTCTCTTTTGTCTCCCCGATCGTTGTGTCGAGTCTGTTGTTGTTGCTCCAAGTGGAGCTGCCGCCGAGGTTGGAGCCGCAGCTGGAGCGCTATGGAGGCTAAAGCCAGGCTGGTTTTCCAGGGGCCCGCCCCTCCTTTCCGCCTAGAGCAGCTGTATCTGGTGTCCACTGTCCACAGGTTGTATGGCGTGCAGGTTTTACGGAAACTGTTGCGGAGTTATTATTTGTTTATCTGGTGTGGCCACCGGTTGATCCACTTGCCGCCAGGCGGGATTGCGATTAGCGAAGATATCGGGCAGTAGCTGCCCACGCATTATCTTTCTTCAGGACGGCCTGGTGAACCGATTAGATTTGGGCACGACCTGGACGCGGATTAGACTGTTACTGGATCTAGATTCTAGAACTGGCACTGGCACTCGCACTGGGTCTGGGTCTGGGTCTGGGAATGGCTCTCCGTTGGCGCTGTCGTGCGTTCTGCCCACCAAACAAGTTATTACTACGACGCTCCGAATCAGACGGAATCAGTTCGAGCTGCCAGCTGCGCAGCGCTCCTCCTTCCTCGTTCTGCGGTGTCTCTGCTGCTGCCGCTGCCTCGGCCGGCGGCTCAGCTGCGCCGCTGCCCCGGGTCTCTGATAAGCGGCTCGGTCAGCTATGATTGCTGATTACCGCCCCATGCCCATACCCATGCCCATGCCAACGCCGACTGCTCTGCTCCGAATCGGGATCTCTTGTTTACTACGTAGCAGCTTTGTGCGTGCTGGCTGCCGAGAGACAAAGTGCAAATTTAATCGGAGATGGCGTCGTCAAAACAAAGAAGTCGGGACTCCGGCGCCCGATAGAGGTGCAGCCTCCCAGCTGCTCGATGCGCTCCACCGCACATGTGCTCATTACTATCCAGTTAGGAGGAGCTGGGGGCGCAGGGCAGTCTCCGGCAGCGCGGCAGGGGGTCAGCCCTGCGCAAAGGGTATCTGCAGCAGGTAGCAGTTGCCAGGAGGGATCCAAGTACGTATGCAATGTGCTATTTATAGTTATTACCGATCACCCAAGGGCCGCACCAAAACAATTCAATTAGCACCCAAAGTACTCATTGTTGACCAACAATACAGATGCACCTACGAGAGGAGCTACTTCTCTCAGTGCACAAACCTGGAGCTCGGATACCCAGCATTCCAGAGACTCGGGACTCTAAAGACGGCAAGTGGAAACCCCTGGCGGAGTCGAGTTCTTGAACTCGGCTGCTCAGCTGTGTGCTCAGCATTTATCAGTTTAGTCAAGAGTTTGCCATTAATCCGCCTCCACCCTCCACCAGCCCCATCTCCAGCCCTAGAAACTGAGCCTCAGCCCCACCCCACCGGGTCTGGGGAATCGTATTTTGCATCAGTTGGGTGATAGCCCCTGATCTTTTTGTTTTCCTACTCGAGGCGAATGACGCGGATGATGAGACCCGATCGGTTCGTGCCAGTTAATAGCCTCCGGAGTGTCAATAACTGAAATGTCTCCACCTATAAACGGCATAGAATCTAATCTAATTACATCTATGGACTAAGATCCCCTGTTAAACTGACAGCGACTATAAATGCCTCAATTACAAAAGTATAATAGCCATTAATAGCCTTCCTGGCACTGCAACACCATTACCTAGTGATCGCCAAGAGCCATAGGTTCGCATTCCGCTGGGAGTGGATAAGTGGTGCTATCTCCCAGAGGCCCCTCTTCCTAGAGTACCGCTTACAGAATCTTATCAGCGCCGAGGGGAGGAACGGAACCAGACTGCTTATCGACCTGGGAACCGGGGATCGGGCCGTCAAGTGCCAAATATAATTTCCCCACAACACTCACACAACGGAAACTGAATCAAAAAAATCACAAATATTTAAATTAAACAGAAAGTGCTTCACAAAACCATCTGCCCCGGGCCCCGCACATGGAATCATGGATCATGAGTTTCTGTTAGCCATTTTGCTTCGTAAGTTTTGAAGACACGGACGGTGATTGACTTTGACACGAAGTCTTGGGTGGAAGGTGGGGGGACAGGGCGTGAAACCCAATTGGTGACACGCCACAGCACTCAAGTTAGCATATGTGTAGCTGTTTAGAGCCCGTTGCTGAAGCTTATTATTTATTGCATCATTTGCAGCAACAAATACGACAGTTTACATAAACAGAAAGGTCGCATGCAACCCGGCCCGGTCGGCCTTATTGGCATGCAAAGTCGCCTCGGATACGGTTCCGGCTATATCGCTATGTAGTATAGATACGACCATGTGTGTGTGGTTGGACTTGGCGGGGAATGTCAAACACATTGGGGCGATAAAGTCTTGGTCAGCCTTCCCTGAAGCTAAAGTACTACTTTGGATTTTTATTCAAAACTATAGTCAAGGTTTAGTCCGATTTCTGGTAGGGGAGACTTCTTGAGGGAGCTACCCCTCTGGGTTTCTCGACTTAATCATTGTGGAGGGTTTCCACTCTCTTACCCAGAACTCTTCCCGTGCAATGCCCTGAAGTGGGCAATTTCTTGGCCTCTGATTTTCCCCTCAGATCCAATCATTTATGCATAATGCGACTTGAATCATTACCCCAGCCAGTTGGCCAAAGCTCTGGCTCAGGTCTTTGGCCAGGTTCCGATTCTGGGCGAGGGGCAAACAAGCCTTTCGAAATGCGACAACCAAACCCCAACCATCACCATAACAATAATTTGCGATCCAGCGATTTAGCTTGGAGCTGTCAACTTTGCATACATTCTTTGACTCCAACCTGTCGTCGGAGTCGGTGTGGCAACCAACAGTGGCATGACTCACTTGCACCACAACAACAACAAAAAAGGCCAGAAAGAGCAGATATCATAATCTGGTGGTGTGGTGGTGAGGCAATCAATGGAATTTCGGAGTGTGCAGCATGGAGAGTGGACTAAAATAATATAAAAAAAAAGGAACGTGCAACGCAACGAAAGACTTCAATGCAAGGCAACAAACTTGTTTTTATCAGCCCGGCCCAAGCTTGGCTATTAGCCCGATCTGACCGAGCCGCCGGACCCCGGGGAGCAGCCAGGGCAGCCAGGGAGCTTTCATTGCAATCCGCTGCACTCGACGCCGATCCACTGGCGATCGATGCACAAAGCTCGGTGCCGCTTACTCTCGCTTTTGCTTTGCTTTTTGGTTTTGCTTTTGGTTTTTGACTTTGCTTTGTGTTTGCTTGGCATTACCTGGCCCGCTACCGATCCACCTACCTGTTTATCTGGTTTTCTCGAGACTCGAGTCGAGCTTAGCCGAAGCTTTCGCCGCCCGAGACATCTTACGTTGGGGGGCCGCTCGAAGACGGCTGCTTCAGTTACTCGGCGGCCCTGCGAGCGTTCAAGTCGTTGCCGTTTCCCGCCGGTTCTGCGATCTCGATCTTACCACCACCACTACCGCCGTTTCGCCGCCGTTCGGGCCAAGAATCTAGCTTGCACCTCGATTCGCCAAGTCCGTGCAACCGTCAGTGTGAGTGTAACTGTTTGGAAATGCCTGTGGTCTGTCCAGCCACCAGATACAAGATACAAGCTGCAAGCTGCTAACGGAGCAAGTGTGCAGCGCATTCCTAGGAAGGAGTTGGACTCTGTGGTTTTTGGCGAACCTTTCGACCAGGTCCCCAGCCCGAGCCCCCAACCCCAACTCGCAGCCAGCCAAGTCAAGCTTGCGTTGAGCAAGACCTTGCCCAGTCAGCCAAAATGAAACCACTTCGACAGCAACTCGCTTAGCAGCGCTACAAGAGCGGAAAATCATTGAATTATGTGCTTTGGAGTTTTTGATTTTGGCTCTGGCTCTAGCTCTGGCTGTGGCTCTGTGGGGTTTTTGTTTTTCTCCCCAAGTACTTGGTGCTGATTGCCGAGTTTGGCGGCGCTTCTTTCGGCTAAAACGCTGGCTGCCAAAAGCGCATCGAGGGTATATCGGGGGATACGTGCATAGTTTTATGATTACTTGTGTGGAAAAAGTGAAATTTCACTCACCGCTCTGCACTGGCACTGGCTGGCTGGCTGCCACGAAGCAGCGGCTCAAAACGAAATCAAATAAAAGTTTACCAGCCAACTACCAACTCCACACCACATCCACAACATCTACAAGATACAAGCTACAAAATCCGAAAACCGAAATTAAGCGTGCGCAGGCAGAAAACCTTAGATAAATAAAAATAAATAAATAAGGGGCCTGTGGAAGCTCTTTTTTTTTTTGACCACATAACTGTGACGATTATGTGAAGGTTGCAGCAGTAGCAGCAGACCCCAGCAGCAGACCCAGACCCACCAGTCCAAGTAAAAGCTCGAATCATCTTCATGATGTCGCTGGGCAGTATGTTGGGCTGCGGCCTCCCAGTTTATCATAAAATTGAGGTGACAATTGCCTGGCTTTGTCTTCGTCTGTTGACACATTTCACTGCGAAAGCCAGCCCTGGTGTAATTGCCAGCGAAACTGACCCACTGAAAGTCCAAGATGGGCCGCTCCACTCCACTCCAGCTCCCCCCCTTTGAACACGCTTGTCACGCCACTGACAGAGTCAGAGTCGGAGACGTCAACGTGTTTAAGGCCCGAATTTAAAATCCATTTCGTTTCGTTTTTTTTATCAAATGCAGCCCCAACAAAAGCAAGTTGAATATTTGTCAGCAGCTCGTCTACTTTTTGGGCCCGGTCAGTGTCACAGTGGCCATAATCGAAAGCCCGAAAAAACAGATCCGAAGCTGCTATACCCTGTTCCAGGTGCCAGCCTGTGATTGAGTACCCATTTTCATTGAAGATTTGAGGAATTAAATTACTTATAAACAGCTTTATTTAATTGGCGATGATTCAGAGACTGCTGCAAGTCCAGAGACTAGGCCTGGAAACAATACTTCCCTCTGCCAGAGTATTCCGTCGTCAGCGGCTCCGTAAATGGGGTCAGGGTAATTGCCACACTAAGTAGCTACTACCGCTTGTATTTATTTGTGCAACATTTAAACGCAGCGAGATTGTGAGACTGTGGAGCTCGATACCCAGATCTGAGAGCCACCTTGCCTCCACCAGTCGATAAAAGAGCGGATGTCTTAGCCATGATTCCGCTTTCAGTTCAATTCATAAAAAAAAACGTGTGTTTAGAAAGTCAATTTCTATTGAAGCTTGGATTCTGGCCAAGCCACATGCGCCGGTTGAGGCGGCCAAGTGCGATTAGGGGCGATTAGAGCCAAGATGGCTATTTCGCGTTAACCGCACCAGCAGCCAACAGCCAACAGGTAACAGAAACAGGCAACAGAAACTGCTAATTGAACAAGTGAAACCAAGCTGAAGCCGAAACAAAATAAAACTATTACATCAGTTATCGCATTTCATTGGAATGTCAAAAAACTGCTGCCATGTTATTGTTATGATCGTGTGGCAAGCTGTTTCTCTGGGGTCTAAGGTTTCCTGGCCACTCGTCTGATTTGCATACTTTGGGGGGGAATCGATACCCATCGAGCTCCCGAGGTAAACACTTTGGAAATAGCTCGCTGAGTCAGAGATCTGTGCAAACATTCGAGCCTCAGTGACTCTGATAGCGATGGTGATGCAGAGGCTTGGGCCAAAAACTAACCAATGGGCCGTAAACGAAAACAGGCAGCAGTTAGTGGCTGCTGGCCAACAGAACCCAATTAGCAAACGAAATATGGTCGTCATTGATTAATGGCAATGCCACCGAAAATTCACTTGAAGTGAAATAATCACGGGATAATTAGTATTCAATGGACATCATCGAACCCCAACAATGGTGGATCCAATGCGAGTCACAAAGCAGCGCAAGTACAAATATTTGAGCCCGGTCGAGATCGCAGTCGGAGAGGTTCAGGGCGACCTTGTGGGGTTCGGAAAGCGCAGTAAACTGGGCAAATAATAAAAAAAAACAAAAAAAAAAACACGTTGTGACCGTGTCTGTGTGCGTTGATGGGCTAGAGCGAACTCAAAGTACAAAGTTTAATGCTGTTTGTTGAAACGCAAAGTGGAGAACCACAAAGTCAGCTTTAGAACCTAAGCCCCTGCCGGTTTTGGCCAGCCGGAGTGTGGCTCATCCGGCCCGTGATAAGCACCCCAGTTTGTATGCACCCGGTAGCAATCGATCTACCAGGGATCGGCAATTTAAGAGTGTTTCTATGGTCCCGGGGCCGTGCCAGGCCTGCAAATAGCCCGGCTGGCCATTAGCCGAAGCCATTATCCAACCAAACCATTTCGGCTCATTTTATTTTCGGTTTGTTGGCCCTCTGCTTTGGCTTATGAATATGAATAATGGCCGAATGGCGCTATGCCTGGAATCGTCAATAATAAAAAAAAAAAACGTGTCTGTTTACGCACGGGCCTTAAAGATAAAAGATGCACGTATGTATCTGTATCTGTATCTGTTTCGCATTCGCGGTTTCGTTTGTAGCCCTGGCCTCGGTCAAGGTTCCTCCGGCTTCAGATTCGCTTTCAGAGCCTGGCGGCCCATTAACGAGAGCTTAATTGCTCCCAGTCGCTGAGTCGCTTCAAGGTCCGTCCCTGCCAGGAAGGGCATGTTCAAGTCGAGAGTCAGTCGATGTCGATGTCGAAGTGGAAGTGGAAGTCGAGCAATTAGCTTCACAAACTAGTTGTGCTGACGCGAAGGTTCTGGAGACAGTCCCCCAAAGTCAAGTCTCTTCGATTTGTTTTCAGTTTATTCCGCCTTTGTGCTCCGCTGTGATAAATCAGCTTTTAAACCGAAAAACGCGACAAGCCAGCGATGTCAAAATAGCCCCAAGGCCAACACGCCCCGAAACGTGTCTGAGGTCTTTGGGGCGCATCAACCCATAGGCCACAATATGCGGCACTACAGGGAGAAAGAATACTTATGACCGAGAGACCAATGCCAGTGAAATAGCTCCGATATTGAATGATTGCGTTCCCGTAATTACAGATTATAGATTATAGTCCGGATCATACTACGATTCGACGGCATAACCGGTGTGGCTGCTTATCGGATCTCTAGGTCCCCTGTCTATTTTAAAAATTAAAACAACCCGCTTTGCTTGGTATTTAATTTATTTTGTTTTTCTAGTTAACAACTGCAAGGCGGTTTACTCTTAACAACATCGACAACAACAGTCAGAGCAACAGCATCTGCCCCAGCCCCAACCCCAACTCCGACCCTTCAGATCAGGACAGATCACCATGAACGGACCCAAACACAAGCTCTGCACAAAGCTGTCCAGCACCTACCTCCGAAAGTGGTGTAAGTATTCGAAAGCTCCAACGCCCCATGATCAGTATAATAGTTTACATAACGACATTCTTCATGATCAGTCAGTGCATTTCCATATGGATTTCCGCATCGATTTGTGTAATAATCCCACATACCAGTCACCGCCCCCAGGGGGAGGCAAGTACGCAGTTTGAGGCAATTAAAGTAGCTTTTTGTTGTGGCCATAACTCCACGTGCTTGGCTCTCTGGTTTTCGCCAGAGTCCGACTGGTTAGACTGGTCTTGGCTTGGTAATATTCCTATAAATTCAGCTGCCGGGGAGGACAAACTGGATGTGGTGGATTCTTCCGATTTCCCAACCTTTCCCCTTTCCAAACTCGGCATTCGCTTTTGCGTTGTACTTTTCCAGGGAGGGGAGCTTCTGCCGCGGACGACTCCCTCTGAATCTGGTTCTAGTTTCCACTCGCCTTCAAGTGGCCCCATTAAGATGTATTTTTAATTAGCTAATAGCCCCTACTAATGGGGTGGCAAAGATCATAGAAGTACAAACAACGGCTTAAGGTCAAAGGGGCGCCACTGATTCATCCGATTCATCCCTCAATTCTGTATTCCCATTCTGTTCACTTTCGCAACATCAATATTTATAAGCCCAGTTGGCAAACATTAGCCAATGCATTGTAACTCCCCAAGGCGAGCCCCGGATGAGTCACCGGCCCGTAATTTATGCATTTTGTGATCAATTGTTCGGCTATTTTCCAGGGATTACGATCGTGGTGGCGGCGGCGCTGATAATCGGCGGCATTGTGGTGGCCTGTGAGTTCTCCGTGCTGATCGATGCCGTCGTGGACCGTATGGTGGCCCTGCGCCCCGGCGCCAAGACCTTTGGGTGGTGGGCCAAGCCGCCGGTGGAACCGCGCATCAGCCTATACATCTACAACGTCACCAATGCCGATGACTTCCTTAGCAATGGCTCCAAGGCCATTGTCGACGAGGTGGGACCCTACGTCTACAGGTAAGTGGTCTCCCGCCCTCCGCTGGAAAGCCTAATACGAGCAAGTCCAAATCCCATTCCACAGCGAGACCTGGGAAAAGGTTAACATCGTCTCCAACGACAATGGCACCCTCAGCTACAATCTGCGCAAGATCTACACCTTCCGCGAAGACCTCTCCGTTGGCCCCGAAGACGACGTAGTGATTGTGCCCAACATTCCCATGCTCAGCGCCACCTCCCAGAGCAAGCACGCGGCCAGGTAAGACCCGAGAGCCTGGGAATCCATTGAACTTGACCTACAACCCCGATCTTCCTCAGATTTCTTCGCTTGGCCATGGCCAGCATCATGGACATCCTAAAGATCAAACCCTTCGTCCAGGTCTCCGTCGGTCAGCTGCTGTGGGGCTACGAGGACCCGTTGCTCAAACTGGCCAAGGACGTGGTGCCCAAGGAGCAGAAGCTGCCGTACGAGGAGTTCGGCCTGCTCTACGGAAAGAACGGCACTTCCTCCGACCGTGTCACGGTGAACACCGGAGTGGACGACATCGAGAAGTACGGTATCATAGACAAGTTCAACGGGCGCACCCACCTGCCTCACTGGACCACCGACAACTGCAACCGCCTGGACGGCACTGACGGCTCCATCTTCCCGCCGCACATCACCCACGACCGAGTGCTCTATGTCTACGACAAGGACCTGTGCCGCCTGCTGCCCCTGGTCTTCGAGAAGGAAGTGGAGACCTCCAACGAGGTGCCCGGCTACCGCTTCACCCCGCCGGAGTGGGTCTTTGCCGACGTGGACACCCACCCAGACAACATGTGCTTCTGCCCGGCCGGCAAGCCCTCGTGCTCGCCCAACGGACTCTTCAACGTGTCGCTGTGTCAATACGGTATGCAGAATGAGACTATAACCTGGTAGGATGAATCACTAATCTTCCGTTTCCCAAAGATTCTCCCATTATGCTGAGCTTCCCCCACTTCTACCTGGCCGATGACAGCCTTAGGACTCAAGTGGACGGCATCTCGCCGCCCCAGAAGGAGAAGCATCAGTTCTTCTTCGACGTGCAGCCTGTAAGAGTCCCAGCTTGGAGATCTTTATGTCCCTCCTTTTAATACCGATTTCCGTATTCGCAGAAAATGGGAACTACGCTGCGAGTGCGCGCCCGTATCCAGATCAATCTGGCCGTGAGCCAGGTGTTCGACATCAAGCAGGTGGCCAACTTCCCGGACATCATCTTCCCCATCCTCTGGTTCGAGGAGGGCATCGATAGCCTGCCCGACGAGGTCACCGACCTGATGCGCTTCGCCGAGCAGGTGCCGCCCAAGATTCGTGTGGGCCTCATCATCGGCCTGTGCGCCCTGGGGGTGATCCTGCTCCTCCTCTCGACGTTCTGCCTCATCCGCAACTCGCACCGGCAGAGCACCCTGCACCTGGAGGGCTCAAACTACCTGGCCACCGCCCAGGTGGACATGAACAAGAAGCAGAACAAGGACAACCAACCCGCCAGATACTAGATGCCGCACCTTCTAGTCGCAGCCGTCGGTGGCAGTCGGGTCCCTGGGTGTCTTAGATTAGCTTAAGCCTTAGTTGGAAACCATTGGGATTCCCATTTCCATTCCCAATACCATGGCCATTCGCCCGGGGTCCAACTGGCCCGGGCAGGATGCGTCTCTGTAGTCTAGAAAAAATGGAGCTGGGAGACTTGTATGTATTTGTATGTCTATGTGTATCTGTAATCTGTAATCCGTAATTTGTAATCTGTAATCTGTATCTGTATCTATTGTATTGTATGTAGGTTATTGTTGTAAGTATCGTTATGAAAATTGAAAAAAATTGATGTGTAGTCTTATGAAACAGTCGTGATCGCTTAAGGCTCAAAGCTTCGACTCAGACTCCGATTTGTTATACCAAACAGAAGCCGATCCCAGACCCCCGCTTAAAATTGTATGTCTAGACTCGAGTCAGTTGTCACAAAACCCCGAAACGTTTCTCAAATAAACTGAATGATCCGTCCTCCATACGAATGTGCTTCATTAGGCCGTAAAGGCTTACCATCCTATAAATACATAATTCTGTCTAATGTCTACAATAAATTACGATATTATTTTAATTAGACATTTGGCCGAAACCGCTTATTTCCGATCCATCTAGGGCATGAATGATGGTTCTCCGTGAATGGTTTCAGATCGATATGATAAGGGGTTCCTAGAATTCAGTGCTTGGACGTGTGGTTTCGAAAGTCTCCAAAAAGTATGCAACTGGAAAGCTGTCTGCGAGCTGACTTCAAGCCGGAAAACGTCCCATCATTACACAGACTGGGACCTGGTTTGTTGGGTTTCTCTGCAAAAAGAACAACACAATAATAAATATTTTAAGCTACAAATATTAAATCTCTGTTTAATGGAGGTCTCCCCCATTCTTAATAAAAGTAAACAAGCCATTAACACGTAATAATCAATTCACTTTCGCTTAAGCACTTTCGTTATCAACTTTGGTCGCATTTTATAGTTATGCCAGCACCAATTTCCCGCCGAACTTTGGATTTCCAGAGCAGAAGCCACTAAAGACAGCGGCCAGACCGGATTCTGCCGCACGGATGAGATGCCATTAAGATGTCTCCTGCACTCCGGACGAGATCGACCGGCCGGCAGAAGCCGCATTTTAATGGCCAGTCATTTGTCCGCTGCTGCACGGTCGGCTGCCCGCGGACTGATAAGCCGCTCGGTCTGTGCCCGTCTGATCCTGATAAGGCGACCTCCGCCGCAGCCGGGTTAGCAGAGACGTAGATCAAGTGCAGGGCAACCACACCTGCCGATGGAGGTCCGCGGAGGACCCCCTGTGGCAGCCAGCTGAGGTTGCTGGCGGAGGGCGGCAGCAGCCTGCCGGGGGGACAGGGCAGAAGGAAGCGCCTCATCATCCCTCGGAACCAATATCAATTGCCATTTGCGTAATGTCTATTCGCGGGTCAGAGTTGCCCTGTTATCGCCGTTAATCCCCAGAGAGGCCAGCGGAGAAAATCTGGAAGCTCCCGCCGAGACGCGGCTGATAGCCTTTCTGCTATTTGATTTTGTACACTTTGTTTTCATTCGGCTTGGACTCACGCCCAACGAGACGCTAGGAGGGGACTCTCGGACGGAGGCGGCGGCGGACGGGCTGGGCCGTGGTGGTGATAAGCCAGTGTAAAGCATTCTGCCGAAAGCCCTGATTTTCGACTCAAACGGATCGCGTGTTTTCTGACGATCGGACGTGAATTAGTCTACTAAGTTCCACCTCCGTCCCGAGCATCCAAAGAACCCATCATGAAGCTCATGCAGTGGGTGAAAACAGTGCTCTGCCTGATCCTCGCAGGACTCAGCACCTACCTGTTCGTGGTGTCCCTCGGCGTGGACTACCAGATCTTGGTGGCGGAGCAGCACGTCCGATTCCGCCAGGAGATGCCCACCATGGACAGCTGGATCAACTCCCCGTTCGGAGTGCTCAAGAGCTACGTCTTCAACGTGACCAATGCCGCCGAGTTTGAGAGCGGCCGGGACAAGAAGCTGAAGATCCAGGAGATCGGCCCCATCACCTACAAGGTCGTGGGGTACAACGACATCTTGGAGCGGAACGAGACTCACGTAACGTACTCGAAGCATCGCTACCGGGTCGTGGAGTTCCTGCCCGAGGAGAGTATTGCTCCGGATGTGCTCAGTTGGAATATTACGTCCGTTAATTCGGTACTCTTGGGGGCAGCAGCGAAGCTTAGGCCAATGATGGCCTTTGGCTACGATCTGATCCTTATCAATGAGAAGGAGTTCCTTACCAACACAATCCACTGGTTCCTCTGGGAGCTTACGAGTGTCTTTCTCAAAAGTGTCACCATGGTGACTACGATGTCCGCCAATGTGGCGGTGCTGCACAATGTAAGTGGGTTTCCTCTTTCCCGGCATTCTAATCTCGCCAGTTTTCCACCGCCAGGCTCTCAAGGACAAGGAGGAGATCTACACGGTGAAGATCGGACCGGAGCATGGTCTCGAGAACTTCTTTCGGGTCGAAACTCTCAACGGCCACCAGATCATCAAGGAGCAGCAGGAACGTTTGGGCGATTTCGACTCATCCGAGTGCCCCTTTAATGTGACTGGTGCCCTGGACAACTCCCTGTATCCGCCTTTTGTGCAGCCGGACACACCCCTTGAGATTGTGGCCTCAGAGTCCTGCCGCGTCCTTCCGCTCACGTACCTGGGAACTGAGAGATACGGAGGCTTCGACACTTACAGACTCACCCTGTTGAAGGAACACCAGAAGCCGCCACCATGTCTGGCCGACAGCTACCTCTACCATCTGCCTGACGGCATGTTCGACGTCTCCAAGTGTGTGATAAGTGAGTGGCCCAAGATTTGAGGTTTTCCTAGTTATTTACGGTTTTCGTCCCCCCTGAAGACGGGGCCCCCTCGGCCTTCTCGATGCCGCACTTCTACGGCAGCAGCTACAACTGGAGCAAGCACTACGAGGGCTACACGCCCAACGCCGAACAGCACCAGCCGTACATCCTGCTGGAGCCCGTCACGGGTATACCGGTGTCGGAGAAGTATCGTTTCCAGTCCAACATCCCAGTTCCGGATCTCGCATTTGGGGGCCGCCTGAGGAAGTACAGTAACATGATGCTGCCCAGTTTCTGGTATGAGTTTGTAAGTATCGCCCATCCCGATCCCAAGTCCAGCCACACTCATCACCTGTCTCTTTCAGGATATGGGTGAGCTGCCGGGAATCGTAAAGGTCCTCATGTGGATCAACGTGAATGTGGTGCCCCACATGCAGCCCTGGTGCATGGCGTTCCTGGTCCTGCTGGCCGTGTGGAGCGCCTTCAAGGCCATCCGGGTGATCTGGGGCGATCTCAGCTACGTGGAGTTCTACCGCAAGTTGTGCGGCGACGGCACCAGCGGTGTCATGTTGGAAACAAAGTTCCAGCCGACCGCTCCCGTCCCTGCGCCACCCGGGCAGCTCAGTGACCTGGCTGTCAAATAGTGCCTGTCTGGCGGAATAGTGCCTAGACCGGACCGTGTATATACTTATGTATGCCATAGACTTAGGCTAGAAGGTGCCACTACTGCTGATGCACTATCAGCGGCGTGGTTGCGCAATATACGATTAAGTTGAAAATTGAATGTGCCTCATTTCACCTTATCTGTCAGTCCGAATCGGCCAGACGCTGGCGAGTCTTCTTCCTGCTCTCCCTCGAGCAGGTCATCCGCCGCAGGGCCACCTCCCTCCCTCCCTCCATTCCTTCCAGGTGCGGCTTAGGCTTAGTGGTTTGAGGTCGCGTCGAAACGCCATGCCTTTGTACTGCCGCACAGCTCACAGACCCAATCCCCCGTGACAATGAAAACTTGGGCACGTACCAGCCAAAGATTTATTTATTTTGCGTTTTATTCAATCTGTCGTTTAATTTTTTTCCATGCTGTTAGTATTTCTTCGGCCTGGCCGTGTCGGCCGATGTGTATTTTGCGGTTTGTTTACTTTTCGATTCGCCTGGCTTGCGTAGTCATCTCTTTCCTGAACCTGAACTTTTGCACATGCCGCATGATAGCCTCCCCCACCCCGATGGCTCCAGCTCCATCTCCATCTCTGGCTGATGCCCTGATGATCGGATTCAAGGTAAGCAACCCTTTGTCCCCCGTCAGCGATAGCCTGTTTTTTTTTTTTTTGTGTAACCCCTCCTGTCGACCACTCTCGATTGCCATTTGCATAAAATCGATTTAGTGAGATGTGCGACGTGAGCTCGGGGCTAAGGATGCCCCAATTTAAACGTTAATCGGTAATCGCCGTACAAGTCGCAAGTTGTTGTTTTCGCCGGAGTTATGTCACAGGTGGAGTGACGGACGGGTCAGGCCGTGATTTATTGACCCTCCTGGCCCAGGTCCAACTGAGACGGTCGGAGAATCGCCAACGTCAGAGTAGCATCTCGCCGAGTCGTAAACTCGCGATTATTCGAGTGAATAAAGTGTATTTTTGGTTTTATGGCCCCATTATTCCGTTGCCCCCACCAGAGCTAGAATTATCAGCATAAACAGGGCCCCATTAGTTGGATTTAAGTACGATTGACCGCTGGAGCTGATCTAGAAAACCCCAAGTCATGCTTGACACGGCCAAAAATTGTGTCCATATGGGCGAGGTGCTTCTGGGTAAATCCCCCATTACTCAGTCCCACCAGTGTCGGGATATAATCAAATAAACTAAAATCGAAATCGAATCCAATTCCCCAAACAAACCCCATACTCACACACTCGAATGAGCTTTCGAAATCTGGTTAAGTCTAGACTGGTGGTGGAGTGGTGCGTGCGATCCATGGGGCTAAGATAATTAAAAGGGAAATGAAAATGGAAATGCATAAAAGTGATTACCACACACCATAGCACTTTGGACAACAAAATGCGATCGTTAAATCCCGAAAGACTCGGAAACCGAACTCGACCAACTGCCAAAATCAACGCCAACTGGCGGCGACAGCTCAAATTTCAATTTTCACGTATAGTATAGTACGTCAATGCTTTTCCTACGAATTGTGTATTTTTGTATGCGAGCAAACAGAGAGATAAATCTGTGATAAAAAACAACACTTCCAATCCCATTCCACCCTTTGAACCGCCGGCCCAACTTCAGTTAACCTGGCTGGCTAGCTAGCTGGCTGGCTGGCTATCTGGCAGACTGCTTGCCGAAATTCGTCTGAAAAAACCTAAGACAGTCATCGAAAATCCGGTTCGGTTTGCCAGCTTTGAGGCTAACACTGCTACACTGAGCGGAAAGCTCGAGAGCATTGGGGATTGGGCTCAGTGTAGCCGCTGGCAAAGCTCCTTGTATAAAAGCCAGGCATACAGGCTAGCATCTCGCAATCCAAGCTGTGCAGTCGTCGTTCGCACATCCAAGTCGCTCCAAAAAAAAACAGAAGTAAGTAGCCATTCCAAAGCATAGCCAACTACTAGGAACGAGGAAAGCCGCAATGGACCGGGTGGAGCCATGATGGTTGCGTAAACCGTATATCCAGTGCGGAGCTGGCTCTGCGCCACTTAACGGTAAATGGCCCGCCACCAGACCACCAACAACTAGCCGCACGGATTTAAATATTTTGGACACGAAAGCTGCTGGACGGCGACGTGGTCGTGAAATTGTGAAATCTTCTTTGTAAAATATTAAACTCAGCAAACAGCAATTAGTATGCATACGCGATATATAAGCCAAGGGCCATTAATAATGCATGATGACTAAAAAAAAAAAAAAGAAAGAAAACAAAAAATGGGCAGCGCAGCCATCACCTGAGATGATTCTCTACCTGTCGCGAGACTCGGCGTCGCCTTCTAATAAGATGTTTCACGCTCCCAGCTCACCTACTGACGAAGCCTGTTCCGGAAAACTATTTAGCAAACAACCAAAACAACATAACTCACCCGCATTCACATCTCCCGCTCCCGCCTTTCTTTCCAGCTCCTCTACTACATCTACCACACTCCTCTCCTACAAGATGAAAGCTTCGCTGGCCATTGCTGTGTGTCTGGTTGCTGTGAGCTTGGTGGCCGCTGCTCCCCAGAAGCAGTACACCAGCAAGTTCGACAACGTTAACGTCGACGATGTGCTGGGCAACGACCGAGTGCTGAACAACTACCTCAAATGCCTGATGGAGAAGGGACCCTGCACTCCGGAAGGTCGTGAGCTGAAGCGCCTCCTGCCCGATGCCCTGCAGTCCGAGTGCTCCAAGTGCACGGAAGTGCAGCGTCGCAACTCCGAGAAGGTTATCAACTTCTTGCGCTCCCATCGGGCCGGTGAGTGGAAGCTGCTGCTGGACAAGTACGACTCCAAGGGAATCTACCGCGCCAAGCACGATGCGGCACAGAAGAAGCAGCACTAACTGGAGCACCACTCCAACGAGAGACTCGCACTCATTCGCACACATGAATCCTAATTTAAATCCACAGAGATCCACAGTAAAATTATAGTTTTTTTTATACCTAAATGCGGCAAACGAAACTTTTATTCCAACGATGGGGGATAATATCGGCTAAGCCAGATCGGCTGGGAATAGGTGCTATTTGGACTCGTTGATCAGGTCGATGGCCCTAAAGTGATTCGCCACATTAATAGTCCAGTCCGACTGCTGACCGGCCGTAAACTCCTTGATGAATCGATAGTTGCATATGAACACTTTGTCCTGGTACTCGGGCAGGGTCCTATAAGAAGTAAGAAGTAAGCCATTCTATCTGTGTCTAGCTTAAGTAGCTGGCGACAACTCACCCCATGTTCCAAGGTATCTCTTCGCCGCGCTCTCGCATCTCGGAGAGACCGCGCATCACGTGGAAGACCATGGTGATTTCAACGAAGCGCTTCTGGAGCTTATCATTGGCCTCGTCGAACATGATGCCCACCTGGTAGGGGAAACTGAGGTAGATGTCGCTTTCCTTTATCTCCAACTGCCGCCGTTGCGTCATCGACAGCTTCTGTATCACGGGTCGCAGCTCAGAAATAGCTTCGGGCGAGACCAAAGTGTCCAGCGAGTCCAGATCACCGCCCATCAATCTTGAGGAAACTACCTAGCACACATCTTGGTGTTTCTGAGATCGCAATTGTTAAAAAGCAGGTCAACTCACCTGCAGCGCCTGCTTTGCGCCAAATATAAAGTCCTTCAGCTGAAACTCGCTATCGAAGTAGGGGCGGATGATGAACTGGATGGTTATCCAATTCTTGAGGGTGTTGAGCGCGGAGGGCCATATGATTTCTGGAAACTCCATGAGCCGGGGAAGTCTGTTGAGACTCTCCCGACTCTCTTCCGGCTCCTTCTTATTCTTCTCCTCCTGTGGCAGTGAGGCAAATGATCGCCTACCCGGTTGCCCCGGAAACGTCCGGAGCCCAGATTCCCTTTGTTTAATGGCGGCAACAGAGGCCGCGGAGTGGGCGCGTATAAGGGGCACCCGTGCCATGCCCAGGCAACGTTTCAGTGCGTGTTGCATGGCCATAATTGTACTTTTGGCTCGATGCAATCGTTTGTCAAAATAAAATGTTTTTGTTATTGCACAGCAGCGCACCGTTGTCCAGTACTGGCCTGACCAGTGTTAAACAGCCTGAATATGTCGGGTTAGAATATCGAACCAGTTCCGAAAATGAACTACCAAATAATCGAACATCGGAAGAACATATTGTAAATTGAGAGTTAAAACGACAAAAGTCAAAACAAGAAGCAGAATTTTTTTATAAGGTAATTTGAAAGCTTTGAATATAATATCTCTTTGACCTCAAATCAGCACTGCATTCCAAGACATGCACCTGAAACTTATCGATACATATCGATTGCGCAGTCCATCTCTGAAAAATGGTGCCAACATCCGGTTGTCAAATTTTTCTTTCTTTCCCATCCACGACGAGCAAGGGTCGACATGAGGTATAAAGTGATTTGGCTTTTTAGCCGCCTTTCTCTGTGATAAAATGTGTGCAGTGTGCGGCTACATGCTGTCATGATGCTACAGGACACCAGAGGCCAGTGCCATTCATTTTAGCCCGGCAATTGTGAAATAACCAAACATGCGCCGCACACACACACACACACACACATGAGCGTAGCACGCTGGACAGTGCCTCTAATCAACGTTTGTGTTTTCCACTTGCAGTTCTCTAAAGCTCCAAAAGAGGCTCGCAGCCTCCGTACTGCGATGCGGCAAGAAGAAGGTCTGGTTGGATCCCAATGAAATCAACGAGATCGCCAACACAAACTCGCGTAAGTACCAGACCCAGTTGAGCTGGACAATTCGACTAAACTGCTCTCTCTTGTAGGCCAAAACATCCGCAAGTTGATCAAGGATGGTCTGATCATCAAGAAGCCCGTCGTGGTCCACTCTCGCTACCGCGTTCGCAAGAACACTGAGGCCCGTCGCAAGGGTCGCCACTGCGGTTTCGGTAAGCGCAAGGGTACAGCGAACGCCCGTATGCCCGTCAAGCTTCTGTGGATGCAGCGCCAGCGCGTTCTGCGTCGTCTGCTGAAGAAGTACCGCGACAGCAAGAAGATCGATCGCCATCTGTACCACGACCTGTACATGAAGTGCAAGGGTAACGTGTTCAAGAACAAGCGCGTCCTCATGGAGTACATCCACAAGAAGAAGGCCGAGAAGGCGCGCAGCAAGCTGCTGGCTGACCAGGCCGAGGCTCGCCGACAGAAGGTGCGCGAGGCACGCAAGCGCCGCGAGGAGCGCATCGCCACCAAGAAGCAGGAACTCATTGCCCTGCACGCTAAGGAGGACGAGATCGCTGCCAAGGCCGCCACCGCGGGCCACTAAGCAGTCCAGCCCGCTAGCCGGGTTTCACAATATTGATAGTAATTGTTCATCAACTGAATAAAACAAAAACTTGGTTTGGCCGAAGTGATTTTGTACAAACGTGAAAGCTAATCTTGTTCTTAATGTTTTCAGAAAATGCATAATTTTTGTTTATTAATTCTTATGTTTATTTATTAAAAGCTCCATCTCCTTGGGGGTATTTAAGGGCAACATTGTAATACGCTCCTCAAGGATTTAAATGAAAAATAATCCAGAAAAACTACAACTTTTATTGAAAAGTTATTTTTTAAAGAAATATTTTCTTTAAAGCTTTTTTTTAAGATTACGATTTCATGCCAATTCTGATAAGCTTGTGAAAGCTTTCACTTTGGCGTTTTGCCCATATTTAGTTCATAACTGATAGATATTTTTTGCAACCAGCGTATCTTTCAAACTCATTATGAGCCACAAATCAATCGCAGTAAGACCCAAAAAATCAGCTAGCAAAAGGGATAACCCAAACCATATAATGGAACAGTATATAAGTAAGTACATAGACATTGCACCGCGGGAAATGAGACGATCCTATAGGCATTTTCGGGCGTTGCAAAAGATCATTTTCGCGGAACTGAGAGCAGACAGTAGAGTTTTGGACCAGCTCATCGTAGAATACAGTTTGGAAGGTATGTTATCTATCTTATTCTACTAAAGCTGGTACAGGATGTCCAGAACCCCTTACCCTAACACATCCGTTTGCCGGATAAGTCACCCACTTAGGAGGTATATGGCGAGCATTGGAAGTGGAGCATCTATAGGCAATATGGCAGGGGGTCATACTTTATACATTATAAAAACCATAACCTGATAAGGACAGGCAAGTCGCTATAGCTTATTTTTCAATCATACTTTCTTACTTATAGACCTCTTATACTTCATCCCAACTCTGTTATTTTCAGTCGTGTAACTTTTATTTAAAAATATAAAATACTATTATTAGTATCGTTTATTGCTTCTAATCGGGTTTGTTATCTTTCGTTATCAGTCGAAACGTTTTTAAAAGCATCCTAGACTTTTTAGTGTCCGAGTCCCGCGACTCATCGCGTTATGTTTTACGGTTCTGAATCATAGAATTAAAAAAGGAAAAAAGTTGTAAAAAAAAAAAGCCGTGTAACTTATCTAATCGCCGGGCGCATCCTTGACTTTAAAGTATCCGTGGTCCGCGTCATATCGTTTTTATAGCGTCGTACTTTTCGGTTCCGAATGATAGGATTTAAAAACCCGTGTATCTTTTCCAATCGCCGCGCGTATCCTCGACTTTTTAATATCCCTATCTCGCGTCGTGTTTTTTTTCCGTAAATAAAAATCGCTATTCTTAATCCGTATTCGCAGGAAGCACGGGCGACAATTTAAAAATCTCGAAACCCAACGAATATGATTTAGTTTTTAAACTCGAAATTCCGTATTACCGCAACATCATCGTAACGAAATGTCCGCGAATCCCGGGAAATGTTCTACTAAACTTGACGCGCGTTCTGGAGTTATTAAAAGAAGATCCCCGCGAGGATTATCGTCGCATTCACGGTTTCCTATCCAACTTGGTCGATCGAAACAACTATCTCGTCGTGGACAAGCTCCGTAGCTTCCTGCAGAGTTGCTTTAGTCGCGCCCTGAACAAAATCGCGTATCGCATCGAGGTTGATGGTCAGGTCTCCCGACTCCGATACCAGACCTGTGGGCCGGCCCACACTATCTTCGTAGATGGACTCTACTCCGTGGACTTTGTGCCAGCCATCCGTCTGGGGTTTGCACAGAACGTCCTGCCGAAGGATTTAGAAGAATACCACGCGTGCGCGAATCTCTCATACTGGGAAGCCATCCCAAAGCCTTTGAAATCTCAACTAAGACACCCGCCTCCGCAGATCTCGTTCCGGTCTTCCTTTTACGCCGCGGAAAAAGTTATGCTGGCCGGAAAGCACAAGAATTGTACGGACGCCATTAGGTTTATGAAACACTACCGCGACCTTAGATCCAATTTGAGCCACCTTAAAAGCTATTACATTAAAACTTTATTTCTCTGGAAAATTAGGTCTCAACCGGATTCCTATTGGCAGGACCATACCCTTACTGACATTTTAACGGATGTAAGACCCTTAAATTTTAGATAATCTTTCAAAACTTATAAGGGTATTCTTTCCAGATGTTTGAGGAGCTCACAAAGTGCCTGGAGAAACGGCGACTTCCCTTTTTCTGGGATGCAGAGCTAAATATGCTGGATGTCCTTACACAGGATCAAATTACTGAGTTGCATTTGTGCGTGAAAGCAACATCTAAGAAGCCCATTAGGGTGAGACCCTGCTGTCCACGTAGGTCCAATACTCGTCTGATACATGGAGTTCTACCAAAAAGAAGGTTGCCTTATTATTTTTTTAAAAGCAGCAAAAGGGCACCTGTGAAGCACACTACTTCCCATTTAAAAAAGCTGGTTACATTGTATAAGTAACCTGTTGAGTAGTTTTATAATTATTAATTAATGATTAATGGCGAAGAGTGCATCCCGACCATCTGTATTAAAAACAGGCTTAGTACAGAGGGCCACAGAGCGATCATCGGTCGTGAATAGTCACCTTTTTAGGTGATGTGTGAACCTATGGTCATTAAATCAACCCACTTCTTTGCTTCTAATTTTATATGGTTTTTCAATATAAACCTGGCTAACATTGTTGTCCTCAAATAATTACAATCATTCCGAATATTGAATAAAAATAATTAAGGTTTAAAAATAATAGTGAAGTTTAATTTATATACCATAAATCTCTAAATATAAGGGTATAAATAAGTAAATATAAGTATATTTAAAATTTAATTATAAAACTTTAAAAATCTTAAAAGGTTGAAATATTTTTAAATAAAAAAATAACGTTTTTCGATTTCCAGTGTTGTAAGTAGGCGTTTTTTTATCGATAGCTATCGGGTTAACGTAACGGTCACACTTTTTTGAACATTTCCGATGTACGGAGCAAGTATTTTTCTCTTCAGGTAAAACTGCTCGTACCTTGATATTCGAAATCAAATCATAATCGACTCGCAGCTCGGGCAGACGCAGACCAGTTTAGAACTCCGCGACGCATACGTAAAGAGGATCGAAATCGGTATCGATGCTAATTTCAACCATATAAATCGGCCGCGACTTCTTGGAGGCAGCGCACTAGCTAAAGATATTCCGCCGGGACAACTGCCTGCAGCAAGAAGCCAATACCCCAAACCAAAAACCAAACCCAAACCCAACCTCCAATCCAAACTGAATCGAACTACCTGTGACTGCACGACTGGGATTTCATAATCCCAGCCAAAAGAATACCATCAGCCACCAGACAGTGGAGCGCGAGTGAAAGTGCGCGTGTATTTGTGCATCAATTGCCTCCGGCATCATCATCCCAACTACCCAAAGTAGTCCCAAATCTCCCCAAAATCATCTACAATGAGCGGATACACAGACCTCACCAAGCTGGAGACCAGTCGGTAAGCGTCCATGCCATCTCCCGACCGTGTTTCAGTCTGAATCCAAATCCATATCATGCTAATCCCAATCCAGTTCGCTAGTTGAAGCGTTTAAGTTTAATTTGATAAAAAAAAAAAAATCATGATGCTAAATTGGTGGGGCACATTCCTATCCATCCTCTCACGAGCTCTGTGCTCGGTTCTCTCGTCCGACAACCGCACCCCTCGAGCGTTTTCTCTTTCGTTTGCACCGTACCGCACCGACAACAAAAAAAAAACGAGATACAAGAAATATATATCGTACGATTTTTGTTGTATGGACAGACGGACGGTCGGACGGGGACCAACAATTCAAACACGAAAGAAAAAAAAAAAAAAAAACCAAGCCAACGCTAATATGACACAATCGGCTATATATTGTAGACCCATACCCGCCGAGGCACCCGACGAATGCGTTAGTGCGTACAGGTATCGGTGTGTGTGTGTTTGTTTGTTTAAATGTTTCGACCAAGCCAACAACAACAACAGACCCGAAATCAGAGTCCGAGCTTTTGGATGAGCGATAAGGAGTAGTAGTTATCTATATCGCACTTCCTCACTACCATTACTCATGGGTTTTTGGCTCTCCGACGACCCTTTTTCGCAAAATATATGTATTCTCTGATTCACCTATGCTAAGACTAGCTGGCTGGTTGGTGTGTCACCTAGCGGCAAGTGTCGCCTTGAGCTCATGCCAGTGGCCGCCATCCGATAGCCAAAGACCAGCCATAGAATATCAAATGTGCTGGCGGGTCGGGGGCGTATCAAATATCGATTGTGATGGGCAGTCAACGGAGGTCAGGCGGGGGACAAGTCGCTATAGCCACAACCAACCGAAACCAAATATTGGTCAATTCACCCATACATACATATGTATGTGGCATTGCCCAACATTGCAAATACGAGAAATACCACAAAACATGGCAGCAGCACCACTAGCACCATCAGCATTGGAGTAGTGGCACTCGCCTCGTTGGCGGATTTTTTCATTCATCATGACCAGCTGAGATTTCGTTGGTTGCATGCTCACCGGGGTGGCAGGGGGCAGGAGGCAGGAGGCAAGAGGCAGAAGCTCTTAGCCGTACAGTTGCTCGGAAACATCACGCCATACGGGCGGCACTCCAAAGAGAAATCGCACTGCCCAAAGAGAGAGAGAGAGTAGCACGGGAGAGAGTTTTTTTTGTGGCACTCACATGCCACATGAAGCCAGCTCAACACCACCCACCACCGCGCCCGCTGCCAGCCAGCTGCCGTTCATTGAAAATAATCGCCTGATTTCAACGCTGTATGCGGTACATGCCCAGTCTCTAGCTCAGCTGCTGCTTCTTCTTCTTTTCTCGATGCCGTCGCGTGACGCCAGCGACTCGCTTAGCCCAATTCTCACAGTCGGGAACCTGGTGGAGTGGTGGAGGTGGGCGATGCGGGGAGGAGGAGGAGCAGGTGTGCTGTACGATTGGCTGTACCCGGTGGCGTGTTTGCCCGAGCCGGCGTTTGGGATCGGGCCAGAAAGGGACCCGGGAATGGGTTCTTTGCCGAAAGGTCAATAGCGTTCCTCCCCCCCCCCCCCAACTGGCGCGTGGCCAACATCCCAAAGAGTCATCTATGCAAATAAGGGGGGAGGGGGGGTCTTAATTGGAAATAAATTGAAATGATTAGGTAGGTGTGTGTGTGTGTGTGTGGAGCCCAGCCCCATCAACACCAGACATCCATTATGCGGAATCACTGATAAAATAATAGTTATTTTTTGCATTCCTTGTGATTGGAATTCTTCGCAATTAGTTTAATTAGTCACTCGGAGGGGGGGAGGGGGCGGTGGGAATCTCACAGCCACTCGTCAGTCAGTTCACGATGTCTGACCGTGGCGGAAAAAAACCTTGACACCCGCTCTAGTTATAGCCTCTGGCGTCTAGAAGCTAGAGCTGGTTGTGTTCTGATTCTGAATCCGATTCTGGCATGTGAGCACGCAGTGCTCGCGTGGCCACCCCCATCCCCGGGCCTCTACACTCTAGCCATCGATATCTAGATTGTCTTAGTTTTCTCGCCCGGAGGAGGTCGAGGAGGAGGAGGGGCCCTCTTTAAATGGCGCAGCCACTAAAACTAAATTTATCAGCTCCCAGTGTCGGTGCTGCGATCACGCGGCCCCGCACTGGCTAGGAGTACTCTGTGGCAATCTCTCCAATCGGAGTGGGGATTTCGGAGCTGGGCAGCCCTCCGTCTGGGAGACGTCTGGCGGGGCGATAAGCCTCGCCGACCCAGACTTCGGACCAGACGCACTAGTTTCCAGATAGCACGAGCGAATCGCTTTCGCCACGGGGGGTTAATAGCTGTCACTTGTTGGATCACTTGCTGGGGTCTAGCTGGGTGGAGGGAGGGTTTGGAGCCGGGTTTATGGCTACTTACGCGATCTCATCGTGAAATTAACGTTAATAAGGTGCGCAGCGATTGTGTAACCCATTACTTTGAATGTAGTGCATCCGAGACCCAGCTGCCCTCCCGCCCGCTTGGAGGAGCCTGCTCCCAACACGTGGCTGGTTAAATTGGCTTTTAAGTCAAAAATAGAAATCTTTCTGGTCGGTCTGGGCTTTGTTTTAACGGCCACACGAGCACTGTCAGGTACAAAGGCACACACCATCATCGAAGCAGGTTTTCTATTTTATACAAAATTCAATTTGCGACAAAAGCAACAACAACAACAAGCTGATTTGCATAGAAACCAATTCATATCTATCATACGCCACGTTGGCCTATCGACGGCGCACCCAGTCCAAGCCGAAAATCCAAAAACCAAGAAAGCTTCAAGTGGCGGAAGTCTGAGCACCGACAGACTTAACGACGCTATAGAATATTGGTTGGTGTCTGGGAGGGCGAGATCTGGTCTGGTCGCTCCCCCAATCGCCAATATCCATATACCCATCCCAATCATGGTGTCTATTGTTGTCCCAAACTGGTTTTCCCATTGCCCGCCTTACTGGTTCCTAGTCCAAGCTCATCTTCTGATCGTTTTGGTTTCTGTTTTTTTTTTTAGGAACAGCCGGCGCCGCATCGCCTGTCATGATGAGCAGCAGTTCTCCAAAGACAGCATCGTCAACGTGATGGAGAAGTTTGTGAAGACTGTCAACATAATGGATGATACCATATTGGTGCCATGCAGGCTCATGGATCGACAGGTAGGTTGAGGATGATCCCTCAAAGCTTCTCCAGCTTGCCTCCAACTGCCTGTCCAACTTCCAACTCACCATGGAACTGTTCTATTCTTCTCATTTCTCTCGCAGATTGGCGATAGCACCGACATCATACCTGCCACGGGCAAGGACTCCACCGCCAACCAACTGACGCTGAGCTCCAGTGCCCAGGGCAAGCGGGGAGCGGTCCACTCCAAGAACGTACACGAATTCCTCAGCGCCTCCGAACTGTTCAACCTCTACAACATGCTCAACTCCCTCAAAAAGGATCTGTTGTGGACAGCCAACCAGGAGGATGAGGACCACCCGCAGCTGCAGTCACAGATTAGCACCATCCCCACTCCCAATCCCAATCCCAATCCCAGCGAGAGCAAGACTGACTCCAGCAGCACCACAGCTACAACGACGACGGGGGCCCATGTCAAGGGTCATGTGCGCCGCACCTCCACCGCCTCGATGATGTCCACCAACTCGGTGAGCAACATGAGCGACTCGGACTCTGACATCTCGCAGGAGAACGATTCCGGCTTGGAATCCGATGGCAACAAGAGCGACAACGCCCAGAGCAGTGACGGTAGCGACATCGTGGACGTGGCCGGACCCAAGTCGAAGCAGGCCAGCGGCGATAAGGCCACGGAGCTGGCCCAGCGTTGCCGGAGGCATCTGAACGGTCTGTACGAGTGCCTGGAACAAATGACAGAGGCGGCCAACTATCTGACCGCCAGATACCAAAGTGATATTGGGCCCGTCTAGGAAGCTCAACTGAATGCCTTCTTCTCTCCCTTGAAAACCACTTCCCTTTCAAAATCCTTCGTAGTCCTGTGGGAAATCTTCGGGTCGGGCGGGTCTTACTCTCTCATTAGTATCAAGTGCAACCAAGTGTGAGGTGGTCTTTCTTTAATCATAACTGTAAACGTAATTCAAGTGGGGGGGATGTACTAAGTATAAGGACATATGAGGATCGTATGTGTGCATGAAAGGATTGTATAAATGAATAACTATGATGAGGATAGCTATTAGCTAAGTAAGTGGGTAGAGAGAGCAGCTCCTAAGCAAAAAAACAGTCACCGAAAGTTACATATTTTTGTGCAAAAATTGAAACCTCTTCATTTATATTTCTCTTGTGTATGGTTTGAAATATATGTATTAGAGAATATATCCGCTGGAGGACCTCTCCTAACTTTTGCAAATTTTATTTCGTATAATATATATGTATTGGATAATAGCTATGGGTACTGCAAAAAAACAACAAAAATCTTTAAAAAAAAATATATATAAAATAATAATATGCAAAAAATGTTCAAGTACAAGAAATCTAATTTCTAACTAAATTACGATTACGAACAAACACACACACTTCTACACACTAGCCTGTACGCAAGTCTACTATGTATTCCACACAATTGTTATTGTAATTGTTTAAGCCAACTATTTGTGCCGTTATGTTTCGTTTGGTTTTTGCTGTCCGGGCCTGGTTATCGCTGGATCCGGCAGCCAAGATCCAAACTGTAAATTACTAACGTTAATAACGCTTGTGAGCGAGAGCTAAAAAGAGATAAAATTATTTATACACAATAAATAAATTTTACTTAGAAAATATGTATTGGCCTTTATTACTCTAGAAGGGAAAGGGGTGGGGTGGAGCTGGTTCGATAAAGAAAGTGCCAAGCGAGGCACATTTTTTCGGGGCCGAGACCGGGGCTCGTGCGATGGGTACAAAGACCACTCCAATGGTTGAAAGGTGGCACTGCCCGGTCGGTCGGTTGTAAAGCAGCTCATTTAGATTACGGTGAAGACTCGGTAACAACACCCAATGTTTAAGCCCCTTATTAGGGCTATTTATCGAAAATGTGTCTGCAGTTTCTGAAATCTAATCTTCAATCTAATTATTTTCTGCACCTGTTTAACGGAAACTCTCCTTATCCGCACTCGGGCTGGAATAAAGTTCCAAAACAAACCCATTGACGTACGAAGATAATATAATATTTAAATTTTCTCCAATCCTCTGATATTTACAAGGCTATTGACGTATTCGGGGGAAGGGTGTTTATATTTCTTCGACCAGCTCTTCCCACAACCGCAAGCCCAAAGCTGGCCTATCTAATCTAACTTCCTAGTCACACCATAACCAGGCGCAGGCATGGTACATCATGGGAGTCACTGGTACTATTCCTCTGGCTATTCTCAATATGTGCTGGGACGGGTCTGAACTTCAGCCAGGTGAAAAGTGGAACCAAGTTACTCTTCTTCCAATTCTCATCTGATTCTTGAGAAGAATACTTCAAAAGATATCTACAAAGATTCTCCTTCGATCTTCACAAAAATATAGACACTCTTTTTTGGATCTATATTTTTCAAACATTTCTTGGGGATCCCCCTGCAAAATCCAGGATTCTCATATATGGCCCCTTGAGGTGGCTATATCTTGGGCAATTCGTATCCGATTCTTAAACGGAATACCTTTAAAGAATTGTAGATGGATTCTCCATCGATCTGCATCAAAACCTCGACACAAATTTTTTGATCCCTATTTTTCAAATTTTTCTGGGGATCCCCCTGCAAAATCCAGGATTCTCATATATGGCCTCTTGCGGTAGCTATATCTTGGGCAATCCTGATCCGAGTCTTGAAAGGAATACCTTTAAAGAATTGTAGATGGATTCTCCTTCGATCTGCATCAAAACCTCGGCACAAATTTTTTGGTCCCTATTTTTCAAATTTTTTCTGGGGATCCCCCTGCAAAATCCAGGATTCTCATATATGGCCCCTTGCGGTAGCTATATCTTGGGCAATTCTGATCCGATTCTTGAAAGGAATACGTTTAAAGAATTGTAGATGGATTCCCCTTCGATCTGCATCAAAACCTCGACACAAATTTTTTGATCCCTATTTTTCAAATTTTTCTGGGGATCCCCCTGCAAAATCCAGGATTCTCATATATGGTCCCTTGCGGTGGCTATATCTTGGGCAATTCTGATCCGATTCTTAAACGGAATACCTTAAAAGAATCGTAGATGGATTCTCCATCGATCTGCATCAAAACCTCGATACAAATTTTTTGGTCCCTATTTTTCAAATTTTTCTGGGGATGCCCCTGCAAAATCCAGGATTCTCATATATGGCCCCTTGCGGTAGCTATATCTTCGACAATTCTGATCCGATTCTTGAAAGGAATACCTTAAACGAATTGTAGATGGATTCTCCATCGATCTGCATCAAAACCTCGGCACAAATTTTTTGGTCCCTATTTTTCAAATTTTTCTGGGGATCCCCCTGCAAAATCCAGGATTCTCATATATGGCCCCTTGCGGTAGCTATATCTTTGGCAATTCTGATCCGATTCTTGAAAGGAATACCTTAAAAGAATTGTAGATGGATTCTCCATCGATCTGCATCAAAACCTCGATATAAATTTTTTGGTCCCTATTTTTCAAATTTTTCTGGGGATGCCCCTGCAAAATCCAGGATTCTCATATATGGCCCCTTGCGGTAGCTATATCTTCGACAATTCTGATCCGATTCTTGAAAGGAATACCTTAAACGAATTGTAGATGGATTCTCCATCGATCTGCATCAAAACCTCGGCACAAATTTTTTGGTCCCTATTTTTAAAAATTTTTCTGGGGATCCCCCTGCAAAATCCAGGATTCTCATATATGGCCCCTTGCGGTACCTATATCTTTGGCAATTCTGATCCGATTCTTGAAAGGAATACCTTAAAAGAATTGTAGATGGATTCCCCTTCGATCTGCATCAAAACCTCGATACAAATTTTTTGGTCCCTATTTTTCAAATTTTTCTGGGGATCCCCCTGAAAAATCCAGGATTCTCATATATGGTCCCTTGCGGTGGCTATATCTTGGGCAATTCTGATCCGATTCTTGAAAGGAATACCTTAAACGAATTGTAGATGGATTCTCCATCGATCTGCATCAAAACCTCGACACAAATTTTTTGGTCCCTATTTTTCAAATTTTTCTGGGGATCCCCCTGCAAAATCCAGGATTCTCATATATGGCCCTTTGCGGTAGCTATATCTTGGGCATTTCTTATCCGATTCTTGAAAGGAATACCTTAAAAGAATTCTAGATGGATTCCCCTTCGATCTGCATCAAAACCTCGGCACAAATTTTTTGGTCCCTATTTTTCAAATTTTTCTGGGGAGTCCCCTGCAAAATCCAGGATTCTCATATATGGCCCCTTGCGGTAGCTATATCTTGGGCAATGCTTATGCTTTTCTTTAGCCCCTTTTGGGAGCTGTATCTGGCCAATTCTTTTGTGATTTTTGGGAGAAATACCTGAATAGATTGTTAAATCTCTTCCCCACCGATCTGCATCCGACTCTTATTCCGCCATCATATTCGGGTAGGGTGCTTATATATATGTTCCTTATAAACATGCATATATTTATGATCAATGTTGCCCTCCTCTTCGTATAAACGCAAACCCAAAACTTTCCTATCTAATCTCATTTCCTAGACACACCATTTTCGGACGGACGCGTGCCACATCTCGAGAGTCACTGGTATTATTCCTCTGGCCATTCTGATTAGGAAATCGGGCGGGGCTGAACTTTCCCTGGAGCAACAACACTTGTAGGGGGCTCGCTTATCTATGGGGACTTAGATAGTGAACCCATAAGGAGGAGGAATGCTTCAATTACAAAATAATTCCCCGGCTGGCCGATTCACGGCCCGTGTCCGTGGCAAACTATCGATCATGGGACTGACTCATGGCCATATCTAACTCTCCGCTCAAGTTCACGGCGGAATGGCCAAGTCCCGTGTCTGGAATCGAACGATATTTCGTAATTTTGATACGTAATTCTCTGTGCTATTGGGACGCAACTCTGACTATGCTTCAGAGGCACAATGTGTAATCTGGCCCATAGAACGGAGTGGCTCATGAGCATGTATCTGGGCCAAGTTAATGGTGCTACTTGAGTGGCTAGTTGGTGCTTATTTTGGCGAAGGTGGTCTTGGACATGGCCTTATCATTGCGGCGACTGCTGACGAGAATCGCGACCAGTCTAATGGAAATAGAAGCCATGAACTTGTTTCGTGATTATCGGCAGACTCCACTTGAGCGGTTTCGAGGGCGATTCCATTGCACTGGCCACCCCCCCATGACATCCCCCTGGGATACAGAATGAGTTCTCTGGGCGGGCCAGTCCAGACCAAGCAATTAGCACCCTTATATGGCTTCCGGATGGGAGCTCCTCCCTCTCGAATCATTCAAATTTGGCTTCAGTTTCGATTTCTGTGCAAACGTTTGTCTCGGCTGCGAATTTTCGGCTGCTGTGAAGCAAAACTTGTTTACGGTTCTAGCTCTCGATTTCGGCTTCCGCTTGTTGTTGGCGGCGGATCGCCTTAACCCACGGCAGACGGAAGTGTCATAACTCAGCGGAGATCGATACTTGTCTGGGGTGGCCCCAGATCAGAGGTGCGTTGTAGCGTTTCCGGTTGTTGACCCCGCCCGGCCCGGGCCTTGAAGAAGAGTCTTCTCTACGCCGCTCAGCTCCAAAGAACTCAGCTCCAGATTAGCATAACCAAATCGGAGTAACTCTTTAAAAAGAAAGCCCCCAGTCGGCGTGAGTCAGCAGTTTGGACGGCTTGTAACTGGTCAAGCATTTTGGTACTGTCCAAGGTCCAAGCTGGGAGATCGGCGGTGTTCGCAAAGCTCCAACTCCCAAGGCCCCGATGCGGTTCTTTCAGCATTGAGCTGGTGGCATTAATCAGCAGAAGCATCAGTGGCAGTATGCGGTGCCAGAGTCGGAATCAAATTTTATCACGTGCCACTGCCCCCAGCTCCCAGCCAGCCCCCTGTCCCTGGCGAGATCCGAATAAAAGCTTTGCATGCAAATCGAAACGAGTAATTAATTAATAACAGCACTCCGGCAGCAGCTACAGATTAGCATGAGAGAGGTCCAAAAATATCCACCAAACCGACCGAGAAACACTTCCGTTTGACCCCAGACCCCCAAAAAGACCAGCAGTCTGGGCAGGCGGAAGCCAGAAGCCGCGACTGGTTTGGGTAATAGATCAAACGCAGTTTCCGTTAGGGCCCCAGTAACCGACTTCCTGGATTCCAAACGCGGATTCCATCAGCCAGCAGCCTGTCACCACCTCCATAAACCCCCTGCAATGACAAGAGACAGGTACATCCAATATGGAAGGGGGAGGTGAATTTCGGATTATGCTCGAGAGGGAGTGCGTCACCCAGATGAATAATTAGAGCCCCTGCCCATCTAAGAGCTACAGCAGAATAGAAATCTCAGCTTGCCAATACATCACGATCGACTTCCGCGGGCGGGCTGACGGGGAACGGGGTACGGGGGACGGGGTCTGTGAGTTGGCGGCCAACGCTGCCAAGTCGGTTCATGGCTAGCCACATGGTACAAAGTCCGAAAACTCGAAATTCCACACTCACACTCGCATAGCCACTTTGCACTGCGGATATTACAATGAGCGGGCTAAATCGCGTCAAGAGGTATTCATTCACGAACATTCTACGGAGGTAGGCCAGCCATGCCCACTGCCCCGTGAGACGGTTCAGGCCAGGCCGGGGATCGCCCGTCGAATGGGAGTAAGCGCTAATTGAGCGCACTCGAGTTTAATCAGCTTGGCCCACTCCACTCCACTCCACTCCAAGCTCCTCCAGCGTTGGCCGAAAGGTGGGCCAAGTTCAGAGATGTAAGGCATGACGTCGGCACGGGACGATCCACTGATTCAGAGCTCCAGGCAACTGGTTGTTAGCCCCCGAAGTGGAGAACGGTGGTGGGGATGTTCTGACGTTGTCAGCATGATCTGCGGGAGCATGTTCATGTTTTGGCAGTGCAAAGCGGCTACCGTTGGGAGTGACCTGTTCTGGGGGGGGCAGACAAAGGGCCAGGGCATCCCCTGCCAACGCCCCGCAATTCCCCAGTGGTGGGGTGGGGGGAGAATGTGTCTCAGAACCGGACAAGCAGCTACGCAGCATTCCGAGCCAATTTTTTGCACACTGTCGCATGACGGAGCTATTTTTCCTTTGTCAACTCGCTTTTGCGACTTCCCAGCCGCCCAAATCTCACACCCAGTCACCAGACTCCCCCTTCCCATTCCATCCAATCCTACAGAGCTTCGGTGGATTTGGAATTGCGCACATTTGTCGCCGGATTGCGAAACTCTGAAGATGTGGCGGCTGACGCAGCATTGAGAACTGGCCAAAAAGACGCCGTGCATTTGGCCCAAAAGTCTGTTTATGTTTCAGAGTCGGTTTCTACGGCGACCTCACCGAAATTCCTGTGCACCTGTGTGGGTAATTACACGCTTACAAGAAGAGGAGGCAAAGCCAAAGCTCGGCTTGGGGTTTGGAGCTCGCACACCAGCTCGCGGAGAGTCATTGGACTAGTTTCATAACTGCCAAAACAACAACGTGCCCCCGTCCCACCGCCATGCCCCGACCCGCCCCGCTCGCACCTGTCCGTCACCTGTTTAGCGCTCGGCGTCAGCGCAGTCGTCGTTCGGGCTGGGATTCGGTTTTGGCTTCAGACTCGGTCTCGGGCCCGGGCTCAGGTGAATCTGAATGCCACACACCTGGGCATGACCTTCATGGCTAAAAACAGCGACGGCGACGGCGACTGCGCGGCGGCAGCAGCACGACCGAGCTGGCGCTGGCGCTGCGAGGCGAGTCAACACTAAAGTAACATTTTATGGCTAAAAAGCCACGCAGCGAAACAACAACAACAACAAGAATCTCAATAATAATAACAATAATCGACAAAGACGTTAAAAAGCAACAACAGTCCCGAAAAGCAACATGACGGCTAACAAAAACGAAAACAATCTGATCCCTCGCCCTCGCCCTGCCCTCCAGTTCCTCCTCCTGGTGGAAGCTTTTGCTGCGCTCGAGATCGAAAGCTGCCTTCACTCCGAGGGAAGCCCCAATGGTTGGATCTAGAATTGGGATACATTATAATATTTTCTGAAGATCATCATGGGAGTGCCCATCATACCTCATTCCTCCGTAGGGCAAGACCAGCCCCTGCATTAAGTCTTCTGGGATGGAACCAGTTTCGGCCATTTAGGGAGCCGATCTCCTGCAACCGATTTTGGTCGCGCCTCCTTTATTGGGCCACCACCACCACCACCACCACCGCCTCCAGCAGCTTGACCATGTTTTTTGTTGCCCACTTACTGCTGGGTTTGATGCTTTAAGCGTGGCGTGGTCAATTGTTATTCCGTCGGGGCGATGGATTCCTCGCCAGGTCCGCTCCCTGTCTCCGTCTTCGGTCTCCATTTGCATAATTAGCATCAGTGGCGACGGCAGTGGTCGAACCGCGGACTGCTAATTTTCCATTGTTTATGCTTTTCTGGGGATTTTTAGAACACGGCGAGGTTTATTTTAAGAAACGGGGAACGGAACGGATCGGCGTCTCTGGAAATTCCAAAATGACTCGCCAAGTGAAGCAATTAAGCTAAAAGGCTACTCAAAATATTGATCCTTTATTGGTGTATAAAGTACATGCTTCATTAAGTTCAATAAGTGTGTGGTGCAAGGATAACGAATCCATGTTCTTTTGGACTCTGGGGCGAGTCCCGGGTGCAGTCTTTTGTTGCATGATGGGTTTGTGTAAATTGGTTCGTCGAAAAGCTCGTTGGATTGTCTTAAGGTCGCTGCTTTACATCGAATATTGAATATTGAATCTAGACTGCATAAATGAATGCCTACCAGGGCAGACCCGAGTACCTACTGGAACTACGCTTTAGCGGCAATTTAAAGTTCAAATATCGGCCGAGTTTGGTGTTTGCGGAGTGCGGAGCACGGTGCTCCGGTGCTCCGTGTTCGATGTTCAAGTGTCGCACTGGGTGAAACTAATTAAGTAAATTTAACACGGCATACCAGGCCACTACCCCGCGACTCTAATACTCGTGGGGGGCTAGTACGTAAGCAAAACGAAAACTAATTGCAATTTCAATTTCAATTTCAATGGGTAACGAGTACGCAAAGCTACAATAAACCACAAACATAACGGGGGCTTGGATATATATATATAAAAATACTATATATATAGAAGAATACCTACCGATCGGTACGCCTTGGGGCCCAAATGGATGTCGGTCTTGGGCTTTTCATTAAGTTTATTATCACGTTACAGTATTGACTTATATTATGTATGCTATGTGTAGGTTCTATAGCGTCTAGATGCATATTAATTGGGCGAACAACAACAAAATTCATAATCGATAATTCATAACTAATAATAATTCATAATTGTACGCTTCGATCGATCCAAATTACAACCAATTACAAACGTGGCCAATTTTCGGCTATAAAAATGATATTCTTCTAAGCGGTAACTTAGGAAACAAAACAGATTCTGTTTTCATTAAGCTACTTCATAATTTGACTAAACAATTTCAGTTTTTTGGGCTTGGATGGATAATAAATGGTTTACTTAAAGGTCTACTTCAGATTACTGACCATATTGAGTATACGTAATGAGGTTCTTCTACCAACTCTAGAAATATGTATGTTTGTAGTTCCCTACATGTATAGTCGCCGATGTATGTACTTCTTGTGGGATATGCTTCGTAATAAAAGGAATTTCGGCTTCACAACAAATGTTCTATCAGTAACTAAGAGTATTGTGAGTTATTGACTTATGTAGTTAAGTATTCAACGTATTCAAGCTAGAGTAGGAGGATAATATGAGTTCCTAATAAGATTTCAACTTAAAAGCATCATGGCTTTGGTGTTTTAAACACCATTCCAGATGGCATGCCAACACAACTTAACTGAATACTAATATTTAAAAAAGGAAACATCATAATGGAAACTAAAACAGGCAACTCTGTGATATGCACGAGCTTCCACCTTAATACATTACGAAAGTAACATAAACATCTATGTACGTTAAGAAAATAAAAACTCCAACTGAATGCTACATGATATTCGGTAATAACTTTCTGCCAGTCCAGTCCCTCCCTCGAATATAGTACCATACTATATATACTCTTGTAAATAATCGTCTTCTCTTATCAGTAGAAAGTTATTGCGCTCAGTTTCAGTGTCTAGTCTGAGGGATTCGGTTGGACATTTGTTACCTTACTCTTACTATCTAGATTATATGCATGATGATTAGATGTCGCGCTGATGATCTTAGCCCTAGTAGTCAGTACTTTCGGTTTAATTAGTCACCGTTGAGGCCACTCAGCTGGTAGCTCTGGTGCTCCAAGCTCCGCTTCAGATCGACAATCGTGTTGAGAATTAGCTGCTGCTTACGACTATCGCCGACGCCCCCACCTTCCAACGACGCCTGCCTTTTGTCCTCGTCCCCGGTCACGTCTTGCATGGAGCTCTTGGCCGAAACGGAAGCCGAGAGCTGGAGGGGAGAGCGCTCGCTTGACTTGTTACGGTCTGTATTTGATGGGATGAGACATAATGACATGAGACGGTAAAGGTTGCACTGCAATTAAAACCTACCCAACTCCAAGTCAAAGTTCTTCTTGATCCGCTCAAAGGAGGAGCTGCCCTTGTAGACTTTGCGTTTCAGTGGCTCACTGTGGGGGCAGTAAAAGTTGTTGTTGATCTGCGATTCGGCCTCCAACTGGATGTTCGTCTTGGTCAGTGTCGGCTTCGCCGGCTTCGAGTACGGAAAGTAGTTGTGATTCCCCACATCCTCAGCGGCTAGGCAATCGATGTCTGAGTCGCTTCCGTTGAAACTAATCACGGTGGTGGTGGTTGTGGATGTGACGGTCATAGTCCCGCCATGCCGTCTGGCCTTAGGACTCTCCAGCAGCCGCCTGCCATTCAGCTGCAGCTGGGGCGAGAGTGGTGCAGTTGGGGCCTTGCGAGGTGGCAGCTCCGGAGGAGCATTTTGGTTCATAAAGTTGGTCAAGTGGGTTTTACGGGGACTGCAGCGCGGCCCCAGCTTGGGGCTGTTGGGTGGGGATGAGGCCGAGGAAGTCTCAAACTTGAGCATTTCAACGCGCTTGTTGATGGCAGCGGCCAGCTCGTGCTCCAACGGAGACGGAGATGGCTGTTTCTTGGGGGTGTCCACCTCACTATTTTTGAGCATCTCTACGCGCTTGTTGGCCAACGGATTCAGGCGCCTTGGACTGGCCACTGGTGTGTCCCTTGGGATGCTGAAAATGATTCTGATTAATATTCTCCACTCCAAGCTTCACTACTCTATCCTACCTTTGAAGACTGTTCTTCATGGACTCTAAAAGCGACTCTGCCTCCATGATGAGTTGCTTGTACTTCATGTCCGCCTCTAAGTCGGCCTTCATCAAAGCCTTCTCGCTCTCTGCGATGGCCAACGAGTTCTTGGTGGTCATGTCGCCGAAGATTAGGGAATTGGAGCGATTGGAGAGTGGCGAAGTCTTGTATATCCTGAAAATAACATTTTTAAAAGTGCTCTTTTGAAGAGGCTGTCTGGCTACTTACTTCTCCTTCGGACCAAGAAGATGGCGCCGCAAACAAACTGGTGTTCCCCCCACACTTCGAGTTCCACGAGGCTCCCGAAGGGGCGACACCATTGGCTTCTCGCTTTTCTCACAACTCTTCTTGCGAGTCTTGAGGAATCGCTTGCGTCGTTGCTGTTGGGATCCATCAGCCGGCTCCTGGCCGCTCTTGCGTCGGGCTGAGCGTCTCGTAGACTTGCGCTTCACCATGGGACTCGAGTAGTAGTGGCAGCTGCCCAAGTTGCGAGCCACCAGATCGTGGCGGTCAAGTACCACCTCCTGCATGGACGAAGTGTCTATGAAGTCAATGTCCAGAAGCTCGTCTGTGTCGCATTCGTCTCCAGCATCCTGGCCGGTGTCCAGCTCCGAGGCACAGCAGTCTGTAGGATCCGAGTCGCTGCTGCAAAGGAAATGGAAGTTGCGAAAGTGAGCAAGCCACTCGACATCAGGGTCTGAGTCTCACCTGAGTATGTCAGTCTCCTTCTCATAGATGTAGCTCTCGTCAAACTTCCCAATCATCTCGTTGAGGGTGGCCTCGTCGTCGCTAAGCACAAAGGAAGTGGTTGTGGCGTTAGCCCCTCCGCCACAGCCACCCGCCACGGGAGCCGAGGTGGTTGTTGTTTCCACTTGCTCCAAGTGCCGCCGCTTGATGGTGTGCGGGGCATGCAGATTTTCCACTTCAGTCGACGTCGAAGAGCACTCGGACTCGTAAGCAACTCCCCCTATTCCAGGTGGGTCCACCACCTCACCCACTCGCAGCATCGTGCTTTGGGAGCCCCGGCCGGTATTAAGGGTTGCTGCCTTGTTTGTTGTTGTTTTCGCAGCCGGAACTTCCAGCTCATTGCCCGACTTAATGCCCGATGAGGTGGTGGAGGTGGTACTGGTGGCATCTACCTCGTTCCGAGCAGGCACAGCTGATAAGTGCTGCTCGCCAGTGTTGTACCATGGATTAGTCCTGATGCGACAGCGCTGACGGGGCGATGGAGCTGAAATTATGGAAGTAAAGTCATAGGATGGATCTAATCCTCTACAGAACTTTTGGATACTCACATTCAAATAACTTTGGCTGCTGGTGTATAGCCAAAGGACTGTGCGATGCTTCCAGGCCATGATTGGCACTCGCAAAGTTGCTTTTCGGCAGCGGGTCCATGGGCGACATCTCCTCGATGCGGTTCAAGCCGAACTTGTAGCGCTGCGCCTCGATGGCCAATGAGTTGACGCTCTTGGGGAAATAGTGCGTACCCGAGCGCATGTTGATGTAGTACTCGGGTGGGTTGTAGTTGGTGGCGGCGCACGGAGAGGTGCCGTCTGTGGAGTAGCCGGTGGAATAGGCGCTTTCCGGCGAGGGCAGACTGTGGGGCCTCGGACCGGGCATGAAGCTGGTGCGTTGCACCCCACGCGGGGTACGCATACGTGAGCCGACACCGGGTGCTGGTGGAATTGGAGGGGTGGCCGTGGGCAAGCTGTCCAGCGACTCTCCCAGCTGCACGGGAGCCAGCTTTGAGGGCAGTAGGCGCCCGTAGCGTACATGGTTATTGCCACGGCCCGGTTCCTCCTCATATATCAAACGCACGGCGCTTAGGTTCTCCGACTGTGGACGCGGGATTTCGCATGTCTTGGGTCCAGGCGGTCGCAGAAGTAGATCACCAACCTCCTCGTACTCCACTTCTTCGTCGGGTGGGATGTGGTACTCCGCAGTCAGTGCATTTTCCCCTTTAAACGGGCCTGGCTTGCTCGAGGAGGGCTCTTTGGAGCCGGTAGACCAGGATAGTGATGAAATAGACGACGACGAGCAGTTGACTCGCATGGGAGACTTCTCTGCGCACGAGTTCTCCTTGCTGTTGGGCACGCTCAAGTGGTGCTGATGCTGTTGCACCTGATGCTGATGCTGGAGAGGCCGATGACAGTTCGGGGCATACAAGAGGTTGTCCGACTTGGGGGATGTGACAACATAAGAGTCCTCGTCGGGTGATTGCCATCCATACCGCCGACTAGGAGGCTGTAAAACATAGTAATTAAGACCTGATCTCGATTTATGTTAATGCTACACTTACGTGGCACTGAATGGGCGACACTTCGCGCCTTCGCACCGGACTGGCGATACTATGGCTGCCACTGCTGGTCAACACCGGACTGGTGAGATTGCTGCCCTGCGGTGGCAGGGTGCCAGACTTCTTGCCAGTGGAGCCCCCGGAACCGTTGGCCTCGGCTGCCGTCTGCTTGTGCTTGTTACCCTTCTTGCGGGGCCGCACGATGTGCGTCTCCATCCAGGAGCGCAGCTTGGAGCCAAACATGGTTATATCCTGTATTTTAACCGAATTGGACGGATTGTAGTTGCTCGGGTAACTGAAAAGAGGAATGCCCATTAAAGCTATGTAGCTGGGAAATGCAACATCGCTGCACAATGGCGCCCAAACAGGCTCTGGGGAGCACTTAGCTCTGATAAGAAAACCCATTTATGACGGCACAAAAGAAGAACTGGTAGGGTCACATTTTCTATAGTTTTCCCCCACCCCACCCCACGGTTCCTTCGTTTTGCATGGATGATAGGGTGTATGGAGCGCTTTATTCGAAATTACCTTATTCGCAAATGCGATTCATCGTATCCTTGCGCCTCACTTTATTGCGGCCCACACGGGATGAACGACATGAAAGGCCGTCCAACGGTAAATCTATACCCACGCACGCACACACACGCGCAGATGGGTCGGCATCCTGTATCTGTGTCTGTGTTTGTTTTTTGTTGACGCTTTTTTTTTTTTTGCCGTTGTTCCGAGTGCCGTCGCACCCAACAACTTGGGGTCTGTATTGGGGGTTGTTTGTTAGCCGAGATGCTCAAGGACTCCACTCCCCACCCTCCTTCTACAGCTTTCGTAACTTAAGCTGTGCGGTAACGGCCAACGGGCTTCTGTCTATGTGTGTGTGTGTGTGTGTGCATGAGAATGTGTGGGCTGTCTGTGTGCTTTCTGCTCGGTTGTAAATTCGACGTAACTGTAAATTTTTATGTCAAGCTATTTGCGAGACTTTTCTCCTTTTCCCGTTGAGCCAAATGCTTTACGTTATTTTGGCACTTTCTTACAATTGTTATGGCTGATTGGCAATACTCGATTTTCAGTTTCCTCTTTGTGAAATTTCAGTTTCATGCAAATTATTCGTAAGAGTTCTTAGAAAAACAAAACGATAAAAAGCACTGCAGTTTTTGGAGAAGAACCAGATCCCGTTAGCTTTAAGATTTTCACTGCATTCTGCGGTTTAGACGCCGAATTTTCCTGGTAGTGTGTTGGTATGTGGTGGAAACTTCTTTAGGTGGTGATTGCGAGGAAAGCGTGTGCGAAAAAGTTCTGCGGAATGCGCGGACACAAAAACACGTCCGCCACCGCCAAAGGAAAAAAAGCTAATGGCGGAATGTGCCGTTAGCTGCGGTGGTGAGGCGTTAGGATTTTGAAATTGGTGGTTCCTCCTGGAAAGTTTCTTCCTTACGTATTCAGTTACGGGGACTCTTAGGACAACTTCGCTTGAAATTATAATATAAAATATGTTTTTTATTTTAATAGCGCCTGAACGTCGGCAATGTAACAGTTAATTTAATTTTTTTCTATTAGCACTGCACAACACTACTCTTTGAACGCAACTGTGAGCAGCAGCTGATAGCACGAGGGTCCTTTTCAACACTGCGTCTAAATTCTTGTAAAAAACATGCGCTAAAATCTTAATACCAAACAATAATTAAAGATCTAAAATGCGCTGCTACTACGAGGAGCTTGGTGTCCAACGGAGCGCCACCGATGGCGACATCAAGACGGCCTACCGCAAAATGGCGCTCCGCTGGCACCCGGACAAGAATCCAGATTGTTTGGCCGAGGCCAAGGAGCGCTTCCAACTTATTCAGCAGGCTTACGAGGTGCTCTCTGATCCACAGGAGCGCTCTTGGTACGACAATCACCGGGAGCAAATTCTGCGCGGCAAAAACTCAGAGTACGCAGAGAACTGTCTGGATGTGTTTGAGTTCTTTACTAATTCCTGCTACAAGGGCTATGGGGACGACGAAAAGGGTTTCTACAGTGTGTACCGAGAGGTATTTGTGAAGATTGCTCTCGAGGACATGGAGTTTATGGACGAAGACGACCACCTTGGTCTGGCGCCAGAATTTGGCACTTCGGAGAGTAACTACGAGGAAGTGGTGGGCCCGTTCTACGCCTTTTGGCAGGCCTACAGCACCAAGAAGACTTATGAGTGGCTGTGCCCGTACGATGTGCGCGAGATCAAGGAACGCTTCATCCTGCGTAAGGTTGAAAAGGAGATGAAGAAGATTGTGCAGGCAGCGCGCAAGGATCGCAATGAAGAGGTGAGAACGGACCTTATGTTATGTTTACGTACCAAGCTGACAGTATTTTCTTATTCTTGAGGTCCGAAATCTGGTTAACTTTGTGCGAAAAAGAGATCGACGGGTGCAGGCCTACAGACGCGTTCTAGAAGAACGGGCTGAGGCCAACCGCTTGAAGCAGGAGGAGAAACGCCGGGAGCAGCTACGAAAGCGCCAAGAAGAGCTTGCTGCCGCTAGGGAGAACAAATCGTTCCACGAGGGCTATGAGGAGCAGTTAAAGCAGCTTGAACAACAGTATGGTAGCGAGTCGGATGACTATACGGACGAGGAGGAGGAAGACAATGAAGAGAGTGAAGATTCAGAGGCGGATCCAGACGCGGAAGATGCCGAATTCGAGTTGGAGTATGTTGACGACTTGTACTGTGTGGCCTGCAACAAGACCTTCAAAAATGCTAAAGCGCGCGCTAATCACGAAGAGAGCAAAAAACACCGAGACAATGTTGAGCGGTTGAGGGCGGAGATGGAAGCAGAGGAAGAAGCCTTCCACGATACCTCTCAGGAAGACAGTTGCAACGGAGTTGAGGAAGCTTTGGATGATCTTGAAATCGCAGACGAGCACTTGTCCGCCGAGGAAGCACCCAGTGAAGAAGAATCTTCTGCTAAGACAAAACGTGGCAAGAAGAATAAAAGATCCAAAAAAGCTGCTGCCATACAAGTGCAAGAGGAAGAGGAAGTCAACGGTGGTGACGATGAGCCCCTCGAGCTTAAGGCTTCCGATTCAGAAGACGACTGGAGCAAAGGCAAGAAGTCTGCGCGAAAAACAAAGAGCAAAAAGTCTGTCACTAACAAATCGAAGCCCTCCGAGCAATCCGTCCCGGAGTCGGCTCCTCAGGAGGCTGCACCAGCAGCTTCACCAGAAGATCCCGATCCGTCAAAGCCGCAGCATACCTGTGTCACCTGCCGGCTAGTCTTTGACTCTAAAAACAAACTATTTGCTCATCTAAAAAAGACGAATCATGGAGTGTACATACCCAAGGCCAAGCCTGATGTGGAGGGCAAGCCTCCTGGCAAGGGCAAGGGAAAACGCAACAAGTAGATTAGATCGTGACTTGTTAGAATTTTATTTATGCTAATGTTAAAGTTAATTCGAAAATGAAGTTAAGTATGCTCGCTCTAAGCAAGATCAGTTAATGGAATCCTGGGTGGGATCTATGGAATGCAGACCAGCTTGCTACCCGCTTCGACGCGCCGGCGGACACGTGATCGCATGTTGGAAGATTCCGCTTTCAGGCTTATTCCGGCGGCGATGAATGTGAGAAGTACACCGATAACGCCGCAGTAGAACGAAATACCTGTGGGATAGACATTAAGATTAGGTTAAGGTCCATCAGGAGACAAGGTCACTCGCTTACCTATGCTGCAGTCGGCTGGGTAAAAAGGTTCGGCCTCCTGGCCGCAGAGACGCTGGACCCTTTCCGCTCGCCAGCCAAGGGGATGCAGGAAGAGTGCCAGCATCACGCTTATTCCTGGAAAGAAAGTTGATTCACTTTTGGGGATCTCGGATCAGAGTTTTGAAGAACCCACCTGCCACCACCTGGGCACAGGCCGTCAAGTTGTGGATGCTCTTGCCGCAGGCTGCTTGGCGACAACAGGTAAGCAGAGTAAGTATGACCGTGACCGACAACAGGGCGAATCCCAGCGAGGCAAAGAACATAGCTGCCTTCCATTCTCCGGGGTAGACACTACTGTCCGTGAACAGGCCGTCCAGATCGAAGCGACCACAGTGGTAGCCCCGCTCCAACATCACCTTGCACCGGGTGTAGATCCCAACCGAGGAGGACTTTGAGGAAAGCTGACCCACAGGGGTGGGGCCAACTAGCCATTTGGGCGTGACCAGAGCCACCGCAAAGAGCATGTCCGCCAGAAGGGAGCAGAGGAACCATACCAGGCTGGCGCTTGTTATGATAACGTAACACATTTCGGATTTGGCACTATTGCACTGAGCTCTGTTCAGAGATTGAAAACGCGTCAGCACTTGCCGGATAGATAATAGAGTCTAAGCGTTCGGCTTTGTCCGAGCACGCACTTTGACGCTGCGGTACATCCCACACCCACTGGCGTCACCCACCACTGCCGCCACCAATCACCCACCACCACCAGAACTTCCTCCCAGCTGACTAGCTGACCAGCCCGAAATGGAATTGTTTATTTTATGCTTTCGCCGTTTGCGTCCGCTGTTCGCTATTCCGCGGCCTGTTGTCTGTTTTATGTTATTCACCCCAAGCACACACACACACACGGGGATGGTGATGGGGACAGCGGGGGGACCGCCCAGGCCGCCAGTCAAGTACACTCGATTTGTAGCTGCAATCGAGTGGGGGGTGGGGCGAAAGAAAGAACTATGCTGCGGTGGCTTTCTTCGCGTTGATTCTTTTTTTTTTTTGCTTAAATATTTGGCCACTCAATGCCAGAGTCTTAACTCTGAACTAACCGAAACCGAACTTCCGTTCGCGCAGGCGTCGCAGTTTTTGTTGCCGTTGCCGTTGCCGCTGCCGATGCCCCACTGCGTCATCGTTCGTCGACACTGACTGAATGAATGGGTCACATTGACGCCAGCTGCAGTTCCAGACGCAGACAAGAACGGAATGGGAGTTGGAGCAAGAGCCAGGCCCCAATAGCCCGGCACTGAGAGAAATTCTTTACTAAAGAATACAGATGAAATGGATTTTGTTGTCTAAGCCAAGTGGTGGCCTCTGGGAGAGGAGAAGAGAGATATTATTATATTTTTATATAAACTATATTTTTTCCAGTGCATGCAGATGTGTGCAACATTGAGAGCAGAGCGTGGAAACCCATACATTCCAGAATTACCGCCTCTATGTGCTCTCCCACTTACTGGCTGGCTCACTTACTCACTCGATGGCTCTCCGCATTCACGTTCCAATTGGATCCGATCGGCGACTCCCCCACTTCTCCCCACTCAGTCAGTATGGGAGAGTGAGTAATGGATCCCCGTCTGCTCAATCGATCGATGCAAAGGCCGCGGCTGTAATTCCGATCAAGATGATGATGATCTCCGGGCGAGCGGTTATCAGCCGGCCGCGTCTGGTGGGGTCCATTGCGTCATCCGGGCTGTGTTTGCTTATAGGCCGATTCGTGACCGATGGGTAATGAGATCCGCACACCAATTGCGCAGGCCCGAAGTCACTTTCACTCTCACTTTCCGGCATGGGGATCACTTGCAGAAGTTTGCGATGCCGAACTGGATGCTGCTGTTGCTCCTGCTGCCGGCTCAGGGATTGGGGCATTACTACTACGACTACGGGTACTGGGAGATCAACGAGCCGCCTCCGCTCTGCTCTGACTACGAAATGCTGGTGGTGAACACCCGGCAGTGCGTCCGACGGTGCAACATCGTCTGCCGGGAAGGAGTCTGTTTCGAGGACGGAGCCTGTCCCTGTGCCGATCAGTACCAGGGCGCCGATCCGGACGGAGTGGTTTGTGCTGCCCAGTGCCTTGCCGGATGCCAGAGGGCGGGGGGCTACTGTGCTGCTCCTGATCTCTGTGTTTGCCCAAAGGGAAGCAACTATTACTTCGATTCTCTCTCCCAAAAGTGCAGACACCGGGTAGCTCGTCTTCTGGACCCCTGTCTCGGGTAAGTTCAATGATTTTGTGGATCCGGAACAAGAGATATAGATTTGAGATTCATTACAAGACGATGCACTCATGGAAGTTGCTCCTCCGACGGCCGCTGCACCTGCGCCCAGGGCTATGAACTGCAAGCCACTCTGCTCCACGGCCAACAGTGTACGCCCATCTGTGATCAGTGAGTTGGAACTTTCTTCTGCTTCCAGATCGCTCATTAGCCCTTTCTTCCCCTCTAGCGATTGTGGACCCCAAGCGTACTGCTTCGCCCCCAACTTGTGCGCCTGCCGGCACAAGCACTACCATTACGGACGGAGCGGCATCTGCACCAGGGACTATTGACCTTGGAGCAGCAGCTGCAGACGATGGGGCTGTTTTAAGTTCCTTTCCCATCGACGTCAGGCAGTTATGTTTTCTGATGTCAGATGATGGTTTAAAATTTAAACTTTATATATAAAAATAGTTCATATAATTTATACTTTTAATTTAAATGGATTATTATAAGAAAAAGTGTTATATTTGAGAGCTTTTAAGTAGTTATGGTTCATCAATTTAAATTAATTTATTTTATTTGACTTCTCGATTTAATAAATTAATAAATTGGGTAATATTTCTAAAGCTTCCGAGAATCAATATACCCCACCTTTTCAGGGGAGCGCCCCAAAGTCTTCGGAGAGCGAAAAGCTAGCAGAGAGCTGGTGCTTTTTGGCGCTCCCACCACGCCAAATTACACTACGTAATATTGTTATTGTTTATAAGACATGGGGGATGTGGAAGGCCCGTCGGTTAAAAATTGAATTCATTATATGTATGTATATGTATCTCTGATCGGCGAAAATCGGCAGATTGTTATAGAATTGGGAAACATGCGGACGTGTTATTCAGAGGCGTCGCCATTGAAACCAGGAGGGGGTCTTCAGGGTGGTGAAGAACGACTTGTTTAAAGACAGGGCCTTTATTTATCAGCTTAGCTTCATTGTGTGGGCTCTGATAAGCCCAGTATTTGACAACATGGATGTTTAAAATGTCCCCCCCAAAATAGGGTGTTTCTATTAACCCACGTTCCCCTGGCAGGGTATTTCAAAGATAAAGACTAATGTCGCTGGCAGAGCAAAGAAACGACGGCGCTGGCGCTGGTTTTAGCTTTGCGCGTGTGGCGTGTTTTTGTTTTTCTTGTTGTTGTTGACCGGGGGCGGGCCTCTTGTTGTTGGGGACATAGCACAGTGGGCTAATGCTCTACTTTTTGGTGAAAATTCATGAGGAGAGTTGAGGGTAGCCTACCACAATCATGAGGGTTGTTTTTAAAACTTTATACCTCATATCTTTCTTGTTTCTAGCAGCAACATATATTTTTAATACCTAATTCCAATAACTATAGATAGTCATATATTTAATAATTGTAGATATAGTAATCACAATTTTATATCCAGACTGGAGTCACTGTTCCAAGCAGCAACATCAGCAGCAGCAGCAGCAGAGACAGCAGCAGCAACCGCGACGGCGGCAGCACTCGTGTTCCGATTGTTCTCCATCGCATTTTAGTTGGAGTTTTGCTGTTCATCGGCGCGGTTCTATACACCTGGAGCTCCTCCATTTAACCAGGATACCCTGAGATTGCTACTCTTTCTCTTTTGCTAACTGCAGCAATTTGCAATTTTAATTGTTCGCCAGTCGGTTTGACCAGAAAACAGGAAAAATGGGCCAAGTCAAGGTATGTAAAGCGAAAGTAGCGAGTCCGTCTGTCAAGACGGTGGTGTTTCCTGTATAGCACCAGCCACATCCTGCGCATCTTTCGGCCGTAGCAAGTGGGCAGCCCCGCACGGGCTGGCGTGGGAAACTTTCTTTAGTTTTGGAAAGATTTTAAAAATCCGAATGTTGTTCGTCAGGAAATTCCAATTTAGTTAATATTTTATTCAGTTTAATGGTAATGTGTGTGGTAGTGCTGGGTCTCGGGGTTATGTAAGCACCTTCCAGCCCAGATGCCCCCCTCCCTTAGGCAATGCAACTGCCTCGTATTGCAATGACATTGATCAGAGGCCGCCTAACGGGGCTTGCGTGTTTTTTTTGTATTTATTCCAATGATTAGACCCATTTAAGCAATTATTAATGTTCTAATCACAAGGTATGTAGTATATCCACATTTCTTCATGGGAGGCGTAGCTGCTGCGCAGTTTCTGAAGCACGCATTCAGCTCCAAAAATCAGTTTATTGGTAGTATTTAGAGACCTGGCTATAACAAAAAAAAAAAGTAAGTGTGAATGCATCAAACCGGTTGGGCTCTTCCCCTAAAAGGCTATACAAAAATTTTATAAATAAATGCCGAACGGCTATAATCGTGCCGGAGAAGACGGCGACTACGACGCGTGTGTCGTCTTATCAGCCCAGTCAGCCAGGGGGTTCTTTGCAGTGGAAAATATTCAGATCACCGATAGCCCAGACAAATTGATCGGCCATACCAGATACCACCTGTTTGGGTGCGCTTTCAAAGATCTCTAACCTAACCCTACTTCTTTTCTCTGCCTCCGCCACACCCACCCACCCACACACACACACAGAAAGCCACATCTGCCCTGAGCAAGCTGTTCGTCTATGGAGCTCTTAAGTACGGACAGCCCAGCAACTCGATCCTGGCCAGCAGCGGGAACGGATACGCCAAGTTCTGGTGCAAGGCCACCACCACCGAGAAGCTGCCGCTGGTTATCGCCACCCGCTACAACATTCCCTTCCTGCTGAACAAGCCCGGCGTGGGGTATTACGTAACCGGAGAGATCTATGAAGTGGACGACCGCATGCTCAACTCCCTGGATAACCTAGAGGACTGCGAGGAGATCTACACGCGCGAGAAGCAGGACATGAACATCGGCGTTGGCGAGGGGTAAGAATCTAGCGATGCTGCTGGTTGACGTCATCGAAATATTTATCTTTTGTGTCTATTCCGTTTAGAACTGTACCCTGCTGGGTGTATCTGCTCCAGAAGTACCCGGAAAAGCTGCTCAACTTGCAATACCTGTCCAGCTACGAGAACAGCACCACGCATCCCTACATCATGCGCCACCGCCGCACCCACAAGCACCCGGCCCAGGACGATCTCAGCTACGAGGCCACCAACTAAGCCAATAACCCCATAGTAGATGCCGCTGGATGTGCTCTTGGAAAATTGTTCTTATGTTACCGGTAGTTGCATTTCTAGACCGTACTGAGTATACACGCATGTGTATCGGCCATTGTTATATGATATGTATATATACGCCGATATGTACCATACTGCATTATTTAGGTTATAGCCACTAGTTTGTAATTTCATAGTTTTCGACAAATAAAATCTGAAGCGATTCAAAGTATCCGACGTGTCCATTTTCTATATCAAGTAGATGGTGGGATCGGTTTTGAACCATTTTTAAACAAAGATTTTTATTTCTTATTGATTAGGTTTCTTTCTATTCAAGGAACTAGTCTAGGAATCAAGGAAATATATCCTATCTACAATTTCCTCACCTCACCTAGACATAATCGCGGACACTGCCGGTGCTGTTCGTCACCTATGTGGACAGCACTTTAAAACTTCCATGGGAATGACAGGAAAGAAGAAGAATGAGCGGGTCGTGTCGACCGAGCAATCTCTGGGTTAGATTACCGCACATAGAGACCAGACACACAGATAAGCCCGACCGCCAGGAAGCGTACAGTGTTGGAGCATGCTGAGAATGGCTGGGTGGAGGAGAGTCTTTGTCTATGGTACTCTTAAAAAAGGGGAACCCAACCACCACTGGTTGACAAGCGAGGAGAATGGTCAGGCCAGGTTTCTCGGAAAGGGTACCACGGCGGTGAAGTTTCCTCTTGTGGTGGGCACTCGCTACAACATTCCATTTTTGCTGGCCCGACCAGGTGAGGGGACTCACATAGACGGCGAGATCTACGAAGTGGACGATTCCATGTTCGGAAAACTCGACCAGCTGGAGGACTACCCAGATTACTATGATCGCGAAGAACAGCAGATTCAAACAGAGCAGAATGAGTATGTCTTTCCCGATAGATGATGTAATTGCTTCTATAGGTCATCCTGTACTTCCAGGAGCATCCAGTGCTGGTTGTACCTAATCAGGAATTTTCCGGAGAAACTGTTGTCCAAAAAAATGCTCAGTTCGTACCACAACACACCCGAGCAGCCGTACAATGAGAAGTCAGTGCGCACTGTGCCGGCTAGAGATGATCTTTCCTACTGACAAGTGACTCCCCCTCTCTTGCCATTACAGCTATTTGGAGAGCACGCCGGAGGACATCTGGTCGGATGAGTGAGAGGATAACAAGGCCTCGTTTTAAAAAAAGTGATTTTTATAAACGGAGTTCAACGCATGGCTATTATTCGTATTCTATTACATTGATTCCATACTTTTAAAAAATGCAAAACGAAATGAACAATAGTGTGGCTTCCTGTGGACTTGGGTTAGAGTAGTAGCAAAGTAGAGTAGGTTTAGATGAATCGAAAAGCCTAGAAGGATTGCGGGTGCTACTGGCTACTGGCTGGCAGAACCCATCCAATGACTTGAGCTCAGCAGCAGACTCCCTTAGGGGCCAGCAACAGCAGCCGCAACAGCGCCAGCTGGAACCTAGCTAGCTTCGTCGTCAAGCGACTGGAATCGATTGGTGGCCGCCACCGGAGCATTAGTGGTTTCCTGTACGCGCTGAAAGCGGCCTCCGTGACGGACTTCTTCAAAGGCGGGTTCGTTTTTCTTTTTGCGCTGTTCCTCCGGACGCGCTGCGTTCAACGTGGGGAAGAACTCCGTGTTGGTGATGTCCGGAGCAGCTCGCCTAGGACGCAGACCGCCTCCGATACCGCCACCGCTGCTAATACCGCTTCCGGCTTGTTGCTGTTGAAAAATAAACAGTCTTGGTAGTAGAAGAATATATGGACTGCATAAATCGAAATACTCACGCTGTAACGTAACGCGGGGGAAACATAGACCTTGGACAATGACGGCTTTTCCACCTCCACAGGGATCTGCGTGACCTCCTCAGCAGGGATCAGCTTCTTCCAGGGACCGTGCCCGGCACGAGTCTCGCCCGTTTCGTCATTCCCATAGCCGTTGCTATCATCTTCGTCGTCGTCATAACTGCCACCACCTTCCGGGGCAGAGGGGATCCTCGAGGACTCTGACTCGTTTACGGTTCTGCAAAGGTAGGGAGAGGTAGGCGTTAGCTTCAGACAATGCCTTTGTTTGCTTGGCTGCATGAAAATCGCAGCACAGCTGTGGCAGCCGCGACCGTGCCTATTATTTTGAACACCAACACACACAAAACGTGCGTAGCGCGAACTCACATGGTGCTCAGTTGGCCAATCTTGAGGCCGCTATAGTCCTTGCGCTGCTCCTCCTCGAACTCTTTCCACTCCTCCTCCACGGGCTGCTGTTGAAACCAGATATGATAACATGCAAACTATTCAGAATTTCACCAGACTTACGGCGGACTCTTGCACTTTGCTGCTCTCGTTTTCGCCTGGCCCTGCCACGCCGCCAGCGCCCGCTGGTAACTCGGGTTTCTTCGGCTTGACCACCTCTCGCTTGCTGCCGTCTTCCAGGTTCTTAACTAGCTCATCGGCCGTCACGAACTTCGTCTTGTTCTTGGACTTCTTCTTGTCCTTTTTCGCGAAGAAATCGTCCAATTCGGCCATTTTTTTTGCAATTTAACCACAAAAATTTGCTTCGCTGCTGTGCTGAGAATTTTGTAGTGCGGCCAGAGGGACAGAGAAAAGCGAGGCTGTAAATGAAATAAAATTATAATTATTCCGCTTCGTTTTCCAACACTTGACTTTAACAGACTCGTTTACAGTTCTGCTAAACGACTACTTTGGCGGGTTGTTTAAACACAAAAATCGGAACGGACTTGATTCCGAGACACAATATTTTGTAACAATATTATTGGCAACCAGCATAATACAGACTTTGCAAAAATCACAGGAAAGAGTGAATATTGATTACCTAGATTCGCGATATTGGGCAATCCAGCTATTTGCATAGGAGATTGATAACCACCTAATTAAGTCAAATAAATGGAAGACAGAGCGGCAGCAGCGAATGCAAAGCTTGGCCATTGGCCGGTGGTTGTGTAATTAAAACTACAGCCATCCATGGCTAATTTTGCATCTCTAATGATGCGAATATGCATGCGAATATATCTAAAGGAAGACAAAACAGCGACACCAATAGAGCTCAGACAAACGGCGCGGCTAATTGTCTACAAAAATAAATGGCCATATTTCCAGGGATTCCCGGGGCGGCTCAGCTTAAGGGCCCAAGGAAAAGCATTTGCAGAACACAGAGAAATCTGTTACGTTGGGGTACGCACCCAAACTAATTATAAAATATGTGACAAGAGTGATGCAAAAAGATCCCAAGGATTTGACGTCTTTAGATGGTGGACAAATATTGTTTTTCAAACCAAACTGCAACACATTATCTTTTGTGCAGTACTTGAGCTCTTTGCCTTTTTCTCAAAGACAGTTCCGCCTAGATTAGCCAAGCTAATAGATATTTATGTCTGTACCAACACCTACCCCTCTTTTCGTTTCGTTTCGGCTTGCTTTGGGTTCAGTTTGGCTGGCTTTGCCACATCCAAGAGCCAGCCCCACTGCCCCACAGCCCCACAGATCCACTAAGCCCCAGGCCAATCCACTCGGCTAACCCATTCATATTGGCCAGCGCCTGCCTGGCCGGGTTCAGTCTTCTTTCGAGCGTCGCAGCGAGCACATCGATCTCCAGTCCACCACATCGTGCTTCGATTCAGTTCGAGCCACTTGAAATCCGATCCGATCCGATTCGAGACGAACCGTTTTCCCCGCTGCAATCGCGTTCGCGAGTGACGTGCCTGCTACATAAAATTGCAAACGTTTTAATTGAGGAGAATCCCAAACACTCGAGGTAATTGAACACTTCAACGCGCCACAAATGTTTTGGTGGCACCTCGGTATGCCTCCGAATTGTTCTAAAGGGGATTGGAAACATATTCTGGGGCTATCTTTGAGGTATTGCAACCGCTGTCTCAAGACTGCCATTGCATTGTCTTTGGTTTTTCATTTTTCGGGGCAATTAGCCTGCTATTCAGAGGCATTTACCTGCCCAGCGAAGCATTTAATTGCAGATTATAAAAGCATGCCCCCTCTAGATTCATATCGCGGTCATAATCAAGTGCTCCATGTCAGGGCCGGGTCACGATGAACTGTCGTATGAAGAAAACTTGAATCTCGGATTTGGATATTTTAAATTTTCCGCTTCGAGTTCCGTGTGGCAGCCCTTTGCATATGTATATTTGGAGCTCGGGTCAGTTCAGTTTCAGCATTGAATTTTATGTGTCCGGAGCTTCATCTCATTTGTATCAATGCTGGACCAATACCAACACCGAAAGCTATTTACATATTGAGGGGGGTTTTTTTTTATTTGTGTTTTTGTGGGATTGTGCGACCAAAGGCCAAATGGGCAATGGAATGGAAGAATTGCCAAACATTTAAAATTTGTTCGATTTCATGGTTTAATATCTCAGCCTCAAGTGGCTTTCTTAATGATCCTCGACGAGCGCACCAGTTGAGCGGCTCTTCTTCAGCTTACATCATCCGAAGCCTTACAAAAGGGGTCACCCAATCGCTCAATCAGTCACTCAGCCATGCGTTGGTCTAATGTGAGGCTTTATTGACTTTAGACTTGGCCTATACTGCATTTTAATGGTTCCCCATCATCGTTAGTCAGTTCTGAGGTCGAACTCGTTTAGTTGCAGCAACTAAATGATAACGTAATGTACCACTGACGATATGTAAACAAGAGGAGCCAATCTGAGATACACATGCCCAGCAACACACTTACAAGCAAGCTAATTAAAAATTCCAAAATGTTTCTACTTACAAATACCCAACCGGTTTCAGCTCCAATAAAAATATGACAGATGGTGGGGAGGGGAGATGCCAAATCGTAAATTTATAAAACTATTTTGCTGTTTTTGACAGCTGCAGTATCTGTTTCGCCTTGAGAAATTACCAAATATTTCGGAGGAGTAATGGGGTTTTTTAAAATTTTTTTAATAAAAAAATATATTAAAGAATTAAGGCATTCGACAGTTGTTTATATTTTTCCTTTGCGCTTCCGTACAGTTTCCTCTTGAAATTCTCTTTACTAGAATTCTATTTCTATAGTTTCTTATTAGGGAGTATAATTTTTATCAAAAATTGTTTATTCTCTTTTAAAACCAGCTTTAATTCGCTTTCATTCGCTTCCCCTTTCGCTTTCTCCTCGGAAAAAAACCTAGATCAAGTTCGTTGCCTAAGTCTTTCGTTTGATGCTTCGTTATTTTTGGGTTCAGTTACCGTTTGCCCGCTGTGGCTGGCTGTGTTTGACTGTTATGCCTATGGCTTCGGGTTTGACAACTTGGCCGACTTGCTCTCAAAAATTGACTCAATGTGTGTTTATTTCGGGGCTTGCATAAGTGCAGGCCGGCTGACATTGTTTCTCTCGACTTTTCACACATTCGTTGGACGTGTTTTAATTGGCAATAAAGTCTAAACTGAGGCTAAGCAGCTAACTGGGGCCCCCAAAGGCGGGCGAACCATTGCTGAAGGAAATCCACTATTCGGCCAAGGGGGGGCAAACCAAGATGTTTTGAGTTCAAGGTGCAGGTGCGAGAACGAGTGCAGTGTCATGCTTCCCTTGCAATTTCCATACCTGGCGCTGAAGAGCTCCCCATCTCCGCTTGGCTGGAGGAGGTAAGCACTCGGCAATGGGGCGGATAGGGTGCTACCACAAATACGGGGCAGGTGATGACTGCACTTGCCGCAGAATAAATCGGTAAACAAAAACGTCCGCTGCTTCGGTCTTGCGTGAAATGTCATGACATGGCCAAAGTGCAAGACTCTACGTTATTAACAGATAGAGACATAGATTTGGCCAAGTGTAACGAAGCGGCTGCAATGCAGATTGGGCAACAGCATACTCGCATTTGCAACCGTCCCCGGGTATGGGGCAGGCTAGACGAGTTACCCCTGCTGGATCTATTGCATAACCATTCGAACCGCCAAAGAAATGCGAATCCACAGGCACAGGCAATCGAATCCAAATAGAAACCGAAAGTCCACCAAGTCGAAACTCGTTTGCTGCAGGTTCCAGCTAGCTGGTTGCTAGTTGCAAGTTGCTGGTTGCTGCCACTCGATGTCTGTGGCAAGCGGGACACGCGTGGCCAGAATAAGCCCCAGTTTTTCCAGCTTGCGCCACATCGTTTGGCCAATCTCTGGTTTTACTTGTGACTGGTTTTGAATGCTTTCCCGGAATGCTTCTTGCGCCATTTCGACCAAACCCGCTTTAAATCCATTTCCATTCCAGGCAAGATGACGGTGGATCTTTCGCCCGTGCAGGAGTACTACAAGGACAAGACGATCTTCATTACGGGGGCGTCGGGTTTTATGGGCAAGGTGCTGCTGGAGAAGCTTCTTTACTCATGCCACTCCCTGAAGGAGGTGATCATCATCTGCCGGCCAAAGCGCGGCAAGACTCCGGAGACGCGTCTGGAGGAGATGTTCAAGCTGCCTATTTTCCAGCGCATTAGGGACGAAAGGCCCCACATGCTCAAGAAGGTGTCCATCTATCAGGGCGACGTGACCTTCGATTGTAAGTAGACCTGCCTTCAACCTCCTGTCTCCGCCTTTCTCTAACTCAGCTCCCCGTCCTCCTAATCATTCCAGTACTCGGCTTAAGTGGCGAGAGTCTGAAGCACGTCACCGAAAACACTAATATAGTGTTCCACATGGCGGCCACTCTCAAGCTGGAGGGCAATCTTCGCGATGCCATCGACATGAACCTGCTGGGCACCCGACGTGCCCTCGACGTGGCCAAGCAGATGAAGCAGCTGGAGGCGTTCATCCACCTGTCCACTGCCTTCTGCAACTGCGACCAGGAGGTTATGTATGAGAAGGTGTACGAGTTCCCACACAAGCCCGAGGATCTGATGCGCCTCGCTGAATGGATGGATGTGAAGACCCTGGACGCCATAACCCCCGACCTGCTGAAGCCGCACCCCAACACCTACACCTACTCGAAGCGCCTGGCCGAGATCCTGGTGCGCGACCACTACGAGTCCATGCCGGTGATCATCGCCCGTCCCAGCATCGGTAAGTGACCTTTTGGAGTTTACTGGCTCCATCTCCCACTCTTGCTTTCGGTTTGCTTGGCTTGCAATTCGATTTATTTGCATCGTTAATCCCCGAACCGGTGGCCAAGGGGCTTGCTTGCTTAGTAGGCCCGCTCCCCGCGAACTGGAGACTGCAATCGCGCCGGTCTCCTTCTACCCTCTACCCTATGGCCTCACCCCACCACCAGCTATCTCTCCACGATGCAAACTAATCATGCGCCTCCGCTTATATCTCGGCTTATGTCTATGTCTGCGCCACCCCGGGACATTTGTTTGGGTATTATTTATTGCCTTTTCGGCCACCTGGTGTCTTTCAAAAGTATCTGCAGTTGCTAGTCAATTAATGTTTTCTATTACCAATTTTTTTGGCAAACCTGATGGGTCGTTAGTTATAGGAAATAGAGAAACCACCATGGGCCAGTGGAACAGAGAAACCTGTTCGAGGGAACCTGTAGATGCAAATCATCGAAACATAACACTTTTTAATTAAAGCACATAGGAGATTGGAGTTGAAATAGTACCAATGGGTTGGTATTGGATAGCTGCCTTTAAAATACATAGTTTGTAGAATATTCGTCCGTCTAAAATAGAGCAAGTTTTAACCCAAAGACCATAGTTCAGGAAAACTTCCATTAGTTCCAAAGCCGTGTACAGATTGCAAAGGGAAATGGGCGGGGAATGAATTGGCATTTCCTCCGAGGTAATTGTGGGTTCGGTTATCGAGTATATGAGGAGTTTCGGTTTCTATTTAAGTGGGTTCAAGGCAACGCTGACCCGGTTAAATGGGCAAATATTCGATAAATACTGTCAATACCGCGGGTTGCGTCTTCGTTGTTAGCTTGCTGCTAGTTAACTGGCGGCTGGTAAAGTTCCCCAGAGTTCACAGATTTTAGCAGGTAGCACTGATGAATGAGCACTGCAATAGATACACCAGGGTGTGGCCGAGGGCTGGGCAGACGCTTTGGTGCTAGTTTTAAGCCGCTTCTCGCTGCCGCCGCCCACTGCTAATTATTCGCGTGTCTTTCGCTTTCCGTGAGTGTCTCGTGCGAGACCGTCTTGGAAAACCGCTATTGCCTGCCACCAGTGCCGGCACTGGATTTAGACTTGCGCCGGACTAGACTTCGGAAGCTGCCAGGGCTCTCTGCAAGGTGTCTCCAAGCGCTTGCCTTCCGTACTCTGCTTCCCAAACGACACCGCCGCACATGACCCACAGCAGCCACAAAAGTATCCGATCAACGCAAACAAACAGCCCCAGCAAACGCAAACAACAACGCTTCAACAAAAAGAAAAAGTCAGATTACATGGCTCGGCATACGTATCAGACATTGCTTAAACAACAACAACAATAACTAAAAACAAATACAACAGCTACAACTCCAAGTACAAGTACCAATACCACAAAAACTGCACACACGCCGTCGTCATTGACCAAAAAGTTCAATGAGCATGCAATGAAAACAAAAGAAGCCAAACAGCAGCAAACCCAGACCGCTTCCCCCGCTCACGCTGCTCCGCTGCTCAAGCTGCTCCTCCTCCGCCTCTGCCTTTGCCTGGCCGCTGCCATCGCCTCTTCCTCCGCCTGCGCCTGTGCATCCGCATCCCGTATAGTTGGCTCCCTGGAGTCCGGAAGCCAGTCTGAACTCTTCATGTCCGGCAGTGTCGCCGTCGGCGTACGAACCCGTGCCGGGCTGGGTGGACAACCTAAACGGACCCACCGGCCTGATGGTGGGCGCCGGCAAGGGCGTCATCCGCTCCATGCTGATCGACACGCGCTACCTATCCGAGGTTATCCCGGTGGACTATGCCATCAACGGACTTTGCGTGATTCCGTACCAGTTCGCCCAACTGGCAGAGAGGCCGCCGGAGGTTCCGGTGTACAACATCACCTGCGCCGATCACCGCAAGATGCAGTGGGGTGAGGTGATCGAGATGAGCAAGGAGATCGGCTACCGGTATCCGATGGAGGCGGGTCTCTGGTACCCAGACGGATGCATCACCACGAACAAGCTGCACCACAACATAAACGTAATTCTCTTCCACTGGCTGCCCGCCTACTTCATCGACTTTATGCTCCTGATCCTGGGCCAGAAGCGCTTGTAAGTTGGGGGTCGCCGGATCTCCGAATGAGTGAAACGATACGATCCTGACTAATTCTCTCTCGGACAGCATGGTTCGCGTCCAGAACCGCATTTCGGTGGGCCTCGAGGTGCTGCAGTTCTTCACTATGCGCGCCTGGTTCTTTAAGTCGGACGCCTACATCTCGCTCTGGAACATTCTGAACGAAGCGGACAAGAAAAAGTAGGTACCGTGGCGAAGGAGAACGGCTCTTAATCATACCGTCTCATACCTCATCCAAAAGCTTCAACATGGACATGGACCCCGAGGAGACTGTGCCCATGTACATAGAGTCTTGTGTCCAGGGCGGGCGTCAGTACCTAATGAAGGAGTCTCCGGACAGCCTGCCGCGGGCTCGACTCCAGCTGAAGCTGTAAGCTGCCCCGAAACCCGATCCCCTATGCCACGATCTCTAAGTTCCACTTCACCTTGATTTGCAGGATGTACATCTTGGACCGCGTGTGCAAAACGCTGATTGTGGGCTCGCTGTGCTACTGGACGTACGGCTTGGTGGCCCGCCTCCTGGGCGTCTGAGCCACTGGACTCCGAGTCCGCACCATTTCCACTTCTCATTCGCGCGCATTTCCCAATCAATCTTCGCTTATGTTCGCTTGGGGGCTGAAGACTTCGGGGCTCTTGACGAGGTCTCGGATATCTGGTTTTCATTTCTAATTTAAGTGATTATCCATGTTTCATGTGTGCAATAAAAGCAGCAGTAAACACCATTCGGTATATTGTGTCTGTGTCTGTGTATCTGTGTTTCTGTGCCTCATGTGCCGGTGCTTCAAGTGTCCAAGTGTCGATGTCCAGAGCTGAGGACCATCCGCTCCAGCGCCAACACGAACAACACAAACAGAACACACACGATCCAAAGAAACAACACCACCCACACTATAAGATTCGCACACTCTCTCCCACACACACTTTTTCCAAAGAAATGACCACAAAATTGCACACTCACCCACTGCCAAAACCTAAACCCAAACATCACAAACAGGGAACAGCAACAGAAATATAAATAGAAGTTGCTGATCTCTAACCATATCACTCACCCTCTCACACCTAACACTTAACACACTCACCACTCGGCTTCGGGAACCATCATCCTGGGTACTTCGTGGTATGTAGAAAGGTGCAAATCATCCGGGAGAACAATTATCGGCGGGTATTAAGACTCTGTCTTGCTCCTCCAACAGTTTCCCCGGCCGCCTTCGAACCACTGGCTGGCTGGGTGGACAACCTCAACGGACCCACCGGACTGATGATCGGGTGCGGCAAGGGTGTCATCCGCTCTGTGCTGGTCAACCAGAAGAACAAGGCCGAGGTGATTCCCGTGGATTATGCCATCAACGGTCTCATCGTCATCCCCTACGAGTTCAACAAGCAGGCCAAGCGGCCGGCCCAAGTCCCGGTCTACAACATCACGAATGCGGATCACCGGAAGATGACCATGGGCACGGTGGTGGAGATGAGCAAGCGGATCAACAAGCAGATCCCCTTCAACGCCGGCCTTTGGTACCCGGATCCTTGCGTGACCACCAACACTCTGTACCATAGCTTCAACGTGGCCATGTTCCACTGGCTTCCCGCCTACTTCCTGGACTTTCTGATGCTCATTCTGGGCCAGAAGAGATTGTAAGTTGCATCGAGTTTGAAGCCAATATTAAAAAGTATGGTTTTAAAATGTTTCCCTTTAGCATGTTGCGAGTGCAGGAGAAAATCTCCACTGGTCTCGGTGTCCTCCAGTTCTTCACTCTCAATGCCTGGAGTTTCAAATCCGACAACTATGCGTCGCTGTGGAATAAGCTCAATGAGGAGGACAAGGAAATGTAAGCCCTCTAGGAGGATTGCATTTGTGAGCAGGGTTTTATTTTCAATCAACATTTCAGTTTCAACATGAACATGAACACCAGCAACACAGAGGAGGAGTACATGATTGAGTGTGCCAAGGGTGCCAGGAAGTTCATTCTCAAAGAGAAGGACGAGGACATCGACAAGGCCCGGCTGCACATGAAAATGTAAGAGGAACTCGCACATAAAATAGACCCAATCTAACATTCACGATTTAATCCATTCTAGCCAATGGGTTGTCGACGTGGTGTGCAAGACTCTCATCGTAGGACTCTTCTTCTACTACGTCCTCAAGTGGACGGGGGTGCTGGCCCTCTTTTGAGCCGGTCATGGGTTTGATGGTCACAGGCATTTACTTAGTCACTAGCTTAGTTTTAGTTACGCATATTCGAGGTTTCGATTCCAAATAAACATGATTCTAGGTTGTTGAATACACTTATCGCCACCCCACGTTGTTTCTCTCTGCTAATCGGTGGGCATCTTCCATAAATCCTGGGTTTACCTCACGTATTCTCTGCTCCTCCAGTAACGCCTGCTCTGGCCGAGCCCTTGCCGGGCTGGGTGGACAACATGAACGGTCCCACGGGTGTCCTGATTGGCGCCGGCAAAGGAGTCATTCGGTCGATGATCTGCAATGGCGAGCTCAAGTCCGAAGTCATTCCTGTGGATATCGCCATCAACGGCCTGATTCTGATACCTCACCACACCAGTCTCACAAAAAAGAGGTGAGTCTCTAGTTGTGCTAACCGACTACGGTGGTCACATGCCTTTCTTTGCAGGCCCCTCCAGATTCCGGTCTACAACTTGACTGTGGAGGACGAGAAGAAACGCACTTGGAAGTGGATAATGGATGTGGGCCGTGACTTGGGCATGAAGGTAATTATCGTACCGAAAGTTTCAAGTAAATTTTCGATTTTTTCCAAGGGGTACCCTCATACAATTTTGGGTTTTTCCAATTTCGCCACTTTTGCTCCTTCCGATGGCCACAGCTCGGCCGATTTGTATCCGATCAGGAAACAAAGTACCATTTTGTAATCAGCAAACCCAGAAGCCACTTTTCTCATTCAAAACATTGCCTAAATACCGATTTGAAATTTTTCGAATTTTTCCAAGGGGTACCCTCACAAAATTTTGGGGTTTCCCAATTTCCCCACTTTTGCTTCTTACGATGGCTACAGCTCGGCTTATTTGCCTTTTAAGCTGCAAGTTAAAGAAAAAGCATCCATTCTTTTTTGAATTTCTTTTCAGTACCCCTTTGAGGTGGGACTATGGTATCCCGATGGAAATATGACCTCTAGCAAGTTCTACCACACTTTTTGCTCCATAATGTTTATGTGGCTTCCGGCTTATTTGATTGACTTCCTGCTTCTGATATTTGGTCAGCGACGCTTGTAAGTTATATCTCAAAGCCAGTTAAATCCAAATATACATCCTTTTGGGTTCCGCAAACTAGCATGATCAGGGTTCAAACAAAGATCGCAGTAGGTCTGGAGGTTCTGCAGTTCTTTACAACCCGGAATTGGGACTTCAAGTCCACGCACTTCAAGCAAATTTATCAGGAAATGGATGCAACAGATCGAAAGATGTAAGGACTAGCAAACGAGTTTGAAGTATATACATATATCATTTGAAATTGCCTTTAACAGTTTTAAGATCAACACTGATGATGTGGACGACTACGAGTACATGAAGGTTAGCATCTTGGGAGGCCGTCAGTATGTCATGAAGGAGCCTCTGACCTCATTGCCCAAGTCCCGCATCCAGTTAAGATTGTAAGTAGCTCATAAAGGTTTTAGATTCTTATTCCTTAACGTATTTTACCCGATTCTAGTATGTACGTCCTGGATCGCATTAGCAAAACCCTTATTCTTTCGGGACTTTCGTACTGGATCTCCGTCAAGCTAGGAATTATCGATATAGTCAGAAACGGATTGCTACCCAGCCATTAAGATAAAGCCAGTCACGCAAAAGCGGATTTTTCATCGTTTCATCATGTTTTCAAGCCTAAATGTACCATAATTGTAAATCAGTTCAAAATAATTCAGGTGTTTTGTATACGTTATTTTAAAGATTTTTTAATAAGAATACACATAAATACATTTCCGCAGAAAATGTTGTTTTAATTTGTGTTAGAATTAACTAAATAGAAAGAAACAAATAACAGGCCATTACTACGGCCATTTTGAAAAGTTGCGGGAAGCTTTGCGATGTATCGATCGTGTTATCGATAGTCGAGCTCTGTTAAACCAGAGTGGGGCTGCCCCATGTGTCAGCTATGTAAAGCTTAACAGCGCGCCACTTTAAAAATCCCCTTTCCCAGATCAGTCGTGAAAAGATCAGCAGCAAGTTTAGTTGAACGGAAAGGTAATGGACGGTGTTCGGTGCCACTTGATCCTGAACAATATTTAAAAAGTGAATTTTGAAAACGGTTTCGAAACTTTCTTCTGACGCATTCAAAAGTGAAACTGGTGAATCATTATTAGTCCTAGTGCCTGAGACGAGAAAGATGCCTCATGCGACGACAGTTCGCAGTGAAATTAAAACATATTATTAAGTAGTAACTGAGAGTGAATCATGTGTAATGCAGATATAAATAAATGAGTAAAACCGCAGTTGCAAAGATAAGTTCGCCTCCGCGACCCACACAACCAAGCAACAACAACAAGAACCGCGGTTTAAACAAGTTTCGAAAATATTTTACGTCCATACAAGGTTAAAAAACTGCAGAATCCAGCGCCCACGGGGCGCATAAGAAAAAAAACCTTTGTTTTAATGACGTCGTCGATGGCAAATTAATTGATTGAGCTGCATTTGATAAATGATTAATACAAGTATTAATCACTGTGCTCTGTGACATCATCGAGGCTTAAAAAACAGTTTCCTAATGCCTGTGGGCAGATCACGAACCTGTGCGCTCAATTCCCTAAAAGGCAACGCCTGCGGTGGCCAGTTCTCCGAAATGATCGGTTTCTGAAACATTTCAACTGGAAAAGCGGAGACCCACTTAAACCAAACAATTCTTGCTGACCAGGCGTGTTCTTCAGAACCCTGCGGCTGTAAATCGAGCCCAATGTTTGCCTAACTGGGTTGGGGACAGGGCGGACCAACCCGAGCTCTGGCATTTGCATGAAAATAAGGCGTCAATTGCTTCCGTTCCCTGTTCCCCGTCTCCCACAACTCACTACACATGTTCCGGGGCGGAATTTGCATTTTTTATTGCCAATTACAATTAAATAATCCATCGATTAGGCTATACGGGGCTATGCCCCCGGTTCCAGTAACCATTTTCCGAGCCATTCAAGACGTTTAGGTCGAGCCCCACCTAAGGTCGAGCCCTCGTCTGATCGTTGGCTCTATTATTATGAAGCTCACATAGGTAGTGATAGGTTGGAGGGGATTCAGTGAATTGGGCCAATGGAATAGATTCCCTTTGGTTTAGATATTTTTTTTTTGGATGAGAAATTGTTCTCAGCGGTCCAATTAATATTCCTCAGTTTGGAATAGCCAACTCTGGCCGAGTGTGTGTTTAATTAAATTACTCGAAATTACTGAATCGTGCGGGCCCACGCTCCCCTTCCGGCTGACCCCCTCCCGAATCTTTTGTTGTGCACATGATGTAGGCCAGTCAATTGTTTATGAAGTGCACAGAGTATAGAGAGCACACAGATACACACCGGCACACAAACTTTTTCAAATAACCACTTCGGATGGGCGTCTGTCCATGTGTTTGGGGTACTGCCTGGATAGTGTTTCTACAGCTAAACACTTCTTGTATACAACTAAATCCAGAAGCTGCTGGTTTTTATTTTGGTGCGAAACCACTTCGCCATGAAGTCAGCCCCCGACGACAACTACAACCACGCTCACATCCACAGCCCCATCTGCGCATCCATCTTAATTATGACGTTTTTATGATGACAATTTGGGGCTGAGCTCGGTTACAGTTGTGCTCCGCCAGCTCGGATGGTAGCTTTGGCTGCCAGTGGCGGGGCATCCACAAAAACTACGAAACCGTGCCTGACCTCAATCACGATCGTGGCTGTTTCGGCCCCTCCTAGGCCATTTTGGCCATTTTTTTGGATTCCTAGATTTTTTTACTCTCCGCTTTTCCAGCATGGATTTCAAGTGTAAACATTCTCTATTCTCTATTAAGTGCAGTAAAATTGTGCTATGAAATAGGTAAACAAAAGCGTTCTATTTGCTAATAAACAAAGTTTATGGACAAGCAAATTAGTTTATAATTTTTCCGTGGAGAGCTTTCCGGCGAATGCGATCATCAGCTTGAAATTTCTCGCCCCGAAAACATCTTAATTCTGAAAATATTCACACTATATGTATGTAGGAATGTCTTGGTTTTCCAAATATTCTTCCCCTTTGTTCAGAGCATCCAGACACTTAATTTATCAGAGCCATTCTACGGGTGATAGGGTAGGGAATAAATCTTCTCTGTCTGCCAAGATTTGGATTGAATTCTGCACAGACTTGGTTCTTCCCAGCTGTGCGTTTTGTGACTTCCGCCGAGTGCAATTATTTTCTGCCATAACATGGTCTGAACAAACCTGATCGACAGGTTTGGAGCCGAAAGTGCATTCCAGACTCCGGATACTGCCTGAAATCTGGCTACTCAAGCCGCTCAGTTGGCCAGAATTGTGGGCCCTTTGTGTTCTGCTAATTACTAGGAATTACGCCATTCTGTCAACTGTTGTCCAAGACCCGGCTCGGAGCTTCGACAAACAGTGAAGTTGTTTGTCAATTGCTTTGACAAATACTCCGGTGGGCAAACAACATAATACATACCCCCGATATATAGTGGAGCCAATTAGAGAGGGTGATTGTGCTTTTTGTTTATCTTATCAGCTTGGCTCGTCGGGGGGTCATTTACAATGGCCAATTTGCTTAGCCGATGAAACACGGGGTTAGCAAGAGAAGACGTTTCCTGATTACCAATTCTTGCCATTGACTGACAATCGACGGTGGCGTTATTCAAATTAGCCAAGTGTGATTAGCCGATTTCTCACACATTTCATGTATTGGCAAGTCGTTAGATGAGAATCGAGCCAAGAGAAGATCCCACAGAAGACGCCGCCTTGAAATTTACGCTGAAAGCCGCCGATAAATCGCTGATACGCCCCCAGGGCTTCATCTGGAACTCAGGAGCTCTGAAACTTTGGAACCCCAACCCCGGCCCAATTCCGCAGAATAATCAAAGCGTAAAGCGCAACAAATTAATTGCTAATTGATACTGATGTGTCGATTACCTTATGATTGTTCTTTATGATCGTTAAGCGCCGATATCCCGGTCCAAAAACCTGATTCAAAAATTTGTGGATCGCCACGACCTCTGATTGCGCCACTCCCTAGCCCCACCAAGTGCGTACATGGTTGGATTGTTATGATTTAATAACTACATGGGGGAGCAAATTAAGACCGAGTCTGTCTGTACCAGGGAAACCACTTAGAGACGCTTTCTTTAATGGCCTGCAGAGCGAAGACTTGGATTTCGACAAACCTGTAGGGCAGCTTTTATTCCAGCTCCACCACGCAGCTGCGGCTGTGTGAAAATCAGCGTACCATGAAGCTGTGTCAAATGCCGTTTTTGGGTTTTGACCACTTAAACTAGAGTGTTCTATTGTCTAAAGACTGCCAAGGTCAGGCAGAGTACCCCGAAAGCCGTGGTCATGCGGGCTCTGCCTCCATCGGATGACGAGCCGTGTGGGAGTTCATTAGCGCTGGTCGTTCACTCTCGTCACACTTTGAAAGAAGCATTATTCGATAAACTCTATAAATTCTACATCTTTTCTTCATCTTTTAGTGAAATGGACATGACCATGGCTTTTCTCGAACCGCAGGCCCAACTCAGCGCTGCTCTAGAAAGGAGACAGAGTGCAGAGTTTAAAACGGCCTTGGCCAGAGGAGCACAGGCGTATCGCCAGGACGAGCGCCACCAGAGTATCTTTGAGAAGACGCTTTCCACCCCCGGCTGTGGGGATTTCATAGACGCCTGTATTGACCACGGCTGCAACGTGAATTATGTGAGTGGCCACCGGACATGGTTAAGCATTCTTGGATGACCACCCAAATCTTCCCGCCCGCAGGTCAATAGACATAACAACAAGGCAGCAGTTAACTACGCAGCAGATTCGAGAGATGCTGGAAACCTGGAGGCCTTGCTGCGCCCCCGCGGCAACTCAGCCAAGGTCCAGGTGGATAGAAAGTATGCCAATCTAACACCCCTCAACTCGCTGGCCAAGAATCTAACAGCGGACAACGCCGCAGATGTCAGAGCCTGCATGGAGCTCTTGCTGCTCTACGGAGCCTCCCCAAACGCGGTCGACCAGAGCGAGTTCACGCCCCTGCATCACGTACTCCGCAACAAGAAGGTACCAAAGACTGAGCAGCAGAAACTGGTGGAGCTATTCCTGGCCCAACCACTCCTGGACATCGATAGCTATCGCAACGGCCAGGTGCGTCAGTTGCTCCAAACACAGTACCCTGGGCTACAGCTACCCGAGCCAAGCTCCGGACCATTGGACACCGATCAACTTCAGCGCACCTTAAGAGACTGCGACGAGGAGCAGTTCCTGCAGCAGCTAGACGAGTACAAGAAAAACCTCAGCAGCTCCGCGGATAACCAGCGCAACACAAACCAAGAGGAGTATCTGGCCCTGCTGGAGGAGAGCATCAAGAGGGGCAAGCAGAAGGCATTGGAGGCGATCTTGGGCACTGGTGTTAACATAAACGGCGCAGCAGGAAAACCCAATCAGGCCAATGTCATAGAGGTGGCCGTGATTTCCGGCAACTGGCAAGCTCTAGAGCGCCTTCTGAGGCATCCGCAACTCCATATAACCAGCAAGTCGCGTCTCCTTAACTCCGCCATTAGTAGGTTGGAGGAGCAACCGTACGAGGTATACTGCGACTACGAGCGCTGCTTCAAAGTACTTTTGGCCAGCCATCTAGTCGACATCAACGAGACGGACAAGGGAGGCATGACCCCACTGGCCTACGCCGTAAAATATCGAAACACATGGGCTATCAAGGAGCTGCTCCAGCAAGGCGCCTACATCGGAGCCAAGAGCAAGTTTGGGGACTTGCCCATTCAGGACATTGCCCCGGAGCTGCTGCAGGAGCACTTCGACTCCTGCATCACCACAAACGGGGAGAAGCCTGGCGAGAGTAGCTTCGAGATCCAGATCGATTTCAAGAACCTGATGCGCCAGGAGGCTAGAGAGTCCCAAGCCTTGTCCCACTCGCTGCGCGACGAAATGACGCCCATAGCTTATATAGCCAAGTCGAAGGAGCTCAGCTACCTACTGCAGCATCCTCTGATCTCTAGCTTCCTGTTCCTCAAGTGGCACCGGCTGTCCCTCATCTTCTACCTGAACTTCCTGATCTACTCGCTTTTCACTGCCTCCATCATAGCTTACACGCTCCTGAAGTTTCACGAGAGCGAGCATGCCGTATGGACAGGGTTCTTTCAAATCCTCTCCTGGGTGGGCATCGGATACCTGATTGTGCGCGAGGCCATACAGGCGATGATGTCGCCAATGGTCTACCTCAAATCGGCCATCAACTGGATGGAGATAGCCCTAATCGTCCTGTCCATTTGTACCTGCATCGAATCCACCTACGACGAGGAGACAAAGCGGGTCCTGGCAGTGATCACCATCCTGCTGGTTTCCATGGAGTTCTGCCTGCTGGTGGGCTCCCTGCCAGTGCTCTCCATCTCGACGCACATGCTCATGCTGCGTGCCGTCTCCAGCAGCTTCGTGAAGAGCTTCGCCCTTTACTCGATCTTCGTGCTAACCTTCAGTCTGTGCTTCTACATCCTGTTTGGCAAGGACATGCCCCCGATTCAGGACAACGCTGTCCCCCATACCACTCCGAGTCCAGATGCGAATCCCAAAGATAAGGGCGAGTTCAATACCTTCAGCAAGCCCATCGAGGCCCTCATCAAGACGATTGTGATGCTTACCGGAGAGTTTGACGCCAGCGAAATAAAGTTCACCAGCATCTACACCTACCTGATTTTCCTGCTCTTCGTCTTCTTCATGACCATCGTGCTGTTCAACCTCCTCAATGGTCTGGCCGTGAGCGATACCCAGGTGAGATACAAACGACTTCGTTTCCTTTATTTGAGGCTGACCCAATCTTTCAATCCTCCGCAGGCAATCAAAACCCAGGCTGAGCTGAACGGAGAAATCTGCCGAACTAACCTGCTGACCCGCTACGAGCTTGTCCTCACCGGCCGCCATGGACGGGCTGGGTGCCTGTCCGCCAGCCAGCCCTTTAGGAGCATCATCCAGCGACTGCTGAACATCTACCCCAATTACCTGGGACTACGCCAGATCTCCGTGCTGCCGAACGATGGCAACAAGGTGCTCATACCGACGAGTTACACTTTCGAGGCTCCCTACAATCAGGTTTCCACCAACCCCACCGCCTCTCAGAAGAAATTGCTGGATCCGCCACTCCAACTCCTGCCGTGCTGCTGCTCCATGCTGACCGGAAAGTGTTCCCAGATAGATGCCCGCACCGTAAAGTTGGCCCTCGCCCTCATCGACCAGAAGACCAGCACGGAGCAGAGGCGCCTGCGGGAGCAGCAGAGCGACCGGAGGCTTCAGGTCATAGAGCAGAAGCTGGAGAGCCTGCTGCAGCTCCTGCAGGAACGGAACTGACCTCCCTTCACCAGCCTAGAGTATTAGTTGTGACCGACGCGCATTTCAAACAGTTTCTAAACAGGGTTTTAGTCGGAAATTGTTTTATTAACATACGAATAATGAAATTTGAACAAAACCCTTAATAATTTCAGTTAAGTAGTATATAATGGTTATATAGACAGTAAATATTGTATAAACGAATACCTTTACTGTACCATTTTGTACCCGAGTAAATATTTAATTTCAAATGTTAGATTTACGCTTCTTTTTGGATTTTTGCTTAGTTATTCCCTTACTTGGATTGGTATTTGGTTTTTTTTCGTTTTAATTTGTTTTGTTTTGATTTGATATGATTCGGTTCAAAATGTGTGTAGTCACATATTAATGGTTAATGGATGCTTAAGCTTTACTGTATTGAATCCTCCCCGCGTCCTCGTAAATATATATTCTCTAATCGAGTCAGAAGTCTCAGGTCTAGCGAGTCAGAGCTAAGCTGGCGGATCAATTCGAATTTCACGGAATTAACGGACTAACGAGGCAATCAATGGCAATGGAAATCCAAGTGGCCACCGGCCACTGGCCATAGGCCGTAACACGTTAACAATTTTCTGCCCAATTATCGCATCAAGTGATTTCCGACAGACGATCGACAAAAAAATAAAAACATAATAAATAACGCTACGAGCACAATTCCGATTTAATCCGAGTGGAGCGAGTGGAGCGCAGGCAATGATTAAGCTAAAAGCTAGTTACAATATTATATTAAACATTAAGATTTACCCGATAGCGCCTTGGCTGCTGGACTGAACTAGGACTAGGACTAGGACTAGGACTAGGACCTTAAAAGCGGCAAATCAAAATAATTGACTTAGTTCTCAGAGTCGTCCGCCCTCCCTCTGAGCTCCTCCTCATCCTCCTCTGAGCTTCGTGGTCTCAAGTGGTATTATTGCTGGTGAAACGTTAACTTGCTTATTCCTCGTACATATATACCTTTAAATCTCAACAATAAATATGTATATATAAATAAAATCGTGTATTCTGTAAGGCATGCCTAATCAAACCAGCCGTATTGCTAACTTTAGGTATTGGTATCCTTTGGTGTGTTCTTCGATCCTGCCTGTTCTCACTGCGAGGCGGAAGGAGCACGTTCTTGGAAAGAGCTTCTCGGCCTTAAATGCACAGAACGTGGCCTAATTCGTTCTGTTCTTTCCGGGTTTTCGGTTTTCCGGTTCCTATTCCTGTCCCGTTTCCTGACCTGACCCCCCCTGCTGACTGGGAGCAAAAGCGTTTCTACTGCGATTACAAGTACGACTGATAATATCTAAAGCTAATTTTATTAATTACCTCGGTTCCTGTGAGTGCGTGTGTGGCCTGACTGCTGTTAATTTGAGTTATTTCTGTTTCTATTTCCGTATAATTGAATATGCCGCATTCGATTTATTGTCGTTATACTCTATGACTAAATTAAACACCCCACACCATCATTGGACCCGGTCCGCCCAGCACATCCGGTCTCTGGAACCGAGTTGTGCTGGTGAACACGGCCAGTGCCTCGCTCTGACTAATCGTTAATCGTCAATCGTTAATCGTTAATCGCTAATATCGCATTTTATCGATCTTTGTTGTTTTTTTTGTTGTGAGGATAACCAAAATTAAAGCTTGTCTCTGGTTTCAGGGCTTTGGGGTCTTTTTTTTTTTAGTTTAATGGTTCGTGGATGAAGGGGTCTATTGCTATTTCGTTTTTTTTCGTTATCCTTATCGCTTTTCGTTTATGTACAATCGAATACGAGTCCTAAATATTGTAAATCCTATGTCATACAATATATAATATCCTTGCAACTGTTAGGCAATGTATTAAATATCACTTAATTGACGAGTGTTTTGGTTTCTGTCTGTTGTTTGGTTTTCCCCATATTTCGTATATGTCTATATCTGTTAACAATTCTAATTTAAAATTATGACCTTAGTTTTGTTTTTTTTGGTTTTTTTGTTTTTATTTTGTTTGTTTGTGTAAAAATTGCAGTTAAAATCACAATTAAGTTTTTTGTGTGTACGTACGTTCATTTGGTTTTTGGTTTTTTTTTGTTTTTTTGGATTTATTTCCTGGAGAAAACGATTAGTTGGTACCATAGAATTTCAATTTGCTATCAATCGCTGTCTGATTGTCTGTTGTTAATTCACGAAAGTAGAGTAAGATTTAGTGGAATCGAGTGGAGCAGGTGCCCTCAATGCAGCAGGTGCAGTAATTCGATAAATATTACATTAAAATATATCTATCAACTCCGATCTGTTCCGTTTCGATGTGTAAACTTAATGCGATCACAATGGCGACTTAAAAGAGAGAGAGACACTGAACAACACTTAAAAATTAACCAAAAAGAAGGCGAGTTTCTTGGAAACTTGGCCCGACCCCACCATTATTTCAAAGTCATACAAAGAAGTCAAGTGTAAAGTGTAAATTATTTGATAAAATAGAGTTCTCGTGGAAGCTTTCTGTATAGGAGACCACAATTGTTGCATCTTGCTTTTGATTCACTTCATTAGCATTACTAAAAAATAGGGGGTAACGGAGAGCTAACTGAGGTCTTAGGTAGGACTGCTGATTGATTTCGTTTCGGATAACGATTGGATATCGATTGAAAGTGCCCATGTAGCTAGATGTCCCGATTGGGACTAAAAGTGTGTAGAGTACAAAATCACTTGACATTGTTATTTGGCTTAAGTTCTTACTGTTTGGAGATGCTAGGGATGCTAGGATGAGAGTAGCTGGGGGGCACTAAGTATTTACAATAATAATCAAATCTACTAATACTTCGCTTTTGTACTTCGAACAATCGGTAATGGATAATATATTCGATATATGTTATTCGCTATCGTAATCGGTAATTAGGCGTTATTGTAACGAAAAACCCTTCATAAATATTTCATTAAATTGTCACTAACTAATGTCCATATGTCCATATATGTATGTATGTAGGCTCTATGTACGCTATGTAAGATTAACTATAGTAATATAGCTCATTAGTTTAAAATACTTCCTTTGGCATATTTACAAAATGTTTACGATACGATTCGGTAATTCAGTAATCAGTAATCCATAATTGAGAAAAAAACAAACACTACGTCTATGAGCTACAATTTGGAGTTTCACATAATTGCAAATCTGCCAATCTCCCTAGGTATTAGGTATTAGGTATTAGGTATATTGTATAGTTCAAAAACAACCTTCAAAAATGTCCAAGAATGTCAACCGATTCGATCTGACTAACCGAGCGAGCATGCGAATGATTAGGACGATGATCCATCCGATCCTACTCTGATTCGACTTTTGATTTTTTTGATTCGAGTACTACAACGGTTTAATGCACGTCTTGTTAACATATAGTTAATATTGATTTTCCTTAATTTCTTTTATGTTACGTTACTGTATGTATGTATAAACTTGGTTACTTCCGTATATATGTATGTATCGTGTATATATGTATATCGTATAAAGCGACTATAATATATATATATATGTATATATAGGCAATCGACTATGATAACAAAGAGGTGACGATTCCCCTGCCTAAGCCTAAGCCTAAGCCTAAGCCTATTCCTAAGTCTAACAAACTACGATTGGTGACAGGAATCGACATCGGCACTCAGGCCGGAGCTTGTCAACTCGTCGAGGATGAGCTGCTCCTGGTACTGCAGCTGCTGGTACTGGTGCTGGTGTCACTGCTAGAGTCCTTCTGCCTGCTCCTGACCGGATACGAGGGTCATCTCTGCTCGTCTGGAAGCGATCCAATTTCAACTTCGGTTTCTACTTCCATTTCAGTTTCGATTTCAGTTTCATCATCGGCCTTAGGTTCCGGATCCCTTTCGGGATTGTAGTCGTAGAACACCTGCGAGGTATCACCCTGCACGTTGACGTCGATGGGTGCGTCCACGTCCACCCTGGGCACAGAGAACTCGGCACTGAAGTCTCCGCGTGGCGGTTCCTTGGGACTGTCCACCATTATCTGAACCGTGGGCATGGGACACGTATCCATGTTGCTGCTCTCCACCGACCCCGTGCTGATGCGGATCTGTGGTGGCGGCTGCTTAGCCCCATTTCCGTTTCCGCTGACCGGCGACGAGGCGGGGCTGCTGCTCTCGTCCTCCTCCTTGTACTCCTCGCTCTCGCGATGCACCAGCACGTGCACCAGCGTGGCGTTGTCCGGGCGCAGGCCCAGGGAGAGCTGGTGCGGATGTGTCTGCTGCTCCGGCGACGGTTTCGTGACGATCACCTCGGGGGCAGGCGCCTCGGCTGGAAGGGCAGAAGAAAATGAGTTAGTGGACTGATCCTGGGGGGAATCTCGGACAGATACACATACAGACAAAAGCGTTCTTGTTAACTCTTAAAGCGCTCTGTGCGGACAGGCCCCTTTCTAGGGGCGGTTTCTTGCGAATGAAACTAGTGGCGCGCTTACGTGCCACCGCCTGCTGTCGGTCGCTGTCGGAGGCGAAGGCCGAGGCCGAGGCGGCTGCCACTGTCGGATGCGGGCCACACCCAGTGGCGGCGGCAGTGCCGGTGGAGGAGGAGGCCGTGCCGGAGGAGTTGGAGGTGGTCGTGTTGGTTGTGGTCGAGGTGTTCATAGCGGCTGTCGTGGGTGAAATGCACGCATTAGTACGCATAGTGGGCACACGCACAAGTACAAGGTTGTGTGGACAGACGACAGGTCAGAGGTCAAAGATAAACAGAGCTCGTTGTGAGTCAGAACTTAAGCTTAGAGTTAAGTTAAGGGGTACTATTCGATTCGATTGTGGATGGAATGCTATTGATATTCGAGTAGGGTGCAGAGATGGGGGTACGAGGTGCCGGTGGCTATGTACAGAGAACATACGTATTGTTTATATTTACAAGTGGAGCCAAAACAGGTGGTTCTGGATGGGTGATGTTCGGATGGTCGAGGCAGGTGGGGAATGTAGGTGTTGAGTGGGTCAGTGGGTCAGTGGAGAGTGGATAGTGGGTGAGTGAGTAGGCACTTGTCAATAATTACTTTTTCTATGTACTGAAGGTGAGGTTAAGCTGTCATCGACAGCATCCTGATGACGCAAAAAGAAATTATAAAAGCTTCGGCGACGACTTGCTCTAGGCGCTTCCACAAATATGCTACCGCTAATATAATAGTAATAGTTTAGTAGTTTTGGAATAACAAGAAACAATCATAAGCATAATTTCAAATTTCTGGGTTCGATTGGATGTAGAATGTTGGGGTTATATAGTAGTATAGATATAGTCATGGTTGCCCCTCTTTCACTCGGATAACTCGGATCCAAGGGGCAACCGTGACTATAGGTATAGCTGGGACGATACAAAAGTATAGGATATCGAGGATTTATCGTTTAAACATTAGCTGCAATTTTTTGACGAAATTACATAGGAAAGAATGCAAAGCTTTCGACTCTAAGAAGCTGTACATCGTGGTGGTTGATGATCCAGATGGGATTTAGTCAGAGTTTTCCAATTACCTGGTGAAATGTTGGCTTAATGCTGCTACATTCAAACTAAAGAGAGAGATTACTTAGCAAAACCATAGTAACGATCTATAAAACAGGGCAGGCAACCAAATGGCAAGAAAAAATGAACTCAAACTGCGCATTCCAGAGAATCGGGTGAAGTGGAGTCGGAGTAGTGGAGTTACGGATTCAATTGGTTTGCTTGAAGTCTTCCGGTTACTACCGCTACTTACAAATAGTATGATATTAAGGCATATATTACTCGAATGTTATTTTTTTTATATATCTGCGATTAGCTGTGGTGGTTGTCTGATTGTTGTTGAATAATTGTCGAATATTAGTTGGCTAGGTAGTACTTGGATTTTTGACAGACTTGGCTTTGCGTTCGCTTAAATGAGCTGAGTTGAGTTGAGTTGGGTTGAGAGTCGAGATTGGATGGAAATACTATATGCTAGACTAGAACAAGTACGAGTACTGGATAGTTGACGCAATTCAAGATACATAGATACTTAATCTAGCTGAATATACAATATGAATGAGTTATAGTCAAGAGTCGGAAATTAAAAAGTAGATTGCTTGTTGCATTTTGATTGATACATTGATACTGATACTGAGAGATTGATATTGGTTTCTGATTTTGTCTGTGATTAGATTTTGTAATAGATTTGTATATAGATTTCATAGTTGGCAGCTAAGATGCTAGATTATTGCCTTTACCTAGGTAGTTCAAGCCACTAGGCTGGGAGCCACTTCTGAGAACGGCAGTGACCATGTCTGCGAGCAGGGACTCATAGTTTAGGGAGATACAAGAGGATATGCTAGAAATAGGGCTTAAGTTTTCATATACACTGTGGACACACAAAACATTATACATAATTTATCGATCTTGTTGCATGTTGGAATGGCATGTGGCAAATGTTGGGTGGAGCACATGAGCAGATGGGAAGCCTTTCGTTTCGTCTAAAAATTGCATTTCAAATTCATCATCGCATCATCGCAGCCATGAAACACAAACATACACGGAATGGCTACGCAGGTGGTACGCAGGTGTATACATGTGGGTGTGTGTATCATGTCTATGTGTCGGTGTCTTCTTGTGGATGGGTTGGTGGGTGGTGGTGGTGTTGGTGAGATCTAGGATCTAGGATAACTACCGTTTGCCGAGCTCGTCGCTCTGCTGCTTGATGTCCTTGACCACGTCATCGGCCCCCGAGACGAGCATCAGTGGCAGGTTCAGCCAGGGCCCCGCCAGCTCGCTGAGATCGGAGGCGTCCGAGGCACGTGATGATTTGCGCGACGAGGCGCGGCTGGAGCAGGCGGTGCCACGACGACTGACCTGTTAAGGGAGCCAGGGATTAATCTTGGAATTGAATGTTCTTTGGTGGAGAAATCTCACCTGCAGGTGGAAGAAGTTCAGCGCTGATAGCTTCGACTGCCATCCGCCAGGACTGGAGGTCTGAGTGGCACTGTCCCCGGAGTTCGAGCGCTCCTTCTCGCGCTTCCGCCTGCGTGAAAAAAAGAGCACACATAGGATTAATGGAGTGCAGCGTTAGGGATAACCAAAAGGACTAATTCAATGCTAGATAATGCTAGGGTCAGTGGTTAGTGGTTAGTTAGGCTGGCTGGGTTTGGTTTTGGTTTGGTGATCAGTTGTTATACCGCAAATACTCCTTCCAGCCCGTCTGAATGGTCTTGGCCGCCTTTTCCTGGCGCTTCCAGATCCGCGTCGACGAAACAATTTCCAATTCTTTGCGCGTTGGAAACTGTTTCTTAAACTTGACATCCATTTGTTCCTGCAACTGTTTGAAGTTATCGGTCTCCTCGACATGACCTAGCACGTGCTTCACGAGCGCGTGCAAAATATCGAGACAGTGTATTTTATTGCCCTTCGAAATGGGCAGATTAAATGACACTAGAGCGACATTATTGGGCTTCGAGATGCCCAATGGTGGATCGAGAGAGGCAATAAAATCGGACAGTTGCGAGAAGTGTATAAATTGGGTGGCATGTGGATCATATCTGCAAAGGCAACAAGGTTATCATCTCCGGCTAGAAGTATCGTGCTGGGCACCTACTTAGACCAGCGAATGTAGAACATCTCCAAGTCGTCCTCGACGATGCCGATCTCCTCCTCCTGATGCGCTTGGTTGAAGTTCTCCAGGATGATGGCTATGTACATGTTGATCACTATCATGTAGCTGATGATGATGAAGCTGGTGAAGTAGGTGATCGCCAGCAGAGGATGGCCACAGTCGCCGTTGGTCTGTCCCAGGATGAAGGGGTCGCAGTCCGGCGGCTGGATCATAAGGGACTCCAGTACATCGTTCCATCCGGCGGAGGTCATCAGCCGGAAGAGCAGCTGCATGCTGCGGCCGAACGTCTGGAAGTTCACCATGTCGTCGAGGGCTCCCTGGAGCTTGACGTGGCCGAAGAGCGACATGCCCAGGATGGCATAGATAAACGTGATCAGTCCCAGCAGAGCTCCGATGTTGAAGAGGGCGGGCAGGGACACGACCAGGGCGAACAGCAGCTTCCGGATGCCCTTGGCTGCCTTGATGAGGCGCAGGATGCGTCCTATCCTGAACACTCGCACCACGCGCAGCAAAGTGGGGCTGATGGGCAGGTCGATCATGATGTCCTCCATCAGGATGCCAAAGATGGAGGCCAGCACCAGCAGGAAGTCGAAAACGTTCCAGGGCACGGTGAAGTAGTGGTAGCGCAAGCCCACGATCTTGACAATGGCCTCTGTATGGGGAAAGTAGTGGTTTAGGTTGGACTAACAGGACTAGATAGTGACTACTTACCCAGTCCGAACACGGTGGTGAAGAAGGCGTTGCTCACTTCCAGAATGAAGAAGACAGCGTGGGGCTGGTCGTAGTGCTCGATACCCATGGTTAGCATATTGAGAAAAATCAGTACAAAGATCGCGATTTCGAACCTGAACATCACGAAAAAATTTCAGATTAAGCCTCTATCTTAAAAGGGGGATGAGCTTCGGGTGAGCCGAAGAGTGTTTGCTCCTTGGGTCTGGGGAAATGGTTTAAGTATTTACAGGCACTAGGACAGGGAGGAGCATCCAAGAGATAGATAGTTAAAAGGTGCTCTACAGAACAAACTTCAAGAAGTATGCATTTTTGGATATACAGATAACAGATTACAGGTTACAGATCACAGAGTACAGGTTACAGAATATGGAGGATAGAATTTACAGAATAGGGATTAGGAGGCATTTTTGACGGTGCTTGCTTGGGACAAGCACTGGTCGGTCCAAAAATGCCAAGAATTATTAAGTGTTCAAATGAATTTTATCACCAAATCAGAAACATTCTATGGTTGCTCTGCGGGCCTACAAGAGTTCGAGTTACATCTAGGATAAAGGACTAGTTAGGTGGTTAGGTGGTTTTTTAGGAGAAAAAAACTATACAAGATACAAGGATTCAATGCAGTTTCTTTGGTCATAGAGATCGAGTATCGTTGGGGGGCAAGGATAGATTAGATGGCGGGTTTTGTTTACCTTCTCGAATTGGATAAATCATAAAACATAGCTAAAAAATGATTTATAGGTCGCTTAATAACTTTCTGTGGTTTCTTTCGTCCCAATTTTTTCATGGCCGTGTAATAGTGTTTTTGAGATTCGGTGAGAAACATTTCCAACACTCCTCCTTCATACTATATAAAAGTGATGAGAATAGAATGAACATTTATATAATTAAATATGTACAGTCCGCACAACTCTTAAACACACTAATAACATATCGTCACAAATAGCAAGCCAACAACGAGAACACATAATGGTGGCGATTTTTGGGGGTCAGGGAGCACATCGATGCAGCTGGGACATGGTGCGAGATGCATGAGTGGGAGTGCTATGTACATGGGACGGGTGACTGGCGACAGGTATAGATGAAGGATGGCGATGCAGATGCAACCAGAGCTGGCCCAGCCGACCAAGGTCATAGGCCAAAGGACTTACCTTCTTCTTGAGCATGTTGAAGTTATCAATGATAACTCCAATGAACAGATTGAGAGTAAAGAACGAGCCGCAGACAATAAAAATAACAAAATAAATATACGCATATAGATTGGCCTCCCGCTGCGGCTGGAGGTCCACTCCCCGGGCGTCCACGGCGTCCGCCATCACCTCCATCCATCCCTCGAAGGTGGCCACCTGAAGCAGGGCCAGATATCCCATGCCCACATGATCGAAGGTGATCTTCGAGTTGATCCAAGTGTAGTTCTGTTCGATGCAGTCCCACTTGTCGTTCACCTCCTGCGAAGTAGTCGGGGATTAGTGGTCAAGTGGAGCCGTGGGGGGCGGTTATTGGGCAGTAAGGATCCTGGGTCCAGAGACTACTTACGGTGATGGGCAGCAACTCGCCCAACTCATTGACGCACTTGAAAAATTTACCACCAAAAAACTGAACACCCATTATTGAGAAGATCAACCAAAAAACTAAACAAACCAAAAGGACATTGAAAATTGATGGTATTGCATACATGAGAGCGTTTACTACAATCCGCATTCCTTGCCACCTGGAATAGAAATGTATGGGATTACGATGGCGGCTATATATTACGGGGTGGAGTCGTAGTGCTAGGTGTTCGGATTTATATATAAATGGATGATCTCGTCTGCTTAGGTTAGTCTATACATACATATGTACATTGTCTACAAATTACTATAAACAGTTTTTAACTGATAACCGAATAAGGATTTAAGATTACAGATTACAGATTAAAGATTACAATTTACAGTGGCGAAGGACTACTCCGATTCTGGGACGAGGACAAGGACGAGGACGAGACGATGCAATGCGAGTTCTACGAAGTACGAGTACGAGTACGAGTATTTCTATTCGAAATCCATAAAGAAGACGGGATTGTACTAAACACTGCACACGGTTTTTCTTGATTGCATTGCTCGGTATGACCCACTCCTCCTCGGAAACAGAGATCCTCCGGAACAGAGAAACACGGTAGAGATAGAATAGAGAGCGGGGAAGTACTTAGAGTTCCTACGCAGAGAGCTGGCTTCGCCGGATGCACAGAGATGTCTGAGAGAAGATTGTGGTGCAGGTGCCTCGCAGGACCACTTACCGAGATATGGCTCTCAGAGGACGGAGGGCACGTAGGGTGCGCAGGGATCGCAGTACCTTCAGGTTTTCGTTCTCCTCGATGAGCAGCGAGAACACGGAGACCTGTGAACCAAGCACATCGGTTATCCTAAGCCCTTCCACAACAACCTATCCCCCTGGCACTCACAAACACTATGATGAAGTCGAGTATGGTCCAGAAGCTGGTAAAGTACTTGGAAAAGCCCAGCGCCAGCCACTTGAGAATCATCTCCACGACGAAGATCAGGCAGAAGGAGAAGTTGATCCAGTAGAGAACGCGCTTGAGAGTCTTGTTCTTGTCCAGGTTGATGTCCTCGAAGCAGAGCGTGATACTCGACGCAAAGATCAGCACCAGGACGAACCACTCAAAGGCCGGAGTATCGACAACCGTCAAGACCGCTGTCCTCACCCGAGTCCAGTGCTTGGCGCTCTGCGTGTCCATGCAGCTCATGAACCAGGGGCATCGGAAGTAGAAGCTGCAAGAGAGTAGGCGAGTGAGACGTCACCATTCGAGGTATTCGCAGAAAGGGATACTTACTGATCGTAGCACTTTTGGGGGAAACAGTCATCGGGCACCTTGGGCGGCTTGGTGGCCCCGAAGCTCGGAAAAGTCATGGGATCATTGTAGGCTCCCTGCGAGTTACGCCTCCCACCAACGGTGAGATCGTCTACGTAGGAAACCAGACAATGCCATGGTTTTTCAGTCAGTCGCGAGAACGCCGACGGCTTCTGTGTCGGCTCCGAAGCTATGGCCTGCTCTAACCTGGACTGGCAGTCTTGGGGTGTCTTCTGACCCAGATTGAGGGTCAGGCCGAGGGCTGAGCTGGTCTCAGCTGCTCCCGAGCTGTGCGATTCGGTGCGCGCCGACTGGAAAGAGGCAGCTTTGTCTAGACTGGGTTGTGGATGCTCCGGGCGGCTTCTACGTGCGTGCGGATGCGGTGCCTGCGGGCCTTGAGTGGAAGGTGCTTGTGCCTGCTGGAGGCTGGTGGCATGGAAGTGCTGCTGGTGCTCCGTAAGAGCAGCCAGCGGCGGTGTGGCCTTGAGCGATGAAATTTGCGCCAGTGTCGGAGGCTCAATGCTCGATTTCAAGGAGGTGGGTGGCGTGGCGGGCACCAGCTTCTGTTTCTGGAGGAGAAGGTTCTCATACGAGGAAGTGCTCTTTAGCGAGAGGCTGTCCAGATGGCCGGGGAGAAACTTTCGCGGCATCTTCTCTGACTCGATGCGCAGCGTGGAAATGGGCTTCTCGTCCTCCGGCAGCTCCTCCACTCGCTCGATCAGCGACAGCCGCTTGAAGCGATCAAACTGCACCGTAAAGGGGTCGATCTTCCTGCGGAGGAAGGGCGACTGGCTACTGGCCTGGGAGGCAGTCTGACTGGTGGCCGCTACCGCCAGCGCCTCCATGGCCGCAAAGGGTGCGTGGATTTGATCACAGATTTTGCGGATTTCATTCGAGATGCTGAAGTCCTCGTCGATCTTGCGCTGCTTCTCCAGGCTGCGCCGCTTCAGCTTCACGGACTGGCGCTGGGCGGCGGAACTAACGGACTGGGAGCGTCTGGGGACGCTGGACAAATCGTAGCTGTCGTACGGGTTTAGCGGATGCACCACCTCGTCGGCTGTCGTGCGATCCGAGGCTCCCGTGATGATGGCAATGTGGTCCATTATAGCCTTAGTGGCCTCATCGGCAGCCGGCGACGGCTCCGAGAGCGTGGAGAGCTTGCGCTCTAGCGAGGTGGTAGAGCGCTTGATCTCCTCCAGCTCCTTTTCGAAACTCTGTATGATATTGTCAAACTCCGAGGGCTCGGTCTCCGAGGGGTGGCCCCCCATCTGGCCGGAGGAGCGGCGCGATCGCATGGCACTGGAGATGCAGCTAAGGTTGCTGCCCTTTAGCTCGTCCTCATCCAGCTGCAGAAACTGGAAGAGTTCCTTCTGGTCACAGTTGAGCAACTCCTCGCGGAGATTACCCTGCTGCGACAGCAGCTCGTCCTGCTCAATGGAAATGGAGTTGAGAGAATGGCCGCTGAGGGAGTGCCGCCGCATCTCGGCCTCCTCGGATTTGAGGAGCGATCGCTGCGACTGCCCGCTGGACTGTGACAGGCGGTCTAGGGACTTCCGGTAGCTGGGCGAGCGCGTCAGCAAGGACTTTTGGTACTTCAGATAGGCCTCGTCGTGCTCATCGCAGCTCCTGTCCTGTAGGGAGTCGCCCCGGTTGAAGGAGCCACAGCCACTTCTCTGATCGTTGCCATAGGGATCCGTGTCCGTGGAGTTGTACTGGCCCAGCAGCCGCAGCTCAATGGACTCTGTGTAGGTGGCCTCGTCGCGGGAGTCGTTCTGCTGGGTGCTCACGCCCGAGGAGATCTGGTGCTGCAGTCGATAGGGTGTCAGGTTGTGTCCGTTTCCATTCGATGACGGACATGCGGAGGCGACGGCGGCGGTCAGCATGGCGGTTTCGTAGGTGGGAGGCAGCGAGTCCGGATTCGGTGGCAGTGGGTGGTCTTGCATCGGGATCTGCTCCGACAGGCCATGAGAGTCCTCGTACTCGAGGCCATCGACTATGGTGTGCAGGCCGTCTCTGAGAGGTATCTGGAAGCCAAAGTCCGAGCCAGAAACAGGACGATTCATCGACTCCTGCAGGGATAATAGAATAAGTTTTGGAAAATATGTTCTGAGGGCAGAAACTCACCTGGTAGCTCAGTCTGTGGAACTTTGTCTCGACCAGCACACCGCCACCTGACTTGTCGCCCCGCTCCAGCACCCCCAAAGCCTGATCGGACTGGGCCTGGGCGTGAGCCTGCTGCTGGGCCTCCAGGACGATCTGCTGGAATTTCTCCGCATATTTGCGCTCCTTTCGATCCTTGCGCTCCTGGCGCTTCTTGCGGATCAGGTCGCGGACGCGCTCGATGCTCCTAGCCAGCTTTGATTCTTCGCCCACCTCCTAATCAGGGACGGAAAGGGGAGACGGTTAATAGGAAATACAGACTAGGAGGAGCAAAGGAGAGCTGGCTAAAAAGGACTTTTTAATACACATAGATATATAGGTATCCAATAGGTAACAGAACTGAACAGGATTACTGGTAGCTAAGAGCAGGCAACACAAAAGATATACAATTATATAGTAAGTAGGTCCTGGAGCCTGATGGTCAACTACTCTATGTTCACAAAGTATTTACATGTTTGGATTTAGATTTACGGATTATTTCAAAACGCAAACAAGGCAAGCTAGTTTAAAAGCAAGTAGAACGGTTTAGTTGGAAAAATTACCTTTTTCTTGAAAATCTGTTTAACGTTTTCAGTGTATTTAAATGGTTTTTAGTTTCGGGGTTTTTTAGTGTTAGTGTTAAGTGTTTAGATTTTAGATTTAAACGCATTGTGCAAAGTTGACAACAGAAGTTTGGGTTAATTAGATTACGCTTAAGTGCATTTTAAAGTTTTTATTACATTGATTGTTAAAGAGGCTTTTTCTGGGCTGAAGAAACACCAGAGACTTCCATGAGTCATCTTTGAAAGGACATTAGATACTGCCTCAGAACAAGCCCCTGGGGAAGAGGTACCGATAGAACCGATACGTAGGTCCCAGCACAAGGCCCTCCTTCAGACAAGGACCAGGCTTGTGCTGGGTGGAAACTGGTTATTAGTATGTAAAATAATTAAATATTTATTAAGAACATTTAGCACAATTAGTAATACGATGCAGAGAGCAATGGAGTTTAGTGAGACTTAATTTTAAAAACATGAAAATTATAAAGGGTTTTCTGGTTGATTTGAAAAAGAAGAGTGCCACTGATCGGATGGTGTATGATATAATAGGTTCGTCAATTGCTGGGTGCCATCGCGCGATTCCATGATGAAGCTAAAATGTCACACACACCACACAGAAACCACATCAAGGTGCAAGGCAGATTCAAATTCAAAATAATAATCAATCTACCCGGTAGCCGAGCGGCACAACTGGTTTAGTTTAGGTTATCAGTTTAGGACACGGCGAGAAAAGGATCTCTCCTGTCAAGACTCGAGCTATGGATTTAGTTGTTTCGGTTTTTAGGCAACTTTTTTGGCACACACAACGACATTTAGACGACATACACATTCACGAGCGTAAAAGGAATAGGGAGCTTGGGGGGATCATCCGACTTGCCTCTTTCTTCGACTTCAGTTCCTCGGAGTTGAAGCTGTTGAGCAACAAGGCCAAGAACAAGTTGAGCACCATGAAGTTTCCCATCACTAGCGTCGGCAGGAAGATGGCGAAGCAGGTGGAGGCTCCTTGCTGTGGATGGATTTCAGACTATTAGATACCACTTCATATTTTGGGGAACCCAATTATCGTACCTCCTCCTCGGCACGCATACAATCCCACAGGGGCTCGATCCATTCACCGCACAGAATGCGAAATATCATCATGAAGGAGTGAAAGAAGTCGTTGAAGTTCCATCTAGAAAACGAAAAAAGGCACTATATTCCAAAACACAAAGCATGGTTGAATATAATCTCACCTTGGCACTGGATCCGGGTCAAACTTCTCGGGTGTATAGTCTTTGGAGAACAATTGCATTCCGATGACAGCAAATATGTAGATGACTATGACCAGGATCAGCGTGAGGTTACCCAGGGCCCCGATGGTCGATATGATAATGCTCAGCAGCACCTTCATTGTGGTCCAAGACTGGGCCAGTTTCAATACCCGCAGCTGGAAAGATCATAAACTGTGTCAAGGGAGATCGGGTGGGAGCATCGCGCTACTTTACCAATCGAAGTCCACGGAGAACACTGAGACCGTCTACCAGCTCGAAGATGATGTCCAGGAGACTGGCGGTCACAATGAGCAGGTCGAAGATGTTCCAGCCGCACAGGAAAAAGTCCTTGGACAAGGCCATCAGTTTAACGATGCACTCGAAGGTGAAAATGGACGTAAAGACCTATGGGAAAGAAAGAGGAATGTGGATATACTTCATTTCTGGGCGTTGGGAATACTCTACCTTATTGCCCACATCCAGGGCATTGCGGAAGCTCTCGCTCATCCCGTGGTGTTCCATGGCCAGAAACGCGGTGTTCAACACTATGCACAATGTAATGGCCAGTTCGAACAGGGGATCCCGCACCACTTTGTAAAGGCAGTTCTGGAACTGCAGCCAGCTCTCGTAGTCGGTGCAGCAATGAACGCAGCGGTCGCAGTTTCGATCAGGAAGATCGTCTGGTGGGAAACATAATTAGATAACATTGTCTTCTCAAATCTGTACTGTGAACCCACCGATAACAACCACCTCTGAGGAGAACTCCTGGTGCAACGCATAAACGTTGTGATTCTTGATTCGGGCTATGTTTCCATTGCACTTTATGAGGCGCACTTCGCGCGGAGAGAGAGCCAGCTCCACGGTGGACACATGCCCCAACTCGTTAGCTGTGTCCTGCTCCTCGTGGTCGTCCACAACGCCCGAGTCATCCTGCGAGGATTCGCGATTAACGCCACTTGAATTGGAGCTGGTTTGCCGGCTGCTCACGATGAGCTGGCCCTTGTAGTCGGATGGATACAGCATGTTGGGGTTCTTTACTCCCACGCCCACTCCGCTGTCTTGGAAGCTGATCTTGGCCTTGGGCGTGGGCGCAGTGGTGGCAGTGCTTGTGGCTGCTCCGCTGGCCTTGGCCTGTTCCATTTGCTGGTACTGCTTCTGGGCCTGCAGTGCTAGGGCCGAGGGGCGATCCGAGGCGCTGTGACGTGGACTGGGTCCTGGACTCGGCGTGGCCGAATGGGACTTGCCGGGTTCGTTGCCGTTGCTTCCGCTTCCGTTGCCATTGGTGGCTCCCGCATCCCTTGCCGCCCTTTGCCTTTTTCGTCGAGTCTTCTTTTTGCTGTAGGAGGCCAAGAGGACACCCTTCCTTGAGTCAATCTTCTTTTTGTTATTCTTGTTAAGCTTTTTCACATTCAACACCGAAGGGTCGAAGCTAAAGGTCGAGTCGTCACGGTGGTCCAGCAGGTCTTTCTTGCGTTCCTGGGGGGGTACACAAGGATTGGATAAATGTACTTTTTAAAGAAGCAGCTCTGCTCTTACCTCATTCGTTATTTCCGCCTCCTCCTCGTAGCTCAAAGCCACTACAGCCAGCATCAGGTTGATCAGGTAGAAGGATCCAAAGAACACCACCACCGTGAAGAAGGAAACGCTCATGGGGCCGCAGGTGGCTAGAACCTAAAGTGAATGGTTTAGGTGGAGCCTAAGCGAATGGTTTAGATGACCTACCATGTTGTAAACGTTCTCCCAATAGTCCAGGGTAATCAGCTGAAAGGTGGTCAGCATGGACCACATGAAGTTGTCGAAATTGGTGTATCCATGGTTGGGATTCTCCCCCACGCAGAGGCACACATATTCCATGGGACAGTGACGGGCTCCCGTGAGGTTTCCGCACAAAACGGGCAGCTCCTCCTCGTCGTAGAGCCAGTTGTCAGTGTCGTTGACCCATCTGAAATGAAAGAGTGTTTGCTGAAAGTTCAAGAATAGGTTTACAGTTCACCTACATCTGCCAGTCCAAGTGGGAGACGTTCGTCCAGTCTGATGGCACCTGGCGCACACACTTGTTTCGCAACTCCCCCATGTAGACCTGCAGGGCGAACAGAGCGAACACCATGAGGCAGAAGATTGTTAGCGTCATGACCTCGGCCAACTGGCGGAAGGAGTGCAGCAATGCGTTGATGATCGTCTTCAGACCCGGCATAATGGACACCGTTTTGAGGGCGCGCAGAACGCGAAAGGTGCGCAGCCCGGCCAGGTTGCCCACCTCCATTCCAATTGTGGCATATCCACTGGTTATGACCACAAAGTCCAGCCAATTCCATGGATTGCGCAGGTACGTATACTTGTTGAGCAAGAAGCCTTTGGCTATTATTTTGATGACCATTTCGATGCTGTAGATGGCCAGGAAGATGTACCTAGTAATACAACAGATAAGGACGTCAGAAAAGAGCTACTGGGGCTATCCATTGTGGAATACTCACTCCGCCTCCTCCACCGTCTCCGTCATGGCCAGGAAGATGCAGTTGAACAGGATGGTCGCCATAACGCAGTAGTCGAAGAACTGGTTGGTGGCAATGTAGACACACACGCGTCGCGCCGGGCTCCAGGGATGGAACAGGAATAGGCTCTTGGTTCCCGTAAAGCGGTGGATGTAGTTTTTCCGGAATCGCTTTGACACCACACAGAATGTCTGCAACGTGAAATATAAAGTTTAACTATTGAATTGGCCCATTGGTTTCATTTCTAATAAGCTGTTTAAAATTCATAATAGAGGTTAGGAAATATTCAAATTCTGGCGCCATTTTTTCTTAAGCTTTGTACCATACTGTTCTCAGAAAACCGGGTATATATCGATAGAATTATCGATAGTGGTTCCTTTTGTTACCGGTTCGTAAATTCATGCCCGATTCGGCGCGACTTTGCCGGCAGTGTTGCAAAAACTCTAAATATGGCTAGAAATTAGAGTGAAACGGCTAGATCTAGCAATAAAAAGCTAAGATATCGATAAATCAACGATACCCCAGCACTAGCTGTCAAACTCGACACGTTAGACTTCCGCTGAAAATTCTTTCTTTCTTTCATTGACCGTCTCCCAGACTACAAGGAAAATGAGAGCTAAGGTAAAAATCAGAATTCAAGTGAAAATATAGTGATTTTTCAAGTGCAATTAGATAAGCGAATACTAATTAACTATGTTCTTCGTTTGCAGTGGCGTAAGAAGCGTATGCGTAGGTTGAAGCGTAAGCGCAGGAAGATGCGTGCAAGGTCCAAGTAATCCTAGCGCCTTCTCGCCAGTACGAAATGGTAAGTGTCGAGCCAGCGGAGCTCCCCTTTTTTAACCCCAGCACACGCAAGACTCTAATTTGCGGCGTTTTTCCCCACATTTATTTGCAGGAACTTTTGCCCGACTACACAGACACGAGAACACGCCGTTTGGGCATCCGGCAAATGGAAGCCCACATGTAATTTGGCAAAGCAGTTTACATTGAAACCCGAAATGTGCATTGACAATTCACACACTTGGAAATTTAACGTAAAATTGATTCTAATAAATTACTTGGATGTTCGCAAAGTTCCACGAATGAAAAAAAAAAAAGCATGTGTTATTAATGAGAGTGAGAGTAGTGGTGAAGAAAAAGCGAGGCGTGTTCAACATAACCGCACTCGGTCATGTGTGTGTATGCGTGAGCACGTTTTCCCGAGTGTTGCTTCGGATTTTTTGCAGATTTTTATTTCGTTTTGATTGCCGGCTAGATATTGGCGCAAGAAACCGGGAATCAGGAACGCAAGCCACCATTAGAGATTGATCACCTCGTATTCTTGCAGCCAAGGCGGTAAATTCTCGCCCAATAGGAGAATACAATGATTCCAGGCGCAGATCTGGTCCTTTTTTTTTTTAGGTGCCCCCAGGGAGCGCGTGTCGTGCGCTCGTCATTCCGTTACGCTGCCCCAACGCTCCTTGGGCAACATTCGGAAATATCGATTTGTTGGTTTGGAGGGGAGCGAGAAGCAGCAGCAGCACTGGCCCAGGCCCAGACGAGAGCCGAGCTGTTCATTAGCGCCTTGATTTCTTCAATTATATATGCAGATGGGCCTGCCGAGGATGATGTTTGCGCTCCCGCCACCGCCATGCTCTGGCCTGCCCTGCCCTGCCCTATCCGCCCACTTGTTTGAAGGTCGTTTGTCACTGTAATACACACATAAATGTCGCTCAGCCGAGTAAGCTGAAATTTTAATGTAACAAGCAGAAATTACGATTGGGTGGCAGTTTGCCATTTAGCATTTTGTTCTGGAAATTTGCATGAACCAGCCAGCCCATCCAGCGCCAGCCAGCCAGCCTGTCCCCCTCCTGCGTCTTTGTGGTTAGTGGAGAGCTTAAGGATAAGCATGTGTACTTTTAAGTGGTCCGAAATGGAAAGTTGTGTCGGTCCTTGTTCTCAGGCGGGCAGGCAGGCAGCCAGGCAGCTTGGGCAAACAAGCAACGGCTGGGTCTTATCCTGCCGAACAGACAGGCCTTGTTTGCCAGCAGAGGAATACCATTAAATGCAATTAAGCACTTGGGCACTCCACCTGCAGTGGATGTTTGCGGAAAACGCTTTTTATTGGAGTGAGCAAGTGATTCGGAGCCATGGACTCGGCAACAGAGAGATTTAATTATAGAATCTAGGACACCAGAGCAGTGCGCTCCATTAGACATCGACAGGAGGCTCCGGTCGGTCGGGATTGGGAGGTTCGCAGCTTGCATTTCAGCTCTACGTCTTGGACCATGTTTGGCCGTAAGGCACTCTGGGTTACCAAATATTTTAGAGGAGATTCTCCTCCGGCCAATAAGATTTAATTATAGATTGCCCGCCGGGCTGTGTTTGTCTTGGACTTAGTGGGATATATGCGGTCCGTTCGGTCGATAAACACATCACTCGATGTCAGGTGGGCTCATCTCCCCCTCCGAGTTACCCAGGTTCCCACCTCTCCATCCCTCTCTCTTTCTCCCTGACCCATTAGCGGGCTTGGTCACTTGCATGTTTATTCTGCCCCGGTCCGGTTGGTTCCGTTATCCGGAGTTATTTGGCCACGACACGTGGCCTGTGTGGAAAGCTCGGCAGCCCCCAAAAGCCACCAAGTCTTGAGCTGAGTGTACACTTGCATGCTCGCCTATAATTTGTCCTCTGCGGCTGCTGCGGCAGCGTTGTGTACTATATGGGTATATGCCACTCCGCCACTGTAGCTGCTGCCACTGCCACTGCGGCCAGTTTTGTTTGAGTCACGTAAATATGGTTGTCAACTTGGCTGCCCTTAGCTGGCCCGGAGCGGGCAGGGTTGTAGCCCACTCCGCACCCAGCACCCAGCACCCCGCGCTTCTGTGCATGGCATGACCCATATTTGCGAGCCTGTGTACTCACACCTGCGGTGAGATTGCTAGCAATTAACGAAAGATTGGCATTAAAAAAATGTGTGTACTTTGGGGACTCTCAAAGGAATGGATGTCTCATAAATAGCCAGTTCTTTGGGGCATAGCTTCTATATTATTTGGTGAGTCTGCTATCCAATTGGCCACCTGTGTGTCTCTGGAATGGCTTCTTGTATAAGTTAAGGCCAGTTCCCAAAATAATATAGTGCCGGCTTTGAATTTTAACGAGCGCTTGGCATTTACGCTGATTTCCTTTTCGACTTCAGGGTTTCGAGAGCCCCTGCCACGAGGGTCGTTCTAGGCGTTTCCATTAACCCCAGTTACAGATACTTGTGCCACATTTGCACTTGTGCCTCACAATGCCGCAAATGCAACACAAAAGGCAGCGAAAATAAGAGCAACAGCAGCAAAACCGAGCCGCGTCGCGTTCCATTTCCGTTGCGCCACTTGCACTTCCCCCCCCTAACCGCGCCCAGGTAGCCGCGCCCCATCCTCGCCTCCCTGAAATCCGGGTACTGGGTCGTGTCCGTGTGACTTTTTAATTAGAGCCAATGGGCGGCCAAACGGGGTGAGTCCCTGCGGATAATGAGTGCAGGCAATGGGCCTGGGGCCAGGGGGCAGCCGCAACTTACCTCCTCGTAGATGAAGGTGTCAATCTCCTCGAGCGGCTTGCCGTACATGTGCTCCGGAAAGGGCTCGAACTTGCGGGGCAGGACATCCCCATCCTCCACGGAGGCCTTGGTGCGCGGATGGAAGCCATACTCCCGCACCAGCTGGATGTGCCGGTTCTCGTGCTTGACCTGCGACTTTTGGGTGTACGCGACGACTTGGTGCTTGGCGACAGCTGGAAGAGATGTGAGAGGATCAGATGAGGATACTGGTGTTTTTTTAAAACATGTATTTAAATATTTATTAATAAATAATCAAGCCAACAATTTTGGAAGACGAAGTTACTAGTCTTTTCTTCGCAAGGATGGTGAGTCTCCTACTCCACCAGACCCATCTTAGAGAACCCTTCTACTTCCAATCCTACAAATCCCAATCCCAACTCTGTCTATGTAAAATAATGGTCACAATAATTATTGAAATTCATAGTGATCTTTCGAAAAATGTCAAAAAAAATATTAGAAGGAAATATACGAAATATTTCTAGAGGATTTTACTAAAATTACTATTTTACTAGTCTTTCTACTATTACTAGTACTACTTCAGCCTCGGAGGAAGGTGCTGAGCTACTCATAGATGTTATCCATAGACTATCCATAGAGGAATAGCAGAGCTTCGATGTCCGACAACTCGCCCTTCGTCCAACTGATGCAGGCCCTCGGCGGCGGCACCGCTGGCGCCGTCACTCGCTTTCTCACCCAGCCCTTCGACGTCCTGAAGATCCGTTTCCAGATGCAGGTGGAGCCCGTTGGTAGAGCCCACAAGGCCTCCAAGTATCAGGGGGTGATACATGCGTTCAAAGCCCTGTACGTCGAGGAGGGACTGCGCGGCCTGATGCGCGGCCACAACGCCGGCCAGGTGCTGAGCATCTCCTACGCCCTGACCCAGTTTTGGTCCTACGAGCAGTTCCGGTTCCACGCCCACCATGTGCCCTACTTGAATGAGCGTCCCTTCCTGCTGTACTTTTTCTGTGGCGGATTCGCCGGCTGCTTGGGAGCGGTGGCCGCGCAGCCCTTCGATGTGGTACGCACTCAGGTGGTGGCCGCCGATCCGACTACTGGACGCAGCCGGATGGGCACGTTCGAAGGACTGCGGCGGATATGGAAAAAAGAAGGCACACCCGGCCTCACCCGGGGCCTGCAGTTCACCCTCGTCCAGATCTTCCCCCTGGTGGGGGCCAACTTTTTGTTCTACAAGTACCTGAACGCCATGGTGCTGGCCTTTACACATTACCAGGAGCGCAGCAACGGTAAGGTGTCTGCCACCCACGCCCACGACATCCATGGATTCTTTCTGTTTGTAAACGGCGCCCTGGCCGGAGTGGCTGCCAAGGTGCTGGTCTACCCGGCCGATCTGCTAAAGAAACGCATCCAGCTAAAGGGCTTCAAGGGCGATCGCAAGAGCTTTGGCCGTAATCCGGACTGCCCCACGGTGATGGAGTGCATCGGCACTACCTACAAAGAGGAGGGGCTTGGGGGCTTCTACAAGGGCATGATCCCCACTCTGCTCAAGGCCGGCTTCACCAGCGCCATCTACTTCACCATCTACGACCTGTTCAACCGGCGCTTCATTCACCCGTACAAGGACCACTCCACTCACAAGACGGGCCACATCAAGCGGGGGAACTCGTGGTCCCAATAAAGTCGGGTTTTTACATAATTTTACACTAGCATGGTTTATTTTGTTGGGCACATCTGGTGTGGGATGTAGGATGATCTGCATATATAAGTTAGGTCCATGGAGGGATGGTTGGAATGGGAGCTGGAGGACATGAGCATTGAGTAGACTAGACGACCGAATGGCCAGGCCGGGGATGAGCAGCCGCCCTCTGCCTACCGCCAGTTGGAGCTGGATCCCGACCAGCCGCCGGCGGCGGGCGCCGAATAGCTGTAGCCATCACCGCTGCCGCCACCGCCGCCGCCGGAGGATCCTCCGTAGGAGCCACCGCTGCCAGAGGCTGCTGCAGCCGCCACTACTTGAGTGTCGTAGCTGGAGCCGCCTCCGCTGCTGTAGCCATGTCCGCCGCTATATCCTCCGCTGCTGTAGCCTCCGCTGCTGTATCCTCCACTGCTGTATGAGGATCCGCTGCTGTAGGAGGATCCGCCGCTGTAGGAGGAGCCACCGCCGTATCCGCCGGACGATCCATGGGAGTCACTGGAAGCAATGGCGGCGCCAATGACGGCATCGTGACCACCGCCGCTGCTGTAACCACCACCTCCGCTGTATCCACCGCCGGAGTAGCCACCGTATCCGCTGCTGCCTCCGTGAGCGGAGGAGTCCGAGCTGGCGGCAATGGCAGCAATATTGGCAATGGCGTGGCCACCGTAGTCTCCTCCAGCGCCGTGTCCGCCGTGACCGCCGCCTCCTCCGGAAGAGGAACCAGCAGCAGCTGCAATGGCGGCAATCTTGGCGTCATCGTGTCCGGAACCGTGACCACCACCGTGGCTGTAGCCGCCGCCGGAGCTGTGACCTCCGCCGCCGCCAGCGCTGTAACCGTGGTTTTCTGTGATGATGGCGTAAGTGCTCACATGGCCGCCACCACCTCCTCCACCGCCGCCTCCACTATAGCCGCCATCGTGGGAGTGGATCTCGTAGCCACCGCCGCCGCCGCCGCCACCACCGCTATATCCTCCGAAGTCACCGCCTCCATGGCCTCCGTGGTCGCCACCACCGCTCTCCGGCAAGTGGATGCGGATGTGGACGTGCTCCCGTCCGAAGGTGGGCTTGCCCCAGACAGCCGGACTAGCCAGCAGGAGCGCACTGATCTGGAGTTGGGTTTTGGGGGAGAGATATGGGTTAGGATCCTCTGTTAGCTGTAGTCTGGGTCCTCCAATAACTCACTATGAAACGAGCTGCCATTTCTCTGAACTCTCGGATGGGATGCTGATACTTTTCGCCTCTCGACCGACTACCGACTGGAAATGATTCGGGGATCGCGGCTGCGCGCCGCTTTATACCGCTTTGCCCCACGAGGAAGGTTATGTAAGCGGCTGGCTGCGCGAGCAAGTGCAAGAGATTATCTCTCTCGGCGACCACGACCACGACCACGACCGCGACCCATTGAAGGCCACATTGTTTCTTCTCCAGGTTTGCTTTCTTCACTACCAGCTCCCACTGGCTGGGATGGCGGGACGAGAGTGTTGACCTTTCACATCTCATCTCATCACATCCCAGCATGTGCCCTTTGCAAATACTCCAGTGCACTTGAAACAATCTTTTTTTCTTGGTATCTTAGGGATATAGGGATGAGCTATCTTCATTAAGAAAGATAGATCTTAAAGAAAACCTATGTGGTTGATGGAGTTTTCATAAAAAGGCAATTAAAACTAGTTGGAAACCCATTACGGGTGATTACCTTCCATAAGTCTAGTGAGGATTTTTTTCCGTGCATCACTCTCACTGTATCTTAAGCTACGGGTATCCATAGGTTGTATCTCGATGGAGAGCCACGGCTTCTGCTTCTGGTGCTCCACTTTCGTTGGAGAGAAAATCCGCCTAGCCCTAAGCTGTGTTTTCTGTTTTGGCTTTTTTTTTGGTTTTGTTTTTGGTAAAAAATCGAAATTTGAACTGCTGTAATATGCAACTTGACCAGTTCCAGTTTTAGTTATGGCCCAGAGCTTTTTGTTATTGTGGCTATATCTATGTATCTCACAATCCCCAAACCCAAACCGTTAGGTATTTTGTTGACGTTCATGTTTATGGATGTTTATGCAGATACGATACGAACTTCCTATTGGCAATTCCTTATTGTTGGCCCCCACTTGCATAACGATTGGCCAAGGGACTGGGATCTGGCTGCCGGGCCAGTGCCGGGGTCGTCCGTCATTAACCCATTGATGGACGACGCTTCCCATCCCCGGAAATTAGCCCGATGATGCCATTTGCTGTTTTTCAACCGAGATCGAGAGCGAGAGTGAAATGTTTACCGAAAAACAGGTTCTGTTCTGTGAGGTCGGGTCAGTGGAATGAAGATACCTGCCCGCCCGGAATTTCGCCCTTTTTTTTGAAGAGCCAAATGGCCAAGTGGCTCTCGAGGGTTATTGGGTTAAGCCTCGCCTGCAGCGGCAGCGGCAACGGGCACCATCATCAAAATATCTTGTCCTGCCCGAGCTGCTGCTGCAACATTGGCAAAAAAATGAAAGAAAAGCGAAAAAGTACCGTGGGTTTTGTTTCGCTCATCATCATCCTCTCGCTCTTACATCAGCAACATTGTTCGACTGACTGACGGACTGCCAGCCAGTCGGAGGAAGAGGTCATGGCCACTGGCCACCCCTACCACCTACCACCTGCCACCTTCCACCCACCACCTCCACCAGCTCATCCTCGGTTATGCATTCGCTGTTGATTAGCTACAGTTTTCATTAGCATTGAGTGGGCACTATTTTCATCCGAATCAAAATCCGAAACGGGGCCATGTGGCCATTTCGATTACGTCTTGCTGATTATCATCCCAGCTAGGCAGCTAGCCAGCTTGGCAGCTTGGCAGCTCTTGGCAGATTCATCTCCGAAATAATTAATACACATTTAACTGGAAACAAAACAAAAGCAGACGTGGAACTTACATAAGGAACTAGCTGTCGGCGAAGAGGGATGGCGACACCAACGCAACAATCTGTTGCCAATCAAAATCATAATCATAATAGTGCTCATAATCACGATGTTGCGGGGAGTGAGACTCAAGCCGAGTTCGGACTACCCAGCTGGAGCATTCGAATTGCATTTCATTAACATTGGGGCATGGAGCTGGGGAGCACCTTTCGATTGGGATTGCATCTCTTGGGATTTGGCCAAGCAGACGGTAGACAGTAGACGGTAGACGGCAGAGGGCCAACCGGTTGGCGGTCGCACATTAACGTCAGATGGAGCCAAGATGCAACAACGACGCATCTTCCCCGTATTGCATAATCGGAGCTCAAAAACATCTTCACGCGGAAGCAAAGTCATTCTCAAAGCGCCCAAAAACAAAAAGGAAATTGCTTACAGACACAGAAAACTGAATAGTCACTAGCAACAAGCCACTAGCAACCAGCAACTAGCAACTAGCAATGTGCAATGTCGTGGTTTTCCCAAAAAACCAGTTGCAACTCCACACTTGGAGAAATAATTGAACCTAAAGTAAAGAAAATAATTCTAGAAATTGTTATTAAATGACTGACTTTTAAACCAGCTTCTGATTAAGGCTATTTTTTAAAAGTATTACCATTTTAATGAATGAAATAACCATTTTTTTATGGTGCACTTACAAAGCATTATTATTGTTGCAAGTTATGGGATGCAACTCTGACTGGAGTTGCAGTTGCAGCTGCGCAGACCTTTGCACAAGTTCAATGGTGACGGGATTGGGAATGCAACTGAAAGGGAGGCCCCAGATGCAGATGGAGCCTCACTTTCTACACTTCTATACTGCTTCCTGTCGCTGCCCCCATGGACAAATCCAATTCGGAGGCTGAAAAGGAGGCAAGCCGAAAACTGAAACCTAAAGCGATGCTGCCACCAAATGCAACGATGCAACAAAAGGGAAAATACTGGAAAAGTGAAAAAGTGAAAAACTGAAAAACGGAAAAAAGTGAAAAAGTGAATCGAGAGGATAAAGGGCGGGAGGATAGCAATTGCTCTACATATTTAATTAGTTTCCGTTTCCGTTCATATTCGTAATCCGCAGCTGGCAGCATTGGCTGGCTGACTGGCCTTTGTGCATTGTGCTCCTCCACCCCAGTGGAATATCCTCCGCTGACAATGGCCACCCACTCGTCCTTTACCCTACCCTGCCCCTGCTGTCGGCCGGGGAGGACAAATGGCGCTCTATCGGCGCCTGTAAAACGGTTGCGTAACTTACGGCCAGTCATCAGCCGAAAACTTTGGGCCGGAGCGCAGCGCAGCGCTTCCCCATTTTCGATTTGTTTATCATTTATTTAAACGGCCTTAGAGGGTCGTCGGTCGTCCTGCCATTAAGCTCCTTCGATTCGATTTCACCCAAAAACAGGACCCGGTCCCAAAACAGGCAAAAATCAAGAAAAAGGAATATAGGGATCAGGAGCCAGCCCGGCACACAGTGAGCAATGCTATTTAATTATGTTGATGAGCACGACCGGACATGGGGGCAGGAGTAGCTTCCCGGGAAGGAGCAGCAAAACGCACAACACGCACAAAAAGTAAATGCCTTCGGCCTTATCCACACTGCCTGCCACTCCTCCGGCCACATTCCGACTTGCTGAACAGTGGGTGCCACTACTAGTAACAATAGTACTACTATGTTTGGGCCTGAATCCTTTTATTTTATATAAGCTGGACTATCTCAGCCACTCGATCGATAGAACCTCTTAATCAAGGAGCCTTCTGAGACGCGTAATAGGCATCTTTTCATGCAAATCTTCCGTATGACATCGCAGACTATATCCCCGTCTAATGACCACTGTGCACGTGCCGTGCTTAGACGTGGCGTGCAGGTGTCGCTGCTGTCGGGGTGTCAGGATAGCCAGCCCCGTGCCACATGCCCCCTGACGCCTGCCCCTGCTTCTTCTACTCTCGACCTTTCAATGCATAAGGTATGCCCTCGTATACAGATTTGATGGCCTTCCTCCTGCCACCCTCCTGCCAGATGTCCTGCCATTGGACACCTCAGGAATAATATTTATGAGAACGGGGGGTGTATATTCCACCTCAAGGATGGGCATGGGGTGGTCTCTATCAATGGCAGTCTTAGACACTCACCTTTCTCATCGTTGGACGCTGTTTGATCATCACTCATCTTGACTGATTGTCGTCGTTTTGGTTAGTTGTTGCTGCTGCTGCCACTATCTATAGATGCTGGAATGCTGCCTGTGTTATCCTTAGGGCAGCTGCATATCCTTCTCGCTCTCACTCGGTTCGAATATCTGCATAATAGTGTATCTGGCTCAGTTTTTTTTTTTTTTTCAGGCGAACGGATCGCACATTTCACCGTTAATATTGTCAGCGTTCCCTTTGTTAACCATTTTGTGAGCTCTCGCATTTGCCGTTATTGTAGTTTGTATTGGTATTGGTGTTGTCGTTTTTGTTACAAACGCTTGAGATACTTTTGTTGGAGTTGTTGTTGTTGTTGTTGTGCTTATCACGCTTGGGCCTTTCATGATGCCTATTGCTATGCTATGCAAATCTTATGACTACGACAGTTTCCAATAATGGCATTTGGCATCGCCCCCAGCTCCTCAGCTGCCCTCTCTCTGCCAGCTACTCCTCCTCCTCCAGCTACGTCGTCTTTCTTCTTCTTCTATTTCTATTGTGAGCTTTTTGGCTTTGTTGTGCTGATTATTGCTTTACATTTTGCGATGCGTCTGAAATGAAGATGAGGAGAAGAAATAGTTAGCCCAGTGAAGAAATGTGTTCCAGCTTACATAAGACTAGCAAAAGTGACTAGGGGGGGGGGGGTGACTAAATTAAATCGCTTCTCCCACAATTGCTCTAGGTCGTGTCGTGTAACGGTAATTGGCAGGGCGCTAATCCCCGCCCATCCACATACATATGGATGGTGCTCCACGTATGTATGTATGTACGTATGTATGTGTGCTCCGTAAGCCAAGTAACGGCTCACTCTGCTGCTTACGTGAACGTAATGTGCGTAACGGAAGAGATAAACACCTGCGAGTGTGAGGGCGACGGACTCGGAGACAGATTGAGTCTCAAGCCGGAAAATGGGGGAAATTTAAGACTTAAAGCTTAGTAGAGATAAAGTTAATTAACATTATGGCGTCAAGCACACACACACACACACAAAGAATCAAGCATCTTGCACACACACACACACACATATAACTACATCCCACCAGTAAAGTAAGATACAAGAATTGATAAATGGCGCCCAACAAAGAGCAATGAGGTTGCGTGGGCGGTGAGGTGGGGGTGGAGCGATGGAACGAGGACATGGATGCTGCTCATTGCTCAGTGCTTTGTTTGCGGCCTGTTCTTGTTCTTGTAGCTGCTCCTGGCATTGTTGTTTATTCAGATTCTGAGTAAAAGTACAGTCTGACCTCCATAAGTTCATCCCGATTGGAATGGTACATTCTATAACTAGGTTAAACTTTAATTTAAAATTATTCATCACTTAATTAGGAAAGTACAATTCCCTAAAATCAGATTAAAAATCGTCCTTAAAGGATTAATACTGTCACATTGGTATTATTTAATAAATAGTCGCCTTGCAAAATTCAATAAACAAATACAGTTCATGAAAGTCCATCCCAACTCCAGGCTCAACTGTATCCCCGTATCTGTATCTTTTGCCAACATCAGTATCTTGTATCTGGCCGTAGTAGGCCTGCATCCTGTTGTTCTTCGTTTCGCAAACTTCTTGACACGTCTGCGAGCGGCAAAAATGGAAAAACGTTAGATGAAGGCGCCCATAAAATATTCAATATCAGGTTGGCCTCCGCCCCGTGCTCGCCCCCGTTATGGCAGGTGATGTTTGCTGGCGGAAGCCTGGCTGCAGGCATGGCGGATGGATGGAGGCTGCCATTGGCTCGTTGGATGAGAGGTGAAATGGAGATGGGGATGGAAGACGCCGTAGGAGATTCTGGGGCCGGAGCAGGGTCCAGGTCCAGCCAACAAACACAAATCGTCAAAAACACTTTTATTACAACAATAAGCGCACGAGGCATTAAACAATGTGTTGTTGGCTTACAATTTTACGGCGGACTGGGCCCTTGGGGGGGGGAGGATGGGGGAGGTGTGTATTCTGTTTGGTTTTCAGGTTCGTTCGTTTTCTGGGCGTGACCAGCAGTTGGTTGGTTTTAAAGTTACCCCATAAAAGTGTGGCCCCTAAAGTTGTGCTACAAATTTTTGCGGGTGCCTACTGCCCACTGCTACATAGCTTGTTTCTGTTGTTGTTGCTGTTGCTGTTTCGGTTTCTGTTTTGTTTGCTTTCTCGTTTCTCGCACGAAAGAGAACAAAGTGTGGCCGCCTAGTTAAGTGCACATCAAGAGCTAATTTATGGCCCAATCCTGGCTGGTGCCACCGCCACCGCCACCACACCACATGAGCTAAAGTTGCGGTGCCACCATACATACATACATACATATATACAGAGGAGTCCCTGCTCCCTGCTTCTCTCTCATTCTTTTGCATTTTCGATTTACCTTTAAACATTTGCGGTTAATTGTTGTTTGCTCGCTGGTTTGTTCGTCGCAGGATTATTTGCAGGATGTTCGGAGATAGTTGGGATGATTTGTGAGCTTTATGTAATCGCACGTGTGCTGCGTGCTGCACTACTTCACCGCTATTTCTATTTCTATTTCTATTTTTGTATTTTAACTTTCTTGGCCTGCAACATACACACAGACATGGACATACAATACACATACACACACGGATGCACACACAAACGCACTTGGAAGCACTACCCTACACTCTGCACTTCACTTTCCTTCAGGACCTCTCGTATTCGCGTTCGCGTTCGCGTTCCACTTTCCACTTCCCAACACTGGCGCACTCACTATTCCGATTTTGATTCCGAATCCGAATCGAATTGAGGTTGCTGGCTGTTTTATTTGATTTTATTTTACATTAATTACATTTTTATTTAGTCGCAACTGTGCAACAATGTAGGCTGGGCTGGGGGATGGGGGAAAGGCCAAAAACAAAACCAGAAACAGAAACAGTAAAACAAAAAACAAAAAAAAAAAACACTAACAATACAAGGAAGAAAAAAAAAACTTCTTGCACGCACATTGTTTGACACACATACAGGCACGCAGAACACACACACACACACACACCTCTGCAGAGGCAGGCTGAGAAGTGTTATTACAATTTACTGTTGATTTCTTTTGCAAGCCAAGCCAAGCAGCCCGAGCAAGCGAGACAGCCCTATACGTTGGTGTGTGTGTGTGTGTGTGCGAAAGCGTGCGAAAGAGCGCGAAAATGTAGGTTAGTTTCCGTTGTATCCCAACGGCCCCTGCCCCCAGTTCCTTTGCTCTCCACCCTTCCCTTCTTTTGCCAAGTCCTTTCACAGCACTACTAACAACAAAAACAACGTGCAGCGCACACATTTCACTCTATTTTTGGGCGCTGAAAAATTTTTTCGCTCGCTGCCTCCGAAACTGAATGCACTTGTGCTGGTTAACTATAACGGTATTCGCACTGCTTAACCGATTGCCAACGATGGCACGTAAGTGGAGGGGGTGGGGTGGGTAGCGTGTGGGGCTCCTTTTGTGGCACTGTTTCTGCCTTTCACAACATTCCCATTCGGGCCTTTTCACTTCACTTTTCTATGTGTTTTTTAAGGACGTACGTGGAAACGCGCGAGCTCGCATGGCGACTGCTCGGTTCTAAGGTTCTTCGGCGACTGAGCTCGGCTAACGGGTTTTCCTTTCCGTTTGACGTAATCTGCAGGGCGACCGCGATGCAGAACGATGAAAAACACGGACCCGACGAGCCCTGTGTAACGGGAATTGCCCAGTATTCTGCCAAAAAAGGACACCACAGGGAAATGCTCTCTTCTCTCTCAATAGAGGGAGCCCAAGCTCTGGCTTGCGCATCGCCGCCGTCCCTTTCGCTTGCAGGTCAGCCGGCATAAACAAATGCCACGCTATAGGACACACACTGTGGCGAATTCCCTGTATTTCGACGCTGCTGTTGCACCGCAGGCCCTACGCCCGCGTCCCTCCCCTTCCCCAGCTTCTTTCGGTCTTCCACGAGAAAATGTCAAAATGATTAGGCTCGAATATGGGCCACTGACAAACTAAACCAACAGCATGCGGACGATGTTCATAAAAAGTTTTGTTCGGTCTTTGGATTCCATCTTCAACTCTGGTCCACGCGCCGTATACGTAATGGAATCACATCACTCATACGCACCGTTGACCCACTGCCAGGCCCACTGGACTAATGGCGAATATCTTAATTCCCAATACTAAATATTATAGAAAAATGCTTTGAATACAATCTTCGATTGCTGGTCAACGCGTCGTATACGTAATAAGTAAACACATTACTCATACGCACCGTTGACCCACTGCCAAACCTATTATTTAATTAATAAAATAAAATAAACAAATAAATTTAATGATTAGGTAGAAAAATTGCGCATACGCAACGTTGAACAGCTACGGATCTGCGCACTAGATCCGCTCTTTTGCAATTCGAGCTGATAAGCCCCAGCCCTGAGCTGGAAACTGATAAGCTGGCAAGAGCCCTCGATAGCTTGGCGCTTAGAGCTCAGTTCTCTTTGAGATTCCGTCGGATGCGGTGGAACGCGGAAAGCTAAACCCAACTCGGACAAATAGCCAAACCCACAGATAAGCTTATCGAAGTAGAAACGGAAGCGAGCCTAGGCCAAGATGCGGCTGCCACGAAAGGGGATACAGCTACTGCTGTTCCTGCTGTTTCTGGTGGGTGAACTGACCTTGGGTGACTCGAGTCAGGTATCCAACCACACCACCGACTATGAGCAGACCACCAAACAGATCCTCGACAAAGCCACCGCCCGGATGCGCACCATCTGGGATTTGAAACGCCGCATCTTTCTGCAACTCACAGCGAAGGGAAAGTCTCCTCTGGGAGGGCAGGCCTTGAATGGCAAGCAGGAAGTAGAGTCGGAGACATATCGCCTGCAGTACGAACTGGCTGCGAATCTCAGCGTGGTGCCAGTGGCCGAGCTCAATGATCCACTTTTGCGTCGCAGAGTCCAGCGGATGGCCAAGCTGCAGCTGCAGGGCCTGCGCCCCAAGGATTACGAACAAGCCAAGGATCTGCTCAGGCAAACACATAACTTTGTGAGCGGAGCGCTGGTGTGTCCTTTGGAGGACTGCTCGGCTCGAGGTCCCATGTCCATGGACCAGCAGATAGTGGCAAAGAACCGAAGAACAAAGCTCTACGACGATCTTCTGATAAACTGGTACGCCTGGCGCAAGGCCATCAACGAAAAGGAGACTGCCAAGTCCACGTTCATTGACTTTGTGCGTCTTCTGAGGATCGCAGCCACCTACAATGGGCATGTGACTCCATCCCGCACCTGGTACCATCACTTCGACACCGAGAACTTCCAGGCAGAGATGGAGGCCGTCCTGTGGGAAATTATGCCGCTGTACCGGGAACTTCACGCCTACCTACGCCACGAGGTGCGCATCGCCTATCCCAAGGCAGACACAAAGAGCGATGGCGCCATTCCGGCCCCCGTTATGGACCAGATCCTCTCACAGGACTGGTATCCACACCAGTTCTTTCGCACCCCGCATCCTAGCAAGCAGCACCAACTTCCCTCTGTCCATCGCCGCCTGGAGGAGGTCCTGGTTACTCCAGTCAAAATTAATAGGAAAGCCGCAGAGTTTTTTGAGTCTCTCGGACTCAACCACATGTCGGAGTAAGTTGATCTTGATCTATAAGAATGGTGTTATTTCTTGTGTTTTTCTTGGTCGCCAGTAATTTCTACGAGAAGTGGTCACGACGGATGAAGGACGACGAAGGTGGCCCCGACTGCAAGTCCCAAGTGTATTATTTTCCGCCGGATGTGGCCCTCCGGTACTGCCCTAAGCTGGATTACAAAAAAATGATGCAGATGCACGGGACTATGGCGGAGCTGCAGTATAATATTTACAAGCGGCAGTTACCCTTTGGCCTAGACACGGAGCCGTGTCCTGGTTTCGGCGCAGCCATGGCGGAGACGGTGATCCTCGCTTCGGGCACTGCCCGGCATCTCTTCCGGCTTCACATTCTCCTGAATGACAGCCTCAGCGAGGAGCAGTCTCTGAACCGGCTCTTTAGGATGGGAGTACACACACTGATCGCCGTGCCTCAGTACTTCATTAATGACAAGTTCCTGGTTGACGTCATGGACGGCAGAATCGGGGTAAAGGACTACAACTGCGCCTACTGGCATCTGCAGGACAAGTTCGCTGGAGTGCAGCCTCCGTCGCAGCGCAACAACAGGGACTTCGATTTGGATTTTAAGTTTTACCGCGGAATGAATCCGGAAACATCCAATACAAAGTGGGTATTACATTTTCACTTACAATCAATCCAGAAATGTACAGGATATAGCTTCACCAAGGGGCATAAATGGGAGTAATGGATTTTCCAAGGGGTCTCCCCAAAAAATTTTGAAAAATATCGATCCAAAACTTCGTTTTGGGGTTTTGATGCAGATTTAAAGAGAATTGATCTACAAATCTTTTAAAACAGTCCGATCAAGAATCGGATGAGAGTTGGCCAAGATATAGCTTCCCCAAGGTGCAAAAATGGGAATCCTGTATTTTCCAAGGGGTCTCCCCAAAAAATTTTGAAAAATATCGAGCCAAAATTTCATCTGGGGGTTTTGATGCAGATCGAAAGAGAATTGATCTACAAATCTTTTAAAACAGTCCGCTCAAGAATCGGATAAAAGTTGGCCAAGATATAGCTTCCCCAAGGGGCAAAAATGGGAATCCTGTATTTTCCAAGGGGTCTCCCCAAAAAATTTTGAAAAATATCGATCCAAAATTTCGTTTCGGGGTTTTGATGCAGATTTAAAGAGAATTGATCTACAAATCTTTTAAAACAGTCCGATCAAGAATCGGATGAGAGTTGGCCAAGATATAGCTTCCCCAAGGGGCAAAAATGGGAATCCTGTATTTTTGGGGTTTTGATGCAGATCGAAAGAGAATTGATCTACAAATCTTTTAAAACAGTCCGATCAAGAATCGGATGAGAGTTGGCCAAGATATAGCTTCCCCAAGGGGCAAAAATGGGAATCCTGTATTTTTGGGGTTTTGATGCAGATTTAAAGAGAATTGATCTACAAATCTTTTAAAACAGTCCGATCAAGAATCGGATGAGAGTTGGCCAAGATATAGCTTCCCCAAGGGGCAAAAATGGGAATCCTGTATTTTCCAAGGGGTCTCCCCAAAAAATTTTGAAAAATATCGATCCAAAATTTCGTTTTGGGGTTTTGATGCAGATTTAAAGAGAATTGATCTACAAATCTTTTAAAACAGTCCGCTCAAGAATCGGATAAGAGTTGGCCAAGATATAGCTTCCCCAAGGGGCAAAAATGGGAATCCTGTATTTTTGGGGTTTTGATGCAGATTTAAAGAGAATTGATCTACAAATCTTTTAAAACAGTCCGATCAAGAATCGGATGAGAGTTGGCCAAGATATAGCTTCCCCAAGGGGCAAAAATGGGAATCCTGTATTTTCCAAGGGGTCTCCCCAAAAATTTTGAAAAATATCGATCCAAAATTTCGTTTTGGGGTTTTGATGCAGATTTAAAGAGAATTGATCTACAAATCTTTTAAAACAGTCCGCTCAAGAATCGGATAAGAGTTGACCAAGTTATAGCTGGCCCAAGAATCTATATGGGGTCATAGATTAGGTTACGTGAAAAAGACGGTTTTTAAAGGATTTCCTATTTTCTTTTAGGAAATTTATGGCCGAAATCCTGGGCTTTCAGTTTTACCGATCGCTCTGCCTTGCTAGTGGCCAGTACAAGCCTGGAGATCCGGACTTCCCGCTGCACAACTGTGATTTCTACGACAGCAAGGAGGCGGGCAAGAAGATGCGAGACATGATGCAGTTGGGGGCCACCAAGCATTGGCGTGATGTCATGGAGATAGCCACCGGAGAGAGGAAGTTGAGTGGACGTGGCATTCTGGAGTACTTCGCTCCCCTCTTCACCTGGCTGAAGGAGCGCAACAAGCAGTTGGACATCGAACCAGGCTGGGACGCCGACGAATGTAAGTTGGGGTGTTGCCTGTTTAAGTTCCAGACTTTCTAACACTCTTCGTTTCAGTGTGTCGAAAGGATTAGGGACTAAGGATTGGAACTTAGAAGCTAATAAAGCCTTAACAACCTAACACTTAAATATCGTATATATTTTAGACATTTATTTACAAAAGGCACTTTGGTAAAACGATAAAAACTTAGTCTATATCCTAGACACTAAACATTCATATCGTTAGCTTACGGATCAAGATTACAATCTGCGGTTGGTTAAAGCATGAGAATAAATATATAGGTTTGTTGTGGGCGATGATGGTTGTGGTGATCCGTGATCCTAGTGGCTTAACCGCCTTACATGGTAGTCTCCGAGTCCGGCGGCGTATGGTAATTAAGATTATAGGCAGGCGGGCCGTTGTTGAGGAAAGCCATCGACCGGATGCTCTCCCTCGATGCAGTTCTCTTAGAGAAGGACATGGCACTCACGTAGGCGGGTGCAGGATCCATTGGCGGCGGTGGAATATAGTGCTGCTGTTGGCTTTGTTGAAGTTGATGTTGTGGCTGCTGCTGCTGCAGGTGCATGGGGTGCTGTTGGTAGAGGGGTGGAGTGCACGGGGCCTGCGGAGGACTGGCACTGGCTCCGGTCAGGCCAGCGAACACGTTCTCACCCGGGCCAGTCCCGTAGGCGGTGGACAGAGGGCGTGAGCCGTGGAAGTTGGAGTAACTGGAACGCACTGAGGGTGGACGATTGTTGTAGAGCTCATCGGGGCCGTGACCCACATCGTTGAGGTGGGTAGTGGAGTGTTGGTAACTGGGATTGTAGTGTCCACCACCACTAGCCTGCAGACTGGCCTGGGATGGCAGAGGCGGAGGCGGTGGCAGGGTCGGCGAGCCTGGCTCTTCGAGCACTACGCCCTGCCCGTTGGTGTTGTAGTAGATGGGATCCAGCAGAATGTTTTTGCGGTAGCTGTGATACAGGTGCCTATTGTTCTTGCCCAGACTGCCCAGCTGGCTGCTGCCGGCAACCATATTGGAGTTATTGACGATGTCGTCGTTCAGAGTCTGCAGATTGGAGGCGGTCAGCGAGAGTTTGTCCTGGCGGTGGAAGGACCCCAAGTGTGGCTGCTGCGGATGATGCTGTTGGAGCTGCTGGTCAAGCAATTTGGTGACTGGATTCTGCTGGTACTTTCTACGCGAACTACGAGTGCTGCTCCTCACGTAGCTTCCACTGCTGCTGTCCGCACCGCCGCCTCCATGACCGCCGTGCTTGGATCTCAGTGTGCCGCTGGAGCCGTGGTGAGAACGCCTGCTGCTTCCCCCGCTCGATTGCCTACCCTGTGTGCCTCTGGCCATCACAGATCTTCTCTTAACGCGCCGCGGAGTCATTGGCTTGGGGCTCAGCTCCCCGCCGTCCTGGTCGCCCCTGGGATCACCCAGTCCCAGGCCCAGGGAGTGGGCGCCATGTCGGATGGTATCACTGCTGCTGCCGCCAAACTCGATGGAGTAGAGCGATTGGCGGTGCTTGGACTGCTTGCTAATATGCTTCACTGAAGGAGAAAGGAATCGGGATTAGTATTGCTCCGGCAAAGGGACGCATAGGTATGACAGTTACCTGGGGGGGTTAGACTTTTGTGTGCGTATACTTAGAGCTGGTTAAACAATTTGGATTAGCTACGGGCGCAGATAGTTGAGATAGTTAGCGGTTGGTTAAAGCCACAAATGCTACGGAGAAGCCAGTTACCAGTGAAATGTACAACTATTAACAAAGGTTTCCAACAGAGAGATAGAGAGAGATATAGATAGTCCATAGTTTGGTGTAAATGAACATTTATTGGAAACGCTTTAAATCTCTTAGGGAATTGGCACCAGTCCGCTAAAGATCAAAATTGGTATGTGTTCTAACTAACATTAATAATGTCTAGGATTTGGATTTGGATCTGCTAACGCGGCTTGTGTTGTGGCTTCAAGCTTAACACTAGACTTAACTAACGTATCTAATAGGTTGTGTATTTAACGTTTGTATCTTTTCGCTTTTGTATAATAATGAATCTCGCACTTAACTCAATAGACAACTTTGTTTGTGTTTGACAACTAACTTGCATCTCGCATATATATCGTATATATATTTCATTTTAAAAACAAAAGGCAGCCGTTTTGGGGAGGCTGCGCTCTCCCCCGATAACACATCAATATATATGTATATATATCTGTCTATATATATTTATCTATATATTCAATATTCCGATTTTCATCAAGGCATCTCGTTGCAATTGGCGCTAAATTATAAATTTTCTCTCGCTGGCATTTCAACAAATTTCTTACATGGTTATTGTGACATTTTCGCATTCAATTTTAGATTACTTTCGTTCATGTTCGTTTTTTTTTAGTTATCACAGATCAACATAAAAATTGTATTGGCTTTCCACGCACCCTCCTCTTCTATCACAATTCGGGGAAAGTCTCAAAAATGTGGTGTGTGTGTGTGTGTGAATTGTTACCTAATAATTAATATATAATTTGTATATATATTTATTAATTAAAAGACTGCTTGCGCAAGGCATCATCCTAATCGTTAAACGCACGCTTCGAAGCTGGCGGGGCTTGGTGGGGCCCCAGGTTTAGAGCCAGGTTAGCACAACAAAGAAACAACAACACAAAATGTTCGAATATGAGCGAATCGAGTTATCCTGCTAGAGTTAGTAACAGCAAATGGCATCCGTGTCCTGCCCGCATAGAGCATATAGGTATGGGTAGAGAGAGAGAGAGAGAGAGAGAGGACTGGAGGACGTACTTAAGTCTTGGGTTTGGGTAGGATTTGGTTGTATTCCAAAGGATGGGCTCTAGGCCTGCACGCCCACTATGGAGTTGCAGAAGGAGCGCGGACGGGTCTTTTGGCCACTTCGGCGATTAACATGCGGAGCAGCCTCCGCTGCAGTGGATGCCGATACTGGCTGCGCCTGCGCTGTCTGCTCGACTAGACGGTCGTCGCTTTGGGCGCGAACAACATATCCCGGGGGAGGAGCTCGAATCTGGTCACAGAAATTGACGGGAATGGGTGGCCGGGGACGGCGATTACTGCGACGCACCATGGGGGAGCCGTGGGGCATAGGAAGGGCGACCACAGACTGGGAGGGCATGGCATACCGCTCCGCCACCTCGGGCGAGAGATCAGGATATGGGGCCTGGCCCAAGCGCTGGTGGAGGATGTGGGGACGGGCGACCGGCTGTGGCGTTACATTCCTATCAGGGTCATCATCTTCGTTGTCCTCCACTTCCAGGCAGCTGTGCAGCGGCACTGTGGGCAGTGGGATATGCGTGGGTCGACGAGCGACCCGGAGCGGGGATGGTAGTCCGTTCTGGTCATAGGGATAGGCATTGTTGTTTGGCGAGTGGAATGTTTGCGGACTGCTTTGGTTATTGTTGTCGCCCCCGAATAGACCGTTGGGCGTGGGGCTCTGGAATGGCACATAGGTTACACCATGGTCGCCCGGGGCGAACTGCTGCAGCGAGAAGTTATCCTCGTCCTCTTCGAGATTGCGCGACAGGCGGTCGAACGGCGGACGGACAGGGGAGCTGATGTTCACCTCTGATCCCATCGGCAATGTGGAAACACCTGACTTGGGGGGCTTGGGCTTATGGTGGATGCGTGCAAAGTGGGAGTTGGAGCCCTGGAACGAGTCCGGACTCTGGAAAAGACTGTAGTTGCTGTTGTTCAGCGAGCTGGCCGCCAGGTGCGGATTGGAATTCTGGAGCGAGGCATACGACAGGGAAGGCGTCGTCTGGGGGGACATGGGCGTTGGAACGGGGTGTTTGGGCTTGGAGTGGAATTGGTGTTGCCGATTACGGTGGAGACTGCTGCTGCTGCTGTTACTTCCTCCCGCATTAAGGGTTAAACGAGTGTGGTGGTGGTGGTGTGGGGGGAATGACGCGTTGTGGTTATTTGTTGTGTCTGGCATCGGCGGTTGGAGATTATTGTCGAGTGTATTATTGTTGCTATTGCTGCCGCCGCTCAACTGGTAGTTGTTCTTGCTGTTGCTACTGGTAGTGTGGAAGTGGTGTTGCTGTTGTTGCTGATGATGATAGAATTTCAGTGAGTTTTGCTGCTGCTGCTGCTGATGCTGCAGTTGCAGATGCTTGTTTGATTGCATGGTGGCGCTTGCGGATGTTGTGGGTATACTTGTATAGCTCACGTACATTGGATGGACCACGGTGTGCTGTGGACTCTTCGCGTCGCCGTTCATGAAATCGACTGCAAACCAGAAATTTGATTAAAGATGCTTTAACAATAAACTATAGAGTCGCGGGATCGTATATCGCCCAGGACATTGGGCAGCACCAACTTCTAATGCAAACTACAATCTAAAATCTGATTTTTGCATCCCATTTAAGATGGTTTCTCGAGTGCTGCACAATGTCTTTAGCGATAAGCAGATACAATGTTGTTTTTTCTGGTTGTTATGAGAGAAATGGCTTAAACATAACATGAATAACAATACGTATGTATATGGGTGGCAAGTATGCATTATGTATGTATATATTAGGCTGTCACAGATCACATGGGCATGTCACAATGGTGGTTAATATTGGATACAATATTTATATGTCTCGTATATGTATAAGGGTACAATTGCATTCCGGGGCTTGGGTTTTGGGGGGGAAAACAGCTTACACATCGACAACCTGACACATTAAAATATAACAAAAATATACAGTCGGTTCACTGTACGCTTCCACATGCGGAAGCTTCCATATTTTTCTTTTTTTTGAAACATTCGCTTTACTAACAAGGGGGAAATAATGCTGGTTAAGTGATAAGTGGAAAAACTAAACGGTGATAAATTGTGTAATAGTGTGAGTATGTTGAGGAGGGGGTTAGCAATGACCAATCCCGCGGGTTAGTGATGTTTATATGACACCGAATATGGTACAGAATCGACATTCTCCACTTACATCTGTCGTCCTCATCGAGAAATATGCAACTGATTAGAATCGCACCAAGTATACCGAATAGCTGTAGAAGTGGGGATTATTATATAGATTCTACTGGCCTTTCATCGTTATTATAACTCACCGCCAAGGCAACCTGCACTCCGGAGTGTATGATCTCCACCAGCGGATAATCAAGCAAGCACCCCTCTACGCGCTCTGGACGTGGAGGTCGGAACGGATCGTCCGCGGTCATGTTGTAGGTGGGTTTGCAGCCATAGCCATTTGCCTCAAACCAGGAGACGCTGCCCGTGCCAAGGTTAAGCAGATCGCTGTCCTAAAGGGAGCAATAGAGATACTGTATTTACTGTACTTGTTATAGTTACTGTGTTTCCTTACCCTATCCAATACTCCCACATTCAAATAGAAGCAAATGAGGAAGGCGTTCCAGCCGATCCACAGGAAATTCCATATTAGGTACTATAAGCAAGGCACACAAAATAAATTGGGGTTATCGCTTAGATATGATAATAGGGCGCGGGCACTTACAGTGATGATGTATTTAACGCGAAAGTGATACGCGCCGTAGAAGCCGAATATTATGAAGAGTATGTGGAAAAAGTTCACCAGTATGGGCGCCCACATGTATCCGAGGAAATCGAATACCTGGCGCTCGATGATGGTTATCTGGCAGCGGGAAGGCGGATGTAATCAGTAATGCCGAGTCGATGGCTTATCGCGGATACTCACCACTTGCAGGAAGCATATTGACAGCAAAAAGTGTCGCCGCGTACACGAGCACGAGCCCATCACATCGTCATTCCATTCAGAAGTTAACGCAAATGATTCCCCCCTCCGCTCCTCGGTTCCTCCTTCGTTATCTATTCAGCTAGTCTGGAGCTAAAGTAGTTCTCTATGGCTGTATCTTTTGTGGTGAGGGCCTCTCAGGGCTATGTCATGGCGCCTCTGACGGGATGGTTTATCTGCAACTGGAACTCACTGGCTCCTCCAGTCTATGATTCTCTGTGGTGGCTTCGCCTTTCCTTCCACTGGCATTTCCGCGTGGAGAGCAGGCAGCCAGCTCCAGCAATTCAAGCGTGGCAAGTGCACTTCTGTTCGTCTCTTTTGCTCCTTCAGAATAAACAGGTGCACTCGGAGCGAGGAAAGGTGCGGGGGGGTGGAGCGAGAAAGAATGCAGCTGCACGGCTACACGGCTGCACTGAGGAGGAGCGAGGAACGAACCAAAACCTGATCTGTGTGAACCGAGAGTAAATAAAAGAAATTAAGTGAGTCGCGGGCTACCGAGAGGCTCATGTACACTCATGCTCACACACACACACACAGGCTTTCAGCATATCTGACTAATACAACTGCATTGGAATGGGCTCACGTAACGCAAACTAAACACGCACTATTTTCGCCCATTTAACAATGGAGTCCATACATATGTACATACATATGTACATATATGTATATTCTCAATCGGCTCTGGTTAGTGTCCAGGTCAAGACGAGCCATTAATTAATTAGCACAGCAGCCAGCTCTCTCGCTCTCAATTACGCCATGTCTATATTTGTGCCAACAGATTCGATCTCACGATTGGCTGGCTAATCAAATTAAACGGCATGTCGTCGGACAAACGCTGACGCGCCGTGCTTTGTTTTCCTGATACATCCAAACATGACTCAAACGCAAACCCCCATCAAAGCCATTTGTTTTCCTCTGGCGATACGGAAGCCCCACACGGACGCACCAACACACACATACACACACTGACACTGACCACCGCACATTCCTTCACACAAATTGAGTCAGAGATCCTGTTGTTCTGGCACTTTTTGGCTCTGGGATGGGCTCCACCGCTATCCGGGAGTGCACTTTACATAATAGGGACAATATTATCTCAGAAATTAGTACTTTTTGGGACTTACGTCAAGAGCGAGTACGGGAAAGGTTGTTGATAATCTAAACAGTGTTACCAGACTCCGATTTGGATTTCCCCTCAAATTCAATCGAGCAGCCCTGGAAACCCCCTAAAAATCTTTCTTGTCCCCAAAATTTAAAAATAAGCCGGAACGGCGTTTCATTTGTAAATTATCCTTAAACTAACCACCAGCCATAAAAATAAAACCTTTAATAAAGAGGAAACCCCCAGTCCGACAAAACTAATAGTATAAAAAAATAATATATCGATATACTGTGAAATGTATCTTTTTGAAGCAAAATTTTATATCTGGAATCGCCTGTTGATTCAAATATTTAAATAATTCTATCTTGGAAACCACTTAATAGTTAAGATGTATTTTACAATATTTACAGCCATTTTATAATTTTTGCAGTTTAAAAAACATAAAATGGTAATAAAATAGACAGGTTGGCAGCACTGCTTAGAATAGCGGTCTCTTTAAATCGTCCTGACATTCATTTGAATATCTTCTTGCTATTTAAGAATTGACTAAAATATAAGCCCCAAGAAAAGATGATAAATTATATTCATTAAAAATGTACTTCGGTCTACGTAGAAACTTCAATAAAAGACAAAAACTTGGGTTAGTTTATTTTATTCTGTATGCATATTGTATAATTTGTGTTGTTACGGTTATCATACATAAATAAATTGAATTATGCTCTTTTCACAATATATGTGGGGACTCCTCGGCCACTCGTTCCCTTACATTCACGAGTTTGGATTATTTTGACGTGTCGCTAGCCAAACACAATAAAATATATATTTCAAACTCAACATTACACTCAACTTTATTGTGGCTAAGTCTGTTTCGATTTCGATTTCGAATTCAAATTTCAATGCTTCAAGATGCTTTGCATGTTCCACTAGTAAATAGAATTATTCGTGTTTTGCTTGTTTTTGAACTCGCAAGTTCCTCAATTCAATTCTGTTTTCTGTTTCAGTGTATTGTTTCGGCCGCAATAGTTCCACTGGGAAGTCCTTTAACTCCCACCGCCTCCTAATGCCTCATGTTTATTTACAGCAATTGAGTGTACAATATATATAGTAAAATGTCGCTACAGTTTCGTTTAGATTTCTAGGTTTTATTCTGGGGTTTTGGGAATCATCGTTTCCGCTGATAGGTTCCTTTGCTAATCGTCTCGCTAATCAGTAAATAAATTTCTTTCTTTCGTTTCTTTTTTTTTTTCTTTTGGTTTTTTTTTTTTGTACAATAGACGCGTGTTATCTTTTGTGTGTTATCAGTCGTTTTTCATTTACTTTACATGAATGTGTGCAGGGAAATTATTGTAAGTTTTACTTGTAAATAATCCTCTCCATCTAGTCCTCCTAGTCATCGTACTGCATCGCATTTCCGCTTCAATATACGTGTATAATATGTTTTTTGCATGCATACAGGTTGGTTATCAGAATTGTATTTCTAAATTGACACAGATAATTTAGGATCGATCACAAAGCGTAGTAAAAATGAAAAAAGATAGTACACCACACCTGGGCAGGTAAGTAAAAAGGCTGCCACCGGGTATATATGATACAATAATTACATGAATATACATATATTTATAATAATATAATATGTTAGTTAGCTTTGGTTGGTTGTCCCTCCTCCGCTCCCTGTTCTGAACGCCTCCAGACTTTAAAGTATTCCAACAAAATAGATTCGCACTGCAGATAAAGGATCTGTTTCTGACACATCCTGGCTAAACCAAGCATATCCTCATAATAGTAGGCCCCCCCTCCCTCCGGGATGCCTTGCAGCACCAACAGCACCTGACAGTGTTGTGCACCTGACAGCGGGCGGAAAGTGGGCGGAAACTCGGTTGAATTGTGGGACAGGATGCTCGGTTCAGTAGTTAGTAATCAGTAATCAGACTTACTGCATAGAAATCCGATTACGCGACACAACATAACAGGAATTATGCAAATGGGGGGGAGGGTTCAAAGTGTGTGTGTATGGGTGTGTGGTGGATCCTGGAATTAGATTCCCTGGACTCTCTGATAGGAATACATACAAGCTGCAGTTGAATCTGTTTCTGTTCTTGTGGGAGAGTGTCTGAGGGTTGGCTGACAATGGATCAGTCACACTTTACCAATTGTCCCAAGAGGGAAAACAATCTGCTCCTCGCTCTACGATCTGTTCCCTTCTGCTTACTTCTTGCTCTTACGCTTCTGCTTTGGCTCATCCTTGCCACCGGCCGCTGGAGCTTCTGCAGAGGCAGAGGCAGATGCGGCTGCAGCGGCTGCTGCGGTGGCGGCGGCATTCAAAAGATTCATATTCGGCTTAACAGTACCTTTCTTTTGGGTGGCCGGCTGCTGGGGCGTGGCCTGCGTAATGTTGTTGTTGGTGGCTGCTGCAGCGGCATTGGCTCCGGCGGGCTGGCCGGAAAGGTTGTTGGCCGGCGTGGCCGGCGTCTCGTCCAGGAAGAGCGGATTCTTCACCTCCATTTCACCGGTCGGCGCCAAGCCAGGACACTCGTACACGGTGTAGTCTCCTTCCTCGTTGTCATCGTCGCTCTCCACGTCCGACAGCCCGCAACTTCCGTCCGCGGCCTGGCTGTTCTCCATGGCGATTATCTGCTGCTTCTGGTGCTGGTAGTGGTACATTTGAGCACTTTGGGCCAGCTTCCTGTCGCCGGAAGGTGAGACATCCTTGTTGGGTCCTGTAACCCCGTAAGCCGGATAGTCCACATCGGCTGCTGCCTTATGGCGATTATGGAACCTATTTAGGTTGGGAAATTAGTTTTCGAAAACCCCATACCGGTCAGGAAGTACTCACCAAGTCACCCCGAGAGCCAGAAGACCCACAGTCACTGCTGCACTTACGCCAGCTATCAGGGCCACGATGTATACACCCATCTCGTTGCTCATGCCCAGGTGCTGCCGCAGGACGATCTGTTCCTGGCTTGTGTCGCCACCGCTGACCAAGGTGAGTATGGGCGACTTGCTCTGCTTCTGCAGCTTGTTGATCAGAGCGTTAATCTCGTGGGTGGCACTCTGTTCCTTGGCCTGGGGTAGATTCACACCAGCCACAGCCGCAGCGGCTACTGATTGTGGGTTGATCCGATGGAAGTTGGCATTGGCAGCGTCCAAAACTTTCGGAGGTTCCACCGGCACTGGAGCCGGAACCGGTGTTGCAATCTTGCCTGTCTTGACCCCGTCTGGAGTGGGCTCAATGGGGGCATACTCCTCATAATCCTCCAGAGCTCGGGAGTCTAGCTCCCCCGACGGGTCGTTGGGGTTGTCGAAGAAGCGGGCATCGTTGGGACCCACTGCGAAAGGTATTCGTTCGCGGAGTACGCTGTTCCGGTTGGGGGAGTCTCCCAGATTGGGACGATTGGGTAGATTTGGTAGATTGGGAAGTCGGGGCAAATAAATGGGCGGCTGGACATCTGGCACAGCGTCCAGAGGACTGCCGTAACTGGCCTCCGCTTCGGCATTGTCGTACTGGTCATACTGCTGGTTCAGCTGGTTGCCGTTTCCGTTCTCGTACTCCTCCTCGGCTTCGCGCTGCACCTGCAGTTGCTGCTGTCGCTGGCGGTACCTCTCCCGCTCGAGCAACTGCCGCTGGCGATCCATCTTTAGGTTGATCTCATGCAGCTGGTGATCGAACTGCTGCTGCAGTCTCCGACGGGCATACTGCTCCATCATCTGGGCCAGGAAGGCGTACTCTTGTTCGCTCTGAGGGTCCATTGCGGGCGCCTGAATGGGTCTTCTGCGCAGTCCTGCAAAGAGCCCACAAAAACAACTCAAAACATTGCCTACTTTTGTGCTCCGATGCCAGTGAAACTAAAGTTTAAGTTTTCTAATTTAATGTTTCAATAAAAATATGGCGGTGGTGCGAGGTTATTATGCTAATGAGTGGTGCGTGGCGGCATGCGTGTCAGAAGTCGGGAAACAAAAAATAGAAACCAATGTCGAAAATAGCCGCCACGCGAAGGGTCAGTCAGACCCTCCTTTTACCCAGTCCCACCACCCTCAAGAAAGGATTCGAAATAGACAAACAAAAGTCGGTTTTATTGCCGAAAGACTAAAAATAGACCAATTACACACGCGCCCAGGTCAGCCCAATCATTGGGGGTTGGATACAAAAACGAACGAACCGAACAGAACCATAGCCCTGGCGTGACGTGCTTGGAAACCTAATCGCACCGCATCGCAGTTCCTGGGATTTTGTCCTGGGTGCAGGTGGGGAGGCATGAATTGAAACTTTTGTGCCCAGGAAGCCAGTTTGAACGCCACGGGAGTTCCGACTCCCCATCTCCCCGCCTGCAACTCCAATAGAAGTGTTACGTTGCAGCGGAAATACAGAGCGTGGGTGTTTTGGTTATAAAAACATCTTTAGAAAAAAATAGGATAATTTTTTTAAAGATAATTATTAAAAAAAAAACTGAATATTTATTTAATGGAATTGCAAACAGCTTTAAAAAATAGAACCCATTGAGCTACTGTTTCCACCGTTGTCGTATATGTATTCAGTGCAGGATACACAAAACGAGGTGGCTATTCTGGCCCAATGCCTGCCTCTACGCCTCCTCCGCACGCCTCTCCCTCACTGGAGTGGGCGCCCCCTCCAGTTCCTTTCTGTTTCTTCCTACGCCATTTACCACGCACCCAAGTCGAAACTATGTATGCACGACTGTGCGACTGTGAAGTGTGCTATTTTTAGGCTTACCTGGGTAAACGGACGACTCACACTGACCCAAAATGCAGCACAGGACGGCTGCAGCCAGGGCGCATCTAACAGCCAGGGCGAGTTCCAGGCGAGCCGCCATTTTGCACTACTTTGGGGGCACTTGGCACTCTTGGTCGCAATGCAATTGCAATATTTTCCTACCCTCCTCTCTTAGGGGGTCAGGCGCTCAATCGCTGGTTATTTTCGATCCACTGAAATCGGCTAGCAGTGCACGGATACGGCCACGGCTGCCATATGGTTAATGGGGCTGGCTGCTTTCTGCCAAACGACGACGTCGACGGTTTATTGATTTTCAACACCCACACACACACAGACCCCGAGTGGCGAATATCCAGTGGCAGCTGCTGGTGGTTGCTCCCCCAACTTTTCGCTTGCACTGCTCTGAGAATAATTTTCGCGCGTGGGCGTGCAATATTGTTCGCAATTTTCGTTAGCTAACGGCGCTTTATTGCCAGAATTTTGGTGTCTATCGCCAAACAGGATCACTTTGCTCCTAAACCGGGCACTGGAAGTGTCAATTGCAGCAGTTTTCACTTAGTTTGCGGGTGAAAAACCTTTCAATCGCAGGGTTACGAATGGTTGGGATGGTTTATCCGGAACCCGAGTCTTGCGTTGCTGAACTGTCGACGTATACCGTTATACTGAAGAAAAATGAATGAGCCTGGCGGCGACCGAGCAGATTCGGCTCGAACCCGAGCCCGAAGCAGCAGAAGCTGTGACGCAAATGTTATCCCACCCCCGCACTGTTAAATGTTGCGGGTAGCTTTTGAGGGCATACCCGCCGCAGTGGAGCAACAACAGCACCTAGTGGAGCAACGAGGAGGCGCCTGCGTACGATATGAACTGGAAAGCTCAGCACGTCCATGGTTCTTTGAGTAAACACGGGCATTCATAAAGAGCCGGAGCGAATAGAAGCCAGCTAGCAGGTGGCTGCCACTCACAAATCCACGACCCCCTGGACCTCATGCTCACAAAATGGGGTAGCGGCTTCCCTTTCTTGCGTCTTTTTGGCTTGGGATAGGGCGCACTTTATTTTTATCAATGAATCGTCAGCAGCAAAGCTTTTCTCAGTGCCAGGAGTACCGGTGGCGGATGGGGCTGCTGCAAGGCGTGATGATGGTGTGGTTTGTGCTGTATTAACCTCACGGTTGCTGACTCTGGATGTTTTCTGGTTTGATTTTTCCTATTGGCTTCATATTTTCGTGGTAGGCGGAAGCATCTGCAACACCCGTTGCTGGATGGAGCTTGGATTACGGCCAAGCGGTAAAGATAGGAGCTATGTATAAATAAATAAAAGAGATTGGTCCTAATAAAAAGTTTAGGCATTTAATAATCGTTTCATTTCAAAAAAACAATAATCTTTTAAAAATGCGACCGTTAGTCGAATGTAGTGTTAGATAAAGTTGTATTTCCGATGTTGGAGCCGAGCGATAGGTAGACGCTCGATATCGATATATAATTTTCAGTGCACATCTTTGGAACTACCTATAGGAACTAGAACCAAAATAGTGAGTCATTTTGAGAGAAAGAAAATTAATAAACAAAAAACATTAAGAAAAAAAATACTTTCAGTTCGAAAATACTATACAACAAGCCAACTGGCCACAACTGGAAATTAACCAACAAGGTCCACATCCCACGGATGGCATTTGACCTTTGTGGGTAATCATTTTCCATAAGTCCCATTGATCCAATAGAGAGACATTCATAAACAAATAATATATAACAATGTCTACTGTAAAAGGTAATTATTTGTTTAATTGTCGTTAACCTATGTCTTAATGCTGTTCCAACTTTCATGGACTGCTTTATGGATGCCACCTGACCTGGTCGTCGTCGAATGCCGTCGAATAATGTCCATCAGCGTATGTCTGCTCGGTTTCCCTTATCAGAGGACACCAAGATCTAATGTTGTTTATTTTCCCATAAAGCCTCATCATCTGTGCATTCTTAACATGCATGGGTCTCACCTTCCTGATCCTGGCCTGTGCTGTGCCGACCCCGAAAATCTTCTACCCGTTCTTCGTGCTGCTCTTCTACGCACTGTCTGTCATTCCGGTCTTCGTGGCTAAGCGGTCCACGCCCAGCCAGGAGACTAACCCGAAGTGGGAGTTCGCCCATTTCCTTACCTCGGGAATGGTGGTCAGCGCTTTTGCCCTGCCCATTGTCCTGGCCCACGCTGCAGTGGTTAGTACAATTGTGACTAAAAGTAAAAGATATTTACTAAAGATTTTTACTCTCGGCTCCAATTACAGATTACTTGGACGGCTTGCACCCTAACAATAATCAGCAATATTATAAACTTCGGCACCATGTTAGGCTACGCTTTGCGGGACGGAGAGGACTACGGAAGCATGTTCTAGGGAGGATTTGAAGTGCCAGTACTCAAAGCAGCAGTCATATTGTGGAAGTCCACTACGCCCATCCCTGCTGCCTTGATTGCTGCGCAGCTCTGATAGTAATCAGCCACAATCTCATCTAATCAAGTGTAATTTGATAACTAAATGCTAAATAAACAGACATTATTAAAATAATAAATCTTAACGCCGGCAAGTGCTGCCAATCATCCTTCGGAGTAGTTTTTCCCGTCTGAAGAGCTCCAGAATTCAGTGCTGAAAAACAACATCAATGAATTATTTAGTTCCGAATCCTTTGGTGGTTCCGATAAATAAGCCACTCCTCGATAACCGATAGCACTCCCTTTTTGACAGATGTATCGTAGTTTTTTAGATTTGACATGGATGGCGTTTTAAAACTCGGGGATCAAAAGGATATGTCGTCGGCGTGGCAGAGCATTGGAGCAAATGGAAATAGCGATGAGGACGATTCGGAGGATACCACGTCCTTTACTTCGATCGAAGACGACTTGCAGCTGGAGACCGATTCCAGTGGCCTGCAATTGGACAGCGAGGATGAGTTTAAGATCCGTTCGAGCAAATCTAGCCAATCCCGGCCCCACAAGTATCCCTTCAGACTGAAGCGTAACGAAGCAGGGTAAGATTTTGAACAACATTCACTGCAGGGGACTAATCGAGACTCTTTTCCCGTATTAGAAACATTCTGACTGTTCATCACACTATCAAGGAGGAAGGCCAGCCAGTGCGGATCCAAATCGGAGCCTGCTGCTTTAACGAGCAAAACAACCTACTGGTGGTCATCGACAGGCGGTATTGAACTACCTTAGACTGTGGTCAGTGTAGTAAGTAATCTCTGTTATCTCTTTTAGTGGCAACTTCTTTGTGTTTGACTTTGTGACGAAATTGTATTGGCGGCTGAGTGTGCGCCTACCCAGGGCTAAGATGGTTCGACCAATGCCGCTTCACAATAGTCTGTACATTGTGGGCAACCGGATGGGCCAAATCTGCACCATTGATTTGGAAAAATCCGTGATACGGTCCAGTAGAGAGTTAGGAACTGACGGTGTTGAGGAAATCAGCTGGGGACAACGTCCGAGAAACCCTACCCGATCCTCCAACGCCCTTGTGCGCTTTGGACATCATGCTGTCCTGATGAATCTTGATTCCCTTGAGGTCTCCCATCAGCTGGAGTTTGATGACCAGCGGTATACCCTAAAGTTCGCTGCCTTTCTCCCCAATTCGGATCACTTTTTTACATGCTTTTCCAACGATTCGTTGCATGTATGGTCCTCGTTGACCTTAAACACCATCAGAATGGGTCAGCCCATCAAGGCTATGCATCGTCGACTAAGACTGCTTGGCGCAGGGGAATCGTTGCCGGAAATCAATCTTCGTAACCCTGACAACAGCGACCTTGAGGACGACCTTACCTTTGATTGTCCCGACCAGGACTTTTCCAATGGACTGCTCACGAGCTACTGTTTCACTCCTGATGGGAATAAGATGTGTATGAGTACCTTGGATGGTTATCTACTTATCCTTAGCTCGGCCTCCTTTGATCTGGAGAAGCTTTATCGGCTCACGGACTTCATAATCCGGCAAATGGCTTTCCTGCCGCAGCCAAAGGAGCGGATTGTGTTTGCAATTACTGGACGAAGTCAAGCTGTTATGCTGGACTTGGCCAACACGAACCACAAGATAGTGGTTCAGCCCTCGGATGCAATAAAATTGAACCTGAGCCGGGACGGCAAGCTGCTGAGTGTAACCTCTCGTTGTGGAGAGGTGAATGTGTGGTCCACCTGTCGCCTGTTTAATTCCTTGCAGGTTCAAGCCAGTTGCCACAGCAATGTTAGGTCTACTCTCAAGATACCTAAGGCCGTGCCAGCCTGCTCACTCAATAGCTCCATGAACCAGGAAGTGAGGAATCTTCTGAAGCCAAAAAGATTACAGGCCATGCTCAAAGAGTACGGATGCTACCCAGAGAAGTATAGGTTTCTCATATGGACGTCACTGTTAGATCTTCCCTCCAACGGTTCGCAGTTTCAGGAGCTCATTAAGTTGGGCGTACCCCTGATGGTCCGGAAACATGCAATCAAACTAAAGATTCGCAACGATGCTCAGCGACGTGCTGTGCTCAAGGTATGGGCCTGCCTGGCGCAGTGGTGCAATGTCCTTGCCCATGCAGACTTTATGCCACACCTGATCTTTCCGTTTGTGAAGCAGATGCCCAAGAACGGGCTGGTTTGCTTCGAGCTCCTTGCTACGCTGGTCCTGAATCACTTTCAGCTCTGGTTTGAGTTTCATCCGCTTCCACCGGCCAATTACCTGGCCATGTGTGAGAATCTGCTCCAGCACCACGACGAGCAGCTTTGCAAATTCTACAAATCCCTAAAGCTGCTCCCCAAGGACTATGCGTGGCCATTGCTGAGTAGTGCCTTCGCTGAAGTGCTGGAGGAAAATCAGTGGCTAGCGGTATGGGATAATATTTTGACGGAGCCACCTTGGTTTCCCGTGTTCCTGGTTGTAGCCTATAACCTGATTAACCGTGAGGTTATCCTTCGACTGACAGACCGGCGTTCTGCAGTCTGCTTTTTTCACGAACAGAATCCAGTGGACATAGAGAAACTTTTGGCCAAGGCGCGTAGACTGATGGCGAAATGTGAGCCAGCCCTGCATCCCCAGCGTTTCATGCAACGCTTCAGTTCCATTCCCAAGGGCGTGTACCCAAAGTTCGTCAAGTACCCCAGCGACTGGATTGACCAACAGGAAGAGCAGGCCGCGTCCCTCCTGAAACACAATCAGGAAATTGATGCCCGAATACGACATCTTGAGCTAGAGGAGGTGCGGACTATGGAACGGCTGGAAAACGGTCTCAAGCAGGAGGAGCATGCTCGGCGTCTCAGGGAGATGGAAAAGCTTTACCAGGACACCATCCACCGTGAGGAGGAGCGCATTACATGCCAAAGGAAGATGCTGCTTACCTACCAGATGGAGGTACGGCGGCGCAAGAGCGAGGTTATCGCCAAGCTGCAGGAGTCGGAGCAGCGGCGCAAAGTTATTGAAATGGAGAAGGAAATCGATAGGCTAATGCACAATATAGAACGCGAGCGCCGCCGGAACAACCAGCAGATGCAGTTGGCCGAAGACGAAATACGCAACCAGGAGATGGAGATTCTAGCGCAACGCTACCTTTCCGATACGGGGGATGCTCCACTTGCGCAGAAGTATTACGGAAATATGAGAGAACTGTGCCGGCAAAGGGATGAGCTGCAGAAGGGCTTGCAAGAGGTACGTATCTCTAAAATAACTAATTATCCGGCTTTCCATTTCTAATGCCATTCGTCCCTCCAGATGACTAGGGAACAGCTGCGCGCTCCAAGTACCTCGGCCGCGCCAAGCAATTCCCAGATGCTGGATATTGAAAAGTCAATTCTGGAAATCCAAAGAGAGTTTATGGAAATAATCACCATTGATTCAAGTAGGGTATGCAGGGGTAAAGTTTCCTAGTTTAATGGAACAACGGATAAAGCCTTATTGTACAAATAAAATTAGATAGAAATACTCCTAAACGACATGGCACTGAACTCAAAATACAGCAAGGACTGCCACCAAATCACTGGGAAAAAAAAATATAATAACGTGGCAGCTTCTGGTGGTAGTCCATATTGTCAGGTTTACTTCTTAGCCAATGGTGAAGGCACTACGATGTTTGGAACGTTGATAAGCAGGTGAAAGCTGGAGGGAGGAACATGCAGTTGGCTGCTCACTACTGAAATATTGGAATATTAGAAACATGGGTTTGAAAACATATCTCTCAAGCATACCCCCAGCTATGCTGTTGTGGCTCAGCTTCTGTTGCTTCAGCTCCTTCTCCAGCCGAGCGATCATTTCGCGCAGTTCATGGTTCTCCTGCTGCAACTGGTTATTTTGCTTCAGCAGATCCTTGTGCTCGTTGCGGACCTTGTTTCTGTAGCGTCTGGCAGCTACTCTTCTCCGTTCCATGCAATCCGCGTCCCGGTCCTTTGCATCCTTGGATCTCACGACCTGCGGAGATGTGCTGAAGGGTCTTCGGTTAAGGTTATTGCTATGCAGGATCGCCTTTAAACGCTCCTTAATCGGGAGCTGTGATGTGGGCGTCAAGCTGGCGCTGCTGGGTTCGGGATTGGGCGTATTACAGCTCACTAGGATGGGTTCGGGTCGCTTTTTCTTCGAGGTTTCTGCACTGGGCTTGGGCAAGATGAAGGGTCGTGTGGAGTTCGAATGGGATTTTTTCGCCTCTACCAAGGGTACAGGGCAGGATTGTGCAGGCAGTACCCAGGTAAAGACTTGGGGTTGGATGAGCTGCAGTGGCGGAGGCTCCACAGCTAAAGAAGTGGCAGGAGGTTCCGAATTAAGAGGAGTCGCAGAGGTTGCCAGCAGCTGTTCCACATCCACATTGCTGCAGCTGTCGCTTCGCGAGACTGTATTTCCGGATGGCCCTGGAGTACTAGCGTTTTCCAAGGGAAACACCTGTGGCGTGTGGAGGGACTCCCCATCTACTGGAGGAGCTTCCGGTCGTTTTGGAGTTCCAGAAACATTCTGCTCCGCCGCACGCTGGAAGCCAATGTCAAAAGGATTCACGTGCTGCAGATCCTCGAAGAGTCCCACTTCGTCGCAGTTCTTGATAAGGCGTGTTGGCGTAGGCGTCTGGTCAGCGGCAAATAACGTCTTCTGACCCAGCGAAAGATCTAGGGTGATATCCTTTGCCTGAGGCCAGGAAACTTCACCCTCGGCTGCTTTGGTCTCGAAGTCTGCGAAGGATACGCTGGTCAGATCCGCAATGCCGCCGGAGGAGTCCATGGCTGGCAATTACATTGAAGCAATGGTTCTTTGGGTTCTGATTCCAGTGACCAGGTCACCTTTGTTTATAGCTATTAAATTGCTTCAAGAAAATACCCGATTGTTATATTAATTCCAATTGGAATAGATTTCTTCGCATTTATTTTACCTTGTTTACCCTCTTGCTAGAGATGCCGGTTTTAGCTATTTTATTGCCAGTCCGGCAACTCCGCCGAAGCGGTTTTAGTTTTAGCTATAGTTGGCAACACTAGTCGAGCGGGTACTTTGGCGCACATTTATTATTAAAATAATTATCATTTTAATTTTGGGCCAAATAGTTACTACTGGTAGATATAGTACTACTTCAATTTTTGAAAATGATAATAGTTGCAGAAAAAAAATCTTTTTTTGTATGAATTGAATTGTTGTTTTTCCCATGATACCCATGAGTCTCATTAGATTTATGAGCTGCTCAAATTATATTTTTCTGGACCAGTCAACGATCTTTGGATCTTATTCTGAGCCCAGAGTAGCTTCCCATTATGTAACCCACTTGCTGAGCCAGTAACTTTTGACATTCAACATTTCCGTCCCAAAATTGCGTACAAAATGATTCAAAGCCTTTCGCAGCACGTATAAGCAATCAAATATAAAGACGGCAAAAAAAAAAAAAAAAAAACAACAGAAAACAACCAAAACATATTTTAGCAGACAAGGAAACCCCATAATTTAAAATTTTGTATCTTTTAAATTAGATTTCTCATTGAAGGAAGCTGAACACTCGCATCACGCAAAATGTTTTCGACTTTTGGGAAACATGCACGCAACGAAACGAGCAATTTTCTAAAACTCAGCCCGCAAACTCGTCTTGTGGGTCAAGTTCAGTATCCAAATCGTTGGTGACTCTGCCTGCCCAAGACTCTCAAGATGGTGGTTGGGCCCTCCGCTCGGCTCACTCTGCTCCAACGAGCAAGCCCCCAGAAGATGCACAGCATGAAAATTAAGAAAAAGTGATGCGTAATTACAGTCATTCTCTTTCACTGCAGCCAAGCGGGCTATTCCACATGGCCCGGGTCCTGGGCCCGATTCTGATTCCGATCCCGGGTCCCAGCCACATTGCATGCAACAGACGAGAGTGGTCCATGGAGTTGGTCTTAAGCCAGACGACTCTGGGCCGAGTTCTGGGACTCTGGCGCTGACGCTGATGCTGATGCTGATGCTGCCGCGCCGGTAGAAACAATCAGTTTGAAGTTCGTTCGCATAATTATGGGCAATTTTCAAAGAACATGCGTTCCGATGAACATCTCTCTCTTGCTCGCATTCAAAGTATCCCCAACCCCAACTCCTTTCCCAGCTCCTTCTGCGGCACCACCCTTCCTGCTCAGTCCCTTTCGGTTTCCTTCCTTCCAGGCCAGCATCGCCATTTTTCTTATTGTCCGTCTGTATTCTTTGGTCAGAGGATAGTTTGTATGAAAGTCTTTTCAGCGAGTCCTTGGTATTGAATACCATATACCTATTCTTTTCTCCACCGAACATATGCCACATAATTTCTCCTATGGACTCTACTCTATTGACTCGTCCTCCAATATCCAAGAATCCAGAGCCACCAGCTCAGCAACCTGTTTGCTTGCCGCAGGATATGACATTATAGGTAGAGTCAAGGACCGCAGTCACTCATAACGGCATAGCAGGACTCTCCAGTTGGAGTTGCAGTTGTCGGACCGTTGTCCCCCTGAGTATTATAAATATTCAAAGAGTTCCTAGAACGCCCAACATTTGTTTCTCCTCCAAAAGAAGTTAATTTTTCCCGCTGCATTTTCGACACATTGTTTGTTCGTATTTGGCCATTTTCCCCGAGGCCTCCTTGCATATTAATAAATTAAAAGTTTGGCTGCAGTATGTCCGCTGCTGAATCGAGGGAGGACTGAGGACCTTTTTTTAGTTTATTTATTTTCAGTTGGTATCTCAATTTCTTCATCGGCTCTCAAAACTGAAAGGGCTTGAAAAGCGGTGTTTTTTTTTGACCAACTTCCACAGCCTCGGGCATTACATAAAAAACTTCCTGTGCCACATCCACGGACCGAAAGGATTTCTGCTTTTCCGACGGCGCACACACAGAATCACCTCAAAGATACATTTCGGTGCGATGTCTGTTGTTGGCGCTCCAATAATAATTTCATAATTATGGGGTATCTGGCAAGTGGCATTCGTAAATAATAAAAAAAAAGCTAAAAAACTCTGAAAAAACTACGATTCGCGGCAAAATATAAAACCAAAAGCATGCTCCGGAGGCTCAGGTCGAGATTGATTGTCGCTAATGGGCGTTGCGGTTCCCGAGAAATCCCTCCCAGCTTCGAGCTGGCGCGGACGGGTCGGAGTCGGAGTGTCCCTGTAATTGTTTTAATTGCCATGTTCCCTGGTCCAGGGTCCAGGATCAGGCGGCATTAGAAAAGGCCTCGCAGTCGTAGCTGTATCTCTGGACAATTAAAAGTGACCTTGACTTCCCTCACAGAACCCTAATCAGTGCTCCGCTCCGCGATTGTCTAACGGTTGCCCAGTCTCTATAGCTCGTGCTGCGAACGCGCCATTCTCCTCGGGATCTCCTCCCCGACGATAGTCAGGCTGCGTCTCAAGAGATGGTGGAGCTGGTGGACTTGTCGGCGCTGCTCTCATCACATGATGATGGATTGCGTTCACTTTTGATGTATCTGCCACTTTCTGCTGCAAATTTTAAGCTCACGTCCGAGAGGCGCTGCCTAATTGCCCTGCCCGTCCGGTGATCCCTCGGATCCCCTCCCCACACCGTCCTGATGGGGCCACCTCTCGCCCTGCGCGTAGCCGCGATCATTTCCATTTCCGTTAAGGCCGCCGGCGAAGCTGTCGCTGGCCAAACTTTAGTCTTAGGCCAACTTTCGCTTTTTTCTTTGGCCGATTTCAGACTGTTGTCAGTTTTGCCGACGGCTTCTAGTGCTCACATCCTGTCGCATCCTTGACTGGACCTGGGATGCATAATTGGCGTCTGGAGGCGGGACTGCGGGCCCAGGGCTTGTGTCCAACATGTGCCGCGCCAGGCAGCTCGCTTAGAACTTGGAGGCGTGTTGGGATAAAAAGCCGAAAGATCTGAAACCCTTCCAAGAGGGACAGCTCGAGGCATCCAAGTTAGGCTGCCCAACTCCGGTACTAACGGTATTCCCTCTTAGAGATTTGTTTAATTGCTGGTCTCGCAGAGGGCTTCAAAGGAATTTCGAGAATCCGAGGCTGTATTATAGGTACTAAGTATGTTACAGCCAGAGTTGTGAATCATGCCTAGGATATGCCTCCAAATATGATACACTAAACTGTCCAATTAACCCAAAGGTGTAAATATCCGCTAAATGTCTAACACAATTTTCACCCTCATTCACTAATTGACGGGCACCACTATAATGATTTCAAAAACCAAAGCTCCGACCATTAACTTGAATTGCCGAGTGTTTCATCAAAAATTTCCGAAATGCTCAATGGAATGGGATTAAATCTTAGGTGGTTCATAAGACCTTTTAAGATCATCTTTTAGGAGGGTCTAGGATTCAACTATTTTCTAATCAATCGAATATGCACTGATTGGAATGCAAAAACGTGTTTTAGAAGCTTAAGAATTCCCCTAAAACGTATCTTGAACAACTCCATCACGCAGCCCCATTCACCATTTTCCCCCCAGAGGAGCAACAAAGTCCAATAGTCTCAATTCATCACCTGGGGGTTATTCGGAGTTCTCGACTCCGTCAGGCCTTTGTCTTTTGGGCCAAAAACCATTGACAAATGATTGGCAACATGTTTGCGAGCCGGGGCAGTGCAGGGGCCAAACAGTCAGAGGGCTGGGGAGGTGGAAGCACGGCAGCAAAAACTCATCAATTAAAAGTGCTAATGGCTATAATAATGATATGTTAATATCACTCGCAGCTATGGCCATTCTGCTTTTGTTTTTGCGCTCATGTCGGCTAACTGCGTTTTAGTTCAGTTAGCCTGGTCGGGCTAACTTTGGACGGGCCGGAGAAAAAGGTAACAACACAGCGGAACACATCGGAGCCACAAAGAATGTTGTTGCATGATTAATTATGGCTTGGCGACTTCTTGGCCGCCAAAAGACCAAAAGACCCAAAGCCCTAAACCAAAAGCTAAAACCCAAAACACATTTTGGCATCAGCTTGCTTCATTAGCGCATTTCTTCCTTGGTGGCGAAAAAAAATAAAATGCGAGAGATAGGGTCTAGAAAAGCCAGCGACTCTTGATATATGTCAAATTAATTAAGTTTTCTGGCACAACCGTTCCGAGGGGTCAACCAAAGCAGGTGATCTTGGGGTCTCTCTGGCATCTGGCCTGTTCTTCGCCACATCTCCGATCCGATGGATTCGGTTCTGATTTATAAGTTCAATCAAACTCATGAATATGCACAGTGACTGAGCGCACGCCCCGGGGCCCTAGGATAACTGATTTATGGCCGGGATCAGGCCAAACGGAAGAGCAAAAGATGCGGATACCAAGCAGGACTCGATCAGGCCCAGATACAGATTTCAGGTGCGGGCTGAGGGTATGCAAAGGTTACACATTTTTGCTCTGAACATGCCATAGGATCGATGGGCACATTTTTCACCATTTTCAGATTGATACGTGGAAGAATTCGTGGGGTCGCGGTCCAGCCATAACTCTCCTCCCTGACCCGTCATCCCGTCACACATATGTGATATATGTGTCTGCCCGGATCAGGGGTCGGCTTCGTGCGTAAAAGCCTAATGATGGGTTCGCCCAGATCTCTGCGGACTGGGCTCGGTCTCGGGTTCGGGCTCGCGGATCTGGCTGAGGGGCTGAAGACTGAGAATTATCGCCGACCACTCAATGGCGGATGTAGTGCATCATTTTCCAGCCACATAATAATAGGCCAGGTGGCAACTGAAAAGCGTCAAGCTTAGATTTAGCATTTTAATTGTTGCGCTTCTTTCGGGGGCCCGAAATTTATGCATCCGTCGGATGCCCCAACTCCATGCTCCATGCTCCAACTGCAAAACCCACCCTGGGATATCCTTATTTTGGCAGACAACTCGGGT